CGCTCATTCTTAGTATATATTCCAATTCCCCAGACGTCGTCACCGGGCTGACTCTAAACGGTCGCTCGTTAAACTTGCCTGGTATTGAGGCCATTCCGGGACCGACATTCACGACCGTCCCTTTCAGAACTCGGATCTCTCCGGATATGTGCATATTGGACTTTCTCTTGGGTATACAGACCAACTCCGTCGATATCCTCCCCTTTTCTCAATTTGGGCTTCAGAATATTCGGCAAGTGAGCGATGATGCAAATGCAGGCTGTAGGTTTCGGAGCCTCTTGGTTATCCAAACATCCACTCGTTCCCGGGACTCGCAGAATGTCCTGGAAAGGAATGAATATACTTTTCCCCACATGGAGTTCGGAATCGTTATGGAGTGTGAGCTTTTAGATGGCGGAATTGATCTCCGGGCATCGTTCGATCCAAAACTGTTATCCTTACAGGAGGTCCAGCAGGTGTGCAGGCAGATGAACGATATCCTGCAGAGACTATATCTATCGGATTTCTCTATGACTGTGTCTGAGCTGCAAGAAATCACATCAAACGACAGAGTGCAAATCCTGCAGTGGAACAACATGGGAGTATGTCCACCTGTTTCAATGTCATGCATTCACGAGCTTTTCAACAAGCGAGCGCAGCAGCAAGGAAGCTCTCAAGCCATCTGTGCATGGGACGGACAACTGACCTACAATTCTCTTGATTTGTATTCTTCCAACCTGGCTAAGCATCTGCAAATGCAATACGGTGTTGGACCGGAATCCACTGTGATTGTTTATTTCGATAAATCACTCTGGGCTGTTGTTTCCATGCTTGCGGTTCTCAAAGCGGGAGGCTGCTTCGTCCCGGTCAATCCTGCCGACCCGGCTGGGCGTATCAAGACAGTAATTGCAAAGCTTGGAAAGTCGTATTCAAACGTGATTCTTACATCCTTGTGTTATATTGAGCGTCATAAGCAGCTTGGGTTTAGGGCTCTGACTGTTGATGGCCACACCATCGATGCTATTCCGAAATCAGACTTTATGAGCAACGACGTCGCTCCGAGCAATGCTGCATTTGTTATCTTCACGTCCGGAAGTACGGGAACTCCTAAAGGTATAGTGGTTGAGCATAAAGCGTTTTGCTCCGGTGCTCTGGCCTGGGGACAACCTTTGCTCAAGCGCAGCAAGCAGTCGCGTGTGCTTCAATTTGCACCTTACAGTTTCGATATGAGTTTGGGAGATATTTTTTCCACCCTCATATTCGGTGGGTGCATATGCATTCCCTCGGAGCATGACCGGATGAACAATCTCAAAGGAGCAATCGAGTCGCTTGGCGCGAATCAGCTCTCTCTGACTCCGACGGTAGCAAGTTATCTGCGGCCCGAAGAGCTGCCGGATGTAACTGATTTAGCCGTGGGCGGTGAAGTCATGACGAAGGAGGTGGTAAATATATGGGCCAACCACGTCAACCTAGTGAACGTATACGGACCTACAGAATGCGCTGTATACAGTACCGGCAAGGTGGGCATTCAAAGTCAAGAAGACCCCAGCAACATTGGATGGGCAGCTGGATGTCTCACATGGATCGTCAATCCAGAGGATCCGGACAGCTTAACTCCTATTGGGGGCATTGGGGAGCTTTTGATTGAAGGTCCTATTCTCGCACGCGGTTATCTTGGAGACGAAGCCCAGACACGGGCGGCATTTATCGAGGATCCGATTTGGTCCCGAAAGAACGGCCAAAGAAAGGGTCGACGACTTTACAGAACCGGGGATCTTGCGCGTTACAGCGCCGATGGCTCTTTACTGTTCATGGGCCGCAACGACGGCCAGGTCAAGTTGCGTGGCCAGCGTCTCGAGGTCACGGAGGTTGAACATCAACTGCGCGAAAATATCCCAGATTCTGTGAGCGTGGCAGTTACAGTCATAAGTCCCGAGAATGGTGAGCAGGTTCTAGCTGCGTTTCTCGCATTGCACAGTGATAAAGGGGGCAGCCCAAATACCGCACTTGCCGACTCTGCAGAGGCTTTGAGATATTTCCGAAGCTTCATAGAAAGTGCAGATTCAAGGCTGCGGTCTATACTGCCGAGATACATGGTCCCTTCGGTGTGTCAAATCTTGGCAAATTTAACATTGCTCGACTAATATTATCCCTTAGGTATACATACCTGTCAACTCTCTCCCGCTTTCAGCATCCGCCAAAATTGACCGCAAAGCTCTTCACAATTTATCATCCAAGCACTCCATGGCATATCTTTTCAGCCTACGAGGTGATAAAGCAAGTACCAAAATCTCTACTCCACCTTCCACAAGAATGGAATGGCGTATCCACGACCTCTGGAGGACTCTATTCAACGTCGAGCACATCAGTGTTGACGATAGCTTTTTCGCCCTCGGAGGCAGCAGTGTCCTTGCCATGCGACTGGTCTCAATGGCACGAAAGGAGGGCATGACAATGACCGTCTATGATATATTCCAGTGTGCAACACTCCGAGATCTGGCCCTGACAGTGCAGGACAGCGCGAGTAACGTCGAACTCCCACCATTCTCACTACTGCAGGGAGTAGATACTGAGGAACTCCGCAGTCAAACCGTCAAGCAATGCAGAATCAACGATCTTGACGACATCGAGGACATCTATCCGTGTACCCCAATGCAACTCCACTACGTGACAGGTTACCCGGAGGCAAACAAAGACCCATCAGGGCCATGGGACTGGCAATCCCAAGCCATATTCAAGCTCTCACCATCGATGGACCTTTCCAAGCTCAAGGCAATCTGGAACACCGCCATCCGCCGCCATCCCACTCTCCGTTCCCGTCTCATTCGCACCGGTTCAGGGATCTTTCAAGCGGTGATAAAAGAAGACGGTCAAGAAATGTGGCATGAAAGCCATAATCTACAGTACTACCTCCGATCAGACAGAAGCACGCCGATGAGATTCGGCGATAGACTTGTCCGTCTCGCCCTCATCACCACTAGCCCAGACTCCACTCCAGAGCACTACTTTGTCCTCAGCGCCCACCACTCAATCTACGACGGCTTCTCACGAAGCATGCTCTTCTCAGAATTGAGAATAGCCTACACAAACGGCGTCTATATTGACGGCCCTCTCCCCAAAATGACCCAGTTCGTCAAATACATCACCCAAACCGCCGACAAACCCTCCGCCACAGCGTTCTGGACATCCTACCTCTATACCGCAAAGACAAAGGCCCTCCTCACGATCCCTGGCAACCCCCCACCCCACGACCTCCACCAAACCGATCAAAAGCTCACCCAGCCCCTACCCCCACTGCCTCCCTCGGAGATCACCCTCCCCACGATCATCGAGCTAGCCAGCGGCCTCGCAATCGCAACCCACTTGGACACAGAGGACGTAATCTTCTACTCGGACCGCTCAGGTCGCAACCACCCCGTCGAAGGTATCCAAGATCTCATTGGTCCTACGACTCTCTTCCTCCCCGTCCGCATCCATCTCGACAAGGCCCAAACCGTTCACGACCTCCTCCACTCTTCACAGGGCTTCCAAGCCGCTATGATGCCATACGAGCACGTCGGCTGGCTCGAACTGCGAGAAATGGAGCATCTCAAACCCATCCTCCGACATTCCCTGAATATGAACGTCAAGCCGCAGAATGTGGTGTCGTTGGATTGGGGTCAGGACCTCCAATTCCAGAGCTCCTACGCTAGTTGCGATGATCCATTCGGGATCGAGGTCACCTTGTTGGAAGGGGAGATCGAATGGAGGATTTACTATGACGAGCGGTTTATTACATCAGATACTGTGGCGAAATTGTTGGGTGATTTTACGAGAGTGTTTAAGGAACTGGTGACTGCGACTGCGCAGGGAAGATCAAAGTTGACAGTTGGGGAGATGATGGGATGTCTTCTAAAGAGATGAATCGGGTTCGGTTGGGAGTGTACTAAATTCCACTCTAGCATAAAGACTGTGAATCGTGCTCATATTCCATCCAGGAAGTGAAGGTTTATGAAAACGAAAAATGTAGCCTATCAAACTCAGTCCCCGCGAGAAAGTGGTGCAGAGCGGGCAGTGCAAACCTTCTGTAGACTAAACTTTAAATAGAGGTCGAAAACGGACTAGAACAGCAATATGACGAATGATCCCAATTTCAAAGCTGTAAGCGTCAAAGCTTTGGCCATCTGATGATGCTTTTGGTTCCTTCAGTTTGGTGTGCCGATATAGATCCCCAGCGAGAACACATCATTTCCATGGTTGAAAGTCTATGGGTAGAAAGAAGGCGACCGGAAATAGTAATTGCTGTTTGAAGTAAGAACTTACACGCTTCGCGATTTTCAATTGCAGCAAATACAATTGGGTTTATGATAGTCAGATCCGTAGGATTTAGTGCCATTGAAATGACAAGCACATAATCTCTAGCATTGCCCTGTGACCCTCCTTGAAGATGTTTGGATGTACCTTTGTCCTAGCCTAATCTCTTTATTTCACCCTAGAAAAGGCAATGGCTGGTTGGTAATTCCACGTAGCTTATGTAACCTGTGTGACAAATAATATCTCGTAAGAATTCTAGATATAAAGGGGCACACATTTCAACTTGGCAGAAGCGTAATTATAAACGCTACCTGAAGTCACTAACTCAATTAAAAAGACACTGGTATTGTCCATTGCCTTCCTAGAGACGGGCTTAGTTGCTATCGAACCTTGGTGTCAAGGCCTACCAAGTGCCCTAAAATAGCGTGTTGCTTCCATGGATAGAGCTGTAGGTCGATATTCCGATATCCAGGTTTTCGACTATTTATTGCGCCTCATAGTGGCAAAGTATCCAGCATACCGTGATTTTGACTAACTTTTGGCTTCCATAAGCCAGTCATGATGCAACAGACATGTATTCACGCGCATTCTTGACTGATGAGACGAGCTTCTCACCTATCGGACAGCTTGTCGTATTCCCCGCAAAAAGTTGATAAATCAGCGCTCAAACCATATAAAACGTAAGAAAATTCTTTTTGACACGAAGTTCGAATAGTTGCGTACGAAAAATGGTTCGAGTGCTGAATTTCGTTCTTGCCATCTCTGGGCTTCCATCGATTTATGCCCAGGATGGTGGCCAAAGCGGTACTAGTCAGACGCCAACGAGTACCTCCACTGCTTCAACCTCAACCTCATCTACAAGTGCTGTCCAATCTGTTGATGTAGGGGACGGGGGTTTCACATTTGATCCAGATACTCTTTCCGTCTCCCCAGGAAGCAAAGTAGAATTCCACTTTTACCCGGGCAACCACTCAGTGGTTCAGGCCGCGTTCTCAAATCCGTGCCAGCCTCTCAGCCAGTCGAGTTTCTTCAGTGGGTTTATTCCAGACACAAGTGAAGAATCAGTGAGTCTACTCTGATCCTTGAGGTAGCGGCATACTGAGTCTTGCACTCTCCACAATACAGCCCGAGGTCTTTACTTTGACTGTTAATGATACCAACCCTATCTGGTACTACTGCGGCCAAATTGGCCATTGCCAAGCTGGTATGGTCGGGGTCATCAATCCATCGTGAGTACGACATGGCGAGAGAACCAAGCATGCTTCTGACCGTGTACGTACCTTACAGACGCAATAGCACAGATACACTTGATGCATTCAAGTCAGCAGCGCAGCATGCTGGAGGTAGTACTGTCCCTGCTTCTGTTGGTGGTGGCACATTAGGAAAACCGAACAACGCCTCCACCACAAGCAGCGGCACCACCCAAATGACATCTTCGACTGGCACCCCTACCAGCACTGGTTCCTCAAGCACCAGTGCGACAAGCAGCTCGACTTCAAGTTCCAGTCCCAGCCCCTCCCCGACAAGTGAGGGAGTAATATTCTCCCCACGGTCATACCTGGGCATTGTCACAGTTCTGTCTCTCTTTGTAGCTATGTTTATATTGTAGCCTGAGACCCGTTGTATGCCTTCCTTCGTCTCTTACTGCAAAAGGGTAACCGCTTAATCGAAAAGTGGACATTCTGCTTTACTTCTCTGTTGAGTTTTCACATCAATATTAATTTGGCTCGCATATAAGCTATCAATGACCATACTTTTACGCCTGGCTCAGAGGAGATGAGATGGGAATCATTTAACTAGCAGAATACTTTTGCTGGCGACCTACGACAGTGGCAGCCGCCTTATAGGTGTTCCCTCCTTGGTTATGATTTGGTATTCTTAGTGCCTGCAACGATTTTCCAATCAGCTATACCGGTTTGGAGTTGAACTCTGAGATCGGTCCGCGAAACAACCAGAGCATCAGCTACAACGATAACGACAGAAGATAGGGGATATCTTTCTACATTAAACAAACATAACATGTACCACTTTCAGTAGTCTATTCCTTAGTGCACGCCATTAATGATCTCTATGCAAGATTATGCTGCTCACTGTTTAGGAAACCTTTGAATGCCACAGAATAAATATAAGTACATTTCAAACCCAGACAAGGCCGTCACTAGAGTCTGACAGACATTGACTATCCACTGAGATGCGCATCTACCGTTGAATGATTGCTAGTTGCCAAGGGAAAAAGCCAGACCACTGAATTAAGTGCCCACAGATATGAATCTGCAAGTATACTTTATTCCTGCTGCGGCTCCCTGCATCAGGAATAAGTCTGTTGATGCTTAAGCCATCCCGATAACCATTTGAAACCGGTTATAGAGTTCCCGGTGCTCCCTCTGGATGGTAGCCCTTAGAAACATGTATTGGGCATCTTCCCAGTGAGGTGTAGAGTTCTTTGGTTATGGCAATTGCCAATGCATCCCCAATTGAGAGTGCCACGGTCGTTGATATTGTTGAGTGCAGACACCAAAGGATTCTTCCGCACTCTCATGGATAGGAGCCGTAAGAGAACTGCCTTGCCGGCGGGTCGGGATGACAGAATAGGACAGCTTGGGACGTCAATATGAGATGTGATAGCGATCATTGTTGAAGGATATGTGGAAGAAGCTGCAGGAGCTCCTTCGTCTGGCCCGAGAAGGAGAAGAACAGAAAGGTATCATTCTAGATGATCATCAACAGCTATGCCAACCTCGCTGGGATATTCATTTTTCACGTATGCCATACTAAGGTCTGATTAGCCCTAGATCCCCATGCAACGCTTCTGTGGGGTGCAGAAATGCGCTGTGTATGCCCATACTGATCATTGTCGCTACCACCTCAGCTGTGGACTCTACCGCGTTATCGAGAGGCTAGGATGGGGGAACGTCTACCTCGTCACCAAGTGCGTCATCAATACTGGAGATAAAAATGAACTCTGCAGAGTCAATAAGCCACCTTTCCACCAGTAGCACTCCCCATCCATGACAATTTCTACCCGCAAACTTACACTTCACGGCGAGCCAATCTGATCAAGTAGAATGGCTTCAACCAAATAACAGGCCTTTCCTCTCATAGCTCATAAGGCTTGGCTTCTTTCTTTCCCTGGTGGTAGCGGCCATTGCACTGCAGCACTACCATCGGACTAACTCCTGCACCTTGACCGGCATTCCAGACTTCATCGAATGATTGGCACCAACACCTACCAGAACGGCGTTGCCTCCGTCCCGGCTATAAGCAGCACGGTGAAATTGGTCCTCCTTATCGCCAAGAAGAACATCCCGCAGCAAGGCTGGGTCACCACCTCCGTGACCACCCTCTGCTTTAGCGACTGGCACCTCGTAGGATTCTTCAAACAAAGGGTGTACCGTAATGGTGGTCCTTTCAACGCCGCCCTGAATATATGTGGATGAGCTGGACCGGGGGACAGGTTCGCCCCCAGGGGAGTAGCCACCTTCAACGACGTTGATCTCGAGTCGGCCTTTGCTCCCGTTGAAGACACAGCGATAGCCCTCCCACGGCGCATACGCGTACGTGTTGTACGTCAAGACGGCTCGATTCTTGTATGTGATCACCATGGAGAGGTTATCTTCAATGGTGATTCCCTCCGCAAAACAGTTCCGGTCGCGGATGTAACCATCTTCGTGCTCGGCCTCCAAGTAGAGCTTCTTTAGCCGGTCACTCTTGCTAATGTCAAAGGCAAAGGGATCGTGCTTTGCTGCTTCGTTGTTGAGATATCTTTCTGCAAGATTCTTCTCTCCGCGCCGCTGAGCGTTCTCTTTTCCATAGAATCGAAGAGCGCCAACGCAGTAGACCGTTTCTGGCTCGGTGTTCAGCCAGAAGTGAACTAGGTCAAAGTGATGGATTGACTTGTGCATCTGAATGCCTCCGCTGTTCTCTTTCTCTCGGTGCCACCGACGCATAAAGTCTGATCCATGCGCGCAATCGAGGATCCAGTCCATATGCACGGTTGAGACCTCCCCAATAACGCCAGAATCGATAAGCTCGCGGATCTTGGTATGGTGGGGCGCATAGCGATAGTTGAACAGAACACGGACCCGCTTACCGGTCCGTTTCTCTGCATCGATCATGAGCTGCAGCTTCTGCTCATCGATGGTCATCGGCTTCTCAGTGATAGCATCACAGCCTAGCTCCATTGCACGGATACAATAGACATGGTGAAAGCGGTCGATCGTGGTGACAATGACAACGTCTGGTTTCTGGTCTGCAACCATCTTGTCGAAATCGACGGCCTTGTATGTCGGCACGCGAGTTGAGCCGAGCTCGACAATATTGTCATTGACAGCATCCATGCGAGTCTGATTCGTGTCGCAAATCCCAACGAGCTTAGCATTGGCTTTGAAATCTTGGATGATGCTTCTATAGTAGAAGGCTGATCGGACACCCGTGCCTACGATGGCATAGCGTGTAAGTTCGGGAATAGTCATGGTACAAATTGGAAAGACAGGGCCCTAAAGTAGACAGTAGCAAGACGTGCGTCGGGATAAAGGATGGATGATGGTACCATGGTGCCTGAGTTGAGGCCGTTTATATTTGCTCTCAGACGAGCCGTGCATATTGAAGGTTCCATACACTGAGAGGGGAGGCCGTGGGGCCGGCAACTAATCCGACCCTAACTAGGGTTGGTTATTTCGTTCCCGCGCCCCTTTAAGCCAGGAGAAAGTTTGTTGGATTGTTAGAGACAGCAAAGGCCGGCGGAGACTTCCCAATCGATGTCGGAAGCAGTGGCGGAGGCCTTCGGCATTAGAGTTGGTTGGCGCGGAACTTAATGCAGAATTTCCAAATCCAGGTCGGCATCGCGGCTGGCAACATGGATATTTGCCTTGTTCATTTGGAAACAGCCGGTAGACCAAAACGGGAAATCTGGCCAGTGGGTGACTAAAGCTCTAATACTGTTGGCAAGATGATAATGCCGACAGCCACACTGCATTTGATCTCATGTCTTCCGTGGAGGCTGGTAGCAGTCTGATTCCTACAGATAAATGGATAATCGGCTAGTGGGACACGAATATCTGTACTCATTGGTTTAGATTCAGGTAGAATCGGCGCAGGATAGTAAAGGAATACATCGGATAGCATTGATACTGTGGATTTTCGACTTTTGTGTTTCCCCGCAACCAACGTTGCCGACAGCATCCAATCACGGAAGCCTCACATCTGCCTTGTTACAGTAGGTTTACCCCGCACAATAGACTCAAGACTCTGGTGGGCAGCAGCACAAGTTCCTTACGATCCCAAATTGGGGCGGGTTGAGTTAACAACACACAATGAAATCTTATTTCTGGGCGGCAAACCACGAAACCTCCCTGCTGTGTGAACTTCCCCTTTCAACAGGGTGGCTCCCTCACGAATCTATCCAAAGACCCTGAAACAATGGAATTTGTGTTGAAGTTCCCTGGAGCACAGAGCAAGAGACGGACTGCCCAAGATAAGCTTTCCTGGAACACCTCAGGTTGCGACTAGGCTGACTTGACTCGATCTGCACCCTGTCATAGCTGTCGTGCACGCAAGAAGAGATGCTATCATCTTGAGAAGCTTGATCAGATTGAAAAGTTTGAGAAAAATGGCAGGACGGAAGCTGTGGAAAGGGCAGCCGTGGAGCCCCGTTCTGAAGCGAATACCCGAGAGTCAAGCTTAGGTCCATGCCGGGTAACTAACTATAACCCCGAGTCCGTTCTGAAGAACTTTTCCGAATCTCCCGACTTAGCTTCAGGAGTTGAACATCCGGCCGGTCATACACGTTCACACCCGGGGCACATCCAATCCCAAGTGGCAGTGAAACTTTCATCACAGACGGAAAGCTCACAGCGGAAATTGCATTGGTACAAGAGGCAAAGAAGGGCTGCTCCACCAAAGCTCTCTGACCACCATCGGAAATATCTCGAAGATGCTGGGGCCTTTCTTGAACTACCGCGGGCAACCACGGATGCTCTCTTGCCAATTTATATATCTGGCCTGGATGACCTCATACCCATCATGGACGGCGCGCGTGTCCTCCGCGACTATAGTAACGAGCAGTCTTCCCCATACCTAGTGAAGGCAATATGTCTTGTAACCTGCAAAATGATGCAGGCGGCCCCTTTCCTGCGAATGAAAGCTAATGGCCCGCTCATGGCGCCTTTAGAGTTTGCATCTAAGCTGCTAGCCGGCCTCAGTGCGGCTATGAAAGCAGATCTTGAGCCCGATAGGATCGTCAAAGTCCAAGTTCTTGCGCTGATGCATCTACACACGGATGGGTCGGCTGGGATGGACCGTGCATCAAGTTACTTATCACAGGCCCTTTGTGAAGCATGGTCATTGTCTCTACATGTGCCAATTCCCGGAAATTTGGAACAAGATCAGAACGACGTTCTATGGTGGTCTCTGCGAAACTTCGACCGGCTAAACAAACCTATTACGGGAGCGGCACCTTTCCTCATTGACGACGCTGACATTGGAATTGAGCGTATCGCCCTAATGAAAGACAGCTACCGCTCCCAGATCATGGAGGTCTCCCTGCGTTTGGGTGATCTCATGGTTATTGCAACCAAGGCTTATAAAGCGAGCTCTAAAGCAGCTGTCGATCAGTGTCAGGAATTTCCATCTCTCTGCGAGCTTACGTCGGGCACCGATTATGACCATTTCCACAGATCGCACAAAGGTATATTCCCGCCGCCCCTTTTTCACAATTAATCCCTCGACTGAGACTAAAGGCAATAGTGTACCTGGAGATATGGTATCATGTGGCTGCCATGCTATCCTGTCGGTATAGCGGGCCAGGCAGCGTTCAATACAAACGACGCCTCGCATCGGCTGATCGTATCGTCGATCTAACCTCCTACGACAAGGCCCAGGATCTCCCTCCACTCCCTCTCGTTTCATATGCAATGTCAATGGCCCTTACAGTTATATACCGCGCTTTGCGCGACAACCAACGTGATACTAAGGCCGCATATGACAACCTCCTCGTGTGCTGCAATGCTTTAGAGGCTATAAGCAAACTGTGGACTAGCACGAAGGGGGTGGTTCAACTTGCAAAGCGGCTATTGAAGCTTATAAACACGCCTGGGGTCATGGATTCATGGCATCCGGATAATAGCAACGATCACCTCCGCCAAGGAAGTGAGGCAGGGCCCTCCACGGTTACAGCTGCAGATAACTCMTCGGCAATCAGACATCGAGCAGACAATGGATGTTCCAACGCTGAGGAAATAGCAGCATTTCCAACCGGTGCTTCTCAGACTCATACACCAGTGCATAACGGGCATGCGGCACATATTGACGAAAACACACAGCGGCCGAGCGAAATGTGGCTAGGGTCCGAAACGTCCCACTTCCAGCTCAACAGGGCGATGTTCGACTTGTTTGACGACAGTTTGCCAATCGCATTCCAAGATCCTGCCACATTGGATTATATCCACTTCTCAATGAACGAGAATAGCTACTCTAGCAGCAATTTCCAGTTCTAGACAGTATCTAAGAAAATTAAACTAGGACTATATAGAGAGTTAATTTACATATAGACTCTAACTTCCTAAGTTTACCAACATATATTAGTCTAAAGTTAATATTATAGGGGGTTAGGGTTTCTAGTAATAGAGTCTGTTAGCTATAAGAAATACTAATTATTAGCTCCTATTATATATCCTATACTCTAACTAGAGACACAGTGGATACTCTTATGGAGTCGGGTGGCCTAGTAATAACCACTTGCGCGAATTTCCAAGGACATTGGGTTAAGATGGGGGTCATCTGCTCCACTGCAACAGGATTCTAGTCTGACTAGGCATACTGTTTGAATGGCGGGAGGTCTGCGCGTCTACGGCTTGTCTGACGCTCCGGGCTAGCAATTCAAACGCCCGACTTTTTCACTCCTACCTAAAGCATTGATTCTCCATCCAGTTACGTCTCAACTTCCGCCGCGTTTGACGAGCCAGACTTTCGACTCTTAACCGAGCTTTGTCTTACTCAGATAGGGCATGACGACTCCACACGAGCCCTTCCCGAGCAGATGCAGCGCAGTTACTCAACCCTGCCCTGCGCTGTCGAGGCGTTTAAGGAAATGGTAGATAAGTCCATGAATCTATGCAGACGAGGAGCACAGCCCATCAATGACCCTATAAATCTCTCTGACATAGGCTTCGGTGTTGTCGTTACCCAGAGTGCCTCTACCAGACATGTTGTTCATCACATAGGCGATAGTCATGCGTCGGTCACGGTCCATGATGATTATTGATCCTCCCCAGCCTCCCCAGAAGCCAATTCGTCCCTCAGGAATCCAGGCACGAGTTTGCGGTGCTGGCAGAGCCACGCCAAGACCAAAACGCAGGAAATCAAAGGTGACAATATCCGTTCCCTTTATCTGCTCCGTGAGCATCTTCTCAACGGTACTGGCTGAGATGATGCGCTTGTTCTCATCCGGAATGCCATCAAGAGAGACTATAGATCCAATTCTGGCTAATGCGCGCGCATTGGAAAATCCATTGTTTGCACCGCACACGGTTTTTCTGAAACCCGGTGTCATAGAAGCCTCAGCCGGAAAAGGTGAGCCCGCGATCGCCTTTGCCGTAATACTTTGCGGATCCATCTCGCCGAACGGCAGCGGTGGAGGTGAGATGATATCCGCTGTGCGTGGCCAATGTTCTTCTGGGACTCCGTACTGAAAGTCAGCTTCCAAGGGACCTGTGATTTCGTCGGCCACGAACTGGTCCAGCGTTTTGCCAGTTATACGTCGAATGATTTCGCCGACAAGGTGACCTTGATTTGTGAGATGGTATCCGCTCCTCTCACCCGGAGTCCACCAGGGGGCCTGGGCAGCAAGCTTCTCGGTAGCCTTTTTCGTGTCGTATATTTCTTCTAGAGTTATAGGAAGCTCCCATGCGGGGACCCCAGAAGAGTGACTGAGAACGTGGGCCACGGTGACATTCTCTTTGCCATTGGCTCCAAACTCCGGCCAATACGTGGCTACCTTCTCATTCACATCAAGCAGACCGCGATCGACAAGGATGAGAGCTGCTAAGTTGGTGACAACCTTAGTGCACGACCAAACAACTGTAATCGTGTCCTTCTGCCAAGGCCGAGTCCGGGCGACATCTGCGTGGCCACCCCACAGGTCGAGTATATTTTTTCCATCGACATTCACACAAAGGGATGCACCCAGTTCATCCTTTGAGGCAATTCTCTGTTGGAAAAGATCACGCACAGAGTGTAAAGCAGGGTCACAGGTTCCATGTATTTCAGCCATTGTGAAATCGATCAAGGTAATGAAGATGAGGGAATATTTCTGCTGGATAATGAACAAGACGTGTCAATTGTTATAAATGAATCAACATTCAATAGGGGTGGGAAATTCTAAACTTATGACTGACTGAAACATTGTTGCCTAGAAAGTATTGTAAGACACCAAGACTTATAGCTCAGGACCGTCAGGTTTCGACCTCGGAGAGTACAAAAGAAGTCAGTCAGCGGGCATCAAGCCAGATCGCCAGATCATCCCCGCCCCTTCTAAGCCATCTATGGTGGTACACAGTACTTTACACTAACTCATTATACACTGCCGCCTTATACATTCTATACCGCAATACAGCCAAGTGGGGATTGTTTTTAACACAATCTTATAGTGATTAGCGTGGCTTTGGGTACAGACCAAGAAACGGTGTAACTGTCTGGGGGGGCMAAGCCCCGCTTCGTTGGGACAGAATATCTTTAGGCGTATTTGGTATTCCACTAGTTCTGGCGGCAGAGCATGAGAAAATCTATTTGACCGGCTGGGCGCTAGAGGCTGCTGTAACTCACAGGGCAATAGCTTCCCAAGCAAAGGCAGTCGAGAGGCAACCTGCAGGGGCTAGGGAAGCGAATATGCACTGTCCTCATCCCCTGGGCCGTTTGACCTTAGCCGTTTGCTAATCTCCTCGAAGGTGATGCCACCTCGAAATCTCGACAAGCCCTGTCGCAAAGCCTTTCAGCAATCCCCTTTACTAGCTAACTTTAACTATACCAAGATTAAGTTTCTACTTACTACCTAACTCTAGAAGTTACCTTAATTATAAATAAGCAGCTAAGTAAAATACATCCAAAATTCATTATATCTAGTCTATAAGTCTAAATTAGAGTTGTATTTGGTCTGAGTTTAGATAAGTCTAAAGCTGGCGAGAACTACCCCTCTTAGGTTTTAGGTTAAAGCATTAAAACTTAGAAGCCACCCTAGAACGTTGCGGCCCTTACAGACTGACCTGGCAATATCCCTTGAGCCGCTTGGATTGAAATCACACCAACAGGCCAGGCGCCAATCTTCTTTGCGACTTCAGCAAATCCAACTACCTTGGATATTTGTTGGGTCTTTACATACCTAGTCAATGACCCCTATATCAGAACTTTCCAACCACTCATACAATTATGTGGCTATAGTGGAAACCCATATAAGTATGTGAGCCAAACCGTTCCTTCAGGAGCGATGCAACAGCAAATTTGCCCATATGAATGAAATACTTGAAACATTAAGTCTTGCGGGAAGTGTTGCCGAACCGAGCCGGACTCGGCATTAAGGAAAGCGCTTCATTGAGCAATTCCGAGATACATATGTTTCTTCAGTATAATAAATTCTCATCTACGCCTGTCTGGATTCCATACGTTGAACAACCTGACAAGTAGGTGTCTCGTGACAATATGGCCCTCTTTTCTCGCTCAATTCCCACTGGCGGGCATTTTGTCTGTGCTATGCCTAGGGATAAGGTATACTTTCTTGTTTTCGAGTCTCCGCCAGAGAACTGCCTTTCACTGCCCTTCATAGAAACGTTCCGGAGTTGTCTCCAAACTATCAAAGAAAGTTATGCGCCTGGCGTCCTTGTAACAGCAAGCAGGATCCCACATTTATATTGCGGAGACCTTCCCTCGAAACCCAATGAGCGACAGGAGCGCCAAGCGTGGCAACTATTGAAGGAGGTCCTAATGTAAGCATCTGCGCGGAACCATTTGGTGGGCGGGCGTCGTGCATCTCACCAGAGCAAGCGGGCTACTAATAGTGGCGCTAGGTATCCCATGCCTACAATTGCATTTATCGCTGGGCATGCAGTTGGAATAGGATTTCTTCTTGCACTTTGTCATGACTTTCGCATTCAAGGCAGGCCTGACTTGTCGCTGTGCATATGTCAAGAACCGTCCGGCGTGGATCTTGCTCCTCGACTAAACCTTATAAAAGCCATCTTACCGTCCTCTACGATAGGTTCATCCGGGCTCGCCAACGGAAAACCTTTATATGCCCGCGAGGCTATTAAGCGTGGGCTGGTTGACAAAATCGGGCACGTCAATGAGATATTTAAGTTCATCAAGGATCAGGAATTACTGGAAGTTTCAAATGCACGGGCCTACTGTGAAAGCAAAATAAGGTCCAACCGCAAGGCCATCCGTGCCTTGGACTCAATCGAGAAGGAAAATTATTCGAGAGGTCGTTACGGCCACGACCGGCCAGACGCTGGTTCAACCAAACGGGAAAGCTCCCGTCCCAGAGAGCCCAAGATCTAATAATGAGGATAGTTATGTCTGGTGCAAGTTGGTTATATCTAGTATGTATGAACTACCTGGACATGAAACATCTGGCTGTGGAATACCCAGCGTTGTCAATCGGTGGAAGGGACAGTTATAACGCTAAGAGTCAATTTCGTTCTCCAGAGACTGCCCAAGTCCAACATATTGATGAAGAACCTGTAAAATATCTCCTGGGTCACACTCAAGGCCAGATTGGTTAACATATAGAGCTTCTGTACGACCTCTGCTATCTGATTCAATCGACTGTGCCGTATCTTCAGCTGGGATCGCTTTCCTTTTCTTATATATCCTGTGATGCAGCACACCAGAAACCATAGAACGCACAACGATGCGACTGCGGGGAAGCAAGATATGTTTCGGCGTAGGTCTCTTGATCGGCGTATGCCTCGGCTGTTCTGCGGCGAGAATCTGACCGCTTTTTGCTTGCTGTTGAAGCCTGGAACGAGCTATTTTCATGACCTCAGAGAACCGATTATTTGACGTAGCAGTTTGCAAAAGCTCCACCACAGGCGTAGCAATAGGCCAGACCGAGGACAATTTTCGCAGAAGTTGGATCAGTGTGTCCATACTCCTCTCTAACGTGTACAACAGTAACGGAGACTGGCTTGTTAGCCGAACCTTGAACGACACATATGAGAGAAGTGCGTGCCAAATGCTAATTTGGGGATCAGTTGTCTAGTCATGAGTAATTGAGGGTCTAGATCCGTGATCGAGTGACTCACACAAACGTCGGAGTGTATTGAAGTTGCTGATGAGAGTGTAGTGTCTCGAGTACAGAAACAATCATAGTCGCAGCGTCCAAGCATGATAGTTGAGTCTCTTCTGACAATTCTGGGAGACATGGGAGGTGAATGCTACATATAGCAGCGCTACAGAGGACCAGTCAACTTGAGCCGTGATTAATGCATGCGAGAAAACTTACTAGTAGCTCGAGCAGAGCAGAGATGGCAGGAACTTATGACAAGAGGGTCTCCAGTGCATTTTTGAAGGACAAGACATGTACCATGCATCTAACTCCTGCGCTGTGTGGCGGATTTGACCCGCAAGCGTAGGACTTGAAGAATTTACTTGCGATGGTACTTTGCCCAGAATACGCCATAGGTTCACGTATTCAATGAAATAGAGAGCATTTTCGTCTTCATCGCCATGGAAACCATCAGAGCAGTCAATTCCTCCCTCGAAGTCCTGTAGAGTTAGCGATTCAATGGTGCAATCATCCAAATCTACATGTGTTGGCCGGCCAAAAGCTGCTGCTACAGCACGATCACGTGTATAGAGCGCCCACCATATGCGCCTTAGCAGCCGTTGTGTTGACAGACTATAAGAGGACATTCTCTCACTGTCCAAATATCATCAATTTAGTAAGATGCAGATGCTAGGAAACAGTTGGGGGTTTTCTGACCTAAGGTGCAGGCCTTCGGCCTGGGCTAGAGCAATACTCAAACGGCTCCAGTAAAACAGGCCATTCTCAGTGATATCTGGCAGAAGCTGTTAGCTAACCAAACATTAAGGCCAGTGTGCTTAAATGCCTTCGGGGCCCTCCCAGTATAGGCCTAGCAATAGCGTTGACTGGATGAGCGGAATTGGATCTTGTTCATAGCCTGCATCGTACAAGGCTTTTGCCTTCTTGTAAAAACTCCGTGGGGACGACACCCCAGTGCCCTGGCTCCCGCATGAACATGACCTTGAGGCGACAGTGAACATGGCATGTAGTAAAAGAAGTGAAGGAGGTGATGTTGGATCCTGGTAGTGGCGTATGAAATCGAGGCGGTCTATGATGGGTACGATGGGCGCAACCCAGGTGAAAAAAGTCTCCACGAGGGTATCGCACATTGACCTATCCGGAAGGTCAAAGACGCCTCGCTGCTCCAGGATATTTTGCTCCAGGGGATCAAGATGACGAGCCAGATTCGATGGATACATGATGCCTGGTAGTGTGTTAATTGTCAAACGGAGATCAAAGGTTCGACAGTGAGCAGCGATGATCACCACCTTTAGTACGATGGGGGGCCGGAAATTCATGTGGGACACGGGCTGAGCCCCACGAGCATGAACCGCACCAATCACTCCTCAGTTACAGCTTCGAGTGGCGAGCCTGGCCGTTAAATTCTATAGTGGTTCATTCTATTGGTTGCTGCCATACGGTACGGAGCATTGGTTTATTGATTGTATTTCTTTATTTCGCATACTAAGACGAAAATGGTTCATGAAATCCCTGTCAAGACCTTATCCTGGTCATGCAATACACAAAGCGGGCCGCATCCGCATAGTTTGCAGACATTAGGAATCATAACTGCTCTCAGGCCGCTACACCTAGGCAGTTGGAAATCCTTTCCATGGGAGCGAGAAGTCTCCAACATGATTTATAGCTAGCACGCCGTTGATTGACTCATCTTTCTTGAGTAGTTCTTTGTGGAGGGAGTCCAATTGGTTCCAGGATTCAGCGTATTTCATCCCCTCGAGGCGTTCTGTCTCAATATCTTCAGGAACACTCGAGTCGTTTGTGTGTTCTTGAACATCGCTAGGTCGAGCCACGCCTTTTTCTTCTCCCTTCTTATCCTGTCCCAGAAGGCCGGAAGCCCTCAAAAGTCGTTCCGGAGGGATAGTGAATCTCCCTTTCTTAAAGACGTATTTTGAAATCGACGTAGCAAAGATAACCGGCTGGCTAGAGCGGTATTTGGATTCTCCGATCGACCTCTTCGAGTCAAGGCGCGTGGATTTGGCGGTTAGATCCCCTGCCACTTTTGCTGAACCTTTTTGGACGAAATGGGTCACAAGGTAGAGCCATTTTCGATCCCACGTAAGAATCCTGGACCACACCTCGTACTCCTGGAAGATCCGGATCTCTTTCTTGAAGCTAGTGGTGACTGACCCGATAATAGCAGCCAACATGCCCTTCTTTCCCTCAGCGGCTAGTTCGCGGTCAACCGTTACTAACCCGCCATAACAGAGGGCAGAGAGAAGATATGATCGGCTTGCATCCAAATCAGTGAAGTATGTACTATTTGACTTGTGCAGGTTGTAATCGCATTCAAATAAGGGAGCGTAGGTGCTGGTGATAGAAGGCAGGAACACCCTCGGGGTCTTGGAGTCAGGGACCACCACTGACTGAGGGCACGAGCGATATCTGCGCCACGCGGCTCTCACCAGGGGGTTAAAGATGCGATACTGGCCCGCAGTCAATAGCTGTGATTCTCGATGTTCTAAGGAAGACGACCTACATGCCACACGAACGGCAAGCATTTCACATTCAGTGCCAGCAAAATAATGGTCGCGACTTTCCATAAATTGATAGACGCTAAAATCTCGGGGAGGGAGGTATCAAACAAGTCCATCATGACTCGGTGCATCTCGCCGTGCATCGTGTGAGAGATAGGAAGATAAATGTCGATTTTCGAAAGTTGTCTTCTCTTCCAGCAGCAACAAAAATACGACATGAGAAAGGACCAAAGCCAAGGGAATGTGGTGATAGAGAATACGGTTTGCCGAAGACCGGTCGGCTCTCAGCGCGTTACATGCTCCATAGCAAGCTCGCGCTCTGCCACTGTCTGCGTTCTTGGTTCAAGGAACAACTTACACCGGCTTACGCTCATCGGCGTTGTAGCCGAGCCGAGTTCGGCTTAAGATTTGCGGGTAATTAACCCATCTCGGCTAGCCGTTGTGGCTACTACATGTGATCCGATCCTCTGGTGGATCCAGATCACCCATGCGCCGTTTTGTGGGACAGCAAATCCTTGCAGTATCTGATTGTGCTAGTTCCGACCTGGACAACTATGCATTTTAGCTCAGCACTGATATGAATGACGATTTGTGTTTTGGCTCTGATTCATACGAACGATGCATAAGTACAAATTCTGCCAAGATGCATAATAATATACATTGCGGCGACTGATTGGGGACTTCTCGTTCACCTCAACAGTTTTCGTGGTCAAGTATCTCGTAATTTCCTCTACTATCCTCCTTGGGTCGTTTCTGGCTCTGACGATCGTCGTCCATACCGATCCAGCACACTGAAACCTCCCCTGTAAAATCATAGTTCGTATTCTCTCCTTTCTATATAATAGTATTTTCAAGGTCGATTCGTTAGCGAACGCTTGTGAATTACATTATCCTTACGGTTTAATAAAGCCATCTACAGCTCCCTACTTATAGACGTGTATTAAATCTGAATGATCCAATAGCAGTTCGGTGGGCAATATTCCCCATTTGGGAGTTATCAAGTGACGTATGGTCGAGGATACTGCAGGATCCTGCTGGAATATTACGTACAGGAGAGTGCAGCTAGGATCTAGGTTCCTCATAGAGACGGGTCACAATGTCTTGATATGCCACGGTTCTCGGTCGGGCAACCAATGCATGGCAGGAAGGCCTGAACAGCTCAAATTTGTTCTTTTAATGCGATCAAGCAGGGAAGGAACTCGCGCTTAGCGTGATGGCAATCCCAAATGATGAACTCTATCGGTGACATTTGGTTGGGAGAAACAGTATATCACTGAGTAGAAGTCAATGCAGATGGACCCGACCCGATTTCGGGGAAAGCCATTCCCAGATTGCCTCGGATTAGGCTCGCCTCGTAGTTGCCTGATTGCAACCTTTGCTGGAGAGTTTTATATATGATGCATCACAAGCTGGCACCGAGAATTGGTCTCCCTTTCCCCTCGCAGGCTGCTTAATCTAGCTCCAACCTTTACGGTATGGACGGGAAAAAGAAAATTGAATGCTATATCGACTGCGGTTCGTTTGTCATTCGCGTCACCACCTGCGTGACACTGAAAGTGAATAACTAATCGTACAGTTGCATGCAGTATCGCCATACAGTTTCCATGCCTTTTCATATCTGAGGGAGAACCGAGCATCCCTTATAGCGCTTGGCGTGGAAGTCGAGTAAGTCATGCGACTGTTGGCGATTCTATCTGGGATCCAAATAACCGACTGTGACTATAATTTGCAGATTTATACCTGTATTCCTTGGCGGTATCAATGAGCTTAGCGGTGAGTATGACCTAGTCTGCTGTTGCCGACTTATTCACCAACATTTCACCAATAGGAAATAAGCCTCCATGGACAAACCCTGTTAAGGCTGCGTATTCTCGCTATGATGCGAAGCGTGCGCAGAAATATTTCGGCCAGAAGCTTAGCATTCCATCCTTCTTTCCAATACTCTCACTTTTAGTACTTCTCCATTACCCTCTCGTTGAAGAGTAGAACCAAAAACTAACTGATTCCTTAGCCACAACGGGCTCTAACCTTCGTCAAGCAACGCTATGACAACGAGACCTTTGAAAAGACATTTCTGCAATGTTTCGAGGCGATGTGGAAAGAACAGGCTGACATCTCCAGGCCGCAGGAACTTTCGATCGCCTTTAGCAAATCCTTTGATGAGGCTCAAGTCCAACAGATAATAAAAGGGGCTAATGATCCGAAGATCAAGGAGACCCTAACTAGGGTTACAGAGAAGGTGGCCAGAGATTTAGGCGCGTATGGATGCCCTTGGTTCTGGGTGTATGATGGCAAAGGCAATGCGGAGCCCTTTTTCGGCAGTATCGGTTTCACTACATGTGGGATTATTTGGATATTCCTCACGAGGACTTGGCGCTGCATGTAAAAACTAAACTATAGCAACTATACGAGCTGAAAAGGGCTCTACTACTGAAAATATCTGTCACCGGACCTTTCTAGTTTAATCCGACTAGAGAAGAATTCCAAGTCTGGTTTTACATTTCGTGTAAAAAGGGCCTAAGTCTTCAAATTTGCAAATTTGTCAAATAGGCATACCCAGTAGTGAAAGGAGTAGGACAGTTGTCACTTGTAGACATCAACCGTTGACATTAAAAGCACGCCTTTTTAGGCTCCATAACACCTTATTAGCACAGGAAAAGGTAGATCTAGTGCGTTCTGCTTCCTTCCAACTGATCTCCAGCTGCAAGGCTAGGTATTATGTTCATATTCTCCTTGACGTCCCGAAACGGATGTCTAGAAACCTAAGATTACACTGGATCCAACATGAAAAGGCTTACTTTATCTAGCATCGAGCAACCCTCCATGCATGGCAGAGAACGTGCAGAGAAAAACCCGCTCTGGAATTTCTCAATGATGTTAGAGTAAGTCTTTAGAGGTACGTCTAAGCAAATAGTTGAGATAATTGAGTAGACATAGGTTGCGGAAGGGGTCCACTATTATCGTTCAGACTAGAAAATGAGAGCTTATATAATGCCAGTGTAAAAAGATTCCACCACACCCCATCTATACTGAGGTAAGATAAGCTCAATGGCTCTTTTGATATAGCAAATCACCAGGGTAATTTATTCGAGCGCACGAATCGTTCTCCTGTAGGAGTATGACGTAGAAATTTTGAAGTCTTGAAGTTGTGGAGAATAGAGATCTATTAGCATTTGAGCCCAGCCTTCTTTAGGCGCCTCCATTGAGAGTCATATTATTTTTTTGGGGGAGAAAGATCAAAAGTGCCTGTCAATCAGAGACGTTATCACGGGCGCTCTAGCATACTATGTGTAAACTTACTTGCCTGTTCTAGAACTGCAACCGGTCATTGCGAGTGATTGGTAAGAATGAGGAAGCCTAAGGGGAAGAGGATCAAAGGAACGGGCAACTAGAAAAGCCAACGTCCCCAAAACTAGGGAATATTTGGGAGAGATGGCTACATATTCAAGTTCGAAATTGCTGCCAGTAACGTTGGCATACAGACATACGAAGGGAACAGACTAATGTATAACTGATTTGTTCCGGAGACAGCTGTTTGCATGCTATCACGCCTCTAGATCAGATAACTATCTCAGAACACCCTCATCGCCAAGGTGTATAGAGCCTCACCAGAAGATTCCCGCGGAATGTTCAAGACGGCTCCCAGATATCGCCTGTTTCCAGCACGGAACAGTGGGTTTTGCCTGCATTGATCCTGGTCACATCATGCCTTCTCTGGGACGCTGCTTTTCCCGTACTAGGTCACCTCGCATAAGCCTGATCGATCTCCTTTTGGAAGCGAGTATATATTGTCTTTCTCACAAGCTTCTGGGCCGCGGACAAGAACCCCTGGCCCAAGTGTTACTAGATGCCGGATACCGAGAGCAATGTGCAACGTAACTTACGTTCTCTGAGGTCCACTCATCATCAGAGATGACAACCCCGCAGACGATTTCAAAACTCTTCAGGCCACTAGCCCAACCGGCTTCCTGTAGCTGTTGCATCACTATTGAGCATGTGTTGTTTGTGGGATGATCCAGGGCAAGCTTCTGCAACACAGGCCGATCGGGTACAACGATAGCGATCGGTTGTCGTTGATTTGAGGCCGCGTAAACGCACACGTTCTGCACCACGGCCGCGGATCGGTAGATTGACTCGAGTTTCTCCAAGGCAATGTATTCACCGTTGAGAGATTTCACTAGATTCTTCTTGCGGTCAATGATTTTCAGGTGCCCGTTCAGGTCCCACTCTCCAATATCACCAGTACGGAACCACTGATCTGTTGTGAAAGCTTCCTTGGTCTCCAACTCATTGTTGTAATACCCAGTTGCCACACTTGGGCCGCGAATCAGGATCTCTCCTTGAGGAGGATTATGTTTCGTTGAGTAGCCACTTTCAGGGAGGTCCACTAGCTTGATTTCGACAGAACCCGGAAGCTCGCCAACCGAATCGGGGTCCCATGCTAGAGGATCATTGATTGCACCCATACCGCATGTCTCTGTCAATCCATACCCATTTATCAAAGGAGCAATCGCCAAGGAGAGAAATATCTGAGTGTCTTTGGAAATTGGCCCGCCGCCGTTCATCATGATTCTCAGTCGCCCACCAGCGGCCTCTTTCACAGCCTTGAAGACCATAGAGTCAAGGAGACCAATCCCAGGGAAAGAATGGGCAAGGAGACAGGATTTAATACGGAGAGATCCCCAGAAGATGCAATTGCTAAGCCAACCTTTGGCGGCGATAACCCCAGTAACGCCCTTCTTGATTGATTCCCACACGGCAGGTACGCCAACGAGAATCGTGGGTCGAAACTCGCAAATATCTCCCTTGCAATCCCAGCCTGAAGTGTTAGAGAGCGTTCTAGGGCTACCGTATCCCATAGTGCAACCCCAGTACAGGCACATATTCTCAAAAACGAACTCGATAATGTGTGCCTGGGGGAGATACGTCAATATTGCGTCCTGAGGACTAATGTGTTTCCCCACGACCGCATCCATACCCGCGACTGGCAAAGAATAGAAGCAAAGCTATTGTAAGCAGAACCTAAAGCATGGAGAGAATCACTAAAGCTTACCTGCTGCCACTATCATACCGTGTGTTAAGCACACGCCCTTCGGCGGGCCCATAGACCCTGCCGTGTACATTATACAACATAGGTCATCTTTGCCCGGTGGTGTAGGCTCAGTGGGACACTCAGCTCCTGACCTGCGAAGCTCGTCAAAGCCGATGACCGTAATATGCGGAAAGTCAGACTGTAACTGCTTCAAGGTGTCGCCGTCTAGCTTTGTCGCAGTGTTATTATATATGATGTGGCGCAAAGATCGGGCATGGCTCAAGACTCTCATCAACGATGGTATAAGCTGAGAGTCTATGAAGATTGCTGTGCTCTCAGTCTCGTTCAGTGAATGCTGTAGTCCTTGTTCACCTAAGGAATCATATGCAGTTACAACAATAATTGACTGCGATGCGGCTCTTTTGTCTCTCTGTTAGTGAATATTCTATTTGTAGGTTGATTTGGCGGTATCTCACCGTGTGATATTGCTAACCAATGCAGACTGCGCCATAAGTAGGAGATCTTGAATCTGCTTACCCGAAGGGTGAACACAGAAGCGATGGCCTTACCTAGTTGCACCATAGAGATGGATTTTGTTGCCCTTTCCGAGACCGAGCCTCCTCAATCCACAACCCAGATCAAGCGCAAGGCTTTCGTACCCCAAAAACGACAAGTATGTGTAGCCACTGAGCTGATAGCGTGTCCAAATTTTCGGCACGGATTTCTCAACACCGTCAACCGTCCTTTTGACCACAGTTCTCTCCTCATAACTCCTTATGACCCGGCGAGTACCTGCAGCTTTTGCGTGCGAAAACTTTCGGGCAGCTTGCCGGAAAATGTCATACGTTGTTTTCACGTCATCTGTAGGGGAGGCAAGTAACCCATTTGCTGCCGCAGGGGAGCGACGAGGACGAGCCTCACACGCATTGTCGACGGCATCCGGAACCTCGACGGTAAACGGTGGCCTCTTTGTCATGCGAGGATAGAAAGTGGAAGTTAGGTCGGGCATTATGTAGCCTATGGTCACCGGACGGTTTTATACCCGTAGGTAGCAAGTAGAAAACAATATATAGGTGGGCACGGGCTCAAATAGTTAGAAATCATTAAGATTGTCCAGGAGAAACGAAAAACACGCAGCTAGCAGAATTTTGTAGACCACAAGAACCACATTGTTGTTGCTTTATAATGCCACTGCATATAACCATATTGCGAACGTGCTGGGGAGTTCTTGCCGAGCCGAATCCGGCTCGGATAAGGCGAAGATTCGGGTATCTTAGAAGCGCACTTAGGAGAGTCCAAAGGGAAAAAAAAAAAAAAAAAAGGAATGAAGTGCGTTATTAGAGAGTTAGGCCGTCTACACTGTCTTTTCTTAGCAAGAGAATGAAGTAGGCTTGATTTTGTTGGCATCTATAGGCTTAATGAGAAAAATAGTATCCAATCCGCGCACCACAATAAATACATAAAGATATAAAAATAGGAACTTCATATTACCGCTAAGAACAGTAGTAATAAAGTCTCGATAGGTTAATCATGAGCATAAATCGGAATGGTCCAACTTCTAAAGCTTTGTAGTTCATTAATTATCGAGGACCCTGCACCATGTATCCGGGTATACCTTGCGKGTTGCTTCATAGGGAAAGACAGTTTTTAATTGGGTGGATCAGTCTGCGCAACGTGCTTGCTGCCAGGGTAGCTAAATACTAACGTGTTAACACCGTTTGAACTGGGTTAAAATGGCATACTTTTCAATGGTCCTTTCTTCGGCAAAGTATGCGGAGGAAGTTGATCCTTGCGGATAGGAGGGCTCGACTGAAGTCCAAGTTCGAAACATGACTGCAAATGAATATTAAAGGAATTCTCCATATCTGCGAGGGCGAACATCAGGAGTCAGACTTCTAGGAAAGGCCAGCATCTGTGCCAAGACATGACTCCCTTTAATCAATTGAAAGTGCCAGAGTGAGTGCATGGATACTGGAGCACTATGTGTCTGATAACCTATAATTAGTATGCATATATATACTATCCTAGAGTTGCATAACTCCGAACTCTCAGTGGTTTGGTGTCACAACACCAACACCACAAGGGGGACGTGACAGGCAGAATCATGGAGTAGTAAATGATGATGCAATATTGATACTATATGGTATTTGATATCAGTGCTGTGTATGTGAGGGAGGGCGGGAGTGGTGAGATGTAGTCATTGGAAAAAACTTGATTTGTTCCTTTTGTTGAAACAGTCCGTTGTACCGTGCAGTCCGTTGGGCCTGCCATGGAGCCCGAACCAGGGGCTGTACCAGCAAGCCTTCCATTCATTCCTTCTCAGGTACGGAGTATGTCCGGTTGAACTTTGAGATTGACATGATCTCAATGAGGATATTTATTTTGACACCATTGAATCGGTTGCACAACCGCTGACGCATCGGCTTACCTATGAGCGATGAACGCTTCTCCACTTTCAGTCCCGCGAGCTAGAAATGTTTTCTCCTACGGAGGAATTCCGTGTCCGGGTCATCCGTGAAGCTGGCCTGCTGCCATGGCACGCTTGGGAATATGTTCCACGGAGGGAACGGGAAGACGGTGGTGTGGACTGGGCTTCGGCAAGCCATTGGCCCATTGTCATCGATGTAATCCCCAGGACCAATCACATTACCAGATCTCCAGAAATTTCCGTCGGCAAAGTTTAAGAAACCCCTTCATTTAATTTCTTTTATGTGTACTAAAATTCCTGATAGTAAATCTGATCAGCCTATTGAGTCCCTTGCATGCTGCACATGGATTCCTTGTCCCTGTGTGATAACTTATAAGCTTACTAGTGTGGGGTCTGAAGGGTTGGCCAGGGTTCGATTTTGTGTAGGCAGCAACAATGGGCTTTTAGATACGATAGAGATCGGCAGTCCCACTACCCAATGGCCAGTGAGGATTTAAGCATGCACCAGGGCATCCGTTGCTAATCGCAAGCCAGCCAGTTCCAAGAACTTCCAAGAAAGCTTCTTTTTGCTTAGCTTGCATGTCAACAATGCAGTCTTAGTCCTTGTCAGCCATGATAGTATTCCCTGTTCCTTTCTTTTGTGCATGCCTATGAGTAAGATCTTCATGATTCGTTGGTTGAGCAGAAGGAAGTGACAGTCTGCGATGATATGATAGGACAGTAGGGTCCTGCCTATATCAGCATGCGGATTACACAAGGGAGTGCGGCCGTCTGCTACGAGTGCTATTAAAAGCACTGGTTTCCCATATGGATCTGGATTGGTCTTGGAGCTCAAGCAAATATCCTTTTCCAGCAGTCACTGTCTTGGTGTTGCTTGATCATTATTGTTAAAAATGTTTGCTACCTCTGCAGCCCTTGTGGCATTCGCCGCTCTGGCATCCGGCCAGAATGCTCTCCCGGCTGCTCAAGTCCCTTTCATCGGTGGTGGTGTGCTCCAGAAGGATGATCCCCGTCTTGCCAACTACACCTTTGTATACAGACCTCCCTTTGACCCTAAAGTCTATGGTGGGTACTACCACTGGTCCGTCAACAACGACACCGTTGCCGTGGCCAACTACACCGGTTACGATGCCAAGGATGGCTACACTATCCCAGACGACTCCTACACCATGTACCCTTTCTTCTCTGTCGGAGAGAAGAACCCCCGCGGCATCGATCAGACCCCTCTCTTCAAGCCTAAAGAGGAGGACTGTGACAAGGACCAGAAGTTCAAGAAGATCCTTCACATCATCTTTGAGAACGAGGTGTTCAGCTGGACCATGGCCGATCCGTACTGGCAGCTGCTCGCTCGCCGCGGCAAACTGCTGACCAACTCCCACGGCGTCACCCATCCTTCCTTGCCCAACTACGCTGCTTTCCTCGCGGGTGATGTCTTCGGAATGGCCAAGGAGGACTTCTACAACATCGATGCGACCACCATCTACGATCTTCTCGATGTCAAGGGCATCGACTACGCCACGTACGTTGAATGGTACAGCCCAGCCGCTACCAAGCGCGGGCCCCTCGATTGCAATAACTACATCTTTAACGGGCCCATCGACAGCACCAACCCCAAGTGGTCGTCGCAGATCTACCGCCGCCTGGACGTCCCCGCCCTGCTCTTCAGCACCTACACCTCCGAATACGAGCGCTGCGCCAAGATCTACAATGCCACGGAGAAGTTCGCCGACGACGTCAAGTCGGGCAAGCTGCCCGCCTACTCTTACTATGTCCCAGACATGCTGCACAACGGCCACGACCCCGCGTCGGATTCGGACTACGTGCATCAGACTACCACCTCCGGATCCTGGTTCAACGCCTTCCTGGACCTCTACCTGCCGGAACTGGAGAAGCAGGGCACGCTTGTCGTGGCCACCTTCGACGAGGCCACCTGGCAGAACGACGATGACACGACCCCCAACAACAACAACCAGATCGTCACTCTGCTGTTCGGTGCCGGTGTTACCCCCAACACCAAGGACGATTCCTACATCACCCACTACGGTGTCCTTCGGGGTGCCATCCAGAACTTTGGGCTGGGATCCTTGGGTCGCAACGACACAAATGCTACCAACGGCAACCTGTTTGATCTTGTTCATTAAGCGGATAGGATCCTGGTGTCGCTGTGTTTCAGCCCTCTGTTGAATCACTCACTTTCTTTCTCTTTCTTTGGACAAGGTACCTTGTTCATCCTGTTTATCTATATTAGATATCTCTATGTATGTTTTTTGGCTGGTGACCAGGGAAAAGAGTTGGTATCCAGGCTGCTGCATATAGCATTACGCAATTTTGTTCACATATATATATAAATATTTTGGAGGCCCAAACTGACCTGGACTGAATGCCTAAGTATAACCTAGTGTCTATAAGATTCTACCTTTGTAGGACCTTAACTTTATAGAAAGTTATTTATAGAACTAAATTTAATTATTTATTAGTAAAATCTTAAATATTACATAAGCCTTATATAGTAGTAATATGCTAATTTGACTTTATAAAAAATTAATTTAATTATTAGTAGAAAAATTATGAAAGTATACTTTCCAGCAAATTAATTTATTGCTTTTTTGGTTTTCTCCCAATGGCTTGCCGTAATTGTTAGTGGTGCACTATACCGCAGACTTCTATCAAGCCTCCTTCAACAAACTGCAAGACACCACACTGTATCAGAGTCTCAGAGTCACAGGTGAGGTAAAGAAGCCAATTGATGATTTTACACAACCCACTTCCAACTATACAACTGCTGAATGCCTCTCATCCCATCCTAAACTGGGACTTCCGTTTGGGACGCAAGGGAGAGCGAATCGAGGGGTAGGAATTGACGGTTGTGATAACGTTATCTTCAATCATAAAAATTGTGAACTTGGAGAGATTTTGGCGATAAATAGGCATGACAAAGACTTAGAGAGCATCCGGAAAGTATCTGTAAGGAAGCCTCGTTGCTGCAGCGGCGTTGAATAATTGAAAAAGCAGGCAGTCCTGACAGAGCAGCGGCATGTCTCATCCATCGGGCCTGAGATTTGAATCCATTATTTTCCGCTCTTGCTTTGGGAAGTTGCGGAAGAGCCTAAGATCTAGAGGACTTTTACTATCTTTCTTGGCGCATGCAATTATTTTACGTCCGGATCTCCTCTTCTAGCCCATAATCCGACTGCAAACTTACACATCACGCTCCTTTAATACAAGGCGTGGAAACACCTCTTCAGGAGAGGAGCCTAAAAGGCATCTGTGAGCCATTCAATAACTAAGTGTTTAGGCGCCCAAGTTGATCAAGGCTCTGGCAGCGATGCACTGAAATCTGGGCACCGTGTCGGTCCGTACTATTGCCAGGACACGGCCCCAGCGGTGGTAGCTGTTTCAAGGGCATTGTCGAGCCATATTTCTTCCTGAGGTTTTGGGCACGACAATGACTGACAGATCTTAGCGAAGAACTGGAAATCAGATAAAGCATGAGATGCTGCCTTCCTCTGGGGCTGAGGAAACACTCGCCGAGGATTCGTTACTCTGAATATCATTTGGAAAGGTATCATGGTCATGGAACCTTTCTGCTATCCATTTTCAGCTTTCGTCGCGGAATTTGGCGAAATACGCTCTCGTCAAAGGTGGACCCTATTTGAGTTGGAGATGGTTGTTATTTGTGGAAACTTTCTCTGTGAATAAAGCCACTGTACTGTATTATATACTACATACATAGCTACTATCACTCACAGAACTTGAATGGTGCCCTGTTTCTTTATATCCCTTGAGCTAAACCCAACGCTCACTGTGAAATTCCCCTCTGGTACTCCCCAGTCATTAGCCCCGAGATCCCAGTAGCTCATATCACGCCTCATCAACGGAAACGATATCTTTCTCTCCTCCCCGGGCTCCAAATACACCTTTTTAAAACCCCGAAGCACCTTCACTGGGGTTCCCGCTGGTACGGAACCCCTTGGTTGCGACAGGTATAATTGTGGAACTGCAGCGCCCGCAAGCTTCCCGGTGTTCTTCACCGTCACGCTAGCGATGAAAAGAGTCTTCCAGAGGTATGGGTTTCCACCTGGACTGGCTTGTTTGACTTTCGGCGGGAAAGGGCCGATATCTTTCTGACCTTGAGTAGGCTATACTTCTAACTCCCTTGCCAGATCAAAGCTAGTATAACTCAACCCAAATCCGAACTCATAAAGTGGCGTGATATCATTGGCATCGAAATGACGATAATCAATCAGCAGCCCCTCAGAGAAGTTCGACTGCCAAGCAGCAGAATTCGTCGCCTGTGCCGGGTCGGTGACATTGAACAACGCGGTGGGATAATCCGCCTCGTTTTGCGCGATTGTATATGGGAGGTGCCCCGAGGGATTCACATCACCAAAGAGAATGTCCACAATGGAGTTGCCCGCCTCCTGGCCAGGGTAATGAGCAGCCAGGATGGCAGTTACGTTGGGGTTCTCGGCCCAGGGCATGGTGTTTATACCCGCCGAGTGTGTGATCACGACTGTCTTTCTGCTTGGGCAGTAAGAGGCCACAGCGTTGACGACGGCGGTGGAATTCCAATCTGCCTCGAAGCTAGAGCGGTCGATGGTTTCTGTAGCGTAGCTCTTAAGGAATACGAGGCAGATGTCGGGGAAGGGATAGATGCCGCTGAAGTCGGCGTTCGCGACAACACTATTGTCCGTGACATACTGGATTCGCATGTTGTTGTCGGAGCTCGCGGCGCGTGACCTGAGCGCGTCGAGGGGTGAGACGAGGTACGACAGACGACCAGACCCGGAACCCCCGCCCATAGCTTGCACGCCCATTTCGACGCCCTGCGGTGGCGCATATGCTGGGCCTAGTGGGACGGCAGAGCCGCGAGAGATATCCTCGGCATCATTGCCAAAGACGGCGATGATGCGGGGGGATTTGAGGGGGAGTGTGTTATTTGTGTTCTTGAGGAGCACTGTACCAGCCGCGCCATGCTTGCGAATTAGTTTGCCATGATTCGCCCGCACGTCTCGTGAGGGTGGGATGGACATATCGGCAGGGAGCCCTAGGATAGAAGGTGTGTAGCCTACAGCCGCTAAACTGACGAAGAGGGAAGAGGGTCGATCGTTGGGTAATTATCATCCTGGCCGAGATAGAAATAGGGCGTTAACACACGGCGAACCATGTCGTTAAGTCTTTCCGCTGAGACATCACCGGATTCAACTGCGTTGACAAGGTTCGCACCAAAGTAAGAGCTTGTAGGATCGTACTGACTGATAGGACCGGGCATAGACATGTCCAGGCCTGCATTGATGGCCTTTGCACCAGAGTGAGTCGCGAACCAGTCAGACATAACATATCCTTGGAAGCCAAGCTCATCTTTCAGCATCCCATTGAGGGCTTCGTTATTTTCGCAGGCGTAAATATTGTTGAGCCGGTTGTAGGAGCACATTATTGATGCTGTCCCTGCGCGCACAGCGTCGGCGAATGGCCACGCATATAGTTCACGGAGTGTCCGGTTGTCGATATTGGATGAAACAGCGTCAACATGTACGCCGTTGATAAACCCGTCTGATCGCTGTGTCTCCTGCTCGTTTCCAATAAAGTGTTTTGCACAGGCTTGTACGCCGCTATCCTGGATTCCACGCACGGTGGCGCTGGCTGCGATACCGGCGAGATACGGGTCAACTGAGAAACCTTCCCAATTCCTGCCTCCGAGGGGGTTGCGTCCTAGGGGGCCTGTAACAGGTCTGGGAGGTACCGTTAGCCCTGAAGCTATTACCAAGAACAAGTCTACGATGAAACGGGCATATATATGGACGGGAAATATACGAACCCCAATAGCACATGGGCTCCCTTTCCCCGAAACTCCCGGCCCATTGCCCGTCCCCTCTCATACATTAACTCTGGATCCCAGGTTGCTCCAATTGAGACGCCAGCTGAGAAGACGCTTGCTAGATCTGCTGTGCGGATACCAGATGGTCCATCTTGCAGACAGAGGCCAGAGAAGTTGAGACGCGGGATAGCATTGATGACGCCGCCACATGCAAGGTCACTGAGGTTGCCAGTGAGTAATGCGGCCTTTTCGGTGATTTTCAATTCTGCGATGAACGCATCGGCTTTGCGGGTTGCTAAGCGCCATTGTTCGGGGTCGATTCCTGGATCTGTTATATGGTCAATGAGTGTCACTTAGTGAGACGAAGAAGCGAGGGGAGGTTTGGCCCACCAGTGAAGGAGTCGCTAATAGCGCAGCTCAGTTGTGAAAGCGCAAGTATGAGCCCAGTGCCTCCAGTCCAATGCATCTTCATGCTGAGTCAATCCTGGCGGTAGAAGATTGAGTAGGCTGACACCGAGTTGATCTCATCCAGGGCATGGGGATTTCTGTCTTCAGATATGTGAGAGCAATATATGCCTACTGCCCACCCTGCCTCGGGGAGACTTCGATTAGAGATTCCAGGCTCTTAGGTTCTTCCCCGCAGGAGATCGGTAACAATGATGGCAACCCGGGACAAAACCTGCTTCTCGGGTCCAATTATTTAGTTACAAAAGTATACAACAGCTGGGATATGCATGCAATCACCTATCATACTATATTCTAACCAGCCGGTATTGGGCTTCCGTACTGCTGAGTGGAGGGCAAGTGGAGCTCTATTGTCCGCCCATTGCGGTCGTTAGTTACAGAATACCGGGATGCTGAGGTTGGGTTCAGTTTTGTAATCTTACAGCTTCTCACTTATTTAGGTAATTATCCCAACGTCCCCAGGTATACGCGTATACGAAACGCTATCATTGGGCAGCTGAGTTCGACACTAGCGCACGCTCACTACGCTAGTACCTACCTTCACCCTAGTTAGGCAAGAGTACCATACCACCTACGTACGTAATGGCATTCCACTGGAGTATAACTTACTACCGTACCTTGGCGGCGGGAAGAGCTTGAAGTTGGCACCTTCCCCAAGTACCCACTGCCCTTTTACGAGTACGGCGAGGATGTGATTGGCTCTAGTGGGGCTAGCGGGAGGTACCTCAAGAACGGGATGTGCTGCCCAATAATGCCAGTTCTCCTCCCTTGATAGGTACCCGAAAGATCGCGCTCCAAAGACCTGGGGAGTGATGACTGATGGGCATATGTGATCTTCCCTGCGTCAAGGCCTCGAATCCGATTCAGAGGACACATGTACCAGGGGTCAAACTCCGGTGGGCTTGCCATCGCATCTCGAGCGCAGCGAACCCTTCTACTTCAATACCTGTACCTGTTCTATGGCCTATTTCCCTTCCCAGCTTAGGGTGGGAAAATTGCCTGTCTTGACACAATAGGCGACTATAGTTTACTGGTTAGGATAGCACTGTTTGCGTATATCAAATAGATTGTTGCCTGGTTGATTCGTGAGTCGGCCGGAACTCTTTCAAAGGCCAATGCAGCCAAACCCGTAAGGAAGGATCTAGGTAGCCATACAGCTCACGTATCAATTCCTGCGGCCATGTGCCAATCCAGTACAGGGGTTCTCCGTATTTCAGAAGAACACACGAGTAGGCCAATATGACTAAAGAAAACGGATCTTTTTCTGCCAAGAGAACCATGAATTTGTCCGCAGTTTGACAAATCCACCCAAAAAATCCCACTTGAACTCTGTTCGACCACTCGATGAGTTCCTGAATAGCCATACAATATACGGAGAAAGCCTCGTCTTCAGGCTCGGTGGACCGTATATGCTCCATGAACCCGTGTAAGTTCTGTTCGAGCCCTGCCACGTTCCCATTTTGAAACTGACGACGGAAGATTGGCTTCAAAGCACCGGACTCCAGATGATGCCAGGATGAATGGATAATCGTCCTCACGCCACGGACGTGGATAAACCAAGGCGCGAGAGCTCCATCAGAGGCGTAGAGAAGACTTTTCGAGTCGTGAGTACTTCCAAGTTCAAAAATGAATCCAAGGGCGGCACACGCGTAGAGGGCATTGCAATTTGACGGAGAAATTTCTGAAAGCGCGGCGGATGAGTATCGTAAAGCTGCTTCGTATTGTTGATATGCATGTGGAAGGTAGCGCGTGTTGGACATGGTTCGACAGAGATGTAAAGCAGATATAGCAAAAATCATCCGCAAAAGGAATGTGTGTTCGAAAGCTAGCTCGGGAACTTTATGTTGCCATACTGATTGAAGCTCAACCTGGTCGGCGAGAGTGCGATAGGTGACTGTGGTGAAATAATGAAGGAGCCTGAATTCTGTGGTATCAATATCCGTTGATGTTGATTGCAGGATTGGCGCGCCTCTCAGTGATATGGCAGGACGCATTGCGGCATCGCTTCTTTGTTGCAGGAATAATTCGTGGGGGAGTGGTCCTTTAGACTTTGGTGGCTCCCTGTTACTTGGCGGCGGGAGCTTCGGAAAATCACATTGAATTCTATGCTGGGAGCAAATTTTGCAGGTGGGCTTTCCTTCGTCACACTGCCGAATAGGATTAGCAATTAAATTTCTAGGTCATATATGGTATAGAAACCTGGGCATATGGGATAGTATTTGGTGTCCGGTATACAGGTAGCAGTATGGATGTACAAGATGTCAAAGACGCCCTTTTCTTCATAGTGAACGGCCTACCTTTATTCTGCGCTTCTTGCAGCTCAGACAGCCTGTTCTACACTTCTTATGGGAGCGCCGAGCAAGGGGCATTCTGACGGTAGAGAAGGAGCACAGTGAGCTCACGACTAGATTGCAGTCAAGTAGCTAGAGGCGGTGCTTCATGGAATGGAAACGTAGTTGTAGTATGAAACCAAGGCCAGCATGGTCTGGCCTCTAATAAGAGGCATCAGTCTCCTATACAGCCCCGTTGCCAGATGGAACCAAGCCGCTAAGATTTATTTTTATTTTTATTTTTTTTTACCTCCAGACTAGAAATCACGTGGTCATGATTCCTCCTGTTTCTTAAATTTTTGTTCAACTGACTGAATTGGCCCCTGAATCAGCTGTGGGGCCTTGTCATCGGGGAGATCTCATTCGCGTGCTTTTTTTTTTGACTTTTGATAGTTTATGTTTTTGACGTTCTTTTTTCTTGATTGCAGCGCGTATATCAGCGTTTTCCCGAGCTAGTCGCGCGTCATCGTGCATCGAGAGATACGCGCGCTCTTGGTAAAAAGGTCAGCAAGTCCCCCGCCAGACTCGCCACGCTTCTAGGACTTAGCTTAACCAGCGCCTTCAGTGACGAAGCCTGCTTTTGAAGCTCAATCACTCTCTCAGGACTCTTTAGGCTAACGTCACCATGTCTACTAGTTAGTTGACTATCTGGAAGTGTAGGCGTCGGTATTGAGATACCACGCTCAAAAGTACATGATCTGGATCAGTGGTACCAGACCTGCTGAAGCGAAGCGACGCGCGCCTGATGATGATTTGCTTGGAAGTTAGCTTCTCGTTATAACTGGTCATGCCATTCGCGCTTGATCTTTGACTAAGCGACCGTACGAGGATTTTAGTTAGAATAGCAAGAGGCCCTAAATCAAGCGGTTGCAGGGGATATAACGGATGCGCCGGCATGCAGAGCGGTATAATCCCGTTCCCAGCGGAGATTCGACCGAGATGAGACATTAGATGGCTCTTGTGCCCATCGAGGATCAAAAACGGATTTTCCCAACATGTGCCCTGTTCGGCGATACTTCGAGTAGCCGTCTGGGCAGTCGCCTGGAAGCTAGCGTAGCAAGGTCTGATTTGATTTTTCGCGCTTGTATATAGAACGCGGTCGTATTTGATAGCGAATTGCTGATTGATTCGAGCTTTGCAAATCACTTGACTTCCTAGTTATGAACCTGTTTCATTTCAAGTCTATAAAGCATACCCCCTTGGCTATTTACAACATCCTGCCAATCAACCGCACTTTGCTCTGAAGCACCCTGTCTATCCCGCCGCTGATTCCAGACTTCTTCCAGAACCCCAAAGCACGCTGGATATTGTGAAAAGGCCATTTGGCAAGCATAACTTACTCTCCGGGTATGCTGCTTCGCCGCAGATGCGGCCATGCTGCCTGACGCACCGGCTCACAAATGCATTCCAACTTTACTGTTGCCGGTGCCGTACACAACCTCGAGTCGGTCATCAAGGATGCTGCTGAACGGGAACGCCTCCTGAATGATGGTCGGGTATTGATTATCAACGTGTGGCGGCCATTGAAGACAGTGAAGAGGGATCCGCTTGCTGCTTCTGACTGGAACACGCTGGACTGGTGGCAGGACCGAATGCTGACCCCACTCATCTTGCCTGATGGAGGATGGAGTTAGCTTGGTTGGTACGCATTCCATCCGGCCAGAAATGGTACTCTATGGACAGCAAACAGGCAGAAGAAGCCTTGATCTTCAAGCAGTTCTATAGCCACACCCTGCTGGATGGAGGAATTGAAATTCTTGAAGAACCCATCAATGCTGAGAGGGCAGCCTATCATCATGGACGGCAAAGCGGCCATGGCAGGCTATAGTTCCATTTGACAATAGAAAGAGCGAAAAGCCAGCAAGTCAGGTAAAGGGAAACGTCTGCTACTATAGAATTGATGAATCTGCGTGTACACCGTGTACACATACGCCTTACGTGGACCTAACTTTAACCCGTAGTGATTACAGGCATTGCAATTGGGATGACGACTGTATTATGTATTGGCTACAGGTATGATTCTGTGCAAGCAATGATGAGCAACCAGCTTGACCATTATATGAATACTCTGCAAATGTTTTGGGAGGGCGCTGAAAGTGGTCAATCGGTGCTCCACTCAAGTTCTGTCTTACCATAGAGGCTTTTCCTAAGATCCTGTATCTCCTGTCCTGATAGGGGGCCAATGTTAAAATTGCTTGTATCAAATCCATATCCTTTTTCCGCACTATCAGCATTTCAAAAATAGTATTTCTCTCGCCTTCATCTAATCGGCCAAATGGAGTGGGTCAGAGTTAGTTTGCCCTCACAATAGAAGTACGAGTACGTTGTTGCTCCGATTGGTCAACCTCTCCCATTTACTACACGCATCAAAACGCTAGTCATGCACCCTGAAGTAGATGCAAGAAGCTGAGGAGACAACAACCATGCCAAGTTAAAGGAGGCTGAACATTTGTATAAAGCGTTATGCCATGTGAATCTCCTTGAAAAGCAAAATCTTTTCTTTCTAACTGTCCTTCATCTGAGCCACTTAGCTTTTTGTTAGTTTCGTTTGATTTCGTTATCCCCTCTTTGGATATAGAAGATACCATTGAAGTCTCCAATGGCGGACTGGTCTTTCTACCACTACAGCCCTACCAAAGCTGGAGCTACTATAGCAATTATTTGTTATGGAGCCAGTGCTGGTTATCACGCATTTCAACTCATGAAGATGAAGTGTTACTTCTTTACGACATTCATCATTGGAGCAATAAGTGAGTTGATGGTGTATACACGGCATCGATACTGTTGTTAATGTTTTACAAACAGTGATGACCTTGGGCTATATCTTCCGTGCCGCAAGTGCTGGTGACACAACGGCCTTAGGCCTCTATGTCGGACAGAATGTCTGTATCCTACTCCCACCATCTCTTTACGCGGCTACTATCTATATGATCTACGGCCGGATAGTTATCTATTCCCAAGAGACAAGTCTATCTATTGTGTCTCCTCAAAAGGTAACCAAGATGTTTGTGATTGGAGATGTCCTTGCATTTCTGACACAAGCCTCTGGCGGAGGCATGATGGCAATATCCTCTATGGCGCACATGGGGCAGACCATTACAATCGTGGGCCTTTTCATCCAACTTATCTTCTTCGGAGCATTCCTCACGATCTCGATTATATTTGGACGTCGAGTTGTTCAGCAGTCCAAGATGCCGCTATCTCTTCTGCCATATGGCCGATTGCTATATGTTCTATTTGGCGTGTCGGGGTTGATTATCGTTCGGTGTCTTTATCGAATTATCGAATTTTGCCAGGGAAATGATGGGTATTTCATGAGCCATGAAGCTTTCATGTACGTGTTTGACACGATCCCGATGTTTGTGGTTCAGGTCATATTTCATTTTTATCATCCAGGGGAGGTCCTTGTTACAAGGAAGTATGATGGGCTGGGAATAGACATGCGGTGAAGGACCTAGATATGGATTGGCATAATATCGGATATCGGAGTGGGAAAAAGATTTTTCTACTAATATATGTATATAGTCCCCTCACAATAACAATATATGTGGAATAATGAGTCACCCTGCTGTGGTTGCCGGTTTATATTGCGGGGAAAATACATAGGAATACCTTTGAAAACAGTTTTCTGAAACGAAATACCTGACTACCTAGACTGTCTGCATAATATTTGATAGAGAATACGAAATATTGAGTAATGAGATTGCACACTCCTAAGACTTGTCTGAAACTTACCAACTGAGGTGATTTCTACGTCCGCTGGCCGATACAGCAAGTATAACATTCCGGCGTGCACATCCAAAAGTGGGTATTTTCGGCAGCGCCAGGGCCACTAGGGTGGAGATGATTTTGCCCAATCCGATATCCAACGTACTCGTACCTGGCTGTGGATCCTGCTCCACTTCTAATTGTGTTTCATGGAGCAATGCGACAACTACCTTAGCTAGGTTGATCGGATATTGTCAATAGGAGTAGATATTGACAATTTGAAATCAAGATTTTGTCACTCCGAATGGACTGGTGTTCCGAGACGTCCTTTCCCGTTTTCCTCTTAAGGAAATCATCCTGAGCAGCTGAGTATTTAAAGCTGTGCTAACTCCCGGCTGTCGCTCATCAAAAATTAATTCCTCATGAACTTTTGAGAGGCTTACTTGTTACTTAACACGCAGGCACTGCAGTTCAAACCAATGTTCACGATGTGGATACTTCAAGCAACAGTTTCAGCACTGCTTATCGCTCAGACATTTGCCCGTCGTGTGTACATTCCGCCGGCCTACCGGAATGGCAGCGTGACCGTTGAGGGCCTTTCAGTTCCTGGAAATCTCGATGGGTTCAAAATGGGAACTGCGGCCAATCGAACCTCCTTTGATTTGTGGTATTTTGACGCATTTTCTAAAACAACCGGTGCAGCTATCAACATCGTCTTCTTCAATACGGGCGATTTCGCTGCCAATCCAAATCCCCTAGCAGTCCAAGTTTCCGGTACTTTCAACAATGGTACACAATTTTCGGCTCAAGCCTTCGCTTCTGAGGGCGCAATTCTAGAGAATTCCCAAGATGGCATCACTGGGGACTGGAAAGGTTCTGGTGCCAGTTTTAGTGGAACAGATCTGACTAAACCAAATGTTCGATATGAGATTGTGATTGATTCTCCTAGCATCGGCGTGAAGGGTACCTTTGTCTTGAATTCGGTAAGTGACTGCTTCACTTTACCTTGTCACTGCGAATTCTGGAGTTTTCTTACAACAATTCATAGCGCGCTCCTTCTCACTATCCCTGCAACCCGAATGTCGAAGACGTGAACACGCTCCTCTTGCCACATCTGCATTGGTCCAACGCTGTTCCGGATGCCCAAGCAATTGTCAATTTGACAATTAATGGGACCAGCTTCAACATCGATGACGGGATTGGATACCATGATAAGAACTGGGGCGACAAGTCAGTCATCACCAGCCCCAAGTACTGGGACTGGGGACATGCACGCCTAGGACCCTTTTCAGTGGTCTGGTATGACCTTCTCGACCACAACAATACTGAGTATACCTATGCATACGTCGCAAAGCATGGCGACATCGTCCTGACGAGCTGCGCCAAAGATGCTGTACTGGTTCGTCAGTGGGGAACCAACACATCCTACCCGCCTACATTTGGCATCCCAAGGGCGGAGGGTCTCATTGCGCGATTTGACCTTGGCGGGGGGCAGTTCTTAACTGCCAATGTGACTAAGGATGGAATTGTTCATGATGAAATTGTATACGCCCGTGCATTGGGTTCTGTAACAGGCGGCATTGAGGGGCAAGAAGTCTTCAAGGGGCGTGCCCATTACGAAGAATTTGTCTATGGGGTTCTGTTCAGCTGAATGCAAGTGGGAAGCAAGAGGTTAGCTTTTAGCATTTTAACATCTAAATAGAGGAATGGATACTGACTTGAGTAAAATTGACTGTGGACCAAGATCGCGCGGAAAGAGATACTTCCGTGTATATTCTGGACATGAAGCTATTCCTACCAAGAGGATTTGTGTTATCTGAACATGTGCAATATACCCTGCCATATTATTGTGTTAATCTGGAAGAACCACATCATTGTTTATCAAGGTCGGTAGGAGGCCAGTTCCAGTTCATAAACAAAATAAAAGACTATGAATGAGAATGGCAGTCTATATGAATTAGCTGCGGGGGTTTAAAGTTGGTGTCGTTCACTACATGAATTTTGGTAGTGAAAAACAAGAGCCATTTTGCCGTCGCAACAACAAGGATATGAAGGTTGAGTGCACAATAGACCTATTTTGTGCGAAAAGCTAGGTGATGGTCACCCTAGTCATGCAATCCCGCAATAAGCCGTTCAGGTGATCTCAGGTATAGAATGTCAAGACAGCAGGTACATTAGAAATTTTGCAGGTCCTCTGCAGCTTGCAAGAACCATTGTCGAGGCAAACTAGGACAGCACAAGAGCGCTACGCTTAGCTTCGAACGGGGCACATCAGGCTGAACGGATAGCTTCATCCAATCTATCGAATCTACCAGAGCGAAGCGATCTATGTGTATATGGCATCGAATGCTGGACAGACTTTACTTGCTACTCCGGTTCGCATGGTGATGCGGACGGCGTTGTATTCACATAAGGTGGCAGGCTCCCACTATGGTAGTCTTGTCATTTATGTCAGCTAGCAAACCAGAGAGGATCGATGGGGGGCCGTCAGTACGCTGATGGGTCGTGAGCAGCTCGCTCTTCCGCATCTGCGAAATCTATGTGAGAAACATGCGCAGAAGTATCGGAAGGGGTTCCCAGGAGCAAAGGCTGCGTTTTTAAACTGGGCTGATCATGTTCTAGTCCATGTCAGTGGTGGTATGAATCCCGTCTGTCGACCAAAGTGGTTGGAGAGAAAACTTGAGAATATCTGCGCACCTGCACTTGGCCCTCTTGCAATGATCGGTGAGGAGTGGAAAAGCCTGTTTGACTCTGAGTGCGAGACTCGTGCTCCTCCTGTTGAGCTTCTAGACCAGTACTACGCCGCGAATTTGGAGGATTTCGCCCCATGGTATGACCGACTCGTGTCGCTGGTAGGACAATTAGCAGTGTTTTATCCTGAGATGAATATTCTGGAGATGACTAGTAGTCGAACGGATCAAGTGACAAAACGCGTGCTGAGGGAGATTGGGACTGCCTACAAAACCTATACACGGGCAGTCATCAGCGGGTCGATGATGGTACCGAGCACGAAGCCACCTGCACAACCATTCATCAAAGAACAGGATCTAGAAGACCAGTCATTTGAACCAGATTTCATCGATCTCATCATTGTTCATCAAGCCCTTTACAACACAAAGTCCTTAACCAACACCCTCACAATGCTTCGTCGTCGCCTCAAAATAGGGGGCTACCTCCTCGTTCTTGAAGAACCAATCCCCACTCGATTCACCGAAACCTCCTGCTTCCATTAAGCGTTTGGCAAGATAACGATGCGGAACACCCATCTCATGGGCCTGTCCGCACCCGCGAGGCATGGAAGGATCTCCTCATCAATCACGGTTTCAGTGGAATTGATAGCATAGCCTCAATTCATGACGGGGCAATATCCGGCCTCTCGATCATGGTATGCCAGGCTGTTKACCCCACGGTTCACCTCATGCGAAATCTTTCTGTCCCATCGAACAAGCATCCCGATTTGGTGATTGCAGCGGCGCGGGGTACGTGGATGGATCGAACTTGGCTCGCTGTTCATGAAAACTTTCGACGTATGGTGCTGGTCGAGGACACCAGCGAGATTGAATTTTCGAAGGGGAGCCCTACGCCGGTGGTGGTTGTCGTTACGGATTCTTTCAAAGCAAGAGCTTGTTCGAGCCCTGGAGAGGAGACGAGAATACTACGACGATTGTTCGCTGGCGCGAGCAAACTACTTTGGGTTACCTCCCGTTCTGACGCTATGCCCGTCTCCCTCTCCAAAGCCGTTACAGCGGGCCTTCTCCGTGGTTTCTCAATGGAGCATCCAGACACAATGTTCCAGTACCTCGGGCTCCCCTCTAATTCGGCCTCCAAGGACAATGTCCGTACTGTGGCGACGCTCCTGGTGAACCTCATCCGCACTGATGCTCGAGACAGCTCAAGCACAACTACTGGTACGCCTGTAGAGTCCCAGCTACGACTGTCTGAGAAAGGTGTTCTGCATGTACCGCGCCATACATATTCCGAACGTATGAATCAGCGGCGCCTGGCTGCCCATCTTCAAGTTGAAGACGTTGTTTTACTCAACCGAGACAAGCAATATTCTGTCCTGCAACTCGAACATGTAGAAACTGTTGAGAAGCGAACTGCTCGCCTCCATGCATACCGGTCCACCCGACCCCTACCTGGTATCTCCACGGCCACAGTAGAAGTCAAGGTTCATTTCTCCACAGCACACAGTATCAAAATTGAAGGGATTGGGGATTTCTATCTCTCGATAGGAGTAGCTTCCAGCCATAACAACCCTGAGTGTCCTCTGAAAGGAAGGGGTGGCTCCTGTCGCGTCCTCGCACTCTCTGAGCGCAATGCGACGCGGGTACGTACGCCCTCTTCATGGTGTTGGGTCGTGCCCCCAGCTGTTTCTACCGCTGAAGAAGCTGGTTTCCTTGCGAATATAGCTGGTATGTTGGTCGCAAAAGGGATCTTATCGCATACAGCACCAGGTTCTGTAATATTGGTTTTGGAAGCTGATGTTACCATCCTCCACATCCTAAATTCCGTCGCACCCTTGCATAAGACTGAGATACTGGCCATCACGCACAAGGTGAGCATGGAAGCCAAGAAACCAGGTGTGATTTATATCCCTGAGCGTGCGCCTACTCATCGATCAATCAATCAATCAATCAATCTATCTATCTATCAAGATTCTATTAACCTGATGTAGCCTATCTATTGAGGCCTACTCATCGACTAAGGCAAATGCTCCCAGTATCTAAAGTGGGGGCTGTTTTTTCCATCACGCCAACAACGACAACGGGCAGAATCGTATCCGCAGCTTGTTTCCGAGTACTCGGCACTTTGTTATTGGTTCGTTCTATCAGGCCACGGCGACGGCACATTCACAAACACATGTTCCTGCGTCCAGTATCCCTACTGCCTTAGAGAGCGTATCTGGGCTGTTCTACCCGAAGGACGCCCCTTTCCCAGTATGCTCGGTGGCCAAATCACTTTCCGGAGAAGTTGATTTAGGGCCAGCAACCGTGATTGATTGGTTAGCTGAGGAGGGAACGCCGATCAGAGCACAGATCCACCCAGCGGCCGATGGGGTGTCTCTGTCCCCACAGAGCACGTATGTTCTCCGGGGGCTTCCCGAAGTTCTGGGAAGGGTTGTCGCCGAATGGCTTGTCTCCCATGGCGCACAGCATCTAGTTCTTGTCGCACCATTCTCTGAAAACGCCCAGTGGGTATCCGCTATTGCATCTGATGGCGCAGAAATTACCACAGTCCCCATTAAAGAAGATCTTGTAAACACTGTGCTTGCGATCCGCGGCCATCCATCCTTGCCGTCGGTCCAGGGGATTGTGTTCAGCGGCGAACTTGATACTGGCATCACGCCTGATATGGCGCTAGCGAACACGATCGAGAGGGCCAAAGCCCTGTCGCAGCTTTATGACCCCCCCAAGCTAGATCTCTTTTTGGGGGTTGGTCGCTGCCCGGTCAAACAAGATCCGCAACAGTTCGCCGTAACTGAATATCTCTCAACACTAGCTCATCAGAGAACAATGTCCGGTCTTCACGCGAGTGTACTTTGCCTTGGGTCCGGATTGAATATTGATGCCTTGGATGGGGACGACATATCGGAGATTCTTGCGGAGGCTGTCCTGGCTGGAGATCCCGTTGGCAGCAGATTTCGTGTAAGTTACAGCTGGACTCTGTCCTGATACCTGCAGTCCAGAGTATGCACTCGTTCGACCCGGCAATGTCTAATATGCTTCCCTTGTCGAGGAAAGCAAGGCAAGGAAATCTTGTTGTTGAAGCAGACGCAGAGGAGACAGAGACACCGTTAAGCATTCAACTCGAGCGTGCCAAACAAACTGCGTCCGCCGTCACGGCTGTACGAGGTATCCTGAGCCAGCACTTCACCAGATATCTCCGGGCGCTGCTGCAGTCTGCCACGGAGATCACCGACGAACTTGGTGTTGACTCTATAGTAGCAGCACAGTTGGGTGGATGGTTTTCCGCGGAGGTTGGAGTGAAGGTTTCGGTTGTTCTCATTCTTGCAGGGTCATCCGTGGGTGAGGTTCTTCAAGAGGTCGCAGAGAAGTTTACTTACTGATTTATCTTTCCTGTATGAATACAAATCCTACGCCTTGCTTTTAAGATGCTCCGCACCCTTCAAGCCGCAGGACAGCTGTGCCCATTTTCCTGATTCGATTCGTCGAGCTCAACGGTGAATGTGTGTCGATATAGATTGTGTAGCTATCGATTCACAAAGTTCCAGTCCCCTCCATCTCCCCTCTAAGATCCGCTACTGGCTCATACTATTTTTCCTTAGGACCTAGTACGTCCCCGCCAGCCGTTAATTACGTATATTCTGCCAGTTTCACACGTCCACTCGCAAATACCACTAACTTATACACAGTAGTCTACGTCACTCTACCATATACTTTATCATTTACTAGCAATCACGTTGTGCTAAAGTACTGTATATCAATAATACATATATCAGGGAGGTTAACACAAATGGGTTATAGCAGTAAGTATGATACTTCCTGAGCATAGCAGTCAGCTGCTAACAACATGAGAAAGTCTATTCTATTACTCCTCGCAGGCGTATCAAGTGTGCCCTAGCCAAAGAAGATAGTGTTCAAGAGGCCATTAATAATCACGCTTTCCTGATCATCAGGACTAAGCTATGATAAGAGAGAACCTTCTAAAGTATATAATTTAAAGAGTCTAGTCATAATATCAAGTTTGTACCTAAGTACATCAGAAAGCATAAAGCTAAGGGTTACACATCAAACTTATTCAAGCACGGCATGAGCCCTACTGAATTAACGTTCATCGGTATGTTTTCTTCCCCCAGCTACTTCAACATAGACAGCACAATTTTTAGCCCAGTCTATCTTCGAACAGTCGATCTACGGTACTTACATGCTGACCCGTGGCACTCCACATGGCAGCTAGTCAGGCATGACCATCCACATAGGAGGCCAGAAGTGTCTGATATGCAGTATCGCAGAGTAGACAACAATACAGTACAGCACAAGTTTACTAGAGACTAGTCTCCCTAGTCTTTCTGGAATTAACAGAGCATAGCTCATACCAGCAACAGTATTCTTAACCACAAATTTGAGAAAGGTAGAGATTACCGGAGTGTTATGGGTGAACAGTAATAAGCTTGCTTGGGCCACTAGGACTATCATTCCATATCCCACACAAGCAGAAGGAAAATTGAGGAAAATCAAGAAATCAGGATCTAAACACAGTGGGGTGTGATTTTAGTAATGGAGGGGTGTTTTTAGCAATCATCAGGACTAGATGGTAGAACCACACTAGAGAGATAAGGTCTCACTTTGAATTGTATTCTGAAAACCGCATCCTTACGGGTAACATAGACTTCGAAGTGTTAATAATGATCTTGTTCCGCGAATCTAATTATCTAACCATATAATAGAGGTCCTGGAAAGTGAGGTATTAGAGCTATGATGCTAGGCTTCTAGTCATATATTAACACTGCAACACTAAAGTTTTAGTCATGCAGTAGCATTGTAAAGCTAATTATTAAGTAGGTTAAAATAATATCCAGCAGAAGGGGCTATTAGCTAGAGTATTTCTAGTAATAAATCATCATAGCGCTAAGTTGAGAAATGTGATTCCTCTGGCTATCTAGCCTATCTGCTTAGTTAGTAGTCTAGACCTCATTCCTGCTGAATCAGAGGCTTCTTATGATTGGTCTAAATAATATGTTTTATATAAACCTTTGTATATACGCTAAATCATGCGAAATATACCATAGTCACCTTATATTGATCTTTTGAAAGGGTCATTGCGAGCCATCCAAAATGAGGAATATCTACCATCCTCATATGGGCTGTGACTCCAGATTATCTACGCGAGCGAGACAGTCAGGGCTTGGCTAGTGAAGAATACCTTCTCCACTAGCCCTTTGATCACTATAGCTCGAAATACTCTTATATCCCTAAGACTTTCTGTTGGTCTTATCTGCACATGGTAAAGAACTTTTGAACCCCGCACTGCACCTCTACTCAGTGTATACAGTATCCACAAGTCTTAACCTCAGCCGGACTTTCCAAAGCGAATATTCTTGCCTGGTTTATTCATACTACCCTTTCTTTAAAGTGAATTCCCAGCAGGAAGTACCGTGTAGCATGCGTTCTATAACCTACTCCGCCAATATGACATGAAAACAATATTTGGGAGCCCTGGCTCAACAAAGCAACCCATGCTTAGTATTGATAATGGTGGGACAGATACTAGGGATCCCAATGATGTTGGGCGGAGCCATCATATAGGAATGAAGGAGAGGCAGGACCTAAGAGTGTCTATATAGTGTAAATCTACTGTTTCAACAATCCTACATGAAAATTATACCAAAAAGGGCAAAAACAAAAACCAAATACATGAACGGTCATTATACCATGCAGAACAGCTTATATATCAATTTCCTCCTACAAAGCTTCAATTAATGTAGGGGAGGCAGTTTCTACCAAGGAAATGCGGTGTTAACACTCTCACCATGGCAGCTCCTCACCACGGTAATCAAGGAATTTTTCTTTCCTTTCAGCAGAATACTTGCCAATGACATTGACCCTAGTCGGAACCGTAAGCAATTGGAATAATTATTTGAGAGAACAATACTCACAATCCATCTACGCTAGTGTCCACCGAGATCATTCCCTTATTATTCATATCCGTTTGCACTAAGCCAGGGTGGACTAAAAGAAAAGGGACACCCTGAGGGCGAAGCTCCAGATCAAATTCGATCGCTAGACGCGCTTCCGCGGTCTTTGTCAAAACATCAGAAAAGGATCTCCACGTCAGTGCTTGGTAGGAATTGTAACTGACCTTGGAAATATCATAAACAGCAGTAGCGTTGATGCCCGTTGTTCCAAAGGCAGCATTGTGGAAATCGAAATTCTCCTTGGCGGTAGTAATCGAGCCAAAACTACTTCCAAAGAGAACAAACACCCTGTTTGGATAATCAGATTTCAGCAGGAAAGAGCTGAACGCAGCGGCCGCAGAATAAGCACCATAGACATTAACTTCTATGTTCTGCTTCAATGCTGCCAGGCCTACTTGCGTAACAGCTGTCAATCCAATAAAGACGCCAGCAACGTAGATAACTTGGTCTAGAGTCGATGTCATGGAAGCAATCTTTTGTCGAAGGATTTCAACAGATTCCTCCACAGTGAAGTCGGCTTCTAGCGTTATCAAGCGTCCTGGATTCTTCTCAGCAAGGGCTTGGAGTTCAGGAGCCGTTTTGCAAGAACGCATTGTGGCATAAACCGTTGCAGACGGATATGCGGACAGCTATATAGGATAGACCCTCAGTTCCTGTCACCGAGTCCTTGAACAATAAACCTATAAAGCTTACTGTTTTCTTAACCATCCCTAGGCCGATTCCACGGCTCGCTCCGAGAACGAGGATATTTCTGGGCTGAGGTTGATCTGATGAGCTCATCTTGCAAATCCTGACCGTTGATAAAGATTCGATTTGATTTCACAGGCGAGATAAAACCTGATGTGCTGCTAGCAGAGCGTGAGATGCTGTATCAGGCTCTTTTAAAATATCTCTTAAAAACTACGTCAAGATATCATTTTCCAGACAAAGTAATTATTATTATTACCTAGTTAATAAGCAACCGGGTTGATCTGTAATATTAATGATGATGCGTTGGCAAAGCAACTGCTAACTATTATTATGATCAGTGATCATTGATGCACTTGGTGCAGGAATAGTCAAGGGTCTCTGTTAAACTACGCTTAAACTACGCGAAGGTATCATTTTCCAGATAAAAGTAGTTAATAATAAGTACCTGGGTTGATTTGTAATATTGATGATGATGCGTTGGCAAGGTAAGTGGTAACGTATTTCCCGGGTGAGTCGGCCACCCGGGTCAGCCGGCCATCTCTGTATTCCATATAAAATGGCACCCTTCAAGGCTTTGATATCTCAACAACCAAGCACCTAGAGGGTCTACATTTAGGTATAAGGTATAGTATAGACATGTAGAATCATGCTTATAAGCCACAGCCTCCTAGTATATGCATATACTTTGGTAACATAAATTACACCTGTATTTTTGGGTAATACTAGCTTTTTAGCCATTAAGAGAGAGAAATGGTATTTTAAGGCCTTATAAAAGAGTATTCATATGCTCTAGACTATATATACTCTGAATACCTTACTTACATAAATAGCATATATGAGCATGGTTGAGATATCAAAGCCTTGAAGGATGCCATTTTATATGGAATACAGGGATGGCCGGCTGACCCAGGTGGCCGACTCACCCGGGAAATACGTTAACTATTATTAGGTATGATTAGTGATCAATGATCATTGATGTACTTAAGTAGTTGGTACAGGGATACTCGGTGTTCAAGGGTCTTCTGATCTTCTAGCTGACTAAAGCCAAATCATACGGTAGTTATATATGGAAGAAGGTCTTGGGCTTGAAGGTATAGTTCGCTTTCAAATTCATATGATTAGGAATAATTTTACAGAAAATCCAAAAGAGCTCCACAACATCGGTTATATTGAACTCTATCATAAATATCCACATTGGCAACAACAAATTACATTACTTCAATCGCTGTCGAGTCTCCAACCCATTAATATCAATTGCCGCTGCCTAATTTTGTCAAGAATATGACTTCGCAAACAGTTTTGGTCATAGGCGGTGCGGGAGCACAAGGAGAACCTATTGTTGAAGGTCCAAAAGCCTTGCGAATCTGAATATTGATTTCGAGCTGACAAGAACTTCCTCACCTCAGATTTAGCGAAGCGTGGATACAAAGTACGGGTCTTGACTCGAAGTGACAGTACCGCGACTGCCCAGCACCTTGAGTCTTTGCCCAATGTCCAACTTCACGTTGGCTCTTCGTACGACGAGAGTACGCTTCGATCTGCATTCCAAGGTGTGGACCTCGCTTTTGTGAACACCAATAGTTTCGTAATTGGGATTCGAAACGAGATTTGGTGGGGAATCAGGACATTCGAGATTGCTGTTCAAAGTGGCGTCCAGCATTTCATCTGGTCTTCTCTGGACAATTATTTTCACGGCTCACTGTACGATGAGTCCCTTCGAGTTGCTCATTACTATGGCAAGGGTATCGTGGCGCAGTGGATGTCGGTTATTCCACAGACCCCAATGCGCTGGTCCACCCTGACAACAGGGCCCTACATCGAGACATTATCGGAATTTATGCGACCCGTGGAAGAGGATGGAGTGACAGTCTTTCGTGCGCCGTTAGCCAATGGCGCCGTTCCCTTCGTGCATCTTGGCGACCTTGGCTTCTATGTAAACTGGATCTTTTCACACCCTGACGTCTCCGCTGGCATGAATCTCAAGGTCGCTGTTGAACATGTATCTTTTCATCAACTAGCAGCAACGTTCACCGAAGTCACCGGTAAACCTGCTAGGTACGAGAATGTCTCCTTTGAAGAATATTTCACGACTGGTCCTTTGGCCGAGGTTGCTTCTCTCAAACTCGGTGCTGAAGCTGCTGGAGAAGACGATCCTTCGCTTTTGACTATTCGGCAAAATTTTACAGCGTGGTGGCGCCTGTACCAACTTTCGGGTGGAAATACAGGCCTGATCCAAAGGGATTATGAGCTGCTCGACAAGATTTATCCAGAGAGGGTCCGGAGCTTAAAACAATGGATGGAGAAGGTGGGCTACACAGGGGAAAACAAGCCCGTCCTCAAAACTTACGGAGCAGCATGAGGCAGCACGAGGAAGCCAGTTGCAGTAATGGTCGAGGATAGTTAGGATACCAGTTTGAGTAGCAGTTTGAGACGAACTGCTGCGGAGTATGGACGGTCCTAGCAGGTCTCTGTTACAGTGGCTATGACAATAAATCACACGGATTCGAAATCATCACTCTTAAAGAATAGGATAAATAATAATACGCATGATGATGTTTTCGTCAATAACTAAGAAATGCAAAATGTGGCACCCCCTACACCTTTGAAGCTATAAGATTCTACCTTTGTAGGACCTTAATTAACTACGCTTTATAGAAAGTTATTTATAGACTAAATTTAATTATTTATTAGTAAAATCCTAAATATTATATAAACCTTATCTAGTAGTAATATGCTAATTAATGATTTAATGCTTAGTAGGGATACCAAATGGTATGGAAATGTAATTCTACTTAGGCGGAACTGGAAGCGCTGTAAATACTCAGAATTAGACTGGTCGTGGATTGGATATGGGTTGATCCACCAGCTATCTAACCTGCCCTTATATCCATACGAGTTGGATTGCGGATAATAATGGATATATCCATACTATCTAGTCAGGTGACCTCTAGTATTTAGATTACTACCTATTTTCTAGTATTACACCTCAACCCCCTAGGGTATCTATATATTTACTAAATAATATAATAATTTACTATATAAATATTATATATTACCTATTCAATAACCTAAAATAGGCTTAATTAGGGAGGTAGGGTGGGCCCTAAGGTGAAGATAAAAAGTAATGCAGAGATATATATATCTTACCACCACCATCTTGATTACTGTCATCTAAAATCTACTATAACCCTAGATTTTCGTAGGAAATATTTTATTTTATCATATATATATATAGATAGGACTATTCTCTATCTATAGATATAAAAATAATTCCCCATCTAACCCTAGATATTGTTAGATAAACTTATCAGTCTGTAGAGGCCCTAGATCACGTGCACCCGATTGGTTATCCATATCCATGCAGATTGGATATGGTTAGCCCATTTACCTGCAGGTTGGATCAGGGCCAACCCTTATCCAACCCAAAGTGCGGATTGGGTGGGTTGGATATGGATTTGCAGACTGGGTCCGCCAGTCTAACCTGAATTCAAAATATGTTATTTCAGTTTTGTTCTAATGGCTTGCCATAGATTACATTACATTAATTACAACCTGTCCCTCCTGTTCACAGCTCTTTGTGTTACTTCTTTTCTATGCATCTATAGATAGCCTGAGGAGTAGCTAGAGCTTGTCAGTATTAACTACCTATTATACCCTGCTGGTGTTTCCTCTAATTCTGTTCTGAGACATATTACCCTTCCTCTTCCCTAACTACCTCTTCACAATGTCTTCGTCCAATGCCGCAATGACTGCGTTGTCGATCCCTGAAATTCTGGTGATGATTTTACTAAAACTTGATATGCGCACACTAATCTGGTCCCAACGAACCTGTCGCTCTTGGTTCACGACGATCAAATACTCAACTGATATCCAAAAAGCCCTGTTTTTTACACCTATCGAAAAGATTCCAAATCAAGAGCCACTTCAGAATTCCATGCTGGGAGTAGCATTCCCTGCACTCTTTGATCGCACTGACCCCAATGACCCCGAAGACAAATATGACTATGGTCAATCTGCCCTTTCCACGTTCGACATGATCAAAAACCCTCAAAAGCTAGAGGCGTATCTCCGACCGGAAGCAAGCTGGAGACGAATGTTGGTCCAGCAACCGCCGGCGCATAAGTTTGCAGTGCTTGAGGAAGGGTTCGGAATGGGCCATGGATATAGATTTTTCGAAATTCCTGTAAGCCATCTTCGACGTAATTGCACGCAGGATATTGACAAACTGACAGCCGGAATACAGAGTGAACTAAACGGATTCTCAAACGGCCTGCGCATGGGAGACTTCTTCGAGGAGCTGGTCTTTGGTAACAATGACTGGTACGCGCGTTGCAATGTAAAACGTGTTATTTGGTGGTGTCGGACCCTTCCGCGTGCGCTGAACCCCTGTTGCGAGATGAAGGAAGTTTCTACCAGAATCTTGAACTATGAGATTGTGGTTTGGCTTCGCTCCTATTCCAACGGGTGCACGGAGTCAGATGATGAGGGGCCAACACAGGATGAAGCAGCAATGGACAGAATTAAGGCTGCGTATAGAGAAACGGGAATACAGCCGAAACTTCATGGGATGACTGGGGAATTGGAAGATTTGCATTTATGGGATTAGCTTGACGATGACATGTACATATCTGGGAATAAAGAAATGGATGCGTTGGGACACTCGGCAGCAATAATAAGTTTGGGAGCATCTTGACCAGGCAGCTAAAGGCGATGATGGGATCCCAAGGTCCTCTGCAAATATTGCATGAAAACACTCATTCTGCCCCAGCGGGGCCGGATGGGTACCTCAACCATGTTCAAGCATACCAAAGGGCTTTGGTGTCAAGAGGCATCACAAAGTCCTGGTATCAAACAGTCCATGCAAAGGCAGTGAGTCAAGCTACCTTGCATATTCTACTATATAACCAGTATATTCCTACAAGACGGCTCTCATGGTTGTTGTCAGCCTGTTTTGTATGGCGGCCAGCACCCCCGGGTCCGGCGACTGCATCCAGCTGCCAGACCCCCCCGAGGGATCTGGTAGGGGCCATCTGGATATCACCTATTTTCCCATTCCTGGGCTATCGAATGGTGCTAGAATGCTAGATAGGGTGCCTAGGTCTAGTAGCTTAGTGGGGAAACCCTGGGATAACTATCAGGATAGGCCTTCCTGATAGGTCTTAGGGTAGATTCATACCAACTCTAGCTATTTTTAGTGAATAGACCTCGTTTCTACTAGCCTGGTGATATCTAGCATGTCTAGTAATATTTAGTCTATAATTTTTAAAAAAATTCATTTCCTACAGTAGCCGGCGGTCATTTCATTTATTTAATATCTACTAATTCGAAATATTTTAGGGAATAGATCTAGTTTCTACAAGTCTAGTGATATCTAGTATGCTTCGTAATATTAAGTCTAGAATTTTTAAAATTTATGGAAGTGAATGTTTCTTGAATTTCAATGGATTAGACGAAGAAACCAACAACTGTTCATAGCCTCCGGAATTATCCAAATCCCAAGTTCACCAAATGCTGTCAATCCGTTGACAGTAAAGCAGAACCGACAGATCAGTAGAGAATCATTTACACCCCACTCTCAGCCGCAGCCCGCGTTACAGTATCGACAACAATCCCCCCAACTGCCTCCGAGAACGGCGGAGCCATCATAGAGAAGTGATCTGCAAGCATCAGTATCATCCATCTCCTCATACAAGATGCAATGGGTACTCACCTCCATCAACAGTATGTACCTCGATATGTTCCCCAAGCAGCGTCTCCCACCCGTTGGTCCCAAACTGCAGTCTCTTCCCATAGAACCACGATTTAAAGTACCGCTCAAACTCCTGCAGGTTCATCTCATCCGGGGACTTCCCGATATCCAATCCGGGACGGCCCATGGCGGCAACGGGTGCGTCCGCCCGTTTGTCGAGGCCGAGACGCGCCCAGACGACGGCGACGTGCCGCGGTTGCCGGTCGACAGGGAACGCCGGCGCGTCGTACCGCGACAGCGCGCGGCAGGTCGCCAGAAGATGCGTCCGTTCCTTCACTGTCAGATCCTCGGGCAGATCGCGGGCACGGTTCATCCCCTCAAAGGTGCCGAGTTTCTCGACAAAGTCCTCGGTGACAATGGCGGCGGGTGTGAGAGAGGGGGGCCGCATGTCGAGGATGATCAGCGCGGAGATGGTCTCTCCTGCCATTGTGAGGCGGTGTGCGACTTCGTACGCATACATTGAGCCTGCGGACCAGCCACCGATGAGGTATGGGCCATGGGGTTGGATGCGGCGGATGGTGCGAAGGAAGATGGTGACCATTTCGGGGATGGAGAGGTCGAAGTCTTCGGGGGAGTTGAGGAAGGGCGACTCGAGCGCGTAGATGCGTCGGCCAGCGGGGAGGGGCTTGAGGTGAATGTAGGACTCGACTGTGCCGGAGCCGTCGGTGGTGAGGAATAATGGGGCAGCGCGCGAGCGGGACTGGCCTTGGATCAGGACTGCCCGGGACGCCGCGCTGTCAATCTTATGCTGCCGGGAGGAGTTGCCCTCTGTTGGGTTTGTGTCCACCGCTGGAATTACCAGAGGCTGGCTCAGTGGCAGCTCTTTTGCAGTCGGCTCCTGCATTTCTAATGGTCCGTCCAAGGCCTCCTGGGCGTCGGCTACTGTTCGGTGATCGGTGAAGAAGGCGGCTGGCAGCTCGATCTGCGTCTTGTGTTGGAACGCAGCCGTGATCTTAATACTAAGCATCGAGTCCATGCCGATGGACTCAAAGGTGGTCGAGGGCGTAAAGTCGCGAGCTTCCAGGCCAAGCTCATGGGCTACCAATGCAAAGAGCAGCTGGCTGGGCGCTGGGCCCATTTTGCTGTGAGCGTTCTCGCGCAAATCCTTACCTCGCTCCATGAGAATGATATGTTCACGCGCTGGCTCAGACAGATCTGCCAGCGGTTGCGAACTGGCCAGCTCCTTCTCCACGGCGGCCGGAGTGGGGAAAGTAGTGAAGAACGCCGCCGGCAGTTCCACCCCTGTGGCCTTTTGGAAATCAGCCAGGATGGCGATGCTCATCTGCGAGTCGACGCCCATGTCCGAGAATGTTGTAGTCATGCCCGTTGACTCTTTCAATTCGGCAACGCTGATGCCGCTTCTTGTCGCCACCACTTTGAAGAGCTCCGCTGTGAGATTAACGGCGTCTGAAAGGCTGCTTTGGGACGACGTCAGAGACACTGATGAAGTGGGCGTGGATATTCCTGAAGAATTAGTAGAGTCCGGTGCTCGTCTCAACTGTGCTTGCGAGATGCGTTTAGTACTCGTGGTGGGGCGTGGTTTGGCTGGCAGCGCGCGAGTAGACCCTGTCAGCAAGGCAAAAAAGTCGCGATCAAGCTTTTTGAAGCAGATATCTGTACAGAGCGCCACAAGATGGTCTTCTTTATCAACGACATAGACATCGCACAGGCTGGTTCCGGTTTTTGCATCCTGCTGTCGAATGGTGGCGTACGCCATATACGGCTTGTTTGACGAGAGATCGCCGAGGACACGCAATGAACCGATGTGATTGGCAATGTGAACGTCGTTCTTCGGCTTTTTCACGTCCGCGTTAAGCAAGAAGCCAGCGACATGAATCATGGCGTCCACGGCGACGGGGTTGCAGGCAAAGTTGCCCAACTCCCCGGCTGGTGTTGGTAAGAGGATGATGGACGCATCGCGAAAATCGGCTGCCACTGTGGCCTCCTCCACTGCGTGGTAGGGCGCCGAGTAATCGACAATCTCGGAGAAGATCTTGTAGAATAGCCGGCGGTCCATTGTGTGGACCTCCCTTGGCCGGGCTGCGTCCTGCAGACTCTGAACGCGCGCCTTCACCAAGGGCTGCATCCGGGACCACGTCTGCATGTGCGGCGTGGCTAATTGGGACAGCCGAACCACGCAGGATCCGTACTCCACGGACGACGCCTCCTGACGGGCCAAGAAGCGGACGCTGACGATATCTTTGGACTTGTCAAGGACCGATTCCACCTCAACGCGCGGTACATCGGGATCTGAGTCGCGAAGAACCAGAGGAGATTGCATGCGCAGGTCAGCCAGTTCGTAGGTGGTGAGTGACGCTTGTGGAACAGCGCCGTTGCGGGTCTCTCTTGCGAGGTATGCCGCGGCTGTGTACGCCATGTCAATAAAGATGCTGGCTGGACAGATGGCCACACCGTCCACGATGTGGCCGCCGATGGCCTTTGCGAGCTGTGGGTCGGTCAGGTCCACCGCAAACGTCGCAAGCAGCCGGCTTTCTTCCTTCCGCAGTTGCAGGACCGAATGCAAGGATGTAGACAAAAGTCGTAAATTCTCTCGACCGGCAACGTCAGGGACATCCTGAGGTTTCTTGGTCTCATACGAGTGCCAAAAGCTCTTCATGTCGAACGCGTACGTCGGCAGTCCAGGCAGCAAGCGCAGGTTGTCAAGGTGATCCTTATGGAACTCTGTCCAATCGACAGGAATCTGTGCCCGATATGCAGCGGCCAGACACTCTGAAACAGACTCCCAGTCGTCGCGCCCGCGGCGTAGACTATGATTCGCATTCACGCTCACTCGCTCAAGGCAAGCTGTCATCAGAGCAACACACGTGGGGTGGGGTCCAATCTCGACAACAAAGGACTGTTCCTGGATGAGCCCTGCCGTTTCACAGGCACGTACAGCATCCATGAATACGACTGGCTCACGGGTGTGCCGTCGCATGTACTGCGCGTTGAAGACGCCATCCTCGCCCGGCTGTACGACCCGGCCGAGCAGTGTCGATGCCACAGCGACTGTGGGCGGACGGAAGCATACCCTGGCTGCGCTGGTTTCAAGATCATCGAGCACAGGGTCCATGTATTGAGTGTGGAATGCGTGCGGAACGCGCAGGCGAGTCGTGGCCACCTTGCCATTGCTCTCGTCCGACTTGAGGTAATCCTCGAACGCCTCGATGGCAGCGATCGGACCGCCGACGACGGTACTAGATGGACCGTTGACACAGCAGACTTCGCATCCGGCTGTTGCTGCGGAATCCTGCAACCGCCCTCGGATGGTGCGCACTGGAAGACCGACTGCCAGCATGCCCGACTCAGCTGGGGTGCATCGGGAGAAGATGAGCGTCGCACGCTCGTGGGCCAGGGCCAGGGCGTCAGCCACAGATAACACACCAGCGATGCAGAGCGCTGCGTACTCGCCCAGACTGTGTCCGATCAGCAGCGTCGGACGGAGTCCCAGCGACTGCCAATACTGAGCGAGGGCGATCTCGAGCGCGACGGTAGCTACCTGCATATCGCGCTCACTAGGCACAGCGCCCAGGGAAGAGGATCCGTTAATCGCATCAAGGAACTGGCAATCCAGGTTTTGCGCCCTGCAGAGGGCCTGGTATGAGTCCAGCAGGGCCCGGATGGTGGGTGACGTGCGGTACAACGTGCCACCCATGCCTACGTACTGGCTGCCCTGGCCCGTGAAAGCAAAGACCACCGACGATACAGGCGTCGACTGTGCTGACTTGTTATTCGCTACTGCCGGACGTTCCAGTTGCCGAAGGAGCTCCGCTGTGGAGGTTACCACGAAGGCTTCTCTGTGAATATGATGCATTCGCCGCGCAGTGGTGGTATAAGCCAGGTCGGATAGTCGCGTGTCGGGATGCTGTGTGAGGTACTGCTGTAGGCGGCTCTTATTTGCCTCAAGTGCTGTTTCCGTGCGACCGGACGTGGCCACAACATGAAACTGCCGATCGTCCACCGCTGGGGGCGCCGGCAGGGCGAAGGATGGGGGATCGTGGATGATCATGCTCACATTGCCCCCCGCAGCATCGAAATTGTTGACGAAGACATAACGAGGAGTCGTTCCATTGGGAGGCCATGACTGGCCATTCGCGAGCTCGATCTCACTCCCTAACAGGGGAACCAGATGCGGGTTCAGCGTAAAAGGCTGGTCCGGTTGCGGGGGAATGGAGTTCCGCTGGAGGATCAGGATTGCTTTTATGAGGGATACCACCCCTGCTGCAGCCTCGCTATGCCCGATAGCCGCCTTGACCGCGCCGGCGATAAGAGGCTGAGGGCGTCGAGGTCCCTCTTTGGACGCAAAGACGCTTCGCACGGCGCGCATCTCCACACGGTCACCCGCCTGCGTTCCAGTGCCGTGCATTTCAATGACGTTGACCTCATGCGGGTGCACCGCCGCCTGTCGGAGCACGCGACGGTACAGGGCCGCTTGTGCTTCCTCGCCCGGGTACGTGATAGACCCTGCGCCAGCATTACAGTTGCGAGACGCACCAGCGATGACAGTGAGAACATTATCCTTGTTCCGGATGGCATCGGACAGACGTTTAAGCACGACAACGGCGACGGCCTCGCCGCGGCAGTACCCGTCAGCACGATCGGAGTAAGTCTTGCAAGCACCCGTGGGCGATAGAAAGCCGCCCTGGCTCAGACCGGCGAACCACTCGGGTGCAGTCAGCAGGGTGCCCCCACCAACAACCGCCGCATCGTATTTACCGGCCGCGAGGGCGTCGCGGGCAAGGCAGACGGCGGTGGCGCTCGAGGAACACCCGGTATCAATAGCGTAGAAACCGCCAGCCCACTGGAAATAATGCGACAAGCGGCCGGGCGCGAAGCCGCGGTTGACACCTGGCAGGAAGTGCGTATCAATGCCCTGCTGTTCATTGATCGTCTTCCAGTCGTCTGTCGTCTGGCCAAAGTAGGTGGCGATCCTCGGCGGGGACTGCTTGTGCTCCGCAGCGCTGGCAGGTGCGTAGCCGGCCATCTCCAATGCTTCGTATGTGGTCATGAGTAGCATGCGTTGCACAGGGTCCATTTGCAAGGCTTMGCGTGGCGAGATATTGAACAGACGGTGGTCAAAGTCGCCCGGCTTTTTGATGAAGCACCCGTGGCGTGCGAGCAGAGCATTGTGCTTGGAGCGAGAGGGGTCGTAAAAGTCGTCCACGGAGAACCGCGAGCAGGGAATCTCCTGATGCGTGGTTGTTCCTGTTTCCAGGAGGCGCCAGAACTCGTCCAGCGTGTCGCTCTCAGGGAAGCGTCCAGACATGCCAACAACAGCGATTGCGTCTGGTGGGATGCTGTCGAGATTGCTGCCAAAGGGCGCTGGGCAGGATGGGAATTCGCCGAGGGAGACGGTTTGTCCATGTTGCAGGAGGAGGTCCTGCATGGTAGATGCATCCCAAGTTGAGCCAACTGTTGTCAGGACCGCGTCGTCCTTAGTAGAGGCCTCAATAGCGGCCGCTAAGGTGCTAACTGTCTTCTCGATATGCATGGGCTTGTGTGCGATCTCGACTACCACACGGCGCAACAGCTCTGTTAGGGTGCTGGCAGGAAGTGAGCCAGTAGAAGAGTGGGCGGAGTATAGAGGCCTTTTCACTTGGTATAATTCGAGGAGCCCCGAGACACCAACTACCTGGCCGACGTCGAGGGGTGGCAGATGTGAGCCGTACATCGGACACCGGCAGAGCGTATCCGGCATTGTCACCACTGAAGCGAGGTCGGGTCCCTGCGTTAGTGTGTCCAAGGTGGAAGGTGGTCCGAACACGACCACGCTCCCAGGTAAGACCTGACCAACATACGCCTGGTGGAGTGGTCCTAGCGTACTATTGACAATTTCCAGTTCCTGCTCTAGGCCCCTCTGGCTGATGCCGGGGACGGCACGGGCCCATATGCCGTTTGAGTCTTGAATAGCCCTCCCCGTCCGCTCTAAGGCGATGGCTAGACGGACGGCGATCCCTATGCCTTGCAACCCTAGAGCTATTATAGCGTCGGTGCTGGTCACCGTGGCAGCAATGGAGGCAGCGATCAATCCAATACCAAATCCAACAGGGAGAACCACGTCACCGGTTGTACCAGACAGGATGGACGAATTGTCTTCTGCAAGGCTATGGGACACATCCGTCAGCACGGTTTTCCAAATGTTCAGGTGTAAGCACTTACATCAGCAACTGGCCCATTTGAACTATGGTGAAGAGAACTATTTCAGCGACCGCACTGGGGTGATCTTGCTTGGCGAATCGCTCCGCGAGGTCCACAAGATCCTCAAATGAACCAACCCTTGCACGTTCGGGGCCGTCCAGGCTATCAACATGTTCACGGACCACGGCCGCAGCAGCAGAGAGAAAGATGCGGAGCTGAGAACGCGTCTTGGATCGGACATTCATGTCGTACATTGCACCTAGAAGGTCTGCATGCTGGTGAGGGAAAGCGAGGATATGCGTGATCGACATCTTGAAGGAAGTATACGGCTTGGAAATGTGCAAAGACGGTCCTGCTGCTTGGTATTTTGGGGAGACCAAAAGAGTGGAAGCCTGCCGATATACCGAGATTATATAGCCCTGGAAGGACAGGAAATATTGTCCAGATAGGTGTCCTTCGGCCCAACTAGGGTCGCAATGAATGCTTGGTAGTTTTGGCACACGCCCTTTGCACTCCGGGGGCGAAAAGGATTATCGTGGGTATCCTCTGATTGCCCTCTTGCCTGAGGCAGCTCATTCCGCGTCGGCTTACGCTTGCTGGGATTGAACATGGATATGCATCCTGGCCGGGATTTCCAAGCAATATTCCCGCCAGATCGATGCCTGGTTGCAATTATCACGTCCGAAGGCTTGAACGCCACCTTGCAGTCATGGTGGTAACAACAGTGGGTCCGGCGTATGCCCGTGGCATGCCATGGATGCACTGTGCTCTGGCATATCACTGTCCTCAATTGTATACATGATTGCTCATATATCAAGTTTATATGGGGGCTGCAATGCAATCTTGGCCTCTGACAGCTGCTCCAACGACCTCATTCGAGCCGATCTACCACTGCTTCCTAGCAGATAGCAGTTGCCAATAATGCCCTCATGTCTACAACGACAGGCTTGCAGCTGGGTAGATGAAGCAAGTACGTCCGGCAAGTTTTCTACTTGGGCTACTAAACACGGTTCAGCGGTACGGGCGTCAATACGAATAATCCATTGTCCCTCGGCAAGATTAGAGATCTTCTCTTCAAGGCTAAGGAGTATCAGACGCCTGCAACATATATTGTCCTCGACGAATTACCTGCGAATCCTGCAACCCCACTGGAGCGAGAAATACGACAGCATACTACTCGTCCCGTTGTCGATCAGTGTAGACCGGAGCTATCAGTGATTCTAGTGGCTTACTTAGACGGTACTGGGTTACTGCAGGGGTGCATTTAGCCAATTTCGCTACTAGACAGGTTTTTCAGGTGATCGTCTATATTGTGACCGATCAGCACGCGAATCTTGCAAAGGACCTTCATCAAGCCAATCCGGCATATTCGGTTCTGGATCTGTCTTCGGTGAACGTCGTGGCAGATCTGCAGTTCTATGGCACTGTACGTCTGCTGGCTTACGGACACGTGTGTGGTGATGACCTAGCCACGGAGCACATTGAGACTGATATAGAGGGCGGGATCTTTCCGCTCTATCGACTTGGTCCGATGTGCCATCAGGTCATGGTTGCAACTTGCATTTTTATGGCGTGATATGCTAGCGAAGGGCAGTTTTCCCTGATCATCAGTCGAGATGTGGACATAATTATCTTACTCCTGCAAGGCTCGATGGATCCATTTGGGTAATGCTGACTGCTGAGAGATCTGCCGAGCACTCATAAAGGGCGTATCTGAATTAGTACATCGTTCAACATGGCGGCAACTGTCTCTTCATTCACATCTACTTATCCTGTTGGATAGTTGTCTCTTCACTAAAAAACAATGGCAGCTCTGACACTAGACATACTGAGATCTCCAATCTCCTCAAACGAGAGCACTACTACCGCGATACAGCGCAGTGGGATCTGTGCCAGGCTGCCTTCCACCCCGACGAATCAAGGACATACATCAACTTTGCATGGTCCGTCGTCCGTATCTTTTTCGTCGTGTCAAGCTGATTCCTGCTCGCCTCAAGGTACGAATGGCCCGTCGAGGACTTTTTCCACCAGTCAGCCAAAGTCCACCAGGGCAAAGTAAACACATCCACTCCTCCTTCGATCCAGTCGACATCCGCGTCAGCGGCGGCCGCGCCACCAGCGAGGCCTTCTGCCTGATTACCAGTGCCATCATGCTGCATGGCGTCGAGTACGAGCTAGCTTCGTCCATCCGTCTGGCGACCCGCCTCGAGAAGTGTGCAGGCTCGGACACGGGTCCTGATGCTAGCGCTGCCGCTCGCCACGGCCAGTGGCGCATGCTAAGTCTCGAAGCCATCTACGTCCGCGACCGGCTCGTCAGCGCCTTCCCGGATCTCGGCGATGCTGGGCCAGCGCCTCTGACCTTAGCTGATCTCCAAGGGGTGGAAGCCTACCCGCAAAGCTATTGGCTTTTAGCGTTAGTCATGCTGAACGGGGGCTAAGGCTTCGTCCAGATCTTCCCAATAAGGAGGATTAAGATAGCATACGGCTGGTGCCTGGCCGGAATCGGGTGTTTCTTGATGGCGCAGAGCAATGGCATGGATCAAGGAACCGCTGCGAATAGACCGAGAATGGAACAGAGGCTGCACAGGAGCAACCATGATTTTGCAGATCTTTGCCAAACCGAGAGCTTGTCGTAATCATGCAAGCATAACGACCTTCCGGCGCTGAGTACAGTCGGGAGATAATGAAGTCTGCCTAGTGACTTCCAATCAAAGCTGTTTGATAGAGCGTGAGGCCTTAGAGAGTTGCTCACTGGTGGAGCAGAGAACTCAGTGCAGGACGGTTTGGTCTCCTCGTATCCAGTGCTTTAGTTCCCTCGTATTGAGAGAGTAGCGTGATGATCCTTGTAGAGGCGTCAAAATATATTATCTAGTTGACTCATGGGCAAACGTGAAGATTTTCGGGAAAGCCTTGGAAAAGCTTAGTATTATTGTCTTTCTTGTCGTAGGCAGTGAGGGTATCGCAGGCCAGCTGGCCATGAGGGGACACACCGCTCGTCTTCTGGGAATGGGAACGGAATACGAGTAATCCGAATGTATTTCTGGCCCTGGTAACAGATCTGTCTCTTCAGGGAATACCGTCTCCGAATTGGCTTATGTGAGATAACCTTCAGGATAACGGGCCGGATCTACACGGCTTAGTCGGGAAACCTGTTAACTTGCTCTTCATGCAATGTAACCATGGTACACGAGGGGGTTATCGCTGTAATTAGCCAGACTATGCGATTCTTGTAAGCCTGAGTGCAGGGACTATGTGTTATCGAGTCGGCTCTACATCCGGTTAGGTAAATCCCACAAGATCTATCCCCTGAACAGGCAGTTCTATTAACAACTGCGTGGTGACTTGCCAAACCGGCTGGATAATATCCGTATGCAGGGTTTCCATTCCCCCGCCGCTGAAACCTCGTATTTGGAGACACCCAGCAGCAAGAGGATAAAGCCTGTCCGAGATATTCCACAAATTTTGATGACTCGAGAGGGATTCACCGGCCACTCTATCGGTCTGACATGAGTGTCGCAATTCAAGTGGCCGTCGAGATAGGGAGCTGGCGGAATATGTCCGCCATTCACAGTACGTCGCCAACACTGAATAAACCAGCCCTGATGGTGTCGTACTGTTGACAAGGCAATCCCGCACTTCCTGCTAGAATTCATTACGACCATATTTGATTCAGATTGTGATTGACGCATTCTCAAATGAAGCTATGATGACTTGATAAGAATAGGAGCATCGAATTTACCGTGCGCAGCACCCCTACTGCCAACGCAGATTCAATGAGTCCTGTTCTTATCCTTTTTGCTCGTTATGATCTTACATTCCATAAAAGAAAGCCAGGATCCGTGAGCTATGCATGCCTACTGCCGAAGATCATTGCACCCACACACCAGCTGAAACCACTTCACCTTCTACCGACTTCGAAAGATGGACTTAACTTCTTTCTTTCGAAAGAAGCTGACACAAGGAGTAAGAGACTGCGAGCTGCATGATTTGCGAGGATTCATCGCCAAATGGGCTGGTCCAGGGTCAGTTACAAAGTGCTGGCTGGTCCACTAGGTACAGGTCTTCTACATGAGCTGAATTGTTTGGATATGAGAGTAATCATTCAGGGTACTACAAGAATCCCGTCCAGCAGAAGGCACCGTCTCAGAAAGGATTTTGACTGTCAAGACAATGAAGCGGTGGTTCGAGTTGGTCAAATATTTGATTAGAAGGGGAAGCGTGTCGCTCCCAGTGTCAAATATATTTATATTCCGTTATCGAAGAAGGGAACCAATACACATCCTAAGGGTACCTTCCAGTGTGATTTAGGTTGATAGGATCCATAGAAATTGGTAAATGTCGGGGTTAATTTTGTCCTTTGGAATACCGAACCAAGATCTGAGGGTTAAATGTGTTAATTTTGTTTCCACCATGTATTAAATGCTGAGAAGAATGTCGAGCTGGGCACGTCGTGGGTTGGAGATGGGTTGATCCAAGCCATGTCTGATGCAACCGATGCCAATTATGGATTGATCCACCACGGCACCACCTATTCAACCGACCTCGGAGATGTCAGATAAATTCCCGTGCACATCCGTCCGTCCCTCATCCGGAGTGGAGTACCATTTCAATTACAGTCGTACGGAAACTGGGAAGCCGAGATGAAGAACTCTAGGAAAGACGAAAATGCACAGAAGTGAATAAAGCTACGAAGTTCTTCTCTTATCAGAGAGCGGATAATTGGTACTGCGTATTAACTACAAGATACAAGATACCCCAAGAAGTAAAGCGGATGGACACTCGGCGCATTGACAGACCGAGAGTGATTTCAGGATTTCAAAGCTGCTGACAAATGTGTTGGTGATTGGTAACCGCCAGTCCAATCTGCCTTGTGACGCCAATAATATAGGTAGGTAGATACCGTACCGCTGGATACTGTCCACTAAAACAACTACCTTTACAGTTGTTGCATCTTTTATATTAATAAGAAAACTTTGTTTCTATCCCTCCTTCTGCTCATCTTCGCCGCTCCTCATTCTGTTTATTTAAATGCTGCCCCGCACCTTTCTATCTGTTGCGGGCACAACCACAAGAGCCAATTCTCGAGTTCACTTGCTTACTGCGAGCTTTCCCCCTTTACCGAGATCATCCTCTGCCATACCGCAAGCAAGATTCAATTCAACCATGACTTCGGATATTACCCTTTACTCTTGGCCTACCCCCAACGGTGTCAAGGCTTCCATCACTCTGGAGGAGTTGGGACTTTCTTACAAGACTGAGCCAATCAACATTAGCACTAACCTTCAGAAAGAGGAGTATGTTCATCCCTCAATCTTCTTTGACCCTCCAGTCATCGTTAGATGGTTTGGAGACCTCTCTTTCGGATGCAACATTCCAAATAGCATCGCTTGGCTCCAAGCTTCTCTACGAACGCTGATTCGCTAACTATACCTAGGTGGTTCCTTAAGATCAACCCTAATGGGCGCATTCCGGCCATCAAGGATGGCGAACAGCGTGTCTTTGAAAGTGGGGCCATCATGCTCTACTTGACTGATAAGTACGATACCGAACACAAAATCAGCTACCCTCATGGTACTCCCGAATACTACGAAGAGCTCGCCTGGCTCATGTTCCAAATGGGGGGAGTAGGACCTATGCAGGGTAAGTCTTTATTCTTCAGTGCATTTCCATCCGGTTATACTCAATTTCCTTGAGACGACCCGTCGTATACTTTATAGAGCACGGGTTGTGCTAACTTGTACCAGGCCAAGCCAACCACTTCCGTCTCTTCGCCAATGTTCGCTCTGACTACGGTATCAAGCGCTACATTGACGAGACCAAGCGCCTCTACTCTGTCCTTGACTCCCGTCTGAAGGAGAGCCCTTACTTGGCCGGACCCAAGTACACCATCGCCGATATTGCTAATTACTCTTGGGTGCGCAGTGGACCTGGTCTTGAGATTGACCTCGGTGAATTCCCTGCTTTGAAAAAGTGGAAGGAGGAGATTGATGAGCGTGAGGCTGTTAAGAAGGGCCTTAATGTGCCCAAGCGTGATACCACTCCTGAGCAAATAGCAGCTTTCTTTAAGAGTGCTCGTGAGAAGATTGATGCTATGACTAACACTGATAAGCACTAAAGATTCTTCTTTTGCAACATACTTTTATTTGAAAAAAATGTGAATATTTGCCTGATTGGAAGACTGGTTGTGGGTTGGATATGGGTTGATCTGCACCATATCTGATCCAACCCCTGCCAATTATGGATTGATCCACCACCTATTCAACTCGCCCCCATATCCATGTGGGTTGGATTGCGGATAACAGATATATTCATACTACCTAATCAGGTGATCGTGATCCCTAGTAATTCAATTACCACCTATTTTTCTAGTATTCTAGCCACACCACTATGATACCTATATTTCTAACTACAAGCCATAGTATGCTTTTCAAAGACCCTTTCCAACCATATCTATCAGTCAGCCAAAAATGGTTCAGAACGACGAATAAGTATAACTGTGCCTACAAAGAATACTCAGAGATCATACAGCTCCCTGAGTTGCTTCCAGGAGAGAAGGAGTGGTATGGATTCGTCTGCGGGTTCGGGATCCTATTTCACTCAGCTTCAGTCCGTTAACCCAGTCAGCATCCCAGGCCTCTTCACCATTTGCTCTTATCTTGAAAATTTTGAGAGGAAGCTCTTCGCCATCATGAATCCATCCTCGACCTCATCCACCAACGGAGCATCCACATGTTCCCATCCCCATGGGTATCTCGACCTCGCTGCCATGGAGATCAACCAATGGAAGGCAACTGAGGGCATAGAGAAATACTCTACCTCCGTATTTCCCTGCACAACTAGGAACTGGGAGTTTAGGGGCTGTTAGTCGAAAGGTCGCGTGGCTTCTATTCACTTCCTTCGGATTCTGTCTGATTAGCGATAGTACTATGAGCAGATGCATTCTCCAAAAATAACTTTTCACATCTCCAAATACATGGTTCACAGGTTGTGAAGTGCTTCAGAGTCACATCAAGCTATGGGGCTGAGATTAGCCATTTAGGTCAAGCTCAGACGGCGGATTACTCCCCTACAGAGCACTGTGTGATGCTGTGATTCTGTTGAGAAGAAGCGACGAATAGTAGTGCTAACTTTGTCAGGGATAGATTCAAGAGAAAACTGGGAGCAAAAATATTATTATCATTGCATTCGCATGACAGTCTGGGAAAAATCTAGTACACCAGTAAATACCCATACCATGGCATGCTGCGTAGCACGAGCCATCAAACAAATTTCTTTACTTGATACTAATAAAATGACCAGCAAGCACTTCAGCATCTCCAAATTTTGGCACAAGAAGGAAATGTGAAAACTATAACCTAGAGTCAAGACAGCTGCTACATCTGAGGAACAACATAGTTATGCGGCCTATAATTGTCAGCCCATATAAGATCAAAAATGGTATTGTCATACACAACTAACGTAACTTTTCAGTCCCCATTGAAAAATACCTTGATGCTATCCACAACTGCGTCAGCACCATGAATAGGGTCCCTGCCTTCAGCTCCAATCCAATCACCATTTCCAAGGTGCTCTCCTTCAATTACGTTTGGTTCACCTCCCTTTCCACCAACCTCATAGTGGCGGGACTTGTTTGTGTCGAACTCAATTGCGTCGACAAAGCCTATATCGTGTCCCGCGCGGATGGTCATGGAAGTTATCTTTTCGTTATCCTCGAACTCGAACGGTCTGTAGATATTCGGGTTCTGGTGGCCAACAAGCGGGCCCTTATAGCCATCATCCCAGGTGAATTGGAATCCATTAACGACATCATAGCCATCATAGCTCCGTCCCCAGGCGTCAATTTTCTTGATTTTATGTTGCCCATGTTCGGCGTTGTAGTAGCTGCCTCCATGACCACCGTATGGGCCGTCTTCAACACGTTGCGTAGTAGGCATGATGTTATGCAGATGCTCAGCAATACTGGGGAGAAAGTGCTTGTTTTCTTGTAAGGTTCAGGATCGCCTCAAAAGATAACAAGATCATAAATGTTAAGAGACAAAAGTGCTGGTATAGACAGGGAATCTTGTTCTATTATATAGATCCTAGCTGGATTGAATCACTTTCCCCGAAAACATCTGGACTCTAGTGCTGCAATGTCTATGACATATCAAGCATACAGTCCCCAAATCATGCCAGCTATTTTTTGGTTCAACATTGTCTGCACATCATACTATAGCGTACTGGCGTCACGATGATCTGCTCGATGTTGTCATAAGCACAAATAAAAACGAAGCCAAATCCATAATATAGACGGATTTAGAGCCCATTGTTACGTTTGCAGTTACTGAGTCGCCTTCGGAGTATTGTTGCCACAGAATAAAAACTCAGGGAAGTCCTTCAAGTGATTGTTCTTGGTTATAGTATCCTTTGGTGTAAGAATCACTGGTTCGTGCTCCACATCTGGCAGTTGAGGTTCCGGCAACTTCCGCTGACCGTTCAAACACCTAGCCAACAATGCATAGCTCTCAGATGAGCTCTTTTCTTTCCAATCCATTTTTCCTTTTGAACTATTCCACTCCCCGGCTCGTACTCGAGAAGATATATTGTGGGAAACAATTTACTGCCAAGAAAGGGACTGTAACGTATATTGCTTAGCCTTTTTTTGGGGGGGCGGGTGAAGAGACTTGGAATTTTGGAAGTTCTAGTATTCTAATAAGAGTCACATGGACAAGTGTTTCAAACGTGCTGGCTAATTCGCGAAAGAGCACATCTTTTAATGAGTCGCCTATTCCCTCCAGGAGACATTCAGCATATCCCTGTGGATCTATTGCCAGTCAGAAAGATTCTGCCTACATCCTACAGATTGGCTACATAAATAGGAAGCTCCAATTAATATCACAAGAGAACCAGGACATCCAAAGCCAACTGGAAGATGTGTGCAACAGCCTGTGTGCTGATCACGCTGCTCCAGAGGAGGCAGAGAACACATATCTCAGTCGGATCCGCAGTCTTTAGAAGGAAAAGCTAATCTTACAACTACCAACCACAACATAGAGGGAGGAAGAGTGCTGTCGATCGGGCTCATCAGGAGTCAAGCCGCACAGTGCACATTCTAACAGCTGATCTGGAGAGACCAAAGACAGATCTCCAGATCTTCCCCCTGACAAGATCAAGCTTGAACAGGAAAAGTCCTTGTTACTGCTGCGAGTTAGCCGTGCCAGCACAGAGAAACGAACTACACAGCTGGTGAGAGACTTTTGTCATGAACTTTTCCACCATTTGGGCGGGTCTCCATGTGTAGATTTTGAAGATCCACAAGAACCAGGAAGAGAGCCGGTATCACAGAGCAATAGGGTAACCAGAGACAACAAGTCAAGTCAACTTTCCTCTCCGTCATGCAGCGCTGAATCTAGTCCGGCGCCACAGCTTGGAGCCAACTACACCACAATGTAGAATTCCAAGCCTGAATGATTATAATGAAGAACTGGGCCCAATGACTCAATTCGCACAGCACGCAGAGACAGAAGACATTCAAGTTCGTGAGGTGGGAAATCTAGACGAGTCTGCAGATGGTGACTCACCAATATCAGCTAACTATTGAAGCAGCTGCTTGCATATCCAGTCCAACTGTGCCAAATCTTAACAATTATTTTTCTCCAGAATGTTCGGAGTCAGGCCATATCTTCTCCTTGGGATCGCGCATTTCATCATTACCATCAACATTAATCCAGCCCCACATCACAGTAATAATATTTATTTATCCACAGAAGAAATAAGCAGAATAACTGTCAACTTAGCAGAGGAGACTCACAACACTGCAGTTAAGCCACTGGGAATATAAATTTAAGGTGAAATATTCCAGGGACCGTCGGGAATCACACCTTCACCCTTGCCACAAATTTGGTTCGAAACCCTCGCGCCACTACAATCATTCCCGTTCCCATTATCATTGACAACCCCGCAAACATCTGGGCATATACAAAATCACCATCACCCTTTGAAACCAGCAGCCCCGCAAGCGGGGACCCAGTAAGCGCAGCAAAGCCAACGATGCTGAGTACCATCCCCATACGGACACCGATCTTCTCCATGTCCGTCGTAAGTGAAGCCAGGGTAGCAGGGAATAGGGCCTGAACGGCCGCCGAGAATATGCCATAGAAAAGGGCAAACACGTACAGCTCTGGCGCTGTGGAAACGCTGAGCCAGGACAGGAGCATTACGCCGGACAGTAGGACGGACGGGATGAGAAGGTTGAGGGGACCCGTGTACATGTCGGCGAGGAGATTAGGGATCGGGCGGGCGAAGAGCCCGACTCCGTTCATGATCAGAAGGAGGTATATGGATGCCGTTTGGCTTAAACCAATGGTTTGGCGGGCGAATGTACTGATGTAGAAGAAGGCAATATAGAGGCCCCAGAAGTTGAAAAACATGCCGACGGCGAAGAAGAGATAGACAGGGTCACGGAAGGCAGTCCAGTCAACGAGGGGCCCGCTTCTTCGGGGCGGGACGCGTTGCTTGAGCTGGACGAATGACACCAATAACATGGCGAACGTGAGGAAGCCGAGCGTCCGAACCGTCCAAGGGAATCCAACCCGGGGAAGAAGCCTCTCGACGACCACAGGAAAAATGAGGCCTCCGGTCGCAGACCCAGTAGCGGCCAACCCCACAGCCAGCGATTGATGGCGCGCAAAATACGATGGCATAAGGGACAGAACAGGACAAAACATCAATCCGCACCCGAGACCCATACAAAGCCCCTGCGCGAGGAACAGCTGCCAGTAGGAAGTGCATAGCGATGTCATGAAGATACCAATTAGATTGAGGACCGCTCCTACGGACCAGACCAATTTGAAGAACCCGGCATCGGCGGCTCGGCCAGAAAGGGTGGCCACGAAGAAGAGGAGGAAGACCTGCACGCTACCGATCCAGGAAATAGTTGATGCGGACTGCGGGAGAATTTCTTCGTAGTAGGACTGGAACATGCCAAAGGTGGTGATGTAGCCCCACGTGTTGCAGACGGTGAAATGCGCCCCAAGAACCTGTGACCATGCAATAAATCCCCCGTCTGGTGGCGGACCAGGGTCTGATATGGCGGGTTGGAATTGGAGGCCTGTAAGTAGCTTGCGCAATCGATATGTAGCTGGTTCAGCTGTCGTCGGGGGAAGATGGACGTCGTCGTGTTTGGCATTGTTCTCAAGATCTGATGCCTCTAACATTTTTGTGGGTGTCATTGTTAGCTGTTGTTTATGATCACCGTATGTATATACATACCTGTAATGCCAGGATAGGGGTTGCCACAGAGATATATAACTCAGATAATACAGCAAACACACCCCAACTACATCTGAATTAATGTCATGGATTTTGGCACTCTGCGAGGTTGGTGGTGCCGACTAAACCAATCACAAATCAGACACAATAGTATTTTGTTTTTTTGATTCCATCCCACCCTCATATCCAGGCGGGTTGGATTGCGGAATTTGCGGAATTTGCGGATAATGGATATATCCATACTATCTAGTCAGGTGACCTCTAGTATTCATAGTATTATACCTCAACCCCTAGGGTATCTATATATTTTATTAAATAATATAATAATTTACTACATAAATATTATATATTACCTATTAGATAACCTAAAATAGGCTTAAGTAGGGAGATAGGGTGGCCCCTAAGGTGAGGATGAAAAGTGGTGCAGAGATATATATATCTTACCACTACTATCCTGATCACCATTATCTAAAATCTCAACCACAATGTCCTCCAAATTTTCTGTTCCAGAGACGGCTTCTAGCGGTCAGGTTCAACGGTCAGGTGAAAGCGTGGGAGATGACTATACCTCGTCGATCTTGGAAGATCTTCGCCGATTGCGAACTGGAAAGCGAGGCCGAACCCCAATCGACCCCGCGCAAAGAGGCCTAGCGGAGGTAGGCTTAGAAGCTTATTACTTATTCCGTTGGCATTATCTGACTTGTACATAGAGACGCCGGAATCAAGTCCGAAAAGCACAGCGGGCCTACAGAAATCGGAAAGAGCAGGAAGCTGCTTTTCGCACGAACTACGTGGCGGATCTTGAAAACCGAATCAACAATATGAGACAGTCATTTTTTGATCTAATATCCGCTATTAAAAAGGCGTCAATTATCCAGAGGCATCCCGATCTCGCGGACGAACTCAACAATATCACCCGCGACTTCTTATCTGCTTCTCAAATCATCAAGCCTCATAGCGAATCTCAACGTGGCGGTAGACGTGTTGATCATAACTCAAGGGACGGTTCCCATCCATCGAGGCTAGGCGACTCTTCCAATATCTACGCCTCTTGCGCTACGGTATCGCCAGTATCAGCCTCTGTGCCTATCGGAATGTCAATGCCCATTCTTGCGTCACACTTGGAGCTGTTTCCCTCTCCGTCCTTCGGAACCAGGACCCTGCTGCCGAGGAATTTCTCTCAGCGCCTCTATTTTAGTTGCATCAAGCGCGCTTACCACCTGCTCACCAGTCCATATGCGGACAGGGCGGATGTCACCCGCGTCTTCCAGTATTCTTTCCAATATTCGGATACCGACACGATGATTTCGACCTTCGACACCTTGCTGCGGACCAATGCCGATTATCAAACCGCATATGTCTATAGGTTGGGTGGCGCCGGGACTCACTACCAAAAAGTGCAGGCAGGAACGAATATTGTCCAAAATGTTCCGTTAAGTAAACAGACGCCATTTAGGAATGATGAGGACACGTGGTTTGATCCGCGGGATATTGAGGGGTGGCTCGAAGAGAATGGACTCGTTATTGGAGGCGCCCAGTCATACATGTATCTGTCGGAATTCCGTTCCCTTGGGCCGTGCAGGGACATGACACTGTGTCCAGGACCTGAGTCCCCTGAGATTTTGGACTGGGATATTCGGCCAGGTGTCAAGATCCTTAACGTGGACCAATTTCTTAAAGGTTTGTCTTTGGTACGCCTCCTCTACTTTGCACTATGATGCGCAGGGATGCTGAAAATAAATTTGAACAGAACTTCTTTTGAGGGGGGTGTGTCTGGGCGGTGCTCCAGGATTCCTCCGTAGGGACGTTGAGGCGGCATTTAGCCTCGCGATAAGTGATGAAACGACTTTTATTCGTGAGTCATAGAGTCAATATTACGGACTGGACGCTGTATTAGGGTTATATTCTCAAGAACTGCCTTGAAGCCGGCAGGTCTTAATACAGTAGAGACACAGGAACAGCCTTCTCGTTTGGGGATTGGTGGTGATTGATGTATTACCCAGAGACTGCCACTCCCGCCTAAATGCGAACAGACTAACCATGGACCTTTCTTCACTCAACAATCACGAGTGACTGATCACTAACATCATAATCAACGCACTCCTCAAACTGTACTTCTCCCGTAGCAGACCCTTATCCCCATTTGCAAATAAAGTCTCAGCGAGAGTACATTTCCCAGTCTCCGCAAATCCTAACTCCCAGTACAATCTTGCTGTAGCATGGTCTCCGGTTTCGCCATCAACTGCACCCAGACCTCGCGCGGAGACTCTCGATACGAAGCTAGGTAATCCAATGCCTCTTGTCACAGCTTCTTCCTGAGACCCTGACTACGACGGTCGAGAAGTGTGAACAAACTGAGCATTTGCCAAAGTTCATCGTCCCATCTTTCGGGGGCTTCTTTTGGCCGGATTCCTCGGCTAGGATGTAGCCTTCTCGACTCTGCGGGCCACGTAATGTCAACTGACCTACCAATGTTTTCTGTTCTGGGACGTGTGGGTGGGATGAATTGTTCTTGATGGATGTTGCGGCGCATGTGGAGGTCTTTTTCTCGTTTGAGTTTAGGCGAGTAACCCGCTCGTTATTCAAGAGGGGCGATTCGATATCGTACTTAGAGGAGAACGAGGATGGTGCGATGCTTGGAGACGCAGCTTTTTGTACTTCTTGACAGATAAGGCGATCGTATTGTCTTTGGCAATGCGGAAGAAGGAATATTCGTAATGATGAGTTGACATATTGAGTATGAATGCAAGAATGGAAGGATCTTCTAGACGGATTACAGGGGCAACTATGAGTGTGATTGCTGCTCCCGTCTTTCCGGTAATTTAGAAAGGATGGTGACCAGAGGCGCTTCTCAAGATTGTTCGGCAACCATACTGCAGTCAAGTGGCGATTTGAATAAAAGATGACAGAATCAGAAAAAAGGGATCGGCTTGATCCACCAGCTACCTAACCCCTCTCGGGTTGGATGATTGATAATATATATATGATTTATCCCTCCTTGTTAGTCACGGGATATAAATATTCGAATCACCACATAGGTTCCTAGTGTTATACCTCAGGGTATCTGTACATTTTCTTACTCAATATGATGTTTAACTGTATACTTATCATATATTGCCTGTTAGATAAGGCAAAATACGCTTAATTAGGGTGGTAGGGAGGGCCCCCTATGGTTAAGACGGAAGTCACGGAAAGTGGTAGAGAGATGTTAATCACCAGTATTGCTAGCTAGGCTGCGGTTCTTAGGGTGGATTGCTGGTCTGTTTGTGCTAATTATCAGTCCGACACACCTGGATCCACCTATATCTTAGAATCAGCTATTGTATCAGGACCGCACAAGTGTTAGTTGGAACAGTCGGCACAACAATTATGCCGATTGAACATGATTATATTTGATCTGGATAGGCTTCGGCTTTGTTGTATGCCCATGGCATTTTCTCTGCTATATGCCCTCCAATTGCTTAAAGATATAACAGTTTACTAAGTAAACTGTGGTCAGCCTGGTTAGACACGCCTATGAACACGTTAGTTTTTGCCAATCATACACAATCAAAATCATGAACTCTTCTTCATCAATGCCTGCCAATCTACACGAGTTCTCTGCGGCAGATATCCGGAAACACAGGTCTGCCGAGTCATGTTATGTTACTCTAGGCTCAAAAGTTTATAATGTCTCGAATTTTCTTGTCAATCATCCTGGGGGAATGAGCTTAATCCTTAATCACGCCGGTACGGACTTAGGAGATGTCCTAGCTGACGCCGCCATTCATCGACATTCTAATGCTGCCTATGAGATTCTCGAGGAATACCACATTGGTTTCGTTGACTCGGAGGTAGCATCAAAAGCCGTTATGGATGGTTGGAGTAAGGATCAGCCTATGCCAGAGAGAGTGTATACAGATACTGATACTCGGATGGAAGGCGAGCAGATTCCTGGAGAGACAGAGCGCGTCAAAAAATATCATGAACACAGGTTCCTGGATTTGAACAAACCTCTATTTCCTCAGCTGTGGTATGGAGGGTTCACGAGAGAATTCTACCTGCAGGAGGTCCACCGTCCGCACTACTACAAAGCTGGAGAGTCCGCCATTCTTTTTGGGAACATACTCGAGCCCTTGAGCAAGACAGAGTGGTACCTCGTGCCTCTCATTTGGTTCCCACCCGTCATTTACGCGACAATCACGGCAGCTGCTGGCCTAGGTAACAATATGATGGCTACTGCATACTGGGTCATTGGCCTTTGTCTGTGGACATTAATCGAGTATACAATACACAGATTTCTCTTTCACATTGATAAGTATGGGTTCAATCTATTCATCTGGGTCTTACGTTAACCGCTTACGTTGACCACCACAGATGGCTTCCAGATAATAGAATTGGGCTTTCCTTTCATTTTCTTTTGCATGGCATCCATCATTATTTACCAATGGATAGAAAGCGGCTGGTTATGCCCCCCGCACTATTTCTAATCCTTGCCAGCCCATTTTACAAACTTGTCCAGTTTGTTTCTTTCTATAGTTGGTATGCAGCTATCCTAGTATACTGTGGAGGTATTGTTGGCTACATCTGCTACGACATGACCCATTATCTTATTCACTATTGCAAGTAAGTATACTCTGTTGAATCTCTGGACGATATACTGATTTCTCATGTTAGTCTGCCGTATTACTATAAGGATCTGAAGAGGAGCCATCTTGACCACCACTTTGGGCACTTGGACAATTCTTTTGGCGTGACGACTCGTTTCTGGGATCGAGTTTTTGGGACCGACCTCCAGCCTAAGCCCTGTTAGTATTTGAGTTATTCTAAGTGGTTGCTGTAGTTATCTCTGCAGTAGTAACCCAAGAATCAGCAACTCAGGCTTCTTAAGTAGCTCCGCCTCACAACAGACCACCCTGAATCTTCCGGGTGTCAATTTCTCATCTGACTCATCCAGTCCCAAGATTCTTTATCTGATGACGAGCTTGCAAAGCTTCCGCCTAGAGGAAATCTATAGCTACGCAGAATTGGGAGCGTATCTTTCTGTGCTCTGAACTTGAGACCGTGGAACGAGGCGTAATGCATATGACTCTTGAGATATTTTCTTCAAGCCCGAATCTAAGACAAAATGGTATGCTGTAATGGTAGGTGAATGCCTGTGATGAGTATGGAGCTACGTATGAGATGATACGTGAATTTTCATTTGAAATCTGCGTTACATGCACTCCCTCTACTTCTGTGACAGGCATGCTATTCTGCTCTTCTACCCGGTCGTAGTAGCTACCTATCATTTCACTCCACCCAAATTGCGCTGCACCTTTACGTAGATTGTCGCTAAGGAAGTCGCGGATGCAACCAGGACGGGGTATGGCCGTGCCATTGCTGAGACAGTAAAAGCCAAAGCCACATATTATGTGAGAGAATTCAGCAATATGTAGTCCCTTGTATGATTTTTAAAAAAGGCCCACAGAAGAAGCATGCAAGTCCTAAGCTCGAGGCTAATTTGGTGGCGAGAGCATGAGGTTAATTCTTCTGAAAACCAGTAAGAGCCACGTTGATACCCTGGTATAAATATTGGGCCTCACTATTAAAGTGCTCTGGTTATATTGCAATCCCCCATCAATGAGCAACCACAGCTCATAGCGGTAGAGGTATAGCTATGGACCTTCAATGAGTATCTACTCTCTTCTATATTCGGTAGGTCTTAACTTCTTCTGACATTATCATACTTGTACCTAATTATGCAATATTGCAGCAATTCTGGGTGTGCAATTTCCTTCCGGCGGAAGCGCTGTTACTCCGACCTGGGAAAAAGTATTCCGTAAATCTACAATAAAACCGGGTAGATTAGTGAACACAATCAAACTTTATGTCTCGGCCCACGTTGACGAACACTCCACCCAATTACCACAGCTCGGAATGACTTTCGATGAAGACCGAGGAATTATATGAACGCAATAGGATGGTTATGGACTATCATGGAGCAAAACCTTCCCCCGCTTAGTAGGGTGTACCTATTCTTGCCTCTCTGCTCCTCCCACCATCAATCAAATGCCCCGATTCCGCCGGCTCAATTATTCCACCGTCTACGTATAGAGTCAAGCATATAAAGAGATAGATGGAGGGTCATTGATAGCACATAAAACCCTCCTTTCTAGCATCCTCAGTTATTAAAAACCCGAATAACACCAAATTTCAACCATTTATACCTCAATATGACGCCGGAATTTCAGACTCCGCATTTGACATTAGCTGGCAAAGTTGCCATTGTGACGGGAGGATCGCGTGGTATTGGAGCTGCCACTGCTCTAGAGCTCGCTAAGCGTGGGCAAAGGTCAGGGCAGCTCTTGATAATGGAAACACAGGGCTAACCCAACACTAGGTGGCTATCACATTTGTGTCTCCCAGTAGTGAGGCATTGGCGGAACAAGTTGTCTCCACTATTAATAAACTTGGCAATGGTGCTTCTGCTATCAAAATCAAGGCAGATATGCATGACCTTGAGTCTCCGAAAAAAATTGTAAGCGAGACGACAGCTGCTTTTGGAGACCAAATCGATATTCTTGTCAATAATGCCGGCATGGAATTTGGAAAGCCACTTGAAGGAATCACTGTTGAGGAATATACCAAGGTTCTTGACCTTAATGTCCGCAGTGTTATTTTCATGACGCAAGCTGTACTTCCACATCTCCGGTGCCCAGGCCGCATCATCAATATCGGATCTGTCCTGGGGCGTATTGGCCATCCAGGGGCGAGTATTTACTCAGCCACTAAGGCAGCGCTGGAAGCTCTCAGCCGTGGCTGGGCGTCAGAATTAGGTGCTGCTGGCCACACTGTCAATGTTGTGGCTCCTGCCCTTACCGAAACCGATATGATGGCTCGCGCTACAGCAGCTGGGGGATCCGAGCAGGCCATCCAAATGCAAAAGATGTTGACTCCTTTAGAACACAGACTTGGTAAGGCTGACGATATTGCTCTTGTTGTGGCATGGCTGGCGGATCCGTCGAGCAGGTGGATTACTGGACAAACTATTCAGGCTGGCGGAGGTATCTACATGTCCTGAAGTGATCAGCTTTTACTCATTGCTATACCACCAAAGGAGAGGCGAGAAGGCTGCAAAGCTTCTGCCTTAAAGGCTTTTCTTTTTCAGTCATGGCCTACAGTCTATATGTCAATTGCAAATAGGTTAAATTAGGTCCAAAAAAGATCATAGCCGCCTTAGGCCAAACATTTGCAAGGACATTGCATACAGCAAAATTCTATGCCAAACTACCCAAATAACAGCTAGGCTATCCAAGGCCTGGCTTTTTTTGTGAGCTATAAAACACTTCTTCTTATATGTGAGCACTGAGTCTCTCGCTTTTGAGGTGTTATGGTCGGCGGATGTATCTTGTTGACCCTCCATCGACGTCGAGAGACAGAATCTTAAGTTTCGAAGCAGGGCGGACAATCTCAAGAACTATATCTCTCTCTTTCGTCAGTGGCCATTGAGTTCGTATCATAGTAACCTGTAGAAGTACACAAACTTCGCGACACATACATTCTTAAGCTCGACCAAGAGGTCGAAGCCAAACTCCAGACCTCTCTGCATACGGAGGTCTCCTTCACATACTCATTTCCACACCCGATTCCGTAGGCCTTCGTCGCAATCCAACAGCTATCAATGGACAGGTGATAATCTCAATCATTCGCAAACTGTTGCATCCCCTGGTTATGCGCTCGGCCCAGGTACAGTATCATTTGAGGACAAGCTCCGAGGGGTGTTCGGAGTAAGCGTTCGGGAATAGTAATGGTGTCTATCTAGCGACCAAGTACATGGCTTTAACAGGATGCTGTCTGAAGTGCTTSGATACCTTCCCGTATACTTGAGAGGGAAACATCTTAGGTTAGGGTCAAGAAGTCTGTGCCGTTTGTAACAGAGATGATGATGGATAATTCTGTGAGGATAATTAGTCAAACGTAATTATTATGCGGCAAAAAAAAAAAAAAAAAAAATGTAGCTAACGTATGTGATGGGCTCAGAGATAGACGTACTAGCCATGCTGAATGGTATGGGGGTAGGAAGTGAGATTACAGTTTGTAGTGATGGTGCCAGTGGTGGAGTTGTCATGGGAAGAAGCTGGAGGGGCAGTGGAAGTGGCAGAACACTATGCGAGACATTCCGAGCGCCGAGCGGTGTGCTTCTTCTCCCCTTTCACAGTCGGGGTTTCACTTCGGAGAACCATTTCCCAACATTGCCGGGATGGAGACTTGACAGACCCCTCGCGATATTCCGTTTTCACAATTACAGCATTCATGGACCGAGATGAGATCGAACACGTCCTGAGCCGGAAGCGCAAGCCCCAGGAGAAGGCTTGCTATCCCTGCCGCCGGCGTAAGGTCCGCTGCAATCATGGCCAACCGTGCACCACATGCAAGAAGCGGGGCCATGATTGTCTGATGATAGGCATTGCCCAGCGAGGAGAACCGAGCCTGGCGAAATTGACAGCGAATCTTTTACCAACCCAAAGTCAGACAGAGTCTAGATCCATCAAACATCAGAATCATACCCAGAGTGATTGAAAACAGCCTGATACAATTTGGCTTACCTTGCACGATCGTAGAAGACCTTACGGGCAGCCCGGCTGTTCGGCCACCCAGCTCTACGAAAGTTTTCGATATTAGCTTCTCTGTACGATAACTTCTCAACAATGACTTACCGCGCGACAGAATTAAAAACAAACAGTCATATGGAATCAGAAATAATTCGGGAACCTTTACCAGATTTACGGGTATCCGGATGCCAGACGTTAGGGTTTAGGTAGGGGTACGTACGGATGAAACAACGCAAATCACTCTCCTCAGGAGTCCACTTGATCTAAGAGCCTGGGAGGCTTCTTGCGAATAGTTACTACCACCTAGCCGTACAGAAAACACCGAGGTGTGAGGTATGGGACCCAAAAATGTCTGAAGACTGGAAATGTTGCCGAGATTTTCGTCGATCCTGTCGGCGCTCGGGGCTCGGATCCTCGGCAGGAACTGGCATAGGTCCAAGTAGAATAATGATGCACATTGTCGTAGCAGATGCGACTATTTAAGGGTGATGACGAACACGCCAAACAAAACAAGAACTGCAGTCGATTCAGAATAGTGAGTTGGTTTAGCTTAACGCGCAAGAACCGGTCAACAAATCTATTTGCTCAGCAATCGTCTCTGCCCTACTGCCTATCGGAGCAGCGGATCTGACTCTGCATCACCCACAATGGCTCCCACGAGAGATAGAGACCCAGAGCCTCCGCACCTGAGCTTCCGCACCTTTGTGGACTCTCTTCGGGACGACAACGATTTGGTGGAAGTGAACGACCCCGTCGATCCGAACCTCGAGGCTGCAGCTATTACTCGTCTCGTCTGTGAGACTAATGACAAGGCACCGCTGTTCAATAACGTCCTTGGGGCCAAGAATGGCTTTTTCCGCATTCTTGGCGCTCCTGCTTCTCTACGCCAGTCCAAAACGCAACGCTTTGGGCGCATTGCGCGACACCTGGCCCTGTCTCCCGACTCCAGCGCTAGTGCCATCATGGAGAAGTTGCTCTCCGTCGGGTCGCAGGAGCTGGTTGATCCTGTTACGGTCGAGTCGGGCCCTGTCAAGGAGAACAGCATCGAAGGCGACGATATCGACTTAACGGCCATCCCAGCTCCCATGGTGCATGAGACCGATGGCGGCAAGTATATTGGCACCTACGGCGTGAACGTTCTCGCAACGCCCGATGGTCAATGGGTCAACTTGTCCATCAACCGAGCCATGATCGTGGGTAAGCGCACCATGACTGGTGCCTGCTATCCGCCACAGCACAACTGGCAGATCGTCAACAAGTGGCGGGAGATCGGCCAGGACGCGCCGTGGGCGTTCGCGTTTGGTGTTCCCCCAGCAGCCGCCTTGGTGGCAGCCATGCCCATTCCAGACGGTGTCAGCGAAGCTGCCTATGTCGGTGCCTTGAGCGGGGAACCTCTGAAGCTGGTCAAATGCGACACTAACGATCTCTATGTCCCAGCCAACGCCGAGATTGTCTTTGAGGGCACCATTTCAATCACGGAACAGGTCCCTGAGGGTCCTTATAGCGAGATGCATGGGGTCAACTTTCCTGGAGACTCCCGCATGATGCCACTGTTCAAGGTCAACAAGATCAGCTACCGCAATAACGCTATTCTCCCACTGTCGGCCACGGGCAGACTAACAGATGAAACCGTGAGTGTAACCCTAGTGATAATTAAAAATCGACATCCCGTTGCTCTAGTGGCTTTGGCTGACCAATTCGCAACAGCAATCCTTGGGGGGTCTGCTCTCAGCCGCTGAAGTCTTGAAGCTCTGCCGGGTTGCCAGATTACCAATTTTGCAAGCTAGTTCGCCGCTCATTTCTCAGTGCACCTGGGTCGCGCTTCAGGTTGATGGAACCCGACTTCGGGCCATGAAGGTCACTCCGAAGGAGTTAGCCGATCTTGTCGCTAATGTAGTGTTCGAGTCCAAGGCAGGGGTGCCATTTCACCGTCTCCTACTGGTCGGCGAGGACATCGACGTCCATAACGATGCTGACATCATGTGGGCGTTCTCTACGCGGTGCCGTCCCGGGCTAGACGAGTATCCCTACGAAGATGTCAAAGGCTTCGCACTCATCCCTTATATGGCCCACGGGAACGGCAACCCTACTAAGGGCGGCAAGGTAGTCTGTGATGCGCTATTCCCTGTTGAATACACCACGGGCAGAAACTGGATCAACACCAGCTTTCGGCAAGGTTATCCAAAACCACTGCAGGACAAGATTTTGGCCTGCTGGGAGAAGAGAGGATTTAGCCAGCTGGACTAGATTCGGACGTACCTTCGGACCCTCGGGTGCCAACAGCGGGCACTCCCGCCTAGAACTCCCACTTGTCGTATATTGCTGGCTTAGTGAACATGGAAATTACCGTTTCCCACGACCAAGCCACGGTTCACTAGGTCGATCAGGATATCTCCGGGGATCAGTATTAGTGTGCTAGCATCGGTGCTCATTGCTTATTGATATTAGTTATACTGTTAGAGCTGTATTTTCAGAACGTCCGAGAGAATGCAAGGTAGTTAATAGTACATTATCCCGCTAAGCAAATTGGGTGTCTGAGGCGCGGTTGCATTGGGGTTATTGTTCTCCTATCACGACTTTCTAAAATGTAAGCTTCTGCCATCCAAGGACAACCCTTCACGTAAAATATGACAATTCTCAACTCCCATCAATATACTATTCTGTCTGACGCACACTAGAACCTAGAGAGAGCGCATTACTTGTCGGTAGACCGGAAATTAAGGAAATTTTCTTTATACGGGTTCCAGATTGCATGATGGTAACTGTGGCCATAGGCGAATCGGGGGAGCGTGGGGAACTCCCGTCCCTTCTGCAGGAAGCCGGTGGACCTGGGGGCAGATCTTGCCGTGAGGTATAATAGTACTGTATAATGGAGATTGTGTGATTTTGAGACGGAGACCACCGCGGCAATGGAGCTACTAGAGGATACTGCCCTTGTATGCCTTAGCGCTCGCAGAAATGTATACTAAGAAAGTTCAAAAGGGGTGAGAGTCGTACGCGTGGTATAGTTAGTATACAAGAAATATGAAACAGGTGTTGGTTCTAATATTAATACTCGATAGTACCAGTTGGCCTAATGTTCAACCTAGAGTTGGTTTAACAATTCTCTATATGGTAGCATGGTAAGCACACTATGACACCTATACTCCATGAGTTTTTCCCGCGTGGTGGAAGAATGCATCACTATCAGAACTGCCTGCTACGCAAACTGTAATGACTCATTAACCTGTTAGTCATCTAGTATAGTGAGCGAAGTAGCCCTGTGAGAGCCTATATGCAATTTTTTTACCCGATAAGTTGTATCTAATCTATTGCTTCAATAACGCCCATGGTAATGCAAAACACCCGCACAGATCAAACCGATTGCTCCTACACACGACGTCAACTCTCTAAACGCTGCCAGCCCTTCCATCTCGCAAAGTCCTCAGTGTCGAGGTCGAACAGGTCTAGCATGCGCCCTACGCTCTGGTCGATCAATTCATCCACGGACGCTGCCCGGATATAGTAAGCCGGGACAGGAGGGAAGATGACTGCGCCCGCGCGGGACACCTCCAACATGTTCCGCAGATGAATATCGCTCAGCGGGGTTTCCCGAGCGACCAAGATCAGGCGTCGTCGCTCTTTAAGCATGACATCAGCGGTGCGAGCGATCAGATCATCACAGAACCCGCTGTGGATTGCTGCAAGGGTCTTCATGCTGCACGGAACGACGACCATTCCATCTGCTTTGAAGGAGCCGCTTGAGATCGGGGCCGCCATGTCGTTGATCGAGTGGACATGGTCGGCTAGGGCTCTGACATTCGACGGAGTATAGTCAGTCTCGTACTTGATGGTCGCCTCGGCCCATTTGCTCATTACTAGGTGCGTCTCGATATTCAGCTTGCGCAAGGCAACCAGTACTCTTATTCCTAGGATGGCCCCGGTTGCTCCGGTCATAGCAACCACGATCCGCTTGCGGCGCTGGCGCTGCGTAGGTGCCGGTTGTTCAGTCTTCTCCGACGGCATAATTGTCTCAGTTGAACTTCCACCAGGGAGTCCCTGACTGGAGATTGGGGAGGGGGTGCTGGAGAGCAAAGAAAGCATGGGCATTGGTATTAATGATAGGCTGGTTTTGATGTTTCAGTGTCGTTTCTCTCAAGGCTTGTGTTTTCAATGCCTGGATGGTGTTGACTGTTGACTGTTGAACTGTACTTCGTAGTTATATCTTGACCTGTGGCAATTGCTGCACTCGGAAGAATCGGCGGTAGCATTACTTTCAATCACGGAATATCCATTAACTGTCACGGTGGCTAGGCCCCGAGCGCCGAGGATACATTAGGATTACTTATACGGTCGATCCCCGAGCGCCGAGATCCAAAGGGACCCCAAAACTGAGCGACCGAGTGGACGTTTAGAGTTCAGACAAGGTTACCTTTTTAAAGTTGACGTATAATTTGAGGAACATATGAAACACCAGGGTTGCAAACAAAAACATCAGATTACTGTTAAAGTCTGAATGTCAGTCGTGCTGGAATCGACCGGATGTGGCGAGTTCTGTACCAGCAAGCTTTATTTACATCCTTCAGGCCTAAAGACTCCCTAAAGAGATGTTGTTGTATATTTTAATGCTAATTCCAGTAGGACAAGGTAGTGAAAAAGCAGTCATAGATCATCAATAGCTAACATCGCCATAGTAAGAGAAGATCTCTTGGTGCTAGTCTTCCAAAAATAAAAATGTATCTGTTTCAAATCAATATCTTAGGAATGATATAGCACGTCTATATTATCTGGTAGAGGGGTAACGAGATGCTTGATTGAGATGTAGTGAAGAGCCCAATGTCTCAGAAGGACATTCGACCCCGTACTGTTCCAGCGCCGCCAAAGAGCAAGCCGGGACGTCCGAGAACAGTCGGATGGTATCTGCAAGGCTATCGGCGAGGCCGTCGAGCAAGACTTGATCCAAGGCATTCGGCGGCGCCGCCAGGACCAAATCCAGCGTAGTCTCGCGCTCGATCGAGATGACATTGATCTGGCCAGGTGGTGGCTGCGAGGTAGCCCAGGTAACACTCGAACAAGAAGGGATCCCGTCCATCTCAAACAAATCCTGCGACTGAGCCGCCTGGTGATGCACTAGACAGCCGAACCGGGCATCCGGCGGCCAGTCGGTGCAGTGTCTGGCGATCTCCTCCAGGGAGAGAGAATCGTGCGGGACCGTCAACACTTGCCGAAGCTGGACGTACTGGAGGAACTGTGCAACAGTATGTTCCCAGTTGATTACAATACGGATGGGCAGGAACGTGACGCAGGGTCCCAGGATTTGATGCACGTTCGGAATGGCAGAACCTCTTCCGTGTGCAACTTGGCCGAGAACGATATCAGAACGTGACGCGTAGCGCGAGAGGACCCATGAAAGAGCAGCCTTTACGATTGTCGCTACCGTGGCTCCTGAAACTGATGACGGCGGCACAAGCTCCCTGCGGGCTGTCCGCGAGAGGTTCGAATTTTCAAGTGGAGTGATGAAGTGGGCGATCTGTAAGGGGTCCAGGGCGGCGGCAGATGCACCCTGAAGATAGGTGCGCCAGAAAGAAGCAGTGTCGGCGTGATCACGCCCTTTGCGGTGATGCACGAGGTGGCTGAATGGAGTCAGATCGGAGAGCGGGTTCCCCTGATAGGCAGCCTTGATTGCCTGCCACAGGAAGGGAAGGCTGGCTCCATCGTACTGCGCGTGTGAGATGTGAACGACAAGTGCTGAAGTCTTCCGAGTGGTACTTTTGACGAGGCCAAAACTTGTAAGGGGTGAACCGAGTGGCGTCGCCGGAGTCGTGCGACGAGTCGCCTGCTGCGTCAGGTATGATTCTGCGTCATCACATTGCAGCAGAGAGAATTGTGGCTCGAAATGCCGGAGGATGACCTGCAGTAGACGACCACCAGCTTTCCAAAAGACCGTCCGCAGGATACTGTACCGCGATACCACCTGCTGGCACGCCCAACGGAGTCGAGCTGGATCCAGGTCTGTGGGGAACACCTCTGCAAAATTCACGATTGATGACGACTCCACGTAGTGGGCCTGGCTCTCCAGCGCGGGTAGGATGTCCTCAAGGTTGGCTTCACTAATGGGAGGCTCGGCCGCAGCGAGCAGCCGGACGACCTCCCTGTATTCATCGTCGGATATGAGGCAAAATGCAGAACGAGACTCAACAACGGGGGCTGCCGACCGGCTTGTGAGCACCGCGTCAGCCCAGCCCAGCACAGTAGGGCGCCGAAGGATATCATATAGGCTAATGTTCAATCCGCTCTCTCTGGCGCTGGCAGCGATCTTCATGGCGACGATGGAATCCCCACCTAGATAGAAGAGATTTTCGTCAATTCCTACCGTCTCCGGCGCAAGCGACAAATGACGCGTCAGGATGGCATGAAGCTTGGACTCTACCTCGGTACGAGGGTACTGCTTCTCTCCAAGTGACATAGTGCGGTCAAGCCGGCGGAACTCTGCCAGGCCCGCGAATATGGCCTCGCGCAGCAGCGGGCGGTCCGTTTTGCCCGACTTCTGGCGCGGTACTCGCCGAATCGGGAGGAAGAAGTCGGGGACCATATAGTCCGGTATAGCATCGCGGAGACGTGAGAGTGCGATGACCGAATCTGTATGAAATTCTGGGGTCGAAGGAGTCAGGAGCTCCTCTGCACTGCCACGCTCGCTCATCTGCGATGCTTTTTCCACGGAGCCGCCCCGGGCTGCTTCGTGGCAGATACAGGCAACGACTCTGGAGACCAAGGCAGGACTATTCCCGGAAGATGCAGGATCCTGTCCTGACGGTAGCATGACGTGCTCAACGACAGCGTTGCTAGCGTGAGGAAAACACCGGCGAGTGTGGTACTCGATCTCCTCTAGCTCTACACGCTGGCCACGGATCTTGATCTGCCGGTCCTTTCGACCTTCATAACGCAGGGAACCATCCGAGACCTCATACCGCACCAGGTCGCCAGTTTTGTATAGCCGCCAGGGGTATGGGCGCGGCATCAGAGCGTCCAGCCACTGGGGATGCTGGATGAATGCTTCCGCGGTTCTTCGAGCGTCATTGATGTAGCCCTGTGCCACGGGAGGGCCGCCCAGAATCAACTCACCCACAGCACCAACAGGAACAAGTTTTCCATGGTCGTGCTGATCGGCTACCCAGAAGTGAATTCCAAGGCCGTGACCCATATTGCCAGGGTCGCAGCCCGGAACAATATGAGCACGCGCGGTATTGAGAACGGAACATTCAGTGGGGCCATATGCGTTCATCAAATGGCACTTTTCGCCCCATTGCGTGATGTGGGCGGTGGACATGGGCTCTCCAAGGAGTACCATTGTTTTCACCCATCCTGGTCGACTGGCATCAAGAGTCGCTGCCACGGAAGGGGTAAGAAACGCATGCGTGACGGCGAAGGGACAGGCGCCATCAAGCAACATCTGATCGCGTTCGACATCAGAGGGGACACACACAGTCCCGCCGGCAAGTAAAGTGGTCAGGATCTCCAATACAGCGACGTCGAATGCGTACGAAGAGAACTGGAGTACGCGCGATCCGGGGTCCAAGGAGAAGGCGCGGATCTGCTCCCTAGCGGCGGCCGTGTACGAGGAATGAGGCACCATAACGCCCTTTGGTGTCCCTGTCGTGCCCGATGTGAAGAGGATGTAAGCAGGTTGTTCAGGGTCCACGGCAACAGACTGGAACAGCAGGTCGGACGGAGTTTGTCCCCTGGTTTCTCCGGCAATGATGATCTTCTCAGCCAGCTTCAGGCACAGGGAAGCCTGTGTGACTGAGGAGACCATATGGGTAGCACGCACACGCTCGCAAAGTGCCTTGAGTCGGGGGAAGGGATGCGAGGGGTCCAGCGGAACGAACGTCGCGCCTGCTTTCATCACAGCCAGCACAGCCACGATGGCCCATGGCGACTTCTCGCTGCATATGGGCACGTATTGCGATGGTTTCACACCATGGGCGACGAGAGAAGCCGCGAGCCAGACGGCTGCGCGATCCAGCTCCTCATAGGTCCAGTTACCATCCCAGCTAGAGACGGCCAAGTTCGATGGCTGTTTCGCGGCTTGTCGCGCGATGAGTTCATGTATACATTCCGCTGGCGGTGGAGAGATAGGCCCGTTCCATTCAAGCAGGCGATGTTGATCCCTGGCGGTAAGACCGACCAGCTCCTTGACTGTTGCATGTGGAGACTGAAGTACGGCAGCGACGAAATGGGCAAAGTAGTCGGCCAACTGGGTCGCAAGATCCGCGGAGATGCGGGATTCGCGATAGGTCATCGATGCGCGCATAGTTCCTTGGGGATCTACCAGTGCATAAATCGTGACATCTTGCTATATTTGACCAAGCACAGAGTCAGAAGGTCTACAGAAGGCAATCGGGGGTGGAACGAGAACAGCTTACCAAAGTTGGATCGAGTCCAGTCACTGGAGTCAAAGATATCGAGAAATTCTTGTCCTTGCACGAGGAGGCAGGAATGGCGTACTGCACGTTTATGGCCGTCGACGCCAATTCCTGCACTGTGACTCCGCATGTGCGAGAGATCCCCGATAGTGGAAAGCTCTGAAACATCAATACGCGTCCATAATCCCCCTGCAGGGCAATGGCAGCGTCGTCAAGCAAGCGGTGCGATGGCAGGTGCACCCGACAAACAGCCATGTTGGAGATCTGGCCAACGGTCTGCTCGATATGGGGGATTGGAATGTGGCGGCCGGAGGTTAGAGTGCCAAAGACCACATCATCAGACCCGGTGAATAAGCCTACGGTTAGCCCCCAGGCAAAGTAGAGCAGATTCGACGGGGTCCAATCGGTGCGGTGGCAGACGGCAGCGATATCCGTTCCGCTGCAAGTGAGAGGGACTTCCAGCCCTTGTGGGGTCGATGCTGGCAGCCCATCAGCTCTTGATCGGGGTAGGTTGACTGGCTGGATCCCAGCGAGGTAGGTACGCCAATACTCTCGTGCAGGATCCTGCGGTTGCCGGTGAACGTATTGCAGATAGTCCTGGTACGCATCGTGCGCGTTGGGAGCCCACGGTCCGTGCTCATAGACTTGCAGAAGGTCCAGTTCGAGTAGACCCACTGAGATCGCGTCTATAATAGCATGATTGATGTCCAGACGGCAGAAGATCTCCCCATTTTTGCAAGGACAGATAGCAAAGACATGGGGCATCTGGCCGTCCTGTTCGGTGGCGACCTGAGGGTGGAGCTGGGTGAGACGAACAGGCAGGCCTTCTGAGTCCATTTCGGATACAGGGAGTATCTGGACAGGACACTCAATCTGCGGGAGGATATGTAACTCGAAGGCACCGTCACCCGTGGTGGTATTACGCCGGAACACCGCTCTGAGGGCGCTGTGGCGGTTCACAACTTCCTGCCATGCTTCCGCCAAACGATTCGGGTCAACCGCCGCCGCCCCGTTAGAGGGTGACGGGCGATGGATCTTCCATATGAAATGCGGCGCATAACTGGTGGGGTCGCTGATCTGGGTAAGAAGCACCCCCTGTTGCACTGGCGTGCATGGATAGACGGCCACGCCACCCAGTTTGTCGTCTCCACGGTTAGTCAGCGGATGGCTTGATTCATGACCGATACCCGTCTCTCCGGAGGCCTTTGCAAATCGCTTCACAATTTCCCGGATTGTCTTCCATCGGAATAGGTCGGGGACGGAATGCTCAATTGCGACGGCTCGGGCTTGGCTGGTGGCCTGGAGCGCCGTGATAGAGTCGCCTCCTAGCCGGAAGAAGCTATCCTCTGCCCCAATCGCCGAGCGAGCAATCCCCAATGCTTCTGCCCAGATGCCCTGAAGTGATCGTTCCGCATCGGAAGCCATCGGGGCCTTTTCCACCTCTGCAAAGGAAGAGCCAACAGCTTCAAGCTGCTGGCGTGTAACCGAAGCGGCTGCTTCTCGTAGCCGGCGGCGATCGATTTTGCCGCCGACAGTCCGGGGCAACTCGCTCAACGGAACGAAGACAACTGGAACCATGTAATCCGGAAGACATGTACGCATGCGGGAGTGGGTAGTGTGTATCTTCTGATCGAAGTCTTCCGGCGTAGCTATTTGGAGAGGGAAGAATGTGGATGGTGAAGACGACGGTGATGGTAAAAGTTCCCGTGCAGACACAAGAAAGGCGACCAAACAAGGGTTGGGTCGATCATCTGCAGGCGTCACCACCTCTGCCGCCACGTCCTTGAGAGAACCAGGGAATACCCTCAGGACATGGTCTTCCACCTCACTGAGTTCGAGCCGCTGACCGCGTAGTTTAACCTGGAAGTCCTTCCGTCCCAGGTAGACAAGTGTGCCATCTTGCTCAAGGCGAACGAGGTCGCCTGTGCGGTAGACACGCCCATTATGGCCGCCATTGCCTATGCCACATTGGGCGAGCMACGGTGGTGCCTGAAGAAAGGCAGTGGCAGTCAACTCCGGGTCGTTGAGGTATCCTCGGCCGACCAGAGGACCTTGGAGGAGCAGCTCGCCAACGGCTCCAATGGGAGCGAGGTGACGAGGGTCCTGCGGGTTGGTGATCCACGCGGTGCCGGCCACAGGGTGGCCGATATTCGTTGGATCAAGGCCTGGGCGAGCCTGCGGCTGCAGAGCGGCTAGAATGGTGCATTCCGCCGGTCCATAGAGATTCATCAGACGGAGTTTCGAGGACCATCGGTCAACCTCATCCCTCCGGGGAGGTTCACCGACTAGCATCAACGTTTGTATTGGCGCGAGGTCATGCACCGGCAGACCACGAAGGAAGGAGGGAGTGAGCAAGGCATGGGATGGGCCCAATTTGCGCAACGCTTCGGCAAATCCCTCCTGGCGAGAAGACTCGGAGGGAATGCACACGCAGGCACCCGCGATCAGCGTACACAGGGTTTCCAGGATACTGACGTCGAACGCATACGATCCAAAGTGTAGAACTCGCGCCTCAGGGCCCAGTCCGACACGCTGACGGTATTCGCACGCCATGGTCACCAGCGCCCCATGGTCGATGACAACGCCTTTTGGTTTGCCAGTAGAGCCCGACGTGAACATCGCGTAGAGGACATCCGTGTGACAGAGGGTAGATTCCACATCGGCCGTATACGAATCTTGAGGCGGACTGTTGAGACATTCCCCAACGCAAACAGGCCCGGCCCCAGCTGGGAGAGATCTAGCTGTAGCTAGTCTCTGCTGGCTAGTCACTAGTAGCGGTGCTTTGATTTCGTCACATATGGTCCGTAGACGGGACTGTGGGTGGGTTGTGTCCAGGAGGACGAAAGCAGCCCTGGCCTTGACGATTCCCAGCATCGCAATGATCGCCCACCGGGACCGATCTATATAGATGGGGATTAAGCTCCCTGGCTGGATATGACAGGAGTGCAACAAGCGCTTCAGCATGTCGGACCAAGCATCGAGCTCCCGATACGTAAAATCACCATCGAATGCGCAAACAGCTTGTGCATCGGGCTGCGCATCGGTCTGCCGCCGGATCGCAGAGGGGACAGTCTCAGCAATGAGATGCGGCACGGTTGAATTCCACTCGATGAGCTGTTCCCGATCCCTCGCATTGAGAGAGCCTGCCGCATCTCCGACGAAACCCAGCTGTCCTTGGTGAAGCATCTGCAGGACATGGCCGAATTGATCAAGGATCCTCTGCATCTTCCACTCGGGAATGACATTGTCGTCAAATATCGCGGATACTCGTACTCCTTGCGGCTCTAGACTACAGTGGAGCACCAGAGCATATGTTGCAAACGCTCCTTTTGCGGCGGTTGACTCCACGGAAGAGAACAATCCGTTTGTTTGACCAGAAGGGGATTCCTCTTGTTCAATGTTGAGTAAGGTCTGGAAGGAGCATGCTCGCGTCGCATTTGGTCCCAGCCTGGCAATCTTTTGAAGACCAGCTTGTTCAAACGGCACCACTCGGGCCGTCCATTCCTGGAGCGCGGCCAGGGCTCCTTTGAACTCCATGTGTGGGTTGGACCGAACACGCAAGGGAATCGCACTGATAGTGGGACTGGTCATGGTTTGCACCCCGTGAACTGGGGCCGTGCGGCCAGATGACACAATGCCAAAAACAACGTCGGATTGGCCTTGGTACTGGGATTGCACCACAGCCCACGCTAGGCGCACCGCTGTGGTTCGTGTGGCCAATTCTGTAGTAAAAGATCCCGTGAGAAAAGTCTGATCTAGCTGGCTCATTGCTGACGGGTGATATGATGGCGATGGAAGGCCGGGGAAGGGTTCAGCGGAGAGATCGTCGAACTCTGTCCGCCAGAAATTTAAAGCTGCCTCAGTCTGCGAGGCCGTATATTGAATAAATCGCTGGAAAGGGGCAGGCTTGGGCAATATCCTCTGGCCATCTTGACCGTATGCCTTTTCCACAGCCGAAAGCAGCCTTGGTAGGGACCAAGCATCATACACAGAGTGGTGCATGGTGAGGACCATGGTGCAATTAGAGCATACGCCGTCATTGGTTAAATGTTTACGGATGTTGACATGAACAAGAGGCACACCGAACATTCCGTCGTGCGAGGGATCGGGGAGTCTATCAAACTGCGCAAGGCTCACCCCTGTCGACTTGGAACAGACCTCATTCCATTGAGGGGGGCCGTTTCGGATGACAACCTGTAGACATCCCATATTCGTTGCCCGAATGAGACGAGTCCGTAGAATCGGGTGCTTGTCAGCCACTGAGTCCCATGCCTGTCGGAGGCGAGTCGTGTCGGAGTTCACGGGGATGTTATACACATGGTGTCCGACGTAAGCACCGGGTCGTTCTGCGGACATGGCTGCTAGGCCGGCCTGCATCGGGGTACACGGATAGATGTCCTCGATTTGAGCCAGACCAACTCCGCACTGGGCCACAGCTTGCATTTTGATGTCCGCCTCTCGCTCAGAAGGCAGGAGAGAGAAGGGAGAAGGTTCTTCTTCTGCATCTGCTGCGCCGTGCACGCGTGCGGGCGACTGGATCCCACGGCCCTCCAACACACGGGCTAGGTTGCGCAGACGTGGATGTAGAAAGACATCGGCCACCGTGAGATCCATTCCATGACTTGGGGCGCTGGATACCAACCTCATGGCCATGATGGAATCTCCCCCAAGCGAGAAGAAATGGTCGCCGGGATCGATCTTGCTCGTTGGCAGATGCAATAGATCAGCCCACAAGTCCCGTAATCTCTGCTCGCTCGACGTCAACGCTTTAGGTTTATCCCGCCTTAATCGCCTTGAGCCATGGCACCCTGCGATCCGTGTTTCCTGAATGGCGACCAGACCGGCTCGACGTAGCTGGAGTCGATCGACTTTACCACTCGGCAATCGCGGGACCTCGTGAAGACGGACAAAGGTAGATGGGACGAGGAATGAAGGGGTCCGTCTTGGCAGGATGTCCTGGGCCCGAGAAACGACCCGGTCAAATTGGTCCTCGTCCATAGTTTCCAGTTGGACATAAGCCACCAGTCGTTGTTCTCCCGTATCTTTACATTGGACGAGCTCTGCAAACGCCTGCTGGCTATCCGGAAAACAATCGCGAACATGCTGCTCCACCTCCGACAGCTCCACGCGCTGTCCGTGAAGCTTGACTTGGCGATCTTTGCGCCCCTCATAGCGCAAGGATCCGTCCGGCAGCATTCTCACCAGATCCCCCGTCCTGTAGAATGGAGAGGTGCCAATCCTGTGCATTCTCTCCAACCATGGCAGGTGGACGTGGAACGCAGCGGCGGTTTGCTCACTTCGATTAATGTACCCCCGGCCGACAATGGGACCCTCAACGAGCAGCTCTCCAACAGCCCCGACGGGGGCTAGTCGGACTGGATCCTGGCCGACGACTACCCACGCCAAGGCGCCCCTTGCAAGACCAATGTTGGAGGGATCTTCCAGAAGGGTGCCTGGAGAGGTCTGAATAGTCGCGATAACAGAGCACTCCGACGGCCCATAGGCATTCATCAGAGTAACATGGGGCGACCATCTCTGCACATCAACAGCGCGCACCTCCTCACCCCCTAGCACCAAGGTCCGGAGCGTGGGTACCTCACGCGGCTCCAGAATGCGGGATACGGATGGAGTGAGTAAAGCCCAGTTGACTCGTTTGCTGGCGATGAAATCAGCGAGCTTCTGGCTCCGGTCCGTTTCCGACGGTACACAGACACATCCCCCCATGAGGAGAGTAGTCAGGATCTCTACGATACTGGCGTCAAAGGCAAATGATGCGAACTGCAACACACGGATTCCGGGGCCAATTCCGAGGGCCTGACCATGGGCCGCCGCGGCTGTCACATAGCATCCATGCCCGATAATGGTCGCCTTTGGCTTTCCCGTGCTGCCAGATGTATATACTGCGTAGGCTGCGGTTGACGGTGAGCCTACCATAGGGAAAAGCTGCGCGTCGAGAGCACCACATTCTTCCTTTTCCAACGTGTCCACTAGAAGGATCTTCTCGCTGATCTTCGCAGCTACCGCGGAGACATTCGTCGTCGCCAATATTATTGAGTCGGGAAAATCTTCCTTGATGGCTGCCTGTAGTCGGTCGATGGGTTGGGAAGCATCCAGCAGGATGAAAGCAGCACCCGCTTTCAATACCCCCATGATTGCCACAACAGCCCAACGCGATTTCTCACAACACACCGGGACAAAGACGTCCGGGCCCACCCCAGACTTAGAAAGCCGTAGGGCAAGCACTGACGCGAGACGGTCCAATTCGATGTAGGTGACATTTCCGTCCCAAGCACACACGGCCGGGGAACTGGGTTGTGCCAAAGTATGCCGTTGAATGTTGGTATAGATACATCCTGGGACGGTGGCCGGCACTTGACTATTCCAATGCAGTAAAGCTTTCTCGTTGACGGGGCCGAGTAGGTCGAGAAGTCCTATTCTGTCCGCAAGACCAGAGGAGAACCGCTCGAAAATACAGGCTAAGGAGTCGGCAACGAGCACGGCCTGGTTGTGACTCGCCACGGAGGAGCGATATGTGAGTTCCCCTTGAAGGGTATCTTTCCGCACGATCACGTTGACAGTCAAGTCATACTGCCATTGAGTTAGTATGGGGGATTGTCTGCTCCCTTCAAGAGCCTACCTCTGTCGTGTCCTGCCCCCCCTGCTGCTGGATTATCACACTCGGCGCTCGCCGGGGAGGCATAACCGTCTCTCTTTGAAGTGACATGGCCGTGTTGAACAGGCGGGGAACCGTATGTCCCAGCCCGTGGATGATCTCCGTCAGTGAGCAGAATCGATGATCGAGGTTCCTCGCGTAGGCTGCTTGGCAGTTCGAGATTGTCTCATGGATATCGTCTTTGTCATCGAAACCCAGTCTGCAAACCAAGAGATTGATGAGCGGCCCCGCAATTTCCTGCATACCAGGTACAGGAATATCGCGGGCCGACACCATGTAGCCAAAGCAGACCGTGTCTGACCCCGTGTATGCGCGCATGACAAGGCCCCAGGCAATCTGTAACATGCTGGCAATTGTCGTGGCGTGCTGCTCACAGAATCTCAGGATTGACTGCGTCTGCAGGGTGTCGAAGTCTATGGGAACCGAATGTAGGACATCCCTCTCATTTTCGAGCTTACCATCCAGACGGGGAAAGAGGCACGGCTGCACTCCATGGAGATAGTGCGTCCAGTATGCACGTGAGGCTGCTTCCGACTGGCCACGTAGTCTGGTCAGATACCTGCTGAAGGGGGCAGCGGTGAATGAAGGAAGCTGGCCGTCGTACGCCAGTTGTAGATCAGAGACAAGCATATCCCGTGTGAATCCGTCGATCAGCAGATGGTTGATCACCAGCTCACAGAGAATCTCACCACTGGCATTAACGCTTATCCGAAAACAGTGACCCAAGCGCGAGTAATGCTTGGTGCTGTCGTCGAATTGACAGCTTTCTATGGTTGACGAGGGTACCTTCAAGACCTGTTCGTATATCTCTGCTACGGCCTGTCGCAGGACTACCTGCAGGGGCCCTCCGTCACTATAAGGACTCACATGGAGCACAGTTCGCAGTATAGGGTGGCGATCTACTACCTGCTGCCATGCTTGCTTTACACGGGACGTACTCAGCGTGGTTTCTGCAGGGTTGGTGGGCCTGATCGACCAGCAGAGGCGCGACCAGTAAGCCCGGGGATCCTTGGACTGGCTTAGCCATATGCCCAGCTGAATTGGCGAGCACGGGTAGATGTCTTCAATATCTTGCGTCCGAATGTGGAGTCGACTATGAATGTCTTGAATCAAGCCAGCCAAACGTTCACTGCTATCCATTGATAACAGCGGAAAGTCCGAGAGCGTAAACGGTCGATACTCCTTGATCGCTGTGGGGAGCTCCTCCAGCGTGTGTTGGTACCTCCAGACCCATTGATGTAGCTTGTCTTGGTGCCGCATCCGTTGATTGTAGATCACGGACGCACTCAGACTGCCGTCCACAACGGTTATAGACACATCGACCAACGCAAACCGCGGCAGGTCCGCTGCCATGGGCAGGATATCGTGGTCCGGGACAGCGGCGAGTTGCAGCAGCGCTTTCGGGTTCTCTAACTGCTGGAACAGACCCGTGTAGTTGAAAAGGATCTCCATGGGGATATGGTCCACCCAGCGCTCTCGGCCCATTGGATGCAGGAATCGGGAGGCGAAATACGCCCAACCGTTGAACGGTAAGGCACGACGACTCTCTTTGACCTGCTGCAAGACGGTACCGAGATCATGTTGGCGATTGGTGCGAATGAACAAGGGCGCCATCGTGGTGAACCAACCCACAGTACGCGACAGATCCATTGCAGGATCCCAGGGCTCCCGGCCGTGGCCCTCGGTAAACACGGTGGGGGCCTCGCGATCATCGAACACCTGCGCAAAGGAATAGACCAAGGCCGCATGGAGGAGCTCCACGGGCCGTGTGCGGAGGGCCTCGTTCGCAGACCCCAGGATGGCGCGCGTTGTCGCCTCTGATACGGTGAACGATTCTTGACGAGTATCCGACCATATATTCTGATTGACTGCGCATACAGCATCTCCCCAGTACTCCAGGGGCTGAGGAGGTATTTCCACCGGCAGAGCCTTCTCAGGGTCTAGGGAGCGGCGGACGAAGCACTCCTGTAGATAGCACCATCGCTGAAACGGCATCGGCTTCGGTCCCGAGAGCATTCCTATGGTCAGAAATTCCTCGAGCTCCTGGAGTAAGATCCGCCAAGAGACCAGGTCTATCACCAGGTGGTGCACCATAAGCGACAGGTACTGGCGGTGAGCGGGCGTGTTTATAACATCCACGGCCACCAGCCGTCCCGCGGTAATATCCAAACCACTTTGACTGTCACTGAGGATCTGCCGCAGGTATCCATTTCCAATCTCATTGAGAATGTGCTCGCGGAAGCTAAATTGAGGGCTAACGTCATCCTGAACGACTTGCGACCAACCCACCTTGGCGAGCCGCTCAAACCGAGCACCCAAGATATTATGACGCGTTACCAGTGCTTCCATTGCTGCGCGCACGCGGGAAGGTCGTTGGGGCTTTGACACCTGCAGCAGGAACTGCTGCGTGAACCGATTGTGGCCCTGAGGACAAAGTTCGAAGAATAGCTGCTGGATGGGCGATGACAGCCCAACCGAGGCCATCTGGTTGACCTCGTCGTGAAGGGCTCTGGGGCTGCTACTCCTGCGGAGATTACTCTCTCTGTCTATCGGCATGGCGTGCTGCGCCAGCTGCTCCAGGGTGGGGAATTGGAAGATCTGCGCGACTCCCACGGCGAGTCCCTCCCGTTGGCAGCCAGCAGCCACTTGCATAGCGCTGACGGAGTCCCCACCGAGATGGAAGAAGTTCTCGGCCACGCTTAAACGGTCTTCGGGGACGTTCAACACCTGCGCCCATATCTTCTGCAGCCGGGACTCTGTTGCGGTTTGCGGTTTCTTGGACGGCGTCACAGAGCTGCGGTAAGATTGGAGGTCTTCCCAGGTGAGCTGCGACGCATGATCTCGCAGACTTCGACGGTCCAGTTTTCCAGAGAGCGTCTGTGGCAAGTGCTCCAGAGGCAAGTAGGTCCGAGGGATCATGAACGAAGGCAAAATCGCCGAGAGCTGCGCCTCGCCTGCGGCACACGCATCCCGGTGCTCCTCACTGGCGATCAGAAATGGAGTACCGGGCCTTTTGGCCTCGTTGGGAACTTGCACAACATCGGACCAGCACACGAACGCCATCAGCAAGCTCACGGGGGCCTTGCCTGGCTTTCCCTGCAGCTGGACGATATCGGCCACCACTTGGGACGCTTGGGGCAATGCATTCGTTCTGAGATGGTGCTCAATCTCGGCCAGCTCAATACGTTGCCCATGCAACTTAACCTGCGTGTCCTTGCGCCCCACGTAGCGGAAACTGCCGTCACCTGCACTCTGCACCAGGTCCCCAGTGCGGTACATCCGGCCATGACAGGGACCAAAGTAACTCTGTCGCCAGACAGGCGGCTTGATGAACGCCCGCTGGGAAGCATCCGCGTCCGAGGCATATCCTGGACCCACAATCGGCCCTTCGATCAGCAGCTCTCCGATGCTGCCCACGGGCATCAGCCGATGCGGATCGTATGGATCGATAACCCAGCCGACACCTCCCGTCGGAAAGCCGATATTGGACTGATCCTCGGGCACCAGATGGGGCTGGACACTGAACACGGCGGAACACTCGGCAGGCCCATACGCGTTCCGAATGTGCACTTCCGGGGGCCAACGCGCGACATCGCTGGCGGTGGCTGCTTCCCCGACTAATGTAAGATCTCGCAGAGTAGTCGGGCTGTCCGCTGACAGAACCCGTGCCACTGTTGGCGTGAGACAGGTATTGTTGACGGAGAATTCTTTGATCACGGCTCCTAGTCGGCTACGACAGTCGTCCGGGTGAGGCACACAAACGCATCCCCCAGCCATGAGTGTACTGAGGTACTCAATGACGAACGAATCAAACCCCGGGGAGGCGAACTGCAGAACTCGGGAGCTCGACGTGAAGTTGTACTGGGGTGCATGGAATAGCGCACTCGTGGCGAACCCTCCGTGGCTTACTAGGACACCCTTCGGGGCGCCGGTCGATCCCGAGGTGAAGGTGATATACATCAAATCTTCGGCAGAGGCACCTTGGCCCTGTGGGAAAGCAGCAGCGCAAGTGCAACCGTTCCTCGGCCTAGGCAGATCTTCGCAGTCCAGCTCGTCAACGGCCATGAGGCTTGGTCCAAGTTGTGAGGCGAGATCGGTGGTTGACTTGGTGCAGACTACCATAGTGGCCTTGACATGCTCGCACATCTGCCGCAGCCGCGCCACAGGGTACGACTCGTCGAGCAGAAGAAACGCAGCGCCGGCCTTCATCACCGCAATCATGGCGATAGCGGGCCACTTGGAGCGTTGTAGGCAAAGGGGGACGACAGTCCCGCACTTGACACCCCGGTGAGTAAATGCGGCGGCCAGGGCAGAGGCGCTCGTGTCCAGCTCATGGTACATCAAACTGCAGTCCCAGCTGTGGACGGCGACAGCCTGAGGGCTCCTCTGGACCTGCTGCTCAATCAACCGCTGCACACCATATTGCACCATTGGAGGGACTGGGAGGTTCCAGCTAGCAAGATCGTGGATATCAGCGGGACTACAGACATCCAGTTTCTTCAAAACATCATGCGGTCTCCCTTCAATCTGTTGGTAGATATGTGCCAGCTGTTGGACAATCCGCTCCGTCTGCCTGATGTCCAGCACATGCGGGTCAAATATCGCCTCTATAGTCATGGACTGCGACTGAGGGCTTGACCGCCACCGGACAATCAACGGATACGTATCATACACCGGCTGGATTGACTGCTGCTGCTGAAAAAGTTCCGGCAGACCATGGGCGTCGCACGGCTCCACGGTGAGCAAGGTTTGGAAACGACAAGCAGCGGCGGGACCGGGGCCCAGGCGCATTATATTCTGCAGGCCCGCCTGCTCGAACTCCATCGACTCCACCCACTCGCGCTGCACCATGTCCAGCGCCTCAGTGACTGTCTGATGCGAAGTGAGTCGGACATGAACCGGCACGCAGACCAGCGCCGGCCCGCTCAGCTCCTCGACTCCTGGCAGTTGGATCGCGCGCCCTGTGTCAATGGCACCGAAGAGAACCTCGGATGAAAATGTATACAAGCTCTGCAGTACGGCCCAGGCGAGCCGAACTTTGGCGTTGAGCGCAAATCCAGGCCCGCTGCTAGCAGGCTGGGGGTATTTCTGACGCAGGGTAGCCGTTGGCTGCGGCACATATGCCGCCTTCGCATGGCGTGGGAACACGCTGACATCGGCGTGGCTTAGATTGTGGAATTTGGTGCTCCAAAATGCAGAAGCACCAGGCTGGGATTGCTGGATGAACTCGATCAGCGGGCGGAAGGGCCGCATTGCCAGTGCTTTGCCCTCATACGCCGCGGCCACCTGCCTCATGACGACGGCCATGGACCAGTCATCACAGAGCGCGTGATGAATGACAACAGTGAGGTCGTGGGCCACAGGGTCCCAGATGAGTTTCACCATTGGTGAACCGGCCGGCCAAATTGATTGCACTCGCGTCTCGGGTGGCTCCGGTTTCGTCTGGCTGTCTCCGTCAGCAAACAATCTCTCGTCTCTCGTTTCCGAGTTCTCCTTCTCCGTCCACTGAGTGTTGCTCCGGAGAACAACCTGCATGCATCCCAGTTCACCGGTGGGCACAATACGTGTCCTCAGGATCGGATTTGCTTGAGCGGTTCGCTCCCAGGCTGTTCGCAATCGAACCATATCAATTCCAATCGGCAGCCGGTACTTGTAGCTAACATTATAGGCCACGGAGTCTCTAAGTGTGAGGGCGAACATGCCTTCCTGTAAAGGAGTACACGGGTAAACATCTTCGATATCTTTGACCGAGCAGCCGCAATGACTAGCAACGTCCTGTGGAATCAGGTCGCGGCCCGTAAGATTGCCTTCTGAGAGATACACGGAGAGGCCCTCTTCGTCCGGCTTAGACAATTCTACTGACATGGTGCCGACACTTTGCTCTTAGCCTTGGGTGCAATGGCCGGGTGTCTCCTCTGTACAAGGGGAGATCAACCCCAGCGAAAATCGATCCCACGCCTGCTTGGACACTAGGTGATATGAATAGGTGGAAGTACACCCCGTTCTTTATGTGGTTGATTAGTTACGGACGCTTCTTTTGCTTCTCTCCTCCTGATTCCTCTTTTAGTTCTCGATCCGATAGGACTGTCCCGCGATCCACTGAGACCGTGTAATTGAAAAAGTGAATCCTCAAACTGAAGAGATCAAGCGGGTCAATTACATGGCAATGCACTAGTAAATCTGCTTGTATGTTGAGTTTCTATCATCCGGGGTGCACCTATTCCATACTTATATTAGATAGTTGACGGGATATGACCATTCGCAGCAAGACATTGCTATTTGCTACTAAGGATTGGAGCTCAACATCAATCCTGTGTCTCTACAGCTATGTCATACCACTTCATGTTCAAGTGATTATTGCATCCCTGACAAGCGTCTCTTGATGTCTATCTGGCCTCGAGCGCTCCAGGGGTTTCCGAATGCGGACAGTGGAGCCTTGAGAAACAATCCGCCCCATCTTACTGGAGCTGGTTAACCGTGGAAGGTTACAAACGTCATTGTTAATCACATATTGCCTTCTGAGAGAACCATTCTTGTTGTGGCCACGGAACGCTATATGGCATGATTGGCAGCAGCAGTGTCGGGGACTCATTGGGCGCTATTCAACTTTTTTGCGGCGATTGTTCGACGGAAATACGGCACACTGGCTATTAAATCGTCCACACGTAAGGGTTAGAGAGCCCAGAGGGTATGCATAGCGCTTACAGGTATTGTAGACGCCTGCTCCTGGATGATCTCTTCTAGCCGGTCCTAGGCTACTGGCATGTTTTACAGAGCACGAATACGGACATGGACACCTCACCAGCAACATCCTCACAAGATGTGATTGAAACAGGGAAAAGGACTCAGGATGCTATGCAGACCGACTCTGGACCCGACAATTCCGCTCTCAAGAGCTATCTCGTAATAGTCTCCCAGTCCGCCGCCTTGTCTGCTGCATTAACACATGTCCTAGACCATTCTCTCCTATGGGTCGCGTAACGGCGGCATTGTAACTATGGTGCTGGGCCTGCTGTGCGCCATTGCATCCGGAGTAGTAAGTCGCCTGTTATGCAATGGTGGACTACTTAGATGACTGACAGGCGGTTCTCCTGAAGGCCCTGCCCTTGATGAATATTGTGTTTGGCAATCTCGCCGGTGAGTTCAATGGATACTTTGTACTCGGTACCGAGACCAGCGAGCAAGCCTTCAAGGCGTCCGTCAACAGGAACAGGTATGTAGACTCTCAATGGGGATGGACCACTTTCTGATTCTGAGACATGTTCCGATGAGAAAAGTCTCTATATCGTTTATCTGTTCATCGGCAAATTCACCCTGACATACATCTCCATGATCTGCTTCCGAATTATAAGCCTTCGGGCTTCGGCAGCCCTGCGCCTCGAATATATCCAAGCGCTCTTTGGGCAGCCAGTGCGCAAGCTGGACGAAACATCCGTTGGCACCGTTGCAAACGCGATTACGTCGCTCTCCAATACCATCCAGCAGAGCATCTCAGATAGACTGGCCATTTTGTTTCAATCTCTGGCGCTATTGGTGGCCGCCTACGCCATTGCCTTTCGCTATTCCTGGGCGCTGACACTGGCCGTCAGTTCGGCGATTCTCTTCGTCCTCCTTGCGTACAGTATAACCGTCCCGATGCTAGTCAAGGCGCACCAATTGGTCGACAGGGCCGACGAGAAGCACGCAGCAATCGCGGCCGAGGCGTTTGGCTCGATTCGCACGGTTCTCTCCCTGGGGGCAGAGGTTCCCTTGTTGAACAAGTATGTGGTCTGGGTCGATGAGGCGCGAAAGCGATCAAGCCGTCTGTGCCCAGTCACTGGGATCCATCTTGCCCTCCTGTTCTTTGCCATGTATTGCAGTTACGCGTTGGCCTTTTGGTTTGGCCTCAAGCTATATCGCCAAGGGGGCATTGGCAACGTGAATACTGTGATTATGTATGTATATTTCCTTTCTAGTGATGATTGCAGCTAACGACCCGGCAGTGTATTCTTCTCTGTTTTGCTTGTTGTTACGGTGCTTGGAGGAATCGCCTCGCCGCTTATGAGCATCGTCAAGGCCACAAGTGCATCCGGGCCCTTCTTTGATATGATCAAGTCAAAGCGCATCTCAACGCAGGGCTTGCGCAGTCCTACTGTATCCAGTCAGTGTGACATCGTCTTTGACTCTGTGACATTCGCCTATCCCACTCGACTGCAGACAACAGTGCTGAAGGGGTTCAGCGCCCGGTTCCGCAGTGGCAAGACAACGGCCATGGTGGGCCCTTCCGGCTCTGGCAAAAGCACGATCATTGCTCTCATTGAACGTTGGTATGAGCTGGAAGATTCAGCGGCTTCCCATGGGAAGGGTCCATCCCAAGGACGCATTCTCATAGATGGGCGCAACATCAACACACTCGAACTGAAGTGGTGGCGAACCCAGATTGGTCTGGTCGAGCAGGAACCTGCGCTGTTTAATGACACTGTCTACAATAACGTGGCAGCTGGCCTGATTGGAACACAATGGGAGCATGAGCCGGAGGCGATGAAACTAGAGCTGGTTGTCACGGCTTGTCGCGAGGCCTTTGCGAATGAGTTCATAGATAGGCTTCCTCTGGTAATTTCTCAGAGACCTTCACTCTAGACACCAACTGACAGGCTCGCTTAGGGTTACTCGACCATTGTCGGTGAGGGCGGGATCAACTTGAGTGGAGGGCAGCGCCAACGACTCGCCATTGCGCGAAGCGTCATTCGGCAGCCTACAGTCCTGATCCTGGATGAGGCGACCAGTTCGATTGATGTACGCGCGGAGCAAATAGTCCAGGCTGCTCTGGATCGGGTGTCCAAAGACAGAACGACCATCATGATCGCACATCGCCTGTCGACTGTGCGTGAAGCAGACCATATCGTAGTGGTCAAGGACGGAACTAACATCGAGGAAGGATCTCCGCAGGATCTCATGGATCGGGGTGAATTTTACCATGGCCTCGTGCATGCTCAATACCTGCAGACTCTGTCGGACCCGGAACTACCTGCGAAACTTGAAGAGGAGAGCCCTCATTTCTCCCAGATGGAGCCACTCGAGTCTTCGACCTCGGAAACAGGGACTGGTGAAGAAGCGGCCGATCGCGCCAGCATTGAAGTTGTCAAGCGAGGGACTTTCCGTGCACTTTGGCATCTTTTATATGAGCAAAGGGCCCTTTCCCCACTGTACATGCTGACGATACTGGGAGCGATGGGAGCTGGATGTAAGAGATCCTCCACTGCCAAGTCCATAGGAGATTTGACTAAATCCAGTGGCGTGATATCCAACAGCTGCATTCGCGTTGCAAAGCTGGCTCTTTGCGAAGCTAGTTCAGGTGTTCCAATTTACAGGCCAACAGCTGGTGGATGCGGCCAATTTCTGGTCACTGATGTTCTTCATCCTGGCCCTTGCAATGGCAGTCTTTTACTTTGATTTAGGCTTCATTTCTACCCTGATATCAACTGTAAGCCTCCTCTCTTTGGTGGACTAACGACTCGGAGCTAAGGCAAGTCCAGAACCTCGCGGCCACTTACCGGAAAGACTACTTTCGAAGCATCATGCAGAAGCCAATCTCCTACTATGACCAGATGGAGAATGCTTCAGGTACTCTGATGTCCCGTCTCTCCACAGACCCTAAACAGCTCCAGGAACTGTTCGGGATCAATGGAATCTTCCCTGTCATCTCGATATTCAGTCTCATTGGCTGCATTGTCGTTTCTTTCTTCTTTGGCTGGAAATTGGCCGCCGTGGCCTTCTTTGCTGCGTTGCCCTTTATCTTACTGGCTGCGTACCTGCGCATCCGGTATGAGATCCAGTTTGAAGGCATGAATGCAGCAGTTTACGCGAATAGTTCTAGGTTTGCTACTGAGGCTATCCATGCCTTCCGGACAGTCTCAGCTTTGACAATGGAGGACTCCATTGTACAGAGATACTCTGACTTATTACATCAACAACGAAGAAAGGCCATGAGGAAGGCATGGTATGCTACGCTGATCTTTGCATTCTCTGATAGTATCGACCTATGTGCAATGGCCCTCACTTTCTGGTTGGTTTTGTCTTTTTCTCTTTTCCCTCTTCACGACTGCCACGGATACTTACCGAGTAACGTCGTCCAGGTACGGAGGCCAGCTGCTTGCGTCGAGAGAATACGGTCCCGTGGCATTCTTCGTTGTGTACATTGCCATTGTACAAGGAGGCCAGTCAGCAGGTCAGTTCTTTAGTTTTGGGCCCAATATTGCGCAAGCCATTGCTTCCATTCGACGAATTCTCGACACCCGGCCATCCCCAACTGGGGTGATTGAGGAGCTCTCTCCGTCGACACGGTCTCCTGTCTCCTCTCGAGCCGACGTTCATTTTCGCAATGTCACCTTCGTATACCCTTCGCGCAACACGCCCATCTTCCAGCGCCTCAATGTGAGTATCCAAAGCGGCCAGTTCGTCGCATTCGTCGGCCCCTCGGGCTGCGGTAAATCCACCCTCGTCTCGCTCTTGGAGCGATTCTACGAGCCCACACAGGGATCGGTAATGGTGGGTGGACAGGATATTCGATCTCTCGACTGTGCCTCTTACCGTCGAACCCTATCGCTGGTCGCGCAGGAACCGAAGCTCTTTGAGGGAAGCATTAAAGAGAACCTCTTGCTTGGGCTTGCCGCGGATGACCCAGTTCCTGACGAGGAGCAAATGGTCCAGGCCTGCAAACAGGCAGAGATCCATGAATTTATCTCTTCCCTCCCGGACGGCTACTCGACGGAGCTGGGTATTAACGCCCAAGCGGCACTCAGTGGGGGACAGAAGCAGCGGCTGTGCATCGCACGAGCGTTGATTCGTAACCCCAGGCTGCTTCTCCTTGATGAAGCAACGTCCAGTCTCGATTCAACGTCCGAGAGGCTAATCCAGGATGCGATGGAGTGTCTGGCTGGGAGAAAAACCATGACTATCATCGCGGTTGCGCATCGGCTGGCCACAGTGCAGAAAGCGGATGTTATATTTGTCTTTGGAGAAGGGCAGGCAGGTCACGGGTCAAGAATTGTCGAGCAAGGTACTCATCATGAATTGGTACAGAAACGCCAGGTATACTGGCAGATGGTGAGTCTATTGAGATGAAGTTAGTTTTGTCGCTTTCACTGACTATTATCACAGTGCCACGCTCAGGCGTTAGATCAGTAGCTGCTGGAATGCTAACTCTAATATATAGTTAGTTCATGAGGATAATAATAAAATGTTCATGTGAAGTCAGCTCGGCGTGTGTTGGAAAATGGTAGGCGTGGTCCGGCAGAAAGAAGGTCAGTGTGTGTTGAACATTGAACCATGAATTAATTTCAAGGTGTACGGCACCTGTATAGTATATATTCTAAGATACTACCACCACTATAATTTCCTCTGACCGCGGATACTAACTACTAAAGGTTTAGTTTTGAATAGCATCAAATTTGAATTGTATACCTACCCTAACCACCCCCTAATATCTATAAATCTATACTTGTTATATGTGTAATATTAATAGACTATTAATAAATTCTAAGCTATTTTAATATTATGTATATACAGTGTGTAAGAAAAAGGGAGAGAATATTAGTAGGTAAGGTTAAATAAGTATAAATATATATACATTCACTCTACTATAGTAAGCATACTATAGAGTATATACATAATAAAATAAAATACCATATGAAGAAATTAATTAAAATAAATAGAATTTACTATTCTTCCTTAATATTACACATATAATGAGTATAGATTTATAGATATTAGGGGGTGGTTAGGGCAGGTATATAATTCAAATTTGATGCTATTCAAAACTAAGCCTTTAGTAGTTAGTATCCGCGGTCAGAGGAAATTATAGTGGTGGTAGTATCTTAGAATATATACTATACAGGTGCCGTACACCTTGAAATTAATTCATGGTTTAATGTTTAACACACACTGACCTTCTTTCTGCTGGACCACGCACACGCCGAGCTGCAAGCCCTTTTAAAGTTAAGGGCTTAAGGTAATAGAGAAGTTAGTAATACATATAGGTCAAAAGTCTGTGCACACTCCAAAATATCGAAAATATCAACCATCTTCAATCCCATATTTCTCAACCACCATATGATTGCAGTATAAAATAATAAACTATAGAATAGTAGATATTCATATTTAGTGTACCAGCCCCTTGCTTGGTATACTGTATATCACAGCATTGAGCATATAAGACAGTCAATCGCCTCCTGAGGGATAGCATGCCTTGCCTTATAGATAGCACATCTAAATCACCTCTAATTAACCTTTGATCTGCCTCCTAGAAAGAGCTCKGGATATAGTTCTAAAAGCTTCTTCTTTAAGAGATTCCAGAGGTGTTTAAGTATGTTTAAATCAGGCGAATAGGAAGGCTAATCCATTACCCAGATTCTATAAAATTTAAATCACTCCTGCGCCTACTAGGGAGTATAGATTTTAGCATTATCTTATTAGAATATACGCCCAGGCTTATAGATTAAAAGGAGGCTATCTTTAAGGGATTTCAGATAAGAGTTTACKGTATAACCTCCTCAAGGGGCCAATTCATCACAATCCATAATGATTAGATTTGAACAGCCTCCAATCCAGATTGCACCCTATATCATCTGTGAAATATCCTTCCCATGGTTTACTAGATTGACTAGATCATGCTGGTATGCCTTATTTGAGAATTAAAAGACGAATCGGGCGGAATTATTTGTTTTTTTTACAATGTTTACATCTCAAACATACTTACCCTCCCTACAGTTGCACACACCTTAGTAATAATAAAGTAGGGAATTGAATTGAAAAGTACCAATATTGAATTCTCATATAGTAAGGATATCGAATTAAATAGTAGTAATATCTAATTCTTATAGAGGTATAGCAGTAGGAATTTAAATATCACTATATATATATTCTAAATATATAGTATAAGTGGTGTACCCCCTAAGTCTTTAAAATATAAATTCGAACTACACAGGGCACTATTTTAGTATATAAGGATTTCCTATTCCTACTATATAAAAATTCAATATCCTTACATATGAGAATTCAATATTGGCACCATTCAATTCGATATCGCCAACTCCTTGCTTCAGTTGAGTTGGATATGAAGTATGGGGTGTCAGGGTGTAAGAGGAAAAGAAAAAGGCTATGTTTTGCACCTGGGAGTTGAGGCCTTCGATAATGTTTGAATTCTATTCAAACAACGCTGAGTTGGCACTCAATTGGAAGCCGCCACCTATATGCATCGCATACAGTCTGATTAGGTTTTCTTCTCCTCATTCTCCATAGATGCAGCCTGCTAACCCAACCCTTTTATTTTATCTATATTTCTGGTGCAGGCAATACTACTAAACCTGGCTGCTTCTCTTCAATCTTTGCCTGTATTAAGGGCAAGATAGAAACTTAACCTTATGTAGCCCCATGCACAGTCCCTATTATTGTAAATGGGTTCGGTCTAGCTAGTGTTTATAGACTCTGCCCACCATAATATGATTGAAAATATCTGCTACTGCAGCCTGTGTATAAGACCCTCCTCTGGCTGTTGGGGCCTGTGTTTCAGGTGATGGCGCTGGGGCTGTGTAGTCCTCTAGAGCATTTAGGGAGGTTTTTGATGGAGATGGCCATGGGGAGGTATAAGGACTAGTTGGTTGGGGAAGGATGTATAGATGTTGGGGAGATGCCTATCCTAGAGATACGGCGTTTAGGCAGTTAGCTGGGTTGACTTCTTGATATGCACTTGATGCATAGCGTTTACGTTTGAGTGGGTACTGCATAGCGGTAATTGTACATTAAGTTTATGCATATAGAATAGGCGAAGCGAGAGGGAATGAGTCCTCTTTATCTATGTAGCTAGGATCTGTCAAACTGTGGAACCTCCATCCACCTTCTAAGGGCTATCTCATGAAAGTTTCCAATTATCCAGCTACTGCCTGGGATGTCCACTAAAAGCTCCCCCAGTAATGCAGATCATAGTCCACCCCACCAGGCCTCCACAGCGGCTTAGGCGTATAAACCGGAATGGGCGACGCAGCTGCAACACATTAGCACCAGCAGTCACCACAGCAAATCACTTACTTCCGTATCCTGTACTCGGCGCCGCCCAGGTCGGAGACTCTGGCGCGACCCATCCCGTCGGCGAGGCGGTAATGGTGTACGTGCTCGTATACGTGTGAGGTTGTTCCGCAGCGCCCAGCGAGACGAGGCCATTGTTCGGACCGTAGGAGTCATCGCCATGGCCAAAGACATTACTGATCTTGTTGACGACGCTGCTGCCGGACTCGGTCCAAACGGTGAAGTCCTCGACGGTAACGTTGGTGGCGTGCGTGAGGTCGTTGGCGATGAGGTAGAGCGGTGGGCGTTGGACGCCGTTTGCCACGGAGCCTGGACGACATTAACAACGTAGCCAGAACGGAAAGGAAGCCCTACCCGAAAAGTTTCTGAAGACGAGGTTGCTCAATACGACGGATCCCGTATCTGGCTCGAACGTGTTCTGCCAGTACTGGTTGATGTCCAAACCGTACAGACTTGCTTTGGACCGAAAGTTGGAAAAGGTGACGTTGGTCACGTAGCCGGAGCCGCCGGGGTAGGTCTTGATGAAGGCAATGTTATTCCCCTGGATGATGCTAATGTTTTGTGCCACCTGTCGGTCAGCATAGTAGTGTTAACGGAGGGGCCGACGTACTATATTTGATATCTCGGCGGAGACGTTGAGGCTGCCGATGGAGATGCCCGAGCCGGCCTGGTTACAGACCAGGTTTTCGATCAGCGCGTGGTGGGAGGGACTCTTGACGGAGACGCATTCATCGCGGTTGGTGACCTGATGGTCAGCTAGATCTCGGCCATTGAGTGAACAAAAACATACCTCATTGTCGTGAATATGATAGTTTGTGCCAATCGCATCGATGCCATCATAACTGCCGAGATTGGCACCCCGGATGGTAAGATGGTATGCCTCTACATTGACGGCAAAGTCAAGCACAATGTGGAACTTTGGGCTGTCGACCAAGATCAGGTCATGGACGGAGGCGTTTGTTGGCGAGATCAAACGAACGAGACGGGGACGATTAGTGCTGTCCGGTCAGTATCCATCACACAATACCGTGGCGGTAACATACTTGTTCAGATTCCGGTAAAGGTATCCTTGCCCCTGAAAGGCGCCGAGACCGTTGGACGAATAGAACTCGAAGTCGACGGCTGCATTGTCAGTCTACATTCACTACCACTGACTGACGCTCACCATTTACAATGACCAAGACATCTAACAAAAACTTCTGGTCACCCTCCCCATTAATGGTAGCATTCAACACATCTGCACCGGCCAAACCCTCAAGGATTAACGCACGATCAATGGTCCAATTGCCCCCATACGCTGCCGTGATGAGGCCATCCAGCTGAAACGCCCAATTGGTCGCGTTGCTGAGCACGACGCCGCGGGAGATCAGGTATTGACCCTCGGGGACAACGAGTCTGCTGCCGAGGTTAGGTCGGACACACTCATTGAATGCTAATTCAAGTGAGGTCGAGATATCCGTGGTGTTGTCGGCAACAGCACCATAGCTGAGGATATTACATTCGACTGTCTTTTTGGAGAGCGCAGTGGTTGGGCCTACAGGGCCGATGAGCTGGGCCGCTACCAGACCAAATGGGACAAAAAGGAGAGAAGGGACAAGCATGGTGTTTGGAAGATTGATGCTAGGATATTGGATTGGATTTGTTCAAGCATTTATATACTGAGACCATGATGCAATGGAGATCAGTTCATGGTAATTTTCCGTCCACTGCTCAGTCATATATATATAGTACCGGTGTCATTTTAGTATGGATGACACCATCACTACATCGGAGCTATCTGTTTATACTGTCCTCTACTTTCGGTGCTCAACGTATCCTACTTTCCAAGTCCTCCTTGCGTGTCTTGGACTCCCCATCCAAGTACGGCTTCTCAGCCTGTGGCGCAACGCGCAATCCATGCCGCAGGTGAGGAACTACATTGTCAGCACGAGCCACAAAGCAAGAAGGTAGACATACAGTAATCGAAGATCCCTGTATGGAACGTCACCCTGTTATCCCAGATGGCCACCGCGTTCGGCGTCCACTTCCACCGCACCTGATACTCGTACGCCTCGGCGATGGTCCGGTAAAGTGTATCCAGCAGCGCATCACCGACCCTCTTCTCGATACCGACGATCTCCTTGGTGAAGTTCTCATTGACGTACAGCGTTTTCCATTTTGTGACGGGGTGCGTCCGGACGACAGGATGCTTCTCTGTTCAGTACCTCAACAGTCACCACATAAAGGGCAGTTTAACTCACAATGGTCTCGATCGGATCCCGCCGGAGACAGCCATTCGTCTTCAGCGCCTTCTCCGCCTGCTCCAGCCCGCTATGCTTCGCCTCGAGTGTCTCCAGAAATGCCCTCAATTTGGGCGACAGCGCTAAACTGTCAGCATTCTCCGTGAAAGAAACGTTGCGAACGACGTACACTCATACAAAGCATACCCACTCGCCCAGATTGTATCACCCCCGGCTAGACTCCCCCCCGGACCGGCGGCAGGCAGGGTATCCATTCGCAGCATGGTCAGACCAGGCGGCTGCAATTCGTAACTCACATCCGAGTGCCAGATCTGATGCGAGCGGCCATTCACCGCCGTCTGGTCCTTGTAGACAGGGTGCACCCAGGGGAGATCGGGGATGATACCCGCCATCTGGTGGATGTGCAGCTCGCCGAAATACGCCGCGAAAGCGATCTGCTCGTGCACGTCCATGTCCTGGTCGCGGAAGAAGACAACGCCCCGCTCGGCGACTAGTAGCGCCAGGTCATCTTTTTGGGCGGGAGTGAGGGCCGCGAGTTGCAGGCCTGCGACCTCGGTGCCGATGTCTGGGGTGAGGTGGATGATTTCCGTTGCGGCGGAGAGGAGGCGCGATTTGGAGGGATCGGCATGGTGTCCGCGGTCGGAGAAGGGGTGGGGGGTGAGATTGGGGAGCTTGAAGGGGGTATAGTTCGGGTACTCTAGGCCTGCAGCGCGGACGGACTCCAGGGGGGAGACTCCCCGGGGCGTGTGGTAGTCCAGGTGGGGGAGGTTGGCCGGTTTGGGGGGTAGGTGCACTTCGTTGGCAGTCATTTTGGTGATACTGTTGTCTGGCATGCTAAGGAGGGTTCATCTACTTTATAGCAGCAGGAAACTCCGGTGGGATGCTGCTGGTTGGTGGTCTGCTCGCGTCATCCAAGCCAATTTGATGTTTTTTCCGGATTGCTACAGACACAATTCGCTATCAACTTGAGACCACTAACTGTCGAACAAAAAATCCAACCGCTTATTCCCCTCATCCGTAGTCGTCTCAAGATACTCTGCCTTCTGAATCTCACTCATCGCCTCCCAGCGTTGCTTCTTCCACCGATTCCTAGCAACATAGTAGCCCTTGGCCAACACGTACGCCACGATCGTGGCAACATTGATTGCAATCAATTGTGAATTACCCCGCCGGTAGTACGGCTTATCGTCCTCGCGGTAGATATTTGACGAGGCGATCCCAGAGAGCTGGATGGTGATGTTGTACAGCGCGGCGCTGACTGTGCGCGTGCGAACAGCGTTGCTCAGCCGCGAGCACCAGCCAACGTGTGCTGCATGCGGGGAGGGCCAGCCCAGGAGCACAAAGGTGACTGCGTAGAGGCCCCAGTGGGAGAGGGTCCTGGCGGAAGTATACAGGACGATCAGAAGCGGGAGCGACCAGAGTTGCGTGAGGATGCCGATGGCTGCGATCTGGTGGAAGCGCTCGGTGAGCTCGGTGACGACCAGCAAATTGAGCGCCGCGAACACGGTGACGGGAATTCCCAACAGGGTCGTCTGGAAGGTCGAGAAGCCGATGGCCCGGAGCGAGAGACTTAGGTAGGATTTCGGCGGGGAGGTGGGGATCTCGAACAGGATGCCGATAATGTAGATGGGCCAGAGATCGTAGTCCTTGAGACTGCGCCAGAGCATCCCCATGCTCAGCGCCTGTCGGTTATGCATATCACCTTTGGAGGGGTCGTCGCGCAGGACCCGGTTGACGATGATCTTCTCCTCGCGTTCGGTGAAGTACCCTTTCGGGTTCCACCAGGTGGCTGTCTGGGTTGGGCCGGGGATAAGGAACAGGAAGCTGAAAATACCAATGACCAGACTGATCAGTGCCTCGATGAGGAAGAGCCACCGCCAGCCGGCTCGTCCCGCCACGCCGCGCATGTGCAGCACCCCGTACGCGATGAAGGAGGCGATCACGCCGGAAATGGAATCGACAAACCAGAAGAAAGCGAGGCGCAGCGGCATCTCTGTCTTCTTGTAAAAGTAGGAGAGGTACAGGATCGCGTCGGGGATGAAGCCGCCCATGAAGAACCCGAGGAAGAACCGGCAAGCGAAAAACCCAGCCCGGTTGTGGATGAAGAACTGTCCCCCGGAGGCCAGACTCCAGAGGATGATCTGCACGGGGATCCAGCGATCAGGGCCAAGTCGCTTGCCGACCATCTGAGAGGGAATCTCCGAAATCAGAAATCCGATCCGGTACATATTCTGCGCGTTATTATAGTCGTTGGTGTTGATGTGCAGGTCCGGCAGAAGACTATCGGCAGACGCATTGCCTAGATTTCCCCGGTCAAGGTTAAGGCCGAAGAACATCACCAGGATCCAGACGAAGATCTTGAGGTCCGTCTTGCGTCTGACGGCTATCTCTTCGCGATAGGTCCACCGGAAGTTAGGATCGAATCGGTGGAGGTTCTCATATTGTGGATGTGGGAGGTAGTATTTGGCCAGCACAGGGTCGTCGAAGACGCTCTTTGTGGTTGCTGTAGCATCCAGGTCGACTTTTTTCGTCCGCTTGAAGAGGGACAAGAAGGACCTGCTGTGCGACTGCTCTTGTGGCTCGACAAGGTGGATGGTGGTGCCATCCTTGGTCCCTTGTTTATCACTATCTGATATTGGGTCAGCCATTTTGCATTGGCCAACATTTACAGCCGAACTTGCCTCTTATATCTACGTCAAGTTAATGCGTGCTATATAAAATAATGGTGATAGCTATGTAGGATCAAAGGAATGTCAAGGTTGACGGGCGCCCGGAATAACAGATGATGTTGTCATGTAAGTGTAGATGGCATCACCGGGGTACTTTGTTATCATAAAGCCAATCTAATCAGCAGCCTTTTTCTGAGCCTACCATCCTCTCATTGATGGAAAAACAAATCCTGCATGGGATCGTGACCATGATAAGCTGCTCGCCATACCAAGCCTTGATGATGAGCTCCGGTGGAGGCTGGCAGCCGCTTTCAAGTAAGACCAGATACACGAGTCATGAGTATATCTTCGGTAGACTAATAATTTGCACATTAGAAATGGTCGCAAGTCTTCACGCATACTGTATTTAAAAGAGAACAAAGATTGTTGCTGTAAATATTTTCTCAGCCGCTATTGGGTTGCAATACATCGCCTACTCCTGTTGTCGAGACGGTCGTTGATTGCAGTCAAGGTTGACGACTCCTTTCAAAGTCCCTCACTACACTAAGCTGAATGTCAAATACATGATGTAGAGGTTATGTTCTACATCTTATGGATTTCTTCCTCTTCTCGTTTACTTTCAAGCTTATACAAGGATTTGAATAATACCAGACTGCGCTGATGGATGCAAGAGATATCCAACCGATTCATCATCAGTAACCACATCTATATGTCTATTCTGTAGTCTGACCGATGGCAGCGACATCTACTAGTGGCATGTCTCACCGCCGTCAAAGGAAGTCTTTTAGAGGGCTCACTTATTTCTAGTGGCGGCACTTTGGACTTTCGGTTGAGAAACGTTCTGCGTCCTAACGGGGACAGCCCCTAATAATCTGTGCTCAAAGCCGCCTCACGAGTGGCGTCAAGGTCATGCGAGAGGCTCTTTAGCTTTGCCTCGATTCTTTCCACGCAGTCGGACCCAAGGGGCAATCTTAGAATCTTTCCTTTCAGCGACCCAGCCTGTCCTTCTCCTGTCACAACCTCGAACACTCGGGCCACGCCTTTCAATGGATCTCCCCTCTGTGTTCCCTGCAAGCTGTCAAACTTGGATAGGGCAGCGTCTACTGGTGTCCCTCGATAGGTTTCTGATAATCCAGTTTCGTTCTTGACAGCTGCTGCAAGGAAGTTGGTCCTGAATGCACCCGGCTCCACCAAAAGCACGGAGATATTAAACGGGTCAAGCTCCCGCGCAAGTGATTCAGACAAACCCTCAAGCGCGAACTTGCTGCCAGCGTACATGCCACAAGACGGGAGTCCGTCCAGTCCAGCGATACTGGAGACGTTCACGATCGTGCCACTGCCCTGCGCACGCATGGAGGGAAGGACGGCACGGATGAGTCGCAGCGGCCCGAAAAAGTTTGTCTCGAATTGGAGGTAGTTCTCGTCGTCGCTAGGTTGGTCATTAGATGCAATGAACCGGATTTCGATTCTCTATCTCACCTCATGTCCTCCACCGCTCCCAAGAGTGAATAACCCGCGTTGTTGACCAAGACATCGATGCGGCCGTAGAAGTTCTCTGCTTGCTTGGCTGCGTCGGGGATGGTGTTTGCTTTGCACACGTCTAGCTCGATGACCTTTCCCCCTTTCGACTCGATGGCCCGGACCGCGTCGGTAGATTTCGTTTTACTGCGAACGGACGCGATGACCTTGTGGCCTGCTCCCAACGCATGGAGAGCCAGGTTGTAGCCGAGGCCCGAGGAGCCGCCGGTGATAAACCAGACAAGGGGAGCCATTATATTGTCGCAAGGAAATAGTTATATAACTCGAAGGCGCAATTGCTCAGATTCAGGAAATTCAAGCAAGACTGGAGTATCAGCTGAAAAACCTTGGGCTGTTCTCCATAGGATGTGGGACAAAAAGAATAATAAGTAAACTGTACAGGCAGCGGGGATAGTGAGGGACTTTAGCCTCAATCACCAACGAGGAGATCGGCAAGCATAGGCCAACATGGTTTAGCTCTTGTGTACGCGGGTCCCAGGCAGGGATCCATTTACCCCTCCTTGCCCGACTACCTTATCTGGCAAATGATCCGTTGCTTTATGACAAATTTCATTCGCATAGATTATGGATTATAGTATTGTACTATGGTAAGCTCCGTTTTTCGTTCATGCGCCGCCAGTTCCTTTTGTGTCCACATTCATCCAAGAAATCCATGAACGCAGTAGATCAACAAGGATAATTTGGGGGTGTTTCCTCAGAATCCGTTCCGCTTCAAAAATGCCAGCGTATCATTCATCAGCTGCTGGGCATAGTTATGTAGATGGATGCCATGTCCCGCTTGCGGATAGACCTTGATATCATGATCCGTGGCGTTGGGGAATCGGTCGTATAGCTCATACGGAGCCGATCCACATGAACGCCCGCAGAAGGTCGCGTCCTGGTCACCATTGGCAAGCATCACCGGCCCTTTGTACAAGTTCGGCGTCACCAGATGGTAAGCCAGCGAGATGGACAGACCGAGGGTGTCGAGGTCTCTCAGGTAGAAGTCCACCGGGACGATCTCCGGGTCGAAGTTCCCATAGAACACGGCCGCTTGCCGACCGGCCGGGTTCATCTGCGTCGTGTACTCGGCCGGGTATTGCTTCCACTCCGGTTTCTCGAGTCCGTTGGCGGCCACCTGCAAGCCACTCAGGAACGCAGGATACAGATCCCGGATATTCCAGGTGAAGCCGTGGAGGACCAGCGCGTCGATGGCGTCGGGAACCTGGTACGCCAGCGACACCCCGGCAATGGAGGCAATGCTGAATCCGACATAAGCGACCTTGTGGTATGTCACACCGCCGATCTGCCCCGCCTTCAACAGCTTGATCATATGGTGGACCTGCTCTACGATCAACTGCGTCTGGACTTCGTACAGCGGGTGGGGGTGGGACGAGTTGCCAGACCCGATTAGGTCAAAGGTCAGAGTAGGATAGCCCTCCGCATGCATGCGCCGGACCCACGAGTACTTCTCCGGCTGCCACGGCCAGTCCCACATAATCTTGCTAAAGGTGGCGCCGTGGACGAGCATTTGAATGGTGTCCTGCTTATGGGAGGCTTGCGCGGGGGGCGCACAGTAGATGGCCGAGATATTGTAGGTCGCTGTCCTGAAATCGCGCAAGTCCATGAAGTTATGAAGGACCTCGATGCTGTAGCTGTCATCCTCAAAGTGGCCCGCCGAGTTCTCGGTCACACTGAACGGAATCACGAGGTTGGTGCAGGTGTGGCCGGACTCATGTTGGAAACTGTCTTGCGAGCGGACCTCAACGGGGAAGGCAGCCGATGGCCGAATCAAGGAGAGGAGTAACAAAGGGAGCAGGCTTCTAGCGATTGCGTACATTTTATGTGCGGCTGACGGGACGGCTTCGACATAAAACTGAACGGTTGGTCGAGAAGTGGCCTATCCAAAGTCCTGGTATGAGGGGTCTTTATACAAGGTCCCTCCTTCAACAAACCTGCTGCATCTTAAATTATCACCATCGGGGGGCGGAGTAGCAAATGGAGCGGATCTAAAAGGGAACTTGAGTCCTTAGCTGCGTTCGCTTCGTATTCTGCCTTCATTTCTCTTCTTCTGGGCCGGATTAATCGAATGGCCACCGCTTGCCAGAGTAATTGTGGCCGCAAGTCAAATCCTGGCGACCGACCCCGCGTACAATGGGGCCAGAGAGAAATGTACATCTTCATATCTTGGGCGAACCCGGTTCCAGGGCACTTGATTGACTTTGTAATTGACTTTGCACCCCGGTCTTAATGCAGGAACACGAGCAAAAAAAGGCTGGCGACGAAATCTGCCTCTTCTTATCTCCGTTCAGTAGGTCGCAACAATTGCAAATGCGCGCAATCCACGTACATTAAGCCTAAAGTAATAAACTTGTAGGAAAAGCGAGCATATTAAACCTTGCCGTTGGTTTCGCACCGTAACTTTTTCGGTGCTATTCCTAAGGTACTATAATATCCGGAAGGTGGTTACAAAATACGGATATATATTTCGTCCTGGTGCGACAACTCGGCGCTCGGACGGAGAATTCGTAGCAGTAGCAGCATGGAAAAAGCAATGTCATTGAAAGTCCCCAAACAAGCTCCAAAGATTGAGTCGAACTTGGAGACCACTAGATTCCAAATTTCTTACTGCAAAATATTGGCCCTCCTCCACGACTCCAGGTACCGATCCAGTAATTCGAGGGTTACTCCGTCGCAGGCACGCAACGAGCGCGAAACCAGTCGTGCTCGCGTGGTATCCAGTACTACCCCTCCGCTGGAGAGAACTTGGAATTCTTCCTGAAGGAATGGTAGAAGATGGAGGATATACCCCATGTCAGCCTCCGCACTGGATAACGACGACGCGCGCTCGAGCCAAATCCGGAATGGGATAGGTAGAGGCGTTTTCAACCTCAATTTTCTGGCAAGTACAGGCAGCAGCGGCTTCCACGCTTGGCGGATTGGGTTCTCAATGTGATACACGATATCCTTGACCGGGCTGTCCGCATAGGCGAAGAGGATCTCGATAATCGACTTCGCTGCAATGTCAATAGGGATCCACGAGAAGGACTACCAAGTTGTCAGCTCTGTTCCTTACAAGATGCAGATGGTACTCACCCCACCCAATTCTGGCAAGGCTCCAAGAAGCTGTGATGTCTTGAGGATTGCTGGAAAATGTTCATTGGAGTTCCAAACCCCCGTGTGCGTACCCCCTGTTAACTGACCCAGACGGACGATGATTGGATGGAGGAGATCGCCCTGTGTCTGGGCCACTTCATGGAGGATACGTTCACACACCCACTTGGCCCGCGCATAGCCCATATTTGCCGTAGCTGATGGATCTAAGATAGGTGCTTCCGGCAGCCTCCGTCGACTTGCAAAGCGCGCTCCAACGGCAATGGATGACGTGAATAGTAGTCGGGGTTGACTCGAACGCCTTTGCTCCCTATGACAGTCTCCACAAAGGTCGACTAGCCTTCGTACAGTCTGGATCTGCGGTTCGAACGAAGGCAAATTCCTCTGGAAGTCCATGGGCCAGGCCGTGTGGATTATGTGGGTTACTGTTCGTACTAGACGACGATAATCCTCATGTGGTAAGCCCAACTCAGGCTGGTGTAGTTGATTTGACGATAGGAACCTGATTTTGGTCCACGCAAACTCGGGGAGAGTTATCCCCCGCACACGGTTGGCTTGTTGTTGCCGATGCTTGGGATCCTGTCCTTGATGCAAGCGGCCGAGACAGAGAACCTGCGATACATTCGTGTGGCGGGATAGCAGATCCAACAGGTGCACTCCAAGATGACCTGTTGCGCCAGTGAGCAGCACAACCCAACCCCGAGAGCAGGCAGGACTGTACTTGAATGCCAAATCAAGCATCTGTTTTAACTGCGACTGTGATGAACTGCCGCTTAGTTCCTCGAGATTAGTATCTTCTAATAAGCACTCCGACAGCGCTTTGAAGCTCGGATATTTGTAGATGAATGACGGATGAGCTTTGCGGGATGCCAGGACTGGGAAGCTGTCCTTGTTGGACACGCGGCTGAGCATGCGAGCTAAACGCGTTGCTTCCAGGGAGTCCATGCCCTGTTCGAACCAGTCATCCGAGTCAGCCCAATCGGTAACAGGCAACCCCCGATCTTGCACACAGATCTCGACCATGGAACGCAGGGTGCGGATGATCTGGTCGGGATGACTCTCCAGAGTGAAAGAAAGCGAATCGTTGGCGCCAGAAGAAGTATAGACCTCTTCGATTTCCTTTGCGAACAATTTATAAGTCTCTCCACGCATGACAGATCCCTTATCAGATCTTGGCAATATCTTCTCTGGTGTTTTGAGGAGGATCATGGTCTTCGAAGCAACACGCGCATGGCGGTCTAGCAAAAGGTTCTCCCGCTGCACCACCTTCCAGATCCGCTCCATGAAGGGGCCCACATCATCTTCGTGAAGAGGTACTTCTGGCTCTATCAGAACTCCAACTTCTTCACGGTTCTGACCAAATAGGACGGCTGTCTTCACCCCATCTTGCCTGCTGAGCGTGGCTTCCAACTGGTTGGGAAAAACCTTCTCGCCCGTCGACAGGACCAAAAGATCGTCATTGCGGCCCAGAATTGCCACTTCAAGGTGAGCAGATCCTGGTCGCCGTCGCAGAAGATCTTGGATTGCAAAGGGATGATCCCAACCGAAAGGGTAGCCCACTATCTGGTAGAACGGAACGCCGCTTTCATCCTTCTGCCCCACCTCTTTGATCTCAAGACCCATATCGGTCCGGATACGCAGATAATGCCAGTCATAGTCATCTCCAGGCACGAAGATCGGAGCGATGGCTCCGATCTCTGTCGCGCCGTAGTGGTTGAGCAACGTTACTCCGTTGGAGACCAAGAGTTCACCGATGGAAGGCTTAATAGGGCCACCCCCTACCGCCACGAAGTCCAGTCCTATCAATGCCCGCATCAGGCTTGCGTTGTTCTTAGCATCTTCAAGAATGCTTGGGACCGTCATCAATGAGCTGCTCGCGGACATCTCGATCAATTCGGCTATCGACGCGCCAGACGGGATGACGGACGCTGAGGGGAAGCAGCATGTTTTCCCAGTTGCCAAGCTGATACATGGGGCAAGCAAACCAAAGCCCTTTACTGAATTAGTACAAGTCCAACATACCCACGCATGGAGAAGGTACGTACATGATACATCGGAAGGGTGGATACGTTCCGCCTGCCGAGACATTGATCTGGCTCTAGGCGATGGCATGCTGCATAACCCAGCAAATACCGATGGGCTAGGGGAATAGGCTTTGGAAGTCCTGTAGTACCAGACGAGTGGAGTATAATTGCAGTCTCCCTATCGGAGGGAATGTGACGTTCCAGGGCGTCTGGGGCAACCAGCGACGCGAGCTGCAATAACTGTTGGAATGGGGAACATTGTACTAGTCGCAAGCCCTCTTGCTTTTCCTGTGATAGGGCTTCGCACGCCCTTTCCACTGTCCCCTGACTTCTTTGTGATACGATGATGGCGGATACTGAAGTTGATTCCAGGAGGTGCGAGATGGCGGCTGGACTCAGGCGGATGGAGAGGACGAGAACCTATAGTGTCAGAAACGATGCAGCTGGCCTGGTTGAGTGCCTCTTACCGGAATATTCAAGTATAATAAAGCCACAAGATGAACGAATAGATTGATATCGCTTTCAAGAAAAACTGCAACAGGCAGTCGTGTCCCCGGTTGATGCCGGCCCTCAGCTTCGGATGGCTCTGCTGGCAATTGTTTCCGGATAAGGTGCGAGCAAGTTGTGGCTGCGAGTTTAAGTTCTCTGAAAGTGACAGGAGTTAGGCTGAAATGCTTGCCTCCCTGTCGAATCTCTTGCAAAGCAAATTCATGATCCGGGTTGTGCTCTGCGTTGAAATCGATGAGGTCCGGAAGACTATGGATCGCAGATGGATCTGTGATCTGTTCCCTGGAGACTTGCAAGGAGGGCCGCAAGAACTCTTGCCCTACATTGTTGATTGGCATGGTGAATAGGTGAATAGCCTTTAGTACAAATCCAGAGACGTGTCTAGATGTGATTCACGGGCGATGGGACCCTTTTTTTTGCGCTCACAGAGAGAGACGTTGAGGCTAGAAAACTGCGGCCTGAATGGAAGACCAAGGAAGACAAGGCGTGACGACACCGCGTACGCGAAGCCATGTTCTGTACACAGGGTCGTATCCAAGGCCTTGGCCAGGAAATTTCACAATTATCAAGCGTTGGCTGCGGAGAGGTCCACGCTCATGAGCAGAGAAGGTACGCCGGTCCCTGGCACATTGCCACCGTGGAGAGGTGCTTCCATAAAATTCCTAGGACAGGGTAATGAGTAGTGTATTCTAAATTTGTTTCCTAAATTGGATTCTAACGTCACCCCATTGCCTTTTCCGAGCCAGCAACCATTCAATCGCAGCCCTTTGTAAATGAAGTCTTCATCATGGATTCGAAACGGATTGTATTCTTCGGGGGCCAGGGTAGTCGTTCGCTCTCCTTGTCAAGGCCAATCTCAGGGACGAACAGACAGAATGAATCCCCAGCAGTTTCTCTCTTACTATCGACTTGTCACACTGCGTTTCTACGAGAGGCCATACGGGCTCGATCACAGTCCCCTCCCGTCTGGGCAACGTTTGATACGCCAAGCAGTCCGCAATCCTTATTAACAGTGCCTCATGCACAATCCGATAACCCTATTCTCCACGGGATATGCCTCTGCGTGAACCAGTTGGTTGGGTATCTTGAGTATGACAGCACACTCGAGAAGCTCAAACAGGCTATACCTACGGGATTCTGCTCTGGGATGCTCCCTGCAATGGTCCTAGCCTGCAGCAGCACCGTGGAAGAGTACATCATGTTCAGTGGGGAAGCGGTTCGTCTTGCGTTTTGGATAGGGTACCGCGCTACCGAGCTGAGCCAGGGTCTTTTAAGAAAGGATTGGGAAGCTCAGCCCTGGGCTTTATCCGTGTCTGGAAAGGACAAGGAGACAATCGAGAGAGATGTCCAGAGTTTCAATAGTTTTGTTCCCGAATCGTCTCAAATCCGGCTGGCGTCAAGATTCGGCAAAGCTTCTTTCAGCATTGTGGGCCCAGGCCATGCATTGGAGGCATTCCGATCCCAGCATGTTTCTTCACCGTGCAGTGCGGAGGAAGTGCTTGTTCACGCCTTGTACCACGGAGGAGACAGGGGACTGGATGCGCTCAGTAAGGTACTTGATGATGTTCGGCGTGGAGGTATATCGTTTCCACCCTCAACAGCCATGAAAAGACCGATCTGGTCTTGCAATGACGCATCTTTGGTGGATGCGTCACTCCTTGCCTCCACCTCGCCATTGGAGTATACCATTCGTCTCATCCTGGTTGACACTGCCGACTTGTACGTTACCTGGCTCTCAGCTGTCGATACTATTACCTCTTCAGGTAAAGACTGGGAGATAGTCACGGTGGGACCTGGGTCAAATGCCCTGCTCGCCTCAGTAAGCAGGGACATAGCTCGGCCTGCAAAAACAAGTTGGATAGACATCTCAGGGCCTTTTCGAGGTGCCAATGAGCTCCAGACTGATGGCTTTGCCATTATCGGAATGTCTGTTAATTTCCCCATGGGGGCTGGAAAAGACGCATTCTGGAAAATGTTAGAGCAAGGTTTGAACGCAGCGCAAACAGTAAGTTTCCCCTGCAGCCCCTTGGAAACCTTGACTGGCCGATTGACGGTGCCGATAGATACCAGGTACCAGGTTCGAAGTAAACGAGTATAAAGCTGGAGGGAGTAACTGCCGGCCAGTCCGCGAGATGAAAGCCAGCCATGGAAACTTTCTCAGCGACCCATTCCAGTTTGATCATGAGTATTTTGGCATCTCTCCTCGGGAGGCCAAGTCAATGGACCCCCAGCAGAAACTCCTCCTCCAGGGCGCAGTGCACGCCATGGATGATGCGGGATATGTACCAAATGGAGCACCTTCCTTCAATCCGGAAACGATGGGGTGCTATATCGGGGTTGCCACAGATGACTACGTGCAAAATCTAGCTAGGGAGGTTGATGTGTATTACTCTACCGGTGGGTGTCCGTTTCTAGCAKGTACCGATACAGCGGCTAACCGAGCTAGGTACGTTGCGCGCCTTCTTGAGTGGGAAGATATCGTACGCCTATGGTTGGAGCGGACCGTCCATTGTTATTGATACCGCATGCTCGTCTTCGCTTGTATCTGTGGTGATGGCCTGCCGGGCTCTTGCCCAAGGCGATTGCACTACCGCATTGGCAGGTGGGGTGAATGCCATTACCAGTCCTGATGTAAGCCGTTGTGACTTCTGTCTGGGGATACGAATGACTGATTATATAGATGTATCTTGGCCTTTCGAGAGCCCACTTTCTGAGCCCGACGGGGCAGTGCAAACCCTTTGATGCCTCGGCCGACGGATATTGCCGGAGTGAAGGGTGTGGGCTATTCGTAATCAAGCGCCTTTCGGACGCAGTCCGTGAAGGTGACCGAGTTTACGGTGTCATCAAACATGGGCATATGAATCAGAGCGGCCAGGCGACTTCTATCACCCACCCTCATGGTCCCGCTCAGAAGCAGCTCTTCAAGGAACTCTTGAGTCGAGCGCAAATTGATGCAAAGTCGATAAACGTAATTGAAGCTCATGGAACAGGAACCCAGGTATGGCCTTCGACTTCAATTTTGCTTACAGTACGGATGATCCTGACCTTTTGAGTAGGCGGGCGATGCGGTCGAGACCTCCAGCATTGAGTCCACTTTTGGTGGTTTTCCCAGCCCAGTTTACCTGACGTCCGTCAAGGGCAACATCGGGCACGCCGAAGCAGCATCGGGTTCCGCGGGTTTAGCAAAGCTGCTTATGATGCTGCAGTTCTCGAAAATTCCGCCACAAATCGGGCTCAACACGCTGAACCCGAAGTTGGGGACTCTGACGGGTCGCAATATCCGGATTCCTACTGCCGCCTGCGAGTGGAACCGTATCGCTCCCAACCTGCCGCGGCGTGCATTATTGAATAATTTTGGTGCAGCTGGCTCAAACGCTGCTTTGATTATTGAGGAATACAGTCCGACATCATGTCGCGAAGATCAGAAATGGCCTCTGAGAGCGGCGTATAATCTGATTCTTTCCGCGAGGCATGTCGACGCGCTCAATGAGCTTATTGGAAGGTACTCTAAGCTTCTCCAGGAGCGGAACGTTGCCATTGAAGATCTTTGCTACACGGCGACAGCTCGGCGGCAGAGACATCGGCATGTCCTCTCGATTGTCGGAGGGACTGTGCCAGAGCTTGTCGACCAGCTTCAACAGTACAGAACAGAAGAGAGCGCCTTGGTCGACTACCGAATAAAGCACCCAATTGTGTTCGTATTCTCGGGACAAGGCAGCTTTTATTCAGCCATGGGCCAGCAACTCATGCGTACAGCCCCTACCTTTAAGGCTAAGGTTGAAGAATGCGACTGCGTGCTGCAGCAAAATGGCTTTTTGGACATAGTACCGAGCAAGGTACTGGATGGATCCTTCAGCCCTATAACTGCTGCAGATTCGGTCTTGTGGTCACAGGTCGCATGTTTTGTGCTGGAATATGCCCTCGCATGCCTGTGGATCTCATGGAACGTTCAGCCCGACGTTGTCGTTGGTCATAGGTACGCGAATAGTCCGGGATTCTTATTTCATTTCCAGACCAAACCTAACCAATTGCCAGCCTCGGAGAATATCCAGCCATGGTCATCAGTGGTGCCCTGTCGCTGCAAGATGCTTTGTTGCTTGTTGTGCGCCGTGCACAATTGATGGCATCGATGTGTAACATTGGGGAGACTTCTATGCTTGCCTGCAATACCGCGGCACTGTCTGTCGAACACCTAGTTTCCGAGTCGGGCCTGTCTCAACTCACAGTCGCTTGTGACAATAGTGTAACGGATTCTGTTCTCTCGGGACCTGTCAATCAAGTAGACCAAATGGCCGGGCTACTCAAAGAGAAAGGGATTCGCTGTAAGAGACTTGATGTCCCTCTCGGCTTTCACTCCGCGGCTTTGGATGCAATGCTGCAGGAACTCGAGGTCAAATGCGAAGGTCTCCATTTCTCGACTCCTAAGATTGCTTTAGGGTCTGGTTTCCACGGGCGACTTGTTGAAGAAGGCGACCTCGATTCTAGCTATCCCGTCCAACAAACCAGGTCGAAAGTGCGTTTTACTGAGCTCATAGGCTCTCTCTCCAAACGAGACGGAATCCAAAACGCTACTTTCATTGAAGTTGGACCAAGCCCGATTACGTTGCCTATGATTCGGACCAAGTTTTCGGGACAGGATGCCGTTTTCCTGCCCTCCATTGCAAAGGGTCAAGATGCATGGGCTAGTATAAGCCGTTCCTTGCAGCAGATGAGCCTGCGGCACGACTCCATTCAGTGGCGTGCTGTGTTTGATGGCACAAACGCCCATGTCACGGACCTTCCAGAGTACCCGTTTCAAATGCAATCAATGTACGTCCCATTTAAGGAACCCAGCATGGTGGCGAGTGTATCGACAACCGCTCAAAACACCAAACCGTCTATATTCCATTTATTGCAAGATGTGGTGAGTCTGGACGCCGGGAAAGGATTGTCAACGTTCCGTACGAGTTTGGACACCCTGTCCAAGTACATCGAGGGCCACTCGGTCGATGGCTTTCCGCTATGTCCAGCTTCAGTATACCATGAAATGGTTTTGGAAGCTATGCATTGGCAGGTTGCTCCAGAGGAGGATCAAGTGGCAGTGGTCAGTGACATACACTTTGGGCATCCCCTTATATATTCACCGGAGAAGGGATTCTCCACGGTGCTATTGACGTTGGAGAAAATGTCGGACGCTAGGCCTAAGAGTCATGGAGGAAGATTCACCTTTGCGTCCGGTGTAGTGGCAGGGTGTGATTCTGACACGGTCCTGTGTTCCGGCCAAACAGCATGGAAGCGCGCTTCGGACGTGAAAGTATATCTTGCGCGGAAGGCAGCATACGCCCAAAGGCAGATGAAGCTATTGCACAAACATCAGAGCCAGAGAAATATCCTGCACCGCAACGTCATCTACAACACGATTTTCCCTCGGGTAGTTGCCTACTCAGAGCCGTATCAAGCCATCAAGGAACTGAACGTCTCTGAGACCGATTTAGATGGCCACGGTACATTTGAGGTCCCAGCAAGCGCTCTCACCGGGGGGATTGTGTCTCCAGTTTTCATTGACACTATGCTGCACGCGGCCGGCTTCGTCGCCAACAGTCAGGCCAAACCGACCGATGCTTTCATTTGCAGCGAGATCGAGTCCGCGGTTGTGTTATATACCGCCATCAACCCGCAAGACACTTTCCTTATCTACTGCAGCCTGCTGGAATGCGGCGATGGGGAACGTATCGGTGAAGCATTTGCAATGACGCTCGACGGAAGAGCTGTTGCTAGCATTGAAGGCATGCATTTCAAGCGTCTGAATCTTAGATCGTTCGCTAGCCATTTGTCGCGCCAGGCTGGTCAGCGGTCTACCGGCGAGATCCCGCGGCCAGTCGTAGGTCGCACTCAGACGTCGACGAAGGTTGCCGGTCCTCTGGTGCCTAGTGCATTAGATCCCATAGGTACGGTGGTCAGCCTGATTGCCAAGCTATGCGAACAGCCGAGGGAGGTGGTTACTCCGGACAAGCGATTGGCGGACTTGGGGATTGACTCGCTCATGCAAATAGAGCTATCCCATTCGCTCAAGCGCCAGTTTCCCCATTTAGATGCGGACGGTCTGATGGAATCGGAAACAGTCGAGGAGATCCAAAACTACATTGGCAATATGCGTGGTGAGCGGTCCGGGGTGTGCTTTACACATGACGTATCCAGCAACAGCAGCGCCGAAAATAGCGACGATGGTTCAATCGCATCAGGAAAGCTCACCCCCTATACGGAGGTGACCACCACTCCGAACGAAGTAACCGGTCTCCTCATGCAGTTGGTGGCTGAAACTTGTGGTTTCAGGCTATCTGACATTCACCAAAACATGGCACTTGAATCGCTTGGGATGGACTCTTTAATGACCATCGAATTCCAAGAAGGCTTGCAAAAGGAATTCGGCCACGCACTGGCACCCCGAATATTATCCCCGGCGATAACAATAAGAGAGCTTGCTTTAAAGCTTGCAGGGGACATTAGTCCACCAAGGGAAGACTCGGCGCATTTCATTGAGAACGCCACAAGCAAAACCCTTTTGCGCGAGCCTTCGGAGGGGCAATTCGTTGTGCATCTGCAACGAGGGCCAGATAACTACCCCCCACTTATCCTGTTTCATGACGGCAGTGGACTAATCAAAAAGTACGAGCGTCTTTCCCAGTTGGGGTGCAACGTGTTTGGTGTTCGCAACCCTGAGCTGAATGTTCGACCGCATTGGGCAAGGGACCTGAAAGATATGGCGAGTCGGTATGCTGCTTCGATTCCCTCGGTTGTCAAAGCAAAACAAGTGATTCTCGGCGGTAGGTTCCCGTCACTGGCCGTGGGGCGAAAATGTACTGACGTGCGCAGGCTGGTCTTTCGGGGGGGTGCTCGCCCATGAAGTCGCGCAGCAACTAGACAAGTTTGGGTATACAACAGTGGCTGTCCTTCTTATTGACTCCCCATGTCCGTTGAACCATCAGCCCCTGCCTCCCCAAGTTGTCAACCACATTCTGGGGCCCAAGCGACTGCCTCAGCCTGTCTTGGCCACTATGTCTTACCAATTTGAAAGCCATGCCGAGTTTCTCGCAAGATACAAGGTGCAACATCCCATACCGCCGGCAAGGAAGTATGTGATGCTGCACAGCGAGCAGGTTCTGGAGACAACCCGCCTTTGTGGTGCTCCATATCCATGGCTCGAAAGTCGACAGGATCGGGCTTTGTCGCTTCGCCAATGGGAAAGAATCCTCGGACGTTCGCTGGTGGTGTATGATATCCCAGGAAATCACTTTGAGCCTTTTAACGATGAAAATGTAAGAGGTCCTCTACGTCCCTACGTCCCAACGTACACGTTAGATGCTAAAACAGGCATTTAGGTCAAAACTGTCTCGGAGACACTGCGAGAGGCATATGAGAAGGTGACGGCAATGCGTTTAGTTTGACAATTGCACACTAGAAGATGATCGCCATGTACATAGAAGCTCCACGTCTCTATTTTGGGAAGTTACATGAAAATAATTCCGTCATGACATTTTTTCCAGTCTGTAATTCCTATTGTTGGCACCCTATGTTGGGCCCATGCCTCTAGAAAGATTTGCGGTAAAACCTAACAATCAGCGACCATCCAAGGCAATCCCAAAATAAAGGCGAGCCGAATCCGGGCCCATCCAGAGGACCGGCGTACGCCAGCAGTGCTCCCGCCGTCGGAGCCGTCATACTGACAATTCCATTCTACTGGCAGAGTCAACCACAGATAATCTCTATTTATGAGCAGCCCGTCTGCCGCAAATCCGCTCCTAGAGGTGTCAGCCATCCCAAAAACCAAATCTTTTCCGGCATTTCAAACATACGATGGCCCACTCCATCCTTCCTCACACCCACGAGAACGGCTTCCGCCAACCAGCCAAAGATCCTCACTGGGTGCTCCCAGAGGTAGATACAGTGTCCGAAAACCCCAGGAATAACCAAAGACCGAATTAACTGTAGGCTTCCGGTCTCTAGGACTCGTGGGACGAAACTGGCGATGACGCGGGACCGCAGTACGAGGTCCCGCCCTCGGTCGAGATCGTCACATCAACCCGCCACAATGACCTGGGGTTCAATGTCCTGCGCGTATGGCCGACACTGCATGATGGCACCGCGTCGCCACACGGGTGTCCTGCTTGGTGGAATCCAAGGGATAAGGTTGATGTTTTGATATGCGGCGGTACGTCTGAATTTGGCCGGGCTCGTGTGCGGTCAGACTGACAGTCATAGCTGGACCCAGTGGTCTAGAAGTTGCGCTGAGCTGTCTTCGACAGGGGCTCACATTCCGAATTATCGGTTAGTTTATTTCATTCGTGATCTCATTTTATCGTCATCATCTGCAGCCCTCCCATTTACAGAAGCTTACAAGCAGCTAGACAAGAACACCGCCCCCTTGGCAGCCGGACGCGCTGACGGGGTCCAGCCCCGGTTCCTCGAGACCCTGTCAACATGGGGCCTTGCCACAGAAGTGCACGAAGAAGGCCCCCTGATTGAACGCACTGCCATTTATCACAATGGTCGACTTCTCCACCACGGCCGCTCTCATCAGTCTGATTCACGTTACCGAGGTTTGCATATTATCACGCAGGGCCAGATTGAGCGGATCTTCGTGCGCGATCTCCTGCGGCATAGGGTGGTTGTGGAGCGCGCCACGACGCTGAAGGAGTATAGCATCGACTCGGCACTCACAGCGTCCAAGGACCACTCTGCCTACCCTGTTCAGTGCGTGATACAGGACGGAGATGGGAAAGAGACAGCAGTGCAAGCGAAATTCCTGGTTGGGAGCGATGGAGCGTCGAGTGCGATTCGGCGCAAGCTACAGATTCCGTTCGATGGCATCAGTACAGATATCTACTGGGGAATTATGGACTGTATCTTTGAGACGGACTATCCGCATGCGTGGATCTTTGGATCAGTCGTAAGTACGGAGCATGGCGGGTGTGTCATTATTCCGAGAGAAAATGGGTACATTCGGTCAGTGATTCATGGTCCCTCGGCGCTGCATATTTCTTCCCCTGTATGGTGTGCTAGATCTGACGGTTCTTACGGGCAGACTGTATACCCAGTTGAACATTTCTCAGACCGGTCCACTGGCGGCCTCCCGACAAGCAAGGGACCCCTCCTTCGCTGAGTCTGGCGGCCAGGTGGACATCCACTCGGTCACTCCCGAGGAAGTCCTGGAACAAGCAAATCGCATCTTTGCCCCGTATAAGCTGTCCTTTGCAGCGCCCCTCAGTTGGTTTGCTGTGTGGAAGAGTACGTCCTGACAATCTGCTTAACCCCCAAACATAAAAGCCGCCAGCCCTAACGTCCGTCCAGTCAGCGAACGAGTCGCTCGTTCTTTTTCCTCCGATGACCAACGCGTCCATTTAGTCGGAGATGCAGCGTACGTTTTGTCTTTCTGCCACGAACCTAAGCATTCTCTAACCTTGGTGGTGATCAAATAGACACGTCCACAGTGTCATGGGCGCCTTCGGCCTCAACGCCTCTATCCTCGACGCCGCCAACCTTGGCTGGAAAATTGGCCTCTGCGCAAAAGGAAAGGCCGACCCAAGCACGATCCTCCCGACCTACGATCGCGAGCGCCGCCTCCATGCCGCCAATATTATCGAAATCTCCGGCAAATACCTACGCTTCGTCTGCAGTTCGCAGGTCCCAACGGCCCGCCTGCACTACCTCGGTGCAGACCTGGGACTCGAAGAACGCGAGACGTACAAAACGAATGGGCAGAACGGGGTGCATGATGCCGTGCAAAGTGCGCCTCCGTCGTCCACTGAGGCAGTCTCAATCACGGTGGAGTCCGATTCAAAGGACAAGCAGAATGTCACTGCGGCCTTAACGCGCGACGAGGCGAAGGCCTTCCTGCATGACTTTTTCACGCAGCATGGACAGTTTCTCCTGGGGGTGGATGCAGAGTATGGTACGAGCTGCTTGAATCCATCCATAAAACGCATCAACGGCGTTAATGGGGCACAGCGGGCCCCGCCGGTCAAGGTGAAGAATGGGGTACGGGCTCCGAATCCCCGTGTGTGCTTCGATGAAAGTCACACGGGCTATCTGTATGACAAACTTCCTGGGGACGGCCGGTTCCATCTGGTCATATTCGGATCGAACCTTCTCGGCCCAGTCCGGCAGCGACTGAGGATATTTTCGGAGGCGATATCGTCGAAGGAATCTACAGGTGGGTTTTACGCGCGGTTTGGCGGGGCAGAGATGTTTAACATCGTCCTTGTGGCCAAGGGCACCCCGTTTGAGATTGAGGAGAATTTATCGGTTCGAGAGGATCTGGCCGCTCTGCGGGATACGGCCACTGTGTTGGCGGATGACCGCGCCCCCGACGAGGATGCACATAGTACCTGGGGCGTCAACCATCGCACTGGAGCCGTTGTGGTGATTCGACCGGATCTGTGGGTTGGAATCAGTGCGGTACCCGATGACACTGAGAAAGTGGGGTCCTACTTCTCGACATTTCTCCTAGCCTAAGAGATACTCTGTCCATAGCCTGTCTGCGCTGTACATCGTATAGAATGCTGTTTTCTACCGGAAACCGGAGTAAGGTACAGAATTATACATTGTACGCGGGTCCAAACAAACGACGGTGGGCTATGCCGGCCATATATATAGAACGATCATGAACCCCTTAAGTGAATCCCGCACCAAGGATCCCTGATCAACAATTCCATTAGCGAAACCCCAGGATAGCACTATGCCTACCCTCAGCGACGCCCATCAGCTGCTCCAGCTTGCTGACCTCACCCGCGATAGTGTTCACCGCATCATTGCGGAGTGGGCAAAGCTCCCTGCCGCTTCCCCCAGCAAACAGGGCGGCCCAGTAGACGATGGTGAAGCCAATCTGCCCAGCCGCGAGCTCTTCGAAGCGCAACGCACCCTTGTCGCCACGACGGGAAAACTGGTCGAGCTGATCTCGGACCCCAGCAGTCGACTCCTGGAGGTGTCGTCGCAGTATAACGAATCCAGATGCTTGCATATTGCTGCTGTACTCCGGATTCCGGATCTGTTGGCGGAGAACGGAGATAAAGGCATGTCAATGGAGCGCATCGCTGAGAAGGTGGGAATCGAGACGAGAAAGCTCGGTATGTCCTTCCTGATATCCGTGATCTAGCCATGTATTTAATCCAGGGTCTCATGATGACTCCGATGGATGGCAGGGCGTATCATGCGATGTCTTTGCTCGATTCACATCTTCCGCGAGACAGACGATGGGGTCTTTGCGAACAACGTCATCTCAGCCGGTTTAGTTGATAATGAGCCATTGAGGGCTTATATTGCAATGTTGTACGTTTCTCTCTCATGCAAAGGCTGTCTCTACGTTGCTAATGCAGATTGAGCAGTGGGTGGGATCTTTACAGCGCATCGGACGCTCTTCCACGTGCTCTCCTGGACTCCGAGATCGGGTCCTCATACTCGGTCAAGGAAACGGCTTGGCAAAAAGCCGTCGGGACAACCAAGGAGCGGTGGAACTGGCTCGAAGAGGGCGTGACAGCTACAGAGCTCAAAGATGGCAGATCTGGGGCTTATCCAGGGCCATTTGGCCCCGACGTCACGGCCGCCCTCCAGGGTACGAGCGGAGAGGAATCAATCCGTCGACCCGAGCTCGATATATTTGGTCTCGCCATGCTTGGCGGTGGGCGTGTATTCGGAGTTGCACATTTGTTTGGTAGGCCATGGTGCCCTGTTTATATACATACACACATGAAAAAGGAGCATATATTGACTATTGGAGCAGACTTCCCCTGGGCATCATTGGGCAAAGCGCAAGTTGTCGATGTGGGCGGCGGAGTCGGTATGTCGTCGGCGCATCCTCCTTTCCCGAGTGCTTCCAGCAAACAGAACTAAATGAACGCCAGGTGGATTTTGCCTCCAGTTGTCCAAGATTTACCCAGACCTCAGCTTTATCGTGCAGGACCGCGCGCCTGTGCTCGCTCAAGCCCAGCGCGAGATCTGGCCGCGCGAGAACCCTCAAGCGCTCAACAATGGCCGGGTCAAATTTCTCGAGCATAACTTCTTCGATCCCAACCCCGTTGTTGGTGCTGATATCTACTGGCTGCGGTATATTTTGTAAGTGCCCACGAGCTTGATGCCCCTGCCAGTCAACCTGGTACTGAAGACAGAGACGTATCAAGGCACGATTGGTCGGATGACTACTGCATCCAGATCCTCTCGGCCATCAAAGAAGCTATGAAACCTGGGTCCCGGGTCCTCATCTGCGACCAGGTCATGAACACCACGGCTGGGTTTGCAGAGCGAATTGCACCGGCGCCAGACCCGCTCCCGGCCAATTACGGCTATTTCACCCGATACAGCCACCAGCGGGACATTGCCATGATGAGCATCATCAATGGCATTGAGAGAACGCCAGCGGAATTTCAGGATATTATCGAACGGTCAGGGCTGGTGATGAGTCGGATCTATGATTGCCGAAGTCAGGTTTCGTTAGTGGAGTGCGTTTTGCCTGACGGGACGCAGACCGCGCCGAATGGTTATCACTAGGGGGCCTTCCATAGATTGATGATTATATGTCGTTATCAATGATAGTTTCTAGCTCCGTACATTCGTACACCTATAAACCCCCACGTTCTAGCTATACTTTGATGATCTACAGTATACGCTTCGCTACCGTACGTTAGCTACTGATCCGCCCTCTACCATAGCTTGCATGTCGAATAGGAGTGACGCCTCAGCACTTGCGGGTATGACTGCCTGCAAATGAATAAAGGCGAAAGATCACATGCGAGGTTAGTCATTAGGACCGTAAGTGATACGCGATAACGAGCCGAGAGTAAGGTGGGAGGAGCCGCCATCAGACTGGACGATTCTGCGCGAAGTGATCAACTGCTGCGTATCTTGATTTAGGTAGGCAGTTCCGACTGAGGCCCAGCGTCCACGAGACGGAATGAGCCAATAGTGGCCAATCAAAATTAGATTGTTTTTAATTTCGCTTGCAGCTCCCTTTATCCAGAGTCCCTAAGTCCAAGATGCCACCTGAGCACTGGATGTGGGACCGAAGGATTGAGCATAGAGCCATGCTGAACCTGCCTTTGCTGCCATTAACAGTATTACTGTTTCTATCCCTGCTGTCGGTGATCACATCATCGCCATGGACGACTATGCAAGGCTCGTTGCACATTGGAGAATACCGGAATGCTAGACGGTGATCCATATTCCAAACACTTCCACTGGAATGCAAGGAATAGCCCGTGTGGTTGATAGCATGGCCTGTCGTAGAACAAATGATTGACTCTTATTCCACGATGGCATCCACACGTTGTTGATTTGGCGTACGCCAAGGAAGAATAAGGGAGAAGAGAAAAAGCAAAGGTACGAGATTCTTCAAGCCATTCCTGTTAAGTCTAAAAACCTTCACACGCTTAACGGCCCCCACATGTCGATTCTCGGCCATCTCCAATCAGGATATTCATTTAACGCCACGCATTCGGGGTGGTTATTCGTTTGGGAAGGTGCGGATGTGGCTCTATAAAGAGAAATGGATCGTCCCGCCACCGATGAGCTTCTGACGGACTGTGTTCTGGCCGTCCAGTCCGTGTACTCAAAGGCCCCTCCATCATAGGTCTTGCCGCCGCTGGGACGCCGGCCCGGCCGATCGTATCTCAAGCAGGATGGATTTGCACCCACGCTATTTTTTGACGTCAATGCGAGACGGGCCAGATGAGAAAAGGTTGCTGCTGGTGATACTTGGCCCTTAATCTTGATCAGACCAAGAGCGCATGCCAAGCAGCTTCAGGGGATTGGCAAGGAGATCAAAAGTAAGCCCCCATCCCGAGGGACGACGGGCGTTAGTCTTTCCCCCGCTGACCGGTGGTCGCATTGTGTAACGTACTCATCGGAGTTGGCCGTACAGGGAATTGAATCCAAGATCTTCACCAGGAGCCGAGGTCGACATGATCAACAACAATACGAGAATGGAGGATGGCATCCCCCCGTGCCAGCATGTCTGTCTGACCCCACCCAATACGAGCTCCGGTGGATCAAGACATGCACGACGATAAGGATGACGCGATCCACTACTTCTGTGGGTTCTCAGCGTTGTACGGGTTAAAAGATATGGATCTATCCAGTGGTCGCCGCGCACAGATTCGGTGGGCGACTTGGGGATAATGTGGCTCCTTTCTGCTGCCAGAGCCTCATTCAAAACCCGCGATAAAATTGGGGTAATTGGGTCGTCCCTTAACCCCTCGATACGCGCCCATACAGATTTATCCCTCCCGCGAGGTGGAACCCCAGCATTTTCATGACTCAGCTGAGGAGAGCCAAAGTCTGTGACGTGCAGGGGTCGAGATCTTCTCCTCGTATATGCAGGTGGTCTGGACAACGAATAAAGCCCATGAGCCCATCATTCTATACATAAGCCATAATCCTCGCTGGTCCACAGCAGCTGCAGCCAAGCCGAGCGGTGTTCAGCCATTGATACCAATGGCTCCCAAGCTTGGCAGTGAATTAGCATCACCCTGAGACAATCTTCGCCACGCGTTTTGCTGGGGATGTACAAAGCACTAATTTCTGGAGGAATGTCCGGGGGTCGACACCAATGGTATCATTAATATTTCGCGTTCTTCCAGGCTCATACGTACTAACTAGTGTCTGGGCGTGAGCATTGTAACAAATATCAATTTTACGTTCGTTGATAAGCAGAAGGTGAGAGTGAGGCCGCATGTAGTCTCACATCGGGCCAGTAGCCATTTGTTACACCTATGGAGGCCTTGGAGCTGACACGTTGGGCTGATAGCAAGACTCCAATATGAGTAAGACGAACATTTGCTTCAACAGCGATACTTCAGTGCGAATAAGAAAAGGGAGTGCCGTCTCTGCGTCCAGGGTAATCGAAGCTGATGGGCCAGCCTGCAAAGCTGCCGTGATGAGGATTGCGTTCGTATTCCAGCAAGCTAGATCCTGTATTCGAAACTTCTAACCAAACCCCCCCCCTTCCCCCCCGGTTCATAAGGTTGCAATCTGGCGTATCATCATTGCCACCTATCTCATGTGGCTATACATCCTGCCGCACAGAGAGGGGGATCACCATTCTCTAGCGTGAGCAACTGCGGCCCTATATGCTGCAGACGTGAAAGTTCCGTTCAAAATAGCCGGGGACTCTTTCAGTATCGGCTCGAATCCGATCCCATATTGAAATATCCCTGGTTTAGCCCTGGTCTCCCTGGCGCCGCCATTCAAAGGTTGATGCTCTTTAGCTGGTGGTCTCCTTGTTCTCTACTTTCCCGCGCCGTCTTCGGTGATTACATTTCCAGAAAATGCCCCGGGCCGCTCGCAAATGGACGCCAGAAGAAGATAATCTGCTATCTCGAGAGGTTCATTCTCAATGTAAGCAGAATTCCCACCAGACTGGGTCGCATTTGCTGACGGGGACTCCTTGGTTGGTTATAGTAGCCGAGGGCAAAGTAAAAGACTGGACGGTGATTGCAAACAAGATCCCTGGCCGCACAAACAAAGACTGCCGGAAACGGTGGCACAATGTCCTGTCAGGGGGGTTCAATAAAGGCTACTGGACCGAAGAGGAGGACAAACTGTTGACTCGAGCAGTACAAACACATGGAGAAACGTAAGCCCTGCGACCCGGCGCGTTTCTTTGCGGCTCAGGGCAATGCCTTAAGCAAGCAAGGATATCAGTTGACGTGCCGTGCAGATGGACAGCGGTCGCCGAGGTTGTGAAAACACGCAGTGCAGATCGTATGTACTATCCTTGTCTCATGCATGATCAAGCAGCCTGCTCGCACCCACCACCCTGGAGGCCGTTACTTACCCAATGTTGCGGCAGAGTGCGCCAAGCGATGGAAACAATGTCTGGATCCACAGCTCGATCGTAGTGAATGGACAGAGGATGATGTGTGCCTAACTTCTCTTTGGACAAGAACCGAACTTGGGCTAAAACAGAGGACAGAACCGTCGGCTGGTAGAAATCGCGGCCGTGAAAGGGAGACGGTGGAAGGAAATCCAGACGGAGTATTTTCCTTCACGATCCCGCAACACCATCAAAAATCAGTAAGTCGTCTTGTGGCCCAAAAGAGGCACTACATCGGACTAAACGCGCCCTGGGCAACGGCAGATACACCATCCTCACTCGGCGAGAGAACAAGTTAAGACCCAGCAAAAGTAGGAAGCTAAGTCAACGCCAGGAAGATCTAATGACCAAGGAAACTGCGCTTCCGACCGAGTGGTCATCAGACGATGAGGACGACGAGGACGACGAGAGCAGCTGTGAGGAGGACGAAGATGGTAGTGCAGAGGAAGAAAGCAGCCGACGGGGTCCACGCAACTGCCGGGGGGACCAGAGCGTGTACAGCTCCACATCCAATTCCGACCCTACGCTCGCGGTTCCCACCGAGGTCTCTGTGTATGCAGGGCCGGATGCCTTGCCATGGGATGATCTTTCAGCTGGAGCCTCCGGTCACGCGTGGGATCCGACCATGTCCTCCGACACTGACTTTCCTGGACACGGTTTCAACGGCACTCTGCCCGATCTACCTACCGTCTCTCCGGATGTTTTGCAGGGTTTTGGTCGCCACGGGTCGGATGCTGCTAAGCAGGCGTTCTATCCCGATCTTCTCTCCCCGGTGCCCACTGACATATCCGGATTGTTCGGCCAGGGGGTTCCAGAAATGGCAGAAGTCGAATCCCAACAACCTGCCATCATACCACTCCAAGGCATAGCGGTGCCGCGTCAGTATTCTCGCGGTAACAAAGTCGTCCTTACCGTCGAGGAACCAGACCATCGGACGGTCGAGGCCTTAGTGCAGGTTGCATTTCTCAGTGGAACTCCGTTCCATTTGGCGCGTGGATGAGAAACGTAGAGGTAGAGATAGACGGAATAAACGCGTACTTGATATATTTCTCCCCTACTATTTCTTTTTCTACGTCGTTGGCCTGCGACTTTTCTTTTGGGCCATTCTACCTAGATTCTCGCTCTGGTGTTATGCCCAGGAGGAGCAAATGCAAACCCTTGTCAGGTTCAAGAGAACTATGCAAACAATTGAGACATGCATTCAAACTTTTGATCATGCACAAGCCAGACCACGACTGCCTTACACTCGACGCCCAACCCATCTGCGAGAAACATTGAATTGACAACGCGGAAATTGGTTTGTACTGTACAAGTCTGGTCCGCGCTACTACCAAGCCCCGATCCAGCCACATCGGTTATATCCATGCATTTACTTCTTCGGGCCTAACTCCAAGCCACCAGGATCGTTAGCATTGCAACCTTTCATGCCTTTCTCAACAAGACTCCTCTGGTGTGGATATACTTCCCTTGCCGATCCCACCTGCCTAACTGGGCGAACGGAAGCATTGGCATAAATGTCTTCTCCGATGGGGACCGGCGTAACTTGGTGTCAGCGGAAGCCGTTTGTACGCGGGGCCTAATAAGCTAAGTCGGATGGGAGGGGCAAAGGATCGCCAGGCGCGGCCGCTGAAAAGATGGACTCTAGCAGTGCATAGCATAACTCTTGATCTTTTTTTATTTTATTTCTTTTTGCGACCCGTCCCTTCACTTAAATAGGTAATTCCTATAAACTCCGTCTGTTTGCCAGATCATATCAGCAAACACGGGGACTTCAATTTTACCAGATAAAATATAATATCACTTTCAAGTGCCAAAAGGCACTAGTAGTAATGCTCTAATTAATCGTATCATGATTGTTCTATTGAGAGATAAGAGGTATCATCTCCATTCTTCAAACAATGATTAGCACCCAGGGCAATCTCAACTCAACCGAGGCCTATCTATATCCTTTTATCATTCCATATCTGCCCATATATTCAGTGGATCTGTCAATGTTGGCTCTATGTATAGCATTTGATTGAGTCTTATCCTCGTAGGCCTTCAAGCTCCGCTGGTCGAGGCTGACACATTGGCCCTTTTGTACTACGCAATCAATTAGCCCCCAGACCCAAGCTACCGTGCCACAGGCCAAGACTCACCGATAAAAATACAGCACACAGAAGACTAACTGCAGCCCCAACGTAGATACACGTGAACCTGTATGAGCCATAAGCCGATAATTCAGGATCACGGGGAAAGAGGGTGTGGATAAGTACACGTCGTTCCATGCGGATACAATCACTTCCAACACCTTACGGCGCATGTCGGACGACAATGATTTGAGCAGGTGCCCGCTTGTTCCAGATACCATCTGCTGCACTTGGTCTCGTGGTGTGTTCGGAAGGATACGGTACAGATTCTTCGAAGCGACGTTGACGAAGACGGCACCGCCAACGGAGAGGCCGAGGGTGAGGCCGCCGAGTTGTGCTATATACATTGTTAGCATCGGCTAGATTTGGGTAATACTTTTTCCGTGAAGACAGATAGTACCTAAAAGCATCAGGGATAGTCCATTGGCCGCTTCTGATGGGGGTACGACGGCCTGGATAACGGCGAAAGAGGCTTGCGTGTATGCGCCGGCGCCCAAGCCAAGGACGATCTCCAGACCATACAGAATGGAGGGCGATGTGTCGACGTGCACAATCGTCGCTAGCTGTTGTTAGGGAGGACAAATTTACGTCACGCGGATCCCAGAGCATACCCATTAAAACTGCCGCAACCATGGCCACAATGCTACCTCCCAGGTAGCACGGCTTGTAATATCCAACCCGCGACATATACAACCCGCTAGCCGGGATGGCAGTGATGAGGAAAAAGATAAAAGGCAACTGCCGGACGGCCGCGTCCATTGCCGTATCCCCACGCGTGAATTGAAAGTAGATGGGGATGTAGTACACGCTTGTGTAGGATACGGCACCCACGGCGGTGCATGCCACGAAGAGCAACAGGGGCTCCTTCTGCAGATACAGGTGGATCGGCAGCATGCGCGTTTCCTTCGTAGTGAATACGGTGAAAGCTTGCTGGAGAACAAAAATAATCCATAGCGAACCGGTCACTACAAATAGTGCGATGATCTGGCCGCTGCTCCATGGGTAGAGGGTTCCTCCGAAGTTGATGCCCATCACTAGAGTGATACAGGCTCCCACGCTGAGAACGGCCCCGACGCAGTCAAGTGTGGCCAACCTCTGCCACTTCGTCATACCAGGGGCCGGATTGTTGGACGGGAGGATGAACACATAGATTGGGAGAAGGATAGCACCAAAAAGTAGGTTGATGTAGAAGGCCCAGCGCCAAGTGTATAGTTCGAAGCCGCCCCCAATGACTGGACCCAAGACGGTCCCTACGCCCCAAACGAGGCCACTATGGCTAGACGTTAGCGAAAGGCTGTCATTGAGCGGCGGATACTCACGTCAGGCTAAGGTAGCCGGGTCTCTCGCGGTTTGTTGTATTCATCGAAATGATCGTCAGCAGGCCGAAGTACATGCCATTTCCACCTGCACCGGCAAATACACGTCCTACAATCTCCGCCGTCATATTTGGCGCGGCGCCGCACAGGGCAGATGCAGCCATGAAGACGATAGTCGAGCTAATATAAATCCACTTGGCGTCAAAGAGGGCATACAGCCTGCCTAGCGGCAGCACCATCGCCATACCCCCGATCATGAATCTAGATTGTACAAATGAGCTAGGAACAGACTGTGATGGTTGGGTTTAGGACCGACCCGACCGAGAGCCATGGTAAGTCTGAAACAGTGTCGAATTTGTTCACGATAGCCTGAAATCTCATCGTCAGTATGTCGCGTCTTGTCTAACCGAATGTGTACGCCACTTACGGGAACGATGTTTGCTACGATGGTGTTGTCGAGGGCATAAACAAAAATAGCGGTGAGTGTGCTGGATATGAATAGGAACCACTAAACAGGTCAGGTCACGGCGTTCCAAATGAGTCCTGCGGTATAACAACATACACGAAAACCGGTGATGGTTCGGACATCCTTCAACTCCTCATCCGATCCATTGGGGTCACATTGCGTGCCCTTCTCGACATCAGGGGACGAGTCGTGACTCCCAGAGGTGCATGCCCCTGTGGTCATCCCATTTGAAGTCTCCTCACTGGATGATAATGCTATCGTCTCGTTCGGCACATTGGACCCTAAAGCCATGTTGCTAATGGCACCAGCAAGACGAATTGGCAGTCAATAAGAGTATTTACAGGAAATAAGGTCATCTGCTTTACTCGATCGACGAGGGACTTATCAACTTGGATTGTGGCAAGTCGGCTCTACGGGTAAGGACAGGACCTCGTCCATACATTACAAATTTTGTATGTTCATCGCTGTACGCGGGTCCGACAGATCACCGGCATCTCTCAACTTCACAACAAGGAGGGACATGGCTGGCACGATTCAAGTTCATAAGAGATCTATTTAGTCTAGGTGGGAACATGTATTCGAGGAACCCCGTGTGCCTGCCCTCCTTCGCAAGGAACATATCTATCAATACGCTGTGGGCATCAAGCGAGCCATACAGTCTATGGGGGAACAGTAACAAAAAGATCTCGCCGGCCGATCCACTCTTTGCGCGGCTGGGATATTTACCCCGCAGCATCCTTGCTCTTTTATCGTTTACGGCTTCTCTGTCATCCTTACAACTCCCCGGATTCCTTCGTACCTTTTGTCCATTTCGCCGCTGCAAAGGCTTATCTAGGATATTTCAACCACTATGGCACGCGTGTGGCTCATCACAGGGTGCTCCTCTGGGTTTGGCCGGCAGATTGCTATTGCTGCTGCAAAGATCGGAGACACAGTGGTCGCGACTTCGCGGGATCCATCTAAGTTGGAGGATCTCAAACAGACTGGCAACATCCTTCCGCAGCGCCTCGATATCTGCGCCAGTGATGAGGAGGTCCAGGCCCGTATAGCTGAGATCATTACGGCTGTAGGTCGTATCGATGTCCTGGTGAACAACGCGGGATATATCCTCGAAGGAGCTATCGAGGAGTCCAGGTAGGCAGCCAATCACATAGCCTTTCTCTTAATCTCCTCAACGGTCATCATCTTTACCTGGCTGACGGTCCCAGCGCCGCGGAGATTGAAGACTTGTTCGGTGCCAACGTCTTTGGCCAACTGCGGCTTCTCCGCGCTGTTCTCCCAACAATGCGCGCACAGCGATCGGGCACTATCGCCAATATGGGCTCCATTGGAGGCTGGAGAGGAACTCCAGGAGCCGGCCTATACTGCGCCACCAAAGCAGCCATTGCCATCTACACTGAGGCGTTGAGGGCCGAATTGGCTCCGTTTGGTATCGAGACGACTTGCATCGAGCCGGGATACTTCCGCACCAACTTCCTCGAGAGCGATGGTAGCCACAAGGTTACAGCCAAAAATCATATTTCCGAACTCGATGTTGTGACGCAGCCAACCAAGTCACGGCTGGCAGCCTACAGCCACCACCAACCGGGAGATCCGGTCAAGGGAGCACGTCTCATTGTCGAGGCGCTGACGCGCACGGGACGATGTCAGGGACGTACTCTGCCTCCCCGACTGGCTCTGGGACGTGATGCAGTGCAGGTAATCGGAGCGGCTCTTGACCAAAGTTGCGAGGCCCTAGACGCGTGGAAGGAACTGGTGAGCACCACTGATTGTGACGATGTTCGCAACTAAGGTTAGGATCCATGGATTGACGACGCTTTTCAAAATTGAAAAAAAATTGAAACCAGCTGATTGAATTTCAGCGCCTGCCGCATGTCCAACAATTGTTACGGGATGCATCTCGTGCGCTTACTTGTGGGCGAGGTCAACATAAACCTGTTGATCGGATGACCAAATCTGAGTACACCTTCAATTAGTGTCGTGCCTGTAGGACTTCCTGATGCGATATATAGCTTACTAGGCTAGATGCTACTTTAACTAATCGTCAATTAAAGAGCATGTATGGGGTATATCGTACCCTTGAATGTGCCAGTTATAGGAAAAGAAATGTGGACTTCCTCTTTCAGACGTCTATGTAATTCTACCTTCCAAGCCTGCGTCATTTTTTGACTGTCTTTTTAGGACCAGATGTGGTTGTTTCTGTCATAGTTACTAATCATATTAACCTACTAACAGCCTTGCTAAGCCCGGGACATAAATTGGAAATTCAGTTCAGTTGGGAACAGAGTATGTGGCAACCGTCTCACCAACTAGGAAGCCTTGAAATGGAGCTTAGCATCACTGTTTTTAACAACAGTGATGAAGTATTGATTTTACAGTATATTCTACACTAGTGGGATTGATATTATGGAGGATGTTAGTTTAATGGCTAGCTTTTAATTGCTTAGGGGGAGCTAGTTTAAAACTTTAAATAGTGAGATGGTACTATTACTCTTGATCCATAAACCTATATTAGCAATATTAAAATGAAGTGGCCAATTTCCCGCTTCTCTGCCCTATATAAGACTTATTCAAGAGTTCTAATAACTTTTAGTGCTTTAACTAGGATCTAATCTATGTTGTATGTTTACCACCTCCAAAGCGACGAACTTGCACATGGATACTGGATGAGATATCAATCAGTATGAGTTGTGGAGAAGAAGAATACTCTGGATGATTATACTGGCACCCAATTATTATTGATATTATATTAGCTTCCAATTTTTGATACGGTACATTCTGTCTTCCTAGTGCATTCGTCCTGATGCACCACTGCTGAATCAGTGCAAGATTTATATATATATTCGGCTCAGCTGACCAAACACAATCCAGTATTGTCCATGTCTAGGAGTCTCGCCTTGGCCCCTAGCTATTCTGGGTTGGCAAATGCACTAGAGAGCCAAGTAGGACTATATTAATATAATCTATAATATTCTAATTAGCTAGAGATTCATCCTCTAAGTTAATAAAGTGAACTTGGGCTGCAAAGCTTAACTTAGCTATTATAGGCTGGTCACCCTAGTGGCAACCTTCCATAACAGGAAGTCGCCCTTACATAAGCCATTCTGTTCTCCCTTCAACAATCAACAAACAGTATCGGGGTGAGCCGCGGGCATCTCGGTTGGTTGTCGGTGCCTGATGGTTCTGCCTGGCGTGGCCGCCCTAAACTAGGTGATTGACATAGGTGCCGTAACACCGAATTATCCGACTGCACTTTCATTTCTCCGGCCGGAGGCAAATGAGACCGCCCACCTTCAACGCGGTTGAAGCCAAGCGGTCCACAACACAACATGGTTGAGACTGATAATGAACGTGTGCAGAAGGCACTGCCAATTCCGGCAAGGCCAGCTTCAGATATCGCAGTGTACAGCATCGGTGGCGAGACTCGACCTGGCAAACGTCGGAAGACACAACTTGCATGTAATGCCTGTCGTGATCAAAAGACGCGTTGTGATGGAAACAGACCTACTTGCTCGAGGTGTGCAAAGAAGGGTTTCAGCTGCATATATGAAAAGGGTTCGTTGAAAAACCAAAGGTATGGTTCCATACTGAAATACCCTGGTTGATGGCACATAATTATAAGGCGGGGCAAATGCAGATACATTTCCACACTAGAAGATCGGCTGAAAGAGCTCGAAAAGAGCAGCCAACGAGGATCTGATCAAGCTGCTCGCGATGCAATTGACTCAGGCCCCACACGTAAGGCTCCCAGAATATCCAACTTCCATGCCTGTGAACTATCATATTCTCCTGAACCTTTTCGATTTTACGGCGAACGATCCTGAATTCCAGTACTAATTGTGCTGCAGTGGATGATAGCTTCAATTTTGTAGCTGCTCGGCCAGGACGATATCCTGAAACACAAGCTTTGACGCAGCAAGATTCGCTCTCTTCATTTCAGAAAGAGTTAATTAGTACTGATGCAACAGTAATTGTGCCATCACCGGAAGACAACGTCTACTGCTCTTCCGCAAATACATCCACAATGGCTCTCGTTCAGTCCACGATGCGGGCCACTAGCTCGAGTAAAACGACCAGTAATGTGCCAGGGCTGGATTTTACCAGCAACATAGGTCCGTTTACAGGACCAAGGCATGTTCGACGAGATGGACAATATTCCCAAGGCCCAGAGGTAAATGCCTTTGCGTTACCTACACGACGTATGGCCGACAGCTTCATGAGGTGTTTTTGGGATTGTACACATCCAATATTCCCAATCCTCCACAAACCAACGTTTGTCATTTCCTACGACAGCTTATGGGTCCCTCAGAGCGAAAGCTTCTCGGACAACGTGTCTGGTAAAGCCGAGGACCCTATCTTTCTGTCAACTTTGAACATCGTCTTCGCCATTGGCTGCCAATTTAGCGACCTAGTCGCTCCTGACAGAAGGACAAACCTGGGTGATCAATTCTACCAGCGGTCTAGGGCGCTGTACGACATTGATGCTCTAGATTCTGCGTCGATTCTTACTGTTCAGATGCTTCTTCTCACCGGTCTCTACCTGCAATCAACGAAATACGCAAGTCGATGTTGGCATATGGTCGGCCTTGCCATCAGAACTGCACAAGACATCGGCATTCATATCGAACACACTCGGCCATCAAAGACCCAGCTTGAACGGGAAATGAGACGCAGGGTATGGCACAATTGCATTATAATGGATCGGTAAATTCACCTTCGCATATCTCCGCTGGACTTTTGGTTGAACTCATGAATAATCCTTAGATTACTCGCCCTTACCTTTGGTCGGCCAAATATGATCTCTGGCGACTCGGGTGTTCCTCTACCACTGGTAATTGACGATGAATATTTGAAGCAAGACGGCGAAGGCATTCAACCAAGCCAATCCGAGTGCAGTATGAGATTCTTTGTCTTTTCGATCCAACTGTTCGAAATTTTGGATCGCATTATGTCTAAAATCTATCGCTACGAAAGCGTCAATCCTTCCAATGAAGGAGGTGAAGACTTTTGGTGGTCTCGTGATCGCCTCGAGGACGTTTTAAAGCTCAATAATGCTCTTGATGACTGGCATGACACGCTCCCTAATAACCTCCGATTGCAGTGTGCCACCGAAGCTAGAGCCGATTTGAGGAGCGATACAGCTATCTTACAAGCCAAAGTTCTCTATTCAAGGTTCGTTCTTTCAAACTTTTTGTACATATCTACTGGTGCTCGGACTCGTCATCGTTAACTCGTCCTAGATTCCTGTATATTCGTATCCTGTTACTAAGACCGGCCCTCCTTTCCGCTGCCCAGAACCGGCACCATCTGCCCAAGGGGGATGACTGGCGACATCTTAGGCTGGAGGAGCAACTTGCTCTGAAAGTGTGTGGGTTGTGTGTCTCGACAGTTCACACACTTGTAACCCATCTGAACGAGAATCTAGATGCGGTTTATCGAAGTTCAGGTTGGCGTACAGTTCATTGTGAGTTACTAACCGTGCACTCAAATCGGTCGTACATTTGGTAACTCGATGAGTGGCTAAATTTTATGGTAAAGACACATTTGTCTGCGGCATAGTTCTTCTTGCTGCCCATCTATGCCCTATTCCTAGCGACGAGTTCAATATTGCTTCACTTCAAGAATCGGTATCCCCCTGCATCACCATACTTGAACAGCACAAACTGCAAATTCAATCTGCGGCTCATGCGGTCAGAATTCTCGAGACTCTGCAACATCGCGTTGCGCTTGTATGCGAGGCCGGTAAGATATAACATGCTCAATGAAACGAGCCCATTCGTTACTAAATCATACTCTAATACCTTTCCTAATTTCTTCCTAGAAATTGACGGACTGGATCGCGATCATTCCAAACCCAATGAACCAGTGAACTCGAACACGTTGCCAGGGGACGATTACACATTGAATTCGGATTCACAGGATGACTTGTTACAATTTAATGAACTTGAGACAAACCGGCTTAGTGAAGCCTGGTTTATGGAGCAGATCGGGAATATAGACTGGTTGGTCGCTCCTTGACTCGTCCCTGAACGACTTCAGATCAAATTCAAAAGCTGCCTTGTGAAATCTCCAATAAGTCTGAAGCAGATAAGGTGGTCACAGATCTTGTACTTCCTCTTAAATGAATATAGGGATAATCTACCCATTGGCTCACTATAGGACACTGCTCAAGCCAGGCTCCCAGGAACATTACATTGGTAATGTTGGGCCAATGTCTGCCAGATCAAAAGGGTCAGAGGGAACTTTGCTGGATCTTGTGCCTTTCATTAGGGAACAATACACAGTTTACCCAGCGGGAAGATTGGAGCTCACAAGATCATAGACACCAATGCGAATCTACTGGGCGCAAATGGGAATCTTGCCGTCTCAGATATTATCTAACTGACACATACACGATTTATGCTGCCTCAGTTCTTGCAGCAAGTGCATTTACACGATCCCTTTTTGGTGCTGCATTCCCACTATTTACGGACCAAATGTTCCAGAATCTTGGGATCCACTGGGCTGCCTCGGTTCCAGCATTTCTTTCCGTTGCCAGCGTCCCATTCCCCGTCATTCTTTACATATACGGAGAGAAAATCCTTAAGCGTTGCCGATATGCAGCTGAAGCAGAGGAATTCACGCAGGGCATGCGGCAAAAGAAGCTAGAACAGACCGCCGCGAAAGACTTTCATGACCAGAATCCAAGTGAATGTCCATCTCGGTATGACATTGACTCCAGATCGTTACCTCAAAACTCTTTCCGCCGTTTCTCGACCACACGCTCTCGGAATTCACGACTGTCAACTGAACGAGTCTCCACAGTTGAATATGAAGGGAATCCGTTTGATGTTGACCGTGTCAATACCCTCGAGCGATGATTGGGCACATTGAGTATTTGCAGTTTATGGAAGAGATGGGAATCGGTGGCCTTACATAACCTCAGCTATATCGTGTAAAACTACTTGACTTAAAGAAATTTCATGTAACTGCAGTGCACTCGACAATTTACGCAAGCTAAATCGATTCCGCTGGTACGAGTATTTTTTCGGGCATACAATAATCCATACAATCTTTGAATGATCATATCCCAAGTGAGTTCAAGGGTAGAGAGGGAAGGCACGGCCGATTAGGCGAAGCCCCTGGGATATCTGAATTCGGAATCCTAGCCAGCGATGAGCGGAGATGAGAGGGGCTACCTTCGGTGGAATTCCGCGCCCATGACCTAGAATTCGTAATCATCACCTCCCTTGGCCAACACCGAGAATCATCGGATGCTGTTTGCCTGCGCCCCCGGCTATAATCCCGAACTTACTCGAATCCTGCAATCGGCCCGGATCCACGCTTTCGACAAACTAGCCAAGAACTGAAACATTAAAGAATGCTTATTAGTGCTTATTAATGGTATCCAATGGAACATTCAATAAAGCTTCCTAGTTCTTGTTCGTCTTATTCTTCGAGTGCTTTGACCGGAGTCATTATCGTTGGTCCTTTCCATCCCAAACTACGAAAATGCTTGTGTTCTTTCTTACTTTGATCACTCTCTGTCTGTGTGGAGCGGAAGCCACGAAACAACGCTCTTCCTCTCCACAATATGACTTCGTCATTGTCGGCGGGGGTACCAGTGGATTGGTAATTGCCAACCGACTTTCAGAGATGGAGAATGTTACGGTAGCCGTCATTGAAGCCGGCGAGTAGGTACTCCACAATTTGAATGTTTCCGACGTGATGGGTTACAGCACTGCCTTTGGAACAGCGATTGATTGGGCTTATCAGACCGAGAACCAGACATATGCCGGGGGTTCGCGTCAGACTATGCGCGCTGGTAAAGCTATTGGTGGAACGAGCACGATCAATGGTCAGTTGGCCCTGTGCCATATATATATTCGATGATTCTGTCCTAATTTCCGTTGGCAGGAATGACATATACTCGAGCCCAAAACGTCCAAATCGACGCATGGGAGAGCGCTGGAAACGATGGTTGGAACTGGAAGGACCTCCTGCCCTACTACGAAAAATCAGAAGGGTTTCAGATTCCTACCTCGGATCAGATTGCACATGGCGCGGGTTATAATATCCGATATCATGGAGCGAAGGGTCCCTTGAAAGTCGGTTGGCCTACCGTGCTGACTAACAGCAGTTTCCTCCCAGCGATCAATGAAACTTTGCAGCAGCTCGGCATCCCTTACAATAGTGACGTGAATGGTGGCAGGATGGTTGGCCTCACAGCCCACCCCGATACTGTCGACAGAGAAGCCAATGTCCGCGAAGACGCTGCTCGGGCCTATTACTGGCCTTATCAAGCCCGCTCGAACCTCAAGGTTATCTCCAATACCAATGCGAACAAAATCATCTGGGCGGACAACTGGGACGGTGATGCTATTGCCATTGGGGTGGAGGTCACCGGAGTCGATGGAATCGAGGAGATATACGCCTCAAAGGAAGTCATCCTGTCGGCTGGATCCTTGAAATCGCCAATTCTCCTCGAATTGTCTGGGGTTGGAAACCCGGAAATCCTCCGCAAATATGACATTCCCGTCGTAGTGCCCTTGCCAGTGTGGGCGAGAACCTGCAGGACCAGACAAACAATGGGCTCGGCTGGAAAGGGAAGGATTTGTGGACTGGCCTAGCAAGCTTTTCCGCTCTGCTACCAGTCGACCTACTTTATGGAAACAAAGTGTCTGCCATTGCAACCGCCGTCAAATCCACGCTCCCAGAATATGCGAAGGCGGTGTCCCGCGCCTCGAACGGCGTAGTCAACGAGCGCGATCACTTGGCAGCTTTCCAGATTCAGTACAATTTGATCTTCGAGTCACAAGTGCCGTTTGCCGAGATTGTTTTTGTCCCGCTGGGAGACTCGGTTTCTAGTGAATACTGGTGCCTCCTCCCCTTCTCCAGGGGCAGTATCCACGTTAGGTCCGCAAATGCTTCGGAACCAGCTTCGATCAATCCCAACTATTTCATGTACGAAGCAGACCTCATTGCCCAGGCCGACGTGGCTCGATACATTCGCCAGTTATACGGGCGTGCGCCTCTGACCGATCTAGTGGCCGAAGAAATCCAACCGGGATTGGATATTATCCCCGAAAATGCGCCTGAGTCGACATGGGAAGGCTGGATCAAGTCACAGTGTAAGATTCTATGATGTCATTAGAATCAGAATTCTCAGCTAAATATGTCTTAGATCGTTCCAATTTTCACCCAGTTGGGACTGCCAGTATGCTGCCTCGGAACAAAGGTGGCGTTGTTAGCCCTGAGCTCAAGGTATACGGCACGAAGAATGTGCGAGTGGTTGACGCTTCTATCTTGCCATTTCAGCTCTCGGGTCACCTGACGAGCACTCTCTATGCGGTAGCTGAAAAGGCCTCGGACCTGATTAAAGAAAGGCATAAATAGGGCCTGGAGAATGTTTTCAGCCTTCCAGTGATGGGTTGCGGGGTGTTGATGTGATATCTCATGCGTAGTAGTTACCTCACACCCAGCGCTTGCTTCGCAGCAATAGAAAAAGAATCTCCGTTATTAATCGTCCTTACTCCTGCGAGATACCGTTTGAGACGGTCACTACCAGAACGCTCCTGCCTGACTGGATTCTCATCATGGGCCTCACTATTGTGGAAATTTAGGGAGAATAGTAAAAAACAGTAAAAAAACAGTAAATAATAGACGAATATAGTAAAAATACAAAAATCTACCTCCCAATGGTATGAGGACTGGGCTAAGTAGCTAATTGGCCGGCCTCGGAAAGTAAAACAGCTCGATGTGATATCTCTCAGGCCACGATGGTTAATAGAAGCTGCATACCACAACGTCATCCCTTCAAACGCAGGAAATAAACATTACATACTCGGAAGATTATAAAAGAGCTAGCTAGCCATCTAAACAGTGAATCTATTTCATCCCGATCATATTTTTCGCCTTGGAGACAAAGAAGTCTTTTCCCTTGATCATAGCAACCATCTTTCCCCATGGAACCATGCCAAACATCTGGCCAGTTCCATTAGAGGACCCGACAGGAACAATCATCATCACTTTATCATCTGGGGTATACCTCTTCCTCTTTCCTTGCCCCAAGATATCATTCTTAAGGTTGCATGCAACAACCGGGATCTGCTCCTGGACTTTGAGCATCAGACGGGCCGAATAGCTGGTGATGTCTCCAATCGCGTACACGGCAGTGGACCCCTTAACGCGCATTTCGCTGTCCACGGACACCCATCCCTTGCTGTCCAAATACTGCGAGGGAATGAATTTGTTGTTAGGAAATACTCCGGTCGTCGAAATGTATACGTCAGCCCCCATGGTTTGGCCGTCATCCAAGTCTATCTTCCATTTCCTCGAGGTTAGATCTTGCGTCGATCTCAAAACCTTGCGCCCCCGTACCAATTTTACACCTTTCTGGGCCAGGATCTCCTCGGCTCTCTCCGAACCAGCCTTTTTGAGTGCTGGCAGAACATGCCATGTTGACGAAACCAGCGCGATGTCTATCTTGCGGCCTTTGAAGGCCTCTGCTAGCTCCCCAGCAAATTCGACACCGACAGCACCAGCACCTCCGATGACGACAGTTTTGGCACGCGCGATCTCATGTTGCGCAGCTTTAATCGATGCCTCCAGATCTTTATCTCCGGTTGGTTTGAAAGGTGCTAAGGTGCTTCCATGACCCATCGAGGATGCAGTGGAACTGCCAGACGCAATAACGAGGTAGTCGAAGGCGACGTTGCCTTTGTTGGAGACGTTCGCGGTTTTGGAATCAGGATTGATGTCGACTGCGTGACCTTGGATAAACTCAAATGCACCAGCTGGGGCGTGGGCAAACGCCTTCACGATGGGAAGAAGATACTGGTCAGACTTGAAGGAAGTTGATTTTGCCAGAATCCGAGGCGAGGCGATGTTGAAGAAAAACTTGTCCGAGGGGTTGATGATCACAACATGGATGTTAGTGATTGCCTTGAGAAGCGCTTGTGCCAGGCCAATGCCAGCATACGACGCGCCGATAATCACGATTCTGGTCTTCTGAGACATGGCGAGGTATGAATGGCGAGGTATGAGAAGCAGAGCCAGTTTTGGGGGGTTGACCAGAACCTCGAAGGTGGAAGGAGGTACGCGCATCTATATACTGTTCCGTCCCAAATCGGCCCCTCATAAAGCCGATGGTTTCGTCATTCATGTTTACTAATCGATATGGTCATCTTTAGAAATCAAGAGCCGTATAGGTGGCAATGACGAGATACCGAAATCCTGAGCAGGAGGACAAGATAGGAATGAGAAAATCCATACACAGGGAGCTTATAAATCCTGTGGGAGCTAGGGGCAAGAGATAGCGGAAGGGGTGGTTTTGGTTAATTGGAATGGAACCTGGCGGTAGCCGCGTTGGTAGATAGTTATGCCTTTGTAATCATTCGTCCAAAGCGTTCATTCAGGAACCGTGGGTGAATCAGGACACTTTTAGAGTACCCAGAAGAACTACCATGGAAGGTCTTGACAAGTCTGCATTACCCCTCTTCTTAGTATCTTAAGCTTTAGTATTTGATTATTAATATAGCTTATCTTCTGCTATTAGCTTGTTTATTAATTACTAAATAGTTAATTAACAAGTAGCTTCAAGACTGCTGTGCTTGTCGCGGAAATAATTCTCTGTATCAACAAGGGTGTTGACAGTAATGATGTGCACCTTCATAGATTCCGTTTTCAGTAACTATCTAAGCCTATGTCTCTTCCTTATTAGACCAAGCAATAAGGCTTAATTACAACTCACCAAAGCATTTTTTCCCCCCTCGGGTATTTGGATATTCAACAAACTCTGCCTAATCCGTATATATTAGTAGGATATGTTCCGAGTCGTTGGTCGGGATCGGATCGGAATCAACCCGGAGTCCGGGGAGATCGGCTTGGCCAAAGCTGAGCTAGGGGCTATACTGCTGTATTCCGTAGGGGAGATCGTTTTGAATTATCCGATGTCCGCGGCTTGGCATATTACGGAATCAACAAACCCCAGCCAATTAACCATTAATGAGCGATTTAGTTAACTAGTTAATTAGTGCTATTGACTTGCAAACATTTATATTTCTAGTTAGGATAAACCATATCTCGTCTTTTGGTTTCTCACTCGTGTGTAATTCATTTTCTGTTGCTGTTTATACTGCGAAATGGATGCAAAATTCGGAGCGTTCGACGAGGTCGAAGTCACCTACAAGACTGTTGGGGGCACGCCTCTCAAGACAAGTATCCTCATACCTAAGAATACCGAGGGCAAAAAGTGCCCCGTTTTGGTTCACTTCCATGGTGGAGGGCTTATAGTTGGTGACAAAATGTTTGCCCCTTGGTTTCCCTTATGGTCGGCCGCCCTTTGATGCTTCCCTCATTTCAACAATATGTGGCGCCTAACTTACAACTCTTTAGGATTGTCCAACTTGCGGAATCTCACGGAGCCATAATAGTCACTCCAAATTATCGACTGATCCCTGAGGCCAAGGCTATCGATATTCTTGATGATGTGAAGGATTTCTGGAGCTGGCTCCATTCCTCGTTGCCTAATGAAGTGGAAAGGGTCCGTAAAGGCCTATCCCCACAGCTTTCTAAGATTGCCGTCGCTGGTGAAAGTGCTGGTATGCATCCAAGCGATACTCACTAGTCTGGCCTCTTTGCTAATTTAATGAATATGGAAAGGTGGCTATTTATCTCTGCAATCCGCATTTCTTTTTCCGGATGCTCGGATCAGTGTCGTTTTGGCCCAGTACGCAACGCTTGATATTGACAGTCCGTTCTACAATCCACCACCCCCCTCCCCTCTTCGAGGCGACTCTATTGTCAGCGATTATTTGGCAAATCTTGAGCCTGGTTCTGTTAGAGTGTCTTCTCCTTTGCCAGACAGGTGGGATCTTTGTGAAGCTATTCTTGCAGAAGGCAGACACCGCGAGGTCATAGGGAATGAAGACAAGGTTCACCTTATGAGTGCTCTTAAACATGCTCAAAACCCACCACCCCTGTGGCTTGCTCAGGGTGCCGATGATTCAATTGTGAGTATTTTAAGGTCAATCAACGGAGGAAGAGCTTTCGTAACTAACAGCTAAATAGATGCCAATAAGAACGGCGATAAATTTTGTGGAACAGATGAAGAAAACTCATCCAAGCACGCCGTTACACTTTTCTATTCAGCCTGGGCCACATGGGTTCGATTGCATGAGCACATTGGATGAAGAGTGGGTCAAGGAAGGCTGCAAATTTGTTGAAAGGTATTGGCCGTTGACTGACCAAAAATGAGTCTCTATGTACTGTTCTTGTGCCGAGAAACTACAATCAGTGGCTGGGGTTGGCGCTCCTGTGAATGCACCCCTCAAAATACAAAGATACAATGTTGATGGATGTAGGATGTAGCAAACTCAAGCTTCACAAAGTTAAAGTCACAAGAAAAGCAAACATCGCGAAATACATATACGCATGAAGTCCTTGGCCATGTAGTTCTGAATCGCTCCCTTCCCCCAGGCTAATAAGGAAAGGGAAAGCCTTGAACGAAAGGCAAAAAATAGGAGAGGAAAGAAACGCCAGGCTCGAACAGCCAAGTAGATGAGCAAGTAAATAGTGGTATACAGTCAGAAAAAGCAATCTAACTCACCGCATGGGTGCATGTCAGTGCCGAGGAAGCATGGGCATATATGGCACAAGTAAGTAGTTTTCAATACTGACGGAAACACATCCACCATTTTTGGATGGTGTACTCGATCACTGGAAGCATGTCCGCAAGGAGGCCCAGAAAGCCGTACGACGAACGCTTTGCTTTCAGCAGTAATTCTGCTCACGGAAATCGAGACCATGCCGTACAGGATATATAGTAAAGCAAAAAGATAATTTGCCACTCAGAACATGCGATGTGATGTGTACGCATGTCTCAGGGCAAGAATATTGCTCAATGTATTCATACAAACCTCTCATTTAGAGCTCACTACCTTTTATATAGCCCTCCATGGACTGCTCCATCTGCCTTTCCCCGCTGGATCTTGTCACCCACTGCTGCAAATATCAGTGCCAACGCCCCTTACTCCTTTCCGTTTGGCCGATCCCAGTAGAATCGCGCATACGCCTCCTACGGATATTATTTATGGCAGTCTTTCCCTCTCATTGCGCTCCTCAACGTAGGAAAAGCGAATCCGACCATCATGAATTTGGGCCGCTGTTCGATGACATATGCTGTGATATATTCTCTCCTAACCCTAAAACATCCCAACGGGGACCGACTCAGCGGTTGGGCACGGCTGTTACTTGATACTGGAAGCATGGACAGGAATATTCTTATTATCTCGAAGGAGAGAAAAAGTTGCAGTAAGTAAAAAAGGGGGGTACCGCTTTTTCAGAGTACCTGGGTAGGAGAAAGGGGAATGTTCTCTTATCTCTTTATGCAATCCGGAGATTGATAAGACGTACTTTAGATAATCAAAGTGCGTATGTTTGATGCTCTATGGAAATTTAAAGACGTTATAGATTATTTATATAGGAAACAAACCTTTTATTTGTGACCAAACAAAAAGATTACACTATACATATCTAGATACCAAATTTTCGTGCAGGAGGTGAGCTTGTCGAAGGGTAATTTGACGCATGGGTTTTAACTCCCCGATTCCGGAGATTTCTTGGCCTGCACGCCTGTCCCGAAAAAGAAAGCAAACGAACTCCGCGAACAAACTCGAAATTTAACGCGGACATTGACCGTATTCCATGGTCTAGGTTATCAGTAAGTATTTATTTATAAACAGTCGTTTTTATCACAAAGATCTATTCTAGAAAAGAGCAGGGAAAACGGCGAAATACGAAACTGCTATTTAGCTCACCTATATCTCCCGTGGACTGTAATCAAATCGCATTGAGCCAGTCTTCGAAAAATTAAGGCATAGTCACGAAGACCCTATTCGAAATTTAGTTGACAGAATGGACCAGCTGCCAGTTGATTTTTTCACCAACGCCGCGGCTTACACGCCCCGTGTCTATCGCGACCAATACCCCGCGATCGATCCCACGTCTCCATCCCTTAACCAGGCGGGTCAAATCGTCATCATCACTGGAGCCTCTTCTGGCATAGGCGCAAATGGAATTGCACCGGCGTTCGCAAAGGCTAAAGCAAAGGCACTTGTACTCGTGGCACGCAACGGGAAGAAGCTTCGAGAGACCGAACAAGAAATTAAAAAGATCCATCCTGCCACGAGCGTTCTCGTGCAACCAACAGACATTACGAACAGTGATGCAGTGGTTGCTCTGTTTGAGAAAATAAGATTCAAATACGGCCATGTAGACGTTCTAGTCAACAACGCTGGTACATTCAGTCATCCTTCCCGCATCGTAGATGCGGACCCAGCCGAGTGGTGGAATGATTTCGAGGTGAATGTCAAAGGCCAATTTCTGGTTACCCAAGCCTTCTTGAAGCTGCTTGGGACTGAAAGAAAGGGGACTATGATATCCATGTCATCTGCTATTGCGACATCTCTTCACCCCATGATGAGTTCGTATTCGATCTCCAAAATGGCGTTGTTAAGGCTGAATGATTATGTCGCTGCTGAATATCCGAATGTGTGCGCTGTCAGCCTACAACCTGGACTTGTCATGACCGATATGGTGCTCGGTAAGATGCAAACCTATTTCGAAATTTTTCTGTTCGGACCTTAATATGTGACTTGTAGACTAACATGATTATAATCATAGATTCTCTCAAGCGTTTTGCTATTGATACCCCTGCTCTGATTGGTGGAACAACCGTGTGGCTGGCGACGGATGCAGCACGTTTTCTGAATGGTCGCTTTATTTCTGCAAACTGGTCTGTCGAGGATCTCGCTGCGGCAAAAGAGAAGATCCTTGAGGGAAATGACTTGCAGTTGGTATATCAGGGGAAGTTCGGTCTAGATCAATCTCAGTAGTCTGACAGGAAGCAGTACCTCCGTAAATTGAATTTATTGGTGTGAAAATCATGAAGGTGTAGAAATCCGTCGGGATATCCCTAGCAAGCCGCTACGGTGCGCCGCAAATTATCCCTAGTTACAACACAACCATACTCAGGGATGGACAGATGCTGAACAGCCCCGAGGCTCCATACTAATGATTTACTGAGCCATTAGTTCGTCAACGTATAGAGTTCGGCATAGTCTAGCGACGGATTGGCACAAAAGCGGAATGCTAAGGTCCAAGTTCAGCCTCATCCGCTGCTTCATTCTGGAAAGTAATCAGGTGTGGGTGTGCACTGAGGGTTGGCCGGAGGGGACGGGTACTGGCTGGCCTTGGAAATGAACTGGTAGGATTGAGGGTAATAATGTCATATCATTGGTCAATCTCTGTGTCCCTTAACGTTGGCGAATTATCTCCGCGTTACACCTGTGCTTGTTTGCCACCATTTTCATTGTTAAAAGCCGATGGCTTGGCCAGTTTCCATTGTATCTTTTCACAAACCACCCGCAATTATTTTCACCCAAATTATTCTTGACGGCTCAGAGCAACCAGAATGACTTCCACAATGAAGGCGGTAGTACTTCATCACCCAGGAGGCCCCGAGATGCTTCAGATTGAACACCTCCCTATTCCCAAACCTCGTGTCGGCGAAGTACTTATCCGAGTCAAAGCATTCGGGCTCAATCGCTCCGAGTTATTCACGCGAAAAGGATACTCGCCTGGTGTGAGATTTCCGCGGGTTCTCGGGATTGAAGCAGCAGGAATAGTCGTCTCGGCTCCCGGTGGAGAATTCCAAGGAGGCACCATGGTTTTGACAGCGATGGGCGGGATGGGAAGAGCATTCAACGGTAGTTACGCCGAATATACCCTTGTTCCTGCCGTGCAAGTTCAGGCCATCACTGCAGAACCATCACCATCATGGGAAGTTCTCGGTGCAATGCCGGAGATGTTGCAAACTGCCTGGGGATCACTTTTCAAATCCCTTCAACTGCAACCAGCTGATCGGTTACTTATCCGTGGTGGCACCACTTCTATCGGATTGGCGGCAGCAGCGATTGCCAAATCACACGGTGCCTTTGTTACCGCCACCAGTCGAAGATCCGATCGGGAAAAGCTCTTACGCGATAATGGAGCGGATGAAACTATCATCGACGACGGAATACTTTCAACGAAGATCAGAAAGCCGTTCGATAAAGTTTTGGAACTTATTGGCACTAAGACGCTACAGGACTCCCTGCACTGTGCCAGAGAAGGGGGCCTCGTGTGCATGACTGGTATTGTTGGGGATAAGTGGACTTTGGAAGAAATCAATCCGATGGAATATATTCCTTCAGCCGTCGGTTTGACTATCTATTCGGGTGGTTATGGCGATTTTATGCGTACGCCGCTCAACGCGATGGCCAAGAAGATTATGGAGAGTGAGCTCCACGTTCAGATCGGAAAGGTTTTCAGGATAGATGAAATTGTTGAAGCTCATCGGACTATGGAGGAAAACAACGCTGGTGGGAAAATTGTCATTTTAACGTAAAAATGTGGATTTGGCATGATATACTGCTTGTTACAATCACTTCCAGCTTTGAGCAGTCGCTGGAGTCGCACTCGGCACCTCTAGATATATTGACGCCAATAGAGATCTCATCATCCTTGCCATATTCCAGCGCCATGTAAGGTAACTTACACAGCCACAATAAATGACAGGCCGCATTTAGGAATTCCACAATTCATATCCATATTCTAGAAACATGTGTATTTCAGTTATGAGAGTCTTGTTTCAGTACCATAATTTCGGACTCCCGGGTGGCAATGTTCATACTTGAGATCACCTTCCGCCACACGTTCAAGTGAACCAAACCCATCGTCTCGCAAATGGTAACAACGGCACAGAATATTGATTGATTGAGAGGCTGAGAGTGAGTAATTGAGAGGAAACAAATAATTGTGAATTGTTATTGTTGATCCTGCCGGTCCAGCCAAACAGCGTTCTAAACACCCTAACTCTGAAATTCCCTATCGCTGGCTTGTACGGCCCCGTCAGAGGCTTTACACAAAGTCCCAATGGATGTTGAAGGCGGCAAGGGCGGGTTAGCCCAGAGTCACCGCCATCCAAATGCAGGCACAGGGGGATTCAGCGCGGTCCCCCACGCGAGGAGAGCACTGCACAACAAAGGAGGGAGTAACAGCTATTAACATGGCAAGCAGTGAGAAAGGGGCGATTGTGGTGAGACGCCTACCCAGCGGCGACACGGTTATCACATTCATCAACAAAGGAACCGAATATGGCACACGGAGAACCCTGCAATGGTAAAGACGGCCGTCGGCCCCAGAGGTGAGATCCAACAGTGCACTTACGTGGCGATCGCGAAGAGAATCCGAGCAGAGGACCTCAGGAGAGCAGAGCCAGCGGAAGCAGCTAAAGAAACAAACTAATTATAGTATATTCTATAAGACCTAGAATATACAAATCAATTAATATGACATACGTAGAAGAGTAAAAAATGCCGATGTATAAATACGGGACACTAACTGCAGCTCCTTTTTATATTTAATTGAGTGCGAATTTAAACTGGACGCTGGGAATATCAGAGCTATTTTCTTTCATAGAAAAGGTGATATTCCAGAACTCAAAGTTACTGATATTTTGTTAGCAAAGTATGTTCACTCGAGAGAGGACGCTATCGACTTACTGGATAATATGGCAAGTTCCACCAACCAGTCCACAGAAAGATATCTCCGGAACTGGGTTGACAGTCCCGCCGACTACCTCAATCTGCAGACCATCGACATCGTTGAGCCCATAGATATCCCGCTTCGCACCAAGTGGGTTCGAAGCGAGAACGAATGTAAACTTGCTCGTGGAGTTGCCCAGCGGATAGGTCAGGTTGAGTGCGTACGGAGTCACCTCTGCCTGCAACGCGGTTTCGGTCGGATATAGGTTGAAGTAGCCAATTGACCCATCGGAGCGAATCCACTGAACGACTGAAGGAGAGAAGGAGGTTGAGTCCTTTGAATAGCCCCCCACAACGCTCTGGTTGAAGGAATCTGTTCCGATGGTCAGATTGGCTGAGAGCCACGTTGTGATGTTGCGAGGCTCGTAGTCCGCTGGAGGAGCGTAAGCGTGCCCGGTATAGGTGTGCTCGCCAAAGGAGGAGGTCAGTCTCGAAAGAACATAGTCCGGTACGAGCTTCTTATGGAAGTTCGAAAGAACGGCGATAATGGGGGAGATCTCAAAGTCGCCTGCGTGTGTCATAGTCCAGATCGGAGAGGTCGAATGCCACACGTTCTCCTTTCCTACCAGGGACCAGATCCAAATTGACATGATAGCCACGTATTTGTTCATATCATAGCCGTATGAACGGTCCCATGGACCAGCGAAGTTTCTCATATTAGGGTTCCACAGCTGGGACTCATAGCCCCAGATATCCTGGATCACCCGCTCTGCATTCTGCCCGATAACAGAACTAGTCGATGAAAGGTACTTGGCGGCAATGGTCAGCGCATAGAGGGAGACACCGGCGTAGGTTGGGCCGTTGAACTCGGACAAAGTGTGGTTGCGATCAAAGAGCTCGAGGAATTCGTGGGCGTCATTGTCTCCTGAGGAAGTCATGTTGGCGTTGTTCAGGTGGTGCCCGGTCCATGAAGTCACCACCGTCCGCATCAACCAGGCATTTGAATACGCCGGGTACAAGTTATCTCCATCAACGCCACCAACACGATAGCTGTCACCGACGGTGTTGTTGTACAGGCTGTCAATGATCAAGTCCTTTACATCTGCAGGCAAAAGTCTTCCGAATTCCTCATAAATGACGATCAGAGCGGTACCAATGAAGCCTCTCCAGTTGGGATCCCACGTGTTATAGATCTAACTATTTTCAGAAGACGGTCTGGATGCGGTTTACAAGGATAAAAACTTACATTGGGCGCATATGCAGGGCTGCCAACAGTCGGCTGCTCAGGATAAACAGTGTAGTCTCCATACCATTGCGCTGACGTATTTTTCTCCTGACCGGCAATCACATTCTTGAGAATCTTCACAGCTTCATTGAGGTCATTGCCCTGGTTACGTTGGAGTAGTCCAACAGAGTGCCAGACGGTCGACCGGGTGTCATGTGGACCTGCGGCTAAGGGGAAGTAGAAATAGTGTAGGTAGGAGGCCGCAGGATCGTAAATATCGTCTAGAAGAGTCATCGACTGATCAAAGAGGGCCTGCGACTGCTTGCTCAACTCGGCTGATCGCACCAAACTGGCGCCCAGCAGGCCGAGGCTGGCGATCTGAGACCAATTGACATTGAACCGCATCTTGACTTAGTTTGCGAACGAGCCCGAAAATCATCAACTCACCAGTCTTTATAGCTAGGGGATATTACCCCCCGGCATATCGTCGGGACTAATTTCCCCAGGATTTGGTTCACTTGATTGCGGAGAAAGCCACAAACCTTATTGGCTCCAGCACCAACCTCGTGGTCCGGGGAAATGACCGGGAAAACCGGGGTTTGCTATCAGCCAACAATTCGCGGTTATCTTGAGACTTTGAGCCGAACCGGGGCTCGATAAGCTTTTTCCCTCTTTATTGTTGTCGAGCTCCGCAAACTGTGTGCCGGCAGGTCAAGTGATATGCAACGCGTTGATTAATGCTATCAATATAATAATATAAGAAACATTGCCCGAGCCACCAGTGAACTCTGCAGGATTCCTCCCCCACGCCCCCTTCTCCCCCCCCAAAACCCAAACAAAACAAAATTAACTCAACTAGCTGGTCCACCCGAACAGAGCAAGAATGGGCGAAACTATCTATGAGAGCTCGAAGGTGGAGGCCAAGATTGATGGATCACCCATGGACGCCGATGAGCTGCGTCTGGCCCAGATGGGTACGTCCATCCACCCTCATTTGGAGATTGTCGGTGCTAACAATGCAAAGGTCATACTCAGGAGTTAAAGTCAATCCGTTACCGGGTTGGTCGCCCACTGTCGAACTTATTGCAGTACCAATGACTCACGGGGCACCGAAGAAGCAATAACTTCGTATTAGTACGTCGGCCTGCCGTGTGATCATCCCCAATCTTACCACTCTTTCAAGTACAAATCTTCTCTTAAACACATCGATATCGACGCTAGGAACATCAACAATCACGATGGTAACGCCGCAAGTCTAACGGGCGAGTGCGATCCAGCTAGTTCTTGGTGGCATGGGCAATGACGGCCACATCTCATTCGGCCAGCCTGGATCCAGCCTGGCCAGCTGTGCCAGAATCGAGACTCTCACCAACAAATAGTTAACCATCTAGTAAAATGGGAAAGCCCAAGGAAGCCCGGTCGGTACGGGCAGGTCGAGGCGCGAGAGAGAATAGACAGCGAGAAGGCGAAAAGGATCTAGCAAAACACCAACAGTGAACCTGCCGTAGAAGAGGCCAAACAGAATAACACGGCCGGTAAACGCCCTACCGACAGTAGATCCAGTCGTCTCGTCAAAAGAATCGAAAGAGCGTCATGCTCGACAGCATGACTCCGAAAAAGAGAAAAGAAACTTCATAGAACAAGCTTGTATTCGGCCGTTGCGTCCCTTCTCCTTCCGTCCATGAAGGTCTCCTAAAAGCATACAATGTCCGCTGATACCCACTAAGACAAACCAATAAAACAAAGAGCAAGGCAAAAACAACCAAGTCAAATAATGTCACTAGATTCCCCACTACACTAGATGTGCAGGTGCAGATAGCTTCACCAATCTTCCCATCTTCATCTCGCTCCTGCTTCTCTTCCACTAACAAGGACTATCTCAAAGACATCCATCGGTATGGAACACTAAGAAGAGGCGAAGAAGCTTGTAGGAGGCCCAAGATAGCTTTCCTTCACTCCACCAAGGTCTAGGACCATCTTCTCGAGCAGCAAGTTTGAATGATTCAATCGCACTCGGATTATATGATCACCAGCTTCCATATGGCTAAGGATGTGGTCTCTCTTCCAGACACAATCCATGACGGCCTTTAGCCATCCTTCGGCCGGCAATTTGGCTTCCTTGGAGTTAGAATCCGGGAGAAGTTGATAAGTTTCGACGGGCTTATTGTCAATTTTCAAATCATACGACATTTTATGAGCAGGGTCAATATCGAGGGTCATGTTGAAATATAATGTAAGCGCTGCTGGTGCAGAGGCCGTGAAGATGTAGACCGGGCACTCAATAAAGGGTACAGTCTTTGCGCCGCTAGGAGCCCAAGTGTTGAGCGTCACCGAACCCTCGCTCGATCGGCCCAGTTCAGGATGATGTTGATAAGGTGCTTTGACGTCCAATCCCGAAGCAGGCACGGATACATAGCCATCTGATTCGACAAAACCCGTGAAGCGCGGGGGGGCTCTTTGTCCATGAACAGGCAAATGAACATGTTCAAAGTCTCCCTCCTTTGACGAAATAGCAATTAGAACTTCCTCAGAAAATTCGACGGGAACAATCTCCCAATCAATTGTGATCCAAATGCGTGCGTCGTCGCCATCTGGCTGAAGGGTTCCTTCTTTTTTGGACACATGAATCCATCGATGAGGTAGCGAGATACTCCAGTGAATTGTAGGGGTACCTCGAGTAAAAATATCGAACCATCTTCTGGTTGTGCTATAACGGCTCATCGGACCGAGGGTCAGCCCTGGAACCAAGTCTCGACGACTCGGATGCGTCCTCTCGCTCTCCTCGTTGATACGTCCTGCTCGAACCCCCTCATGACCCTCAACAGCAACCCCCATCTGGCCGACAATGATGTTGCTATCCTGGTTCCGTTGCACATATGCTAAGCCAAAAATAGCGTCGCGCGAAGGAGCGTGCCAAGTGTCACCGTATCCCATATGTGGCTGACACATCATGTAGTTCCATTTACCATCTAGTAAGGAGTGAAACTCTTGAGAAAGTCTGAAGTCCGCATCAAACAAATCAAGGGCCTTCCGCAGAAGCTTATTAGTGGTATTTCGTCGTTGTCGGGCGTGCAGTTTGTTTTTAGCCTGTACAACATGTAGCCGAGTGAAGATAGAGCTCGCTTTTACAGGATGAACGACAAGCTCCCAAAACGATGCCCTTTGCTCCTGCGATACTTTCTCGTAGATTTTCTCGGCGGTGGTCTCTAGATCTTGCCACCGTTGGACGATTTTGTCTGCTTCTTCATAGTGAAGTAACGAAAAGCTGTCCGGATCGATGTGCTCATGTTTGCGAAGACGGACAAGTCGATCGTATTCATGCCAAACAGAAACAATATGTGGGCTCAGATTTTCGTCGAAATAATGAGTAGCTATCGTCTCCCAGAAATGAGGAATGCTGTCTGCTTGGACCGAGTTAATCTTCCACGCCATCTCCATTGCAAATGTCAAAGGAACTTCAATGGGCTTGATATCCCCCACATTGAACACCCAGATTTTGCGTGCATTGCGGTTGTAGGCTTCGGACAGCTGGTGATATATTTTTCCCTGTGGCGGTAATGGATTAACCAGGATTCACCTTTTTGGGTCAAGCTTACACGAACCAACGAGTTGGAGTTGATCCATTTGTAACTCCGAGGTGAACCGACGTATTCAAAATGGTAGTATATCTGCACCGAATATCAGTACGAGATCTGGTATAATCGTTCAACACAAACTTACTCCCGCCCCGCCTTTTCTAGTCTTCTCCAGCCCAGATGGAAGCCTGCGCAAATTTCCAAAGTTGTCGTCTGCGAACAGCAGCGTCACATCATCTGGGACAGTAAACTCGCCTGCCTGGTACAAATCTTGAACTTCTTTGTAGAGAGCGAGTACTTGAGGAACAGCATCTTCGCGACCGTGTTCGTCTTTGAAAAGCTCTCGTTGCGTTTGTAGGACATCCCGAACCACCGCGCCGGGGTCATCGGTTGTCATCTCTTTGTCATACTCGCCTCTCATTCCCATGGTGAAATAGGATTCAAGTCCCTTTGCTCGCTGCACACCTTCACGAAAGAACTGAATAATCTCGTCGCGATGCGTCGTCCAATCCCACGTCCCATCTGCATGTTCCTCAAACCACTCGGTCGAGGCTCGCTGCATGGGTTCGTGGTGAGAGGTTGAAATGCAGATCCCATACTCATCTGCTATGCGTTGATTTTCGGGGTCATCGAGAAAGAAGACGGCTCCCGGATTAGGGTAGCCTGGCCACATCGCAGGCCACATAAAATTGGCCTTGAGGCGCAGAAGGAGCTCATAGACCTTCTTGTAAAAGTCTGAGTTATACTTTCCGAATTTCTCCAGCACCCAGCCCGTGAGTGCCGGCGCCTCGTCATTAATGAAGATCCCTCGATATTGAATGCTAGGCTCACCATGGAAGGTCATTATAGGTAACGCGAAGATGGCCGGATGGGACTTTGCTGGCACGTCTGCCCACCAATACCAGCTTGAGATGAGTGTAAGCCAAATCTCCCCTTTTGCTCTCTTTAGAATTTCACTGCCAAAGGACTCACGGAGAAACGCCGATCTGGCTAGCGAGCGTATACGCTCCAAAGATGGCCGCTCGTTTGTCGCTCCCGGCAATGATTAGAGCCTTGGAGCAGCCTGGCAGCGGATCATCCACGACGACCGTCATGAAGGACTCCCATTTCCCTCTAATCGCACGCGAATCGATTTTCCCCACTGTTTCCAGGTCTTGTAGGAGCCAACAGGACTCGATACATCCGAGAATGATGGCATTTGGCGCATTCAACTGGCCTTGCTCCACCAATTCGAATGGATTGCAATTTCTCCTCGTCACTCGACCGAAATCCTCGGCCAGCGCTCGTCCTGCATGATGAATACCGGTAAAGTCCGCCGGGTCTGCGAGAATAGTAGCTCCAACCAAGTTGAGAAGACCCGGTGATTCGGTGAAAGCGACAAGAGACTCCTCGAACATGATCTCAATGCTGTCCTCTCGTCCTGAGTTGGACTGGGGAGTGTCGAAAAGTCGACTGTACTTCGCAGTCCATCGCAATGAAGGGAATCCACGTCTTCTGAATGTCCCAAGCCTCAAAACCTTCACCTACCGCTCCTCGTCTCAAGCTTGGTTCGGACTGGATTGTGTTGGCAATCGTTGGGAATCCTCCACTGGCAAGTGGAGGGCCGCGTTCGGCTTGTTGTGGCTCCGAGCAGGCCCTGTGGTATCCGTGGGTGGCGCTGGAACTAAGGCTTGATACAGCTATGTCCGTTGCCGATCCAGCAATCAGCATGGCGCGTCGGACTTCTGATGCCGAGCCCTGCCTGCATTTCATGAATTCACAATCTCAGCCAGTCCCACGATGCTAGAGGCTCGCGGCGGATCTTCGGCGCCTCTCTGGGGACGTGKGGGCATCACGCGGGAATTCTATATCCCCATCCTCCGTACGTCGTACAGTATCCATACTCCGTCCACCCCAAATGGGGCACGATTTGCACCAAACCACGGACTTCCCGGTTATTCCCCACTTCCCCGATAACACAACACTTGCAGTCAGCCTGCTCGCTCCTCTTTTCTCGTCATTCTCTTGCCCCCTTAATTGACTCAACACTGGGTGTGAGAATACTATCTTTGCCGCGAACATGGCGAATTTGGACAAAAACGACCATCATGAAATTGAGTACGCGGCAGTGCTGCACCTGAATAGTCTGTTGGCATTTGGCCTCTTGTTCATTCAGTCGAGCTCCCTTTTAGTGCCCACCCCTCGCCACTTTTTGATCACCAGGTAAAACCAAGCGGGCCCTAAGTTCCCCTGCGGCACCCTGGCACAACGACGAGGAATTATTTCAACCTCGAATCAGGTACAGTGGCCAGAAAGGTGACCAGATCTGCTGCCAGACATTATCGGGGGTATATATGCAGCTATACACACAGGACTATGTCTGTCGCCGGAAAAGGCGACTTATTTCCCGTTGCCCACATTACGCTACCAGTTAGGCTGCGTTAGGTTGCGTTAGGTTAATAGAGCTTTGGTTGATTGATTGTGTCTTGCTTCTATCGAATATAAATAAGCCTACGGTCTCCTAGCCCATGAGACCTGGGATTTTCTGAAATGGAACTTGAAGAGATTGGACACCAGAAGATTACAAGTCTGTCTCGGCCAAGCAGAGACGATATGTGCCGACCTGGAAAGGCCCTAAATGGACAGAGAAGCTTCCATCTTTGACTGGAATCTCATCTTCATCGTCCTCCAAGATATTCGTTTTATAGACCTTGTAAACCTTCCATACGGTCTTGACTGTGCCCCGGGAGTGGCCGCCGAGTGAGTCGTAGATCCGGAGTATCACACTCCGCCCTTTTCGCCTCGGCAGTCCTCCAGTACTGATATCTTCATCATCCTCACCGCGCTTTATGGCATCCAGGACCAGACTTTCGTCGCCTTCAATCGTGATGGGGAATTCTTTCCCAACCAGCTTCTGAGATTTCGTTGCAAAAATTTTGAGGGGATTATTGAAATCGAAGGCTGCACGGACAGTTTTGTGCCCCAGCCCACCTCGATGGGGCATAATGGCCCATCGGATTCGGTGTTTTCCCATGTCAGCGGTATCGTCAGGTGCTTTCGGAGAGCGGAGAAGAGACAGTCGCATCACATTTCCAACCGTTGCAGAGCCATATTTACTATCGTTGAGGATTGAGACGCCGTAGTTGTGTTCAGAAAGATCAGCAAATTTGTGACAACAGACCTCGAATTTGGCCATATCCCATGAAGTGTTGTAATGGGTCGGTCGCTTGATTACCCCATACTGCGTTTCATATGAAGCTTCTGTATTTCGAATGTCTACCGGGAATTCGACCTTGAGAAACCTCATGGTCTCATGCCAGTCAATTTCTGCTGTGCATTCCACAAAGCTGTCGGTGCCGTCAAGAGCAGTGGACAAAGAAATGGTTGACAGAATGGAACTGCGAGGACTGATCTTGATTTCCGTTGTTACACTCACGCGGTGGTGTGTTTCTTCAGTGACCGATGTCGAGGAACCCACAAGTTCTTGCCGTGTATCTAGGTGGTAAACTTCGACATCCCATGCTTGCCAGTAAATTGGCTTGTCATCGAAAATGACAAATTTATTTGCATGACTTCCAAGCGGAATGACTTCACGATCCGCCCGGATATCATATAATGAAGTGATGCAACCCTTTTCAACGGTAATCGAAAGTTGGCCATTCTGCAATTTGAAAATTCCCGGCGACGCCTCCTGGAAAGTAACGGGCTCCTGTATTGAAGAAGGTTCAAGTTTCGTGAGAGCCAGGGTACTTCCATTACCCGAGGCCACAGCGTAGGCTCCCCTTTTGATTTCAAGAATCTCCTTCCGCGGCCAGGCAGAAGTATTGAGGGCAACCATGTTCAATATATCCGGAGTGGTACCGCTGAAGAACTCTAAGTTCAAAGTCTTATAAAGGGTCTGAAGTAGCTTTTGGCCAACTTTAAAGATATTAGCGTAGACCTGTGAGCATGTATTGTTAGCTTCACCCTCCATGATATAGCTGGTCTAATTTGTCTGATTTCACGTACTTGATCCGAGTCATCATAGCACATTTTAATTGCGGTGCCTGGCAGGCAATCGTGAAATTGACAAAGGAGCACACCTTGCCACATCGTATCGAGTTCTGCTTTTGGATATTTATATGATTTGTCGGCTACCGACACAATCGTAGCCAATTGCTCGATGTCTCGTAGTAAAAACTCTGCTCTGCGATTGTTGTGTTTGGTCTTTGATTGGGTGGTATAGGTTCCACGGTGTAATTCGAAGTACAGATCGCCGGACCATGTGGGAAAAGAGCCAGCTTTTCTTTGTAATCTTTCGAAGAAAGCATCCGCAGAACTCCCGACATGCACTCTAGGTAGCAGTCCAACTGTGTCTGAGATGCCGCGGCACCGTCGAAGGCGTTCTAGATGCTGCCAGGTTGGGCCGCCGCCACCATCCCCTTTTCCGAAGGCCATAAGCGACGTATGGTCTTGGTCTAAAGAAAGATGCTTTGTAATGCAGCGCTGAACGTCCGCAACGTTTCCTTCAGCCGTGTAAGTCCGGGTCGGCGGCATGTGACTGAGTACCTGGCTTCCGTCAAGCGCGACCCAGTTGAATGTCGTGTGTGGGAACTGATTTATGTTGTTGAAGCGTATTTTTTGTGTTAGGAAATAGGGCATCTCAGCTTGCCTTGACAGCTGCGGAAGTTGGGAACAAAAGCCGAAAGAATCTGGAAGCCACAGAACGCGGCTGCGGAACCCGAAATTACTTTCGAAGAATCGCTGGCCGTAGAGAAACTGCCGAACTAGAGACTCTCCGCCTGGAATGTTCGTGTCATGTTCAATCCAGCAGCCACCGATAGGTTGGAACTGTCCGTTTCGAACTTTTGCCAGGACACGATCCCACGCATTGGGATATTCTTCTTTAAGCCATTGGAATTGCTGAGCCTGTGAACACACAAAGGTGAGTTCGGGATAACGATCCATAAGGTCACACTGGTTCAGCCATGATCGAGCAACCTTCCGTTTGGTCTCTGCCCACGGCCATAACCAGCAGGTATCGATGTGGCAATGGCCCACCGCGAAAACATCTACTTCCTGTTCTTTTTGGGCTGCGAAGACACTCGTGGAATTGATATTGGGCCCAAGGAAATCCTCTGCAATCTTGCGACACCGGATAATAGAGCTGTTGTCACCAAGGCGAAACGTGTTCATGATTTGCGTGCCCACAGTCAATGCTTTGTGTTGCTGCCAGCTGTCCTCAGGAAATTCAACGGCAGAATCATGAATAGCCATCATATCCATATACAGCATTCTTGCTTCCCAGTTAACGACGGCAATTTCCGCCTTTGAAAGGATAAAGTGCTTGTTCTGATCTGGAGGTTGAATAGAATCGCCGCCAGGATGGTTCTTGAATATTGGCCTTCCGGGGCCATTGCCAAACATGCCGTTACATGCCATTTCAATAAAGATGACATGTTCGCGTCCATCTTTAAAGGAATCGGGAATTATCCACTCAACTCGCTCCCCTCGGCCGGTGAGGCCTTGGAGAGGCTGTCCATCATGCGTCCAGACAGTCGCTTCATTGTTACAGTCCCAATGTAGCTCGACATGGTCCGTATTGCGGATTGTCGTAGGTAGTCGAAGATACACCTTAAACCAATGGGTAGACCAGGATGGGCCAAACTCTTGCCCAATCGCTGTTTCTTCGTATTCATTGGCGGGGTGGATGGCTTCCTGGAATGTTGGACGCGTTCTGCCTGGGGCATGCCAAACAAAAAGCTTCACATGTGGCGCACCCGAGAACACCGCCTCATTCAGCATACTACTTAAGTCAGACCATGAATATCGCACAATCATGTGCTTGTGGGATTTGGTTACGCACGCAAGAAGATTCACTTTCTCCCATTGCCCCGTCGAGTAAAGTTGTCCAAGGCGATCCTTTCCAAGCGCGCGATCCGTTTCCCCACTGGTTGCGCAGTTCGTAGTGGGTACGACGACGGAGGTTGCTGATTCTCCTCGGAACACATGGTGAAATCGATCAAAAGAATAAGATCACGACTTAGAACCACGGCAAGGTAAGCAAGGTGATATTTTTGATAGTGAGTATAGCAAATTGTCATTCGAAAGCGCCGAGAATCAGTCGATTTATCTCGTTTGATTATCCCCGACTACCTACTTGCAGGACGATCCACCATCGAAGAACTCAGTTACTCTGGAGCACCATCCGTCGGATTCTGATATCCGTTGGCAAACAAAACGAGGCCAGTCAGACCAAGAGAAATAGCCAATTGGGTAAATCCAGCCTAGGAGACTGGCAAAAGCACCGGGGAAATTTTAGCTTCTCCGGCGACACCACGGCATATGAACCAGGAACATTTATAGTTTGTCCGGTTACTTCGGTTACCATGGAACATGATACGAAACTTTAAGTGCGGAGGCCGATAAGACGCCACGTGTGAAAATCTCCCTCATTTTGGTATAAAAATCATTGATCGTTATACTGACCGCCATGTAAGCCATGTTATCATACCTCTATGGATGGCCATGTGATGTGCAAATAAGGATTGTCCGAAGCAGTTGTTAACTATGGGTGTGCTATGGTATTGCATGTGAATCAATGTCCTTAATGGTATCTGCCGATATTTTGGTAATAAATTAGTCTTATTTCATATTGGCATCGATCGGCCTTGGCACTATAAGCTTCGCGCATGATAACCCCAGAAAGTCCCACAACTTCCCCGCTCCCCACAAAATGTAGATATGGACAGGGTGGGGGTCACGCTAGGAGAAACACCAAAGGCAACCTTGTGGTGGTGAGGAAAGCCATGCCGCTCGGGGTTGGGCAGTGGCTAAGATAAAGCGGGCTCAATGGCCGCCTCTTCCTGCAACGCGACATTCTGCTGATGAAGCTCATCCCTGCCATTTCTCAACAACAATACACATCGAGTCAAGCACCATCATGTCTAAAAACCCCGAAATAGACGAGGCCCCGGAGGTCTTGGAGATGGACGTCGTCAAGGACCACATGAACTACGACTTGGTTGATCGGGAGGTCGCCGAGTACGCAAACGCAACGATCGTGGAGGTTGACGAGGCGACCAGCCGTCGACTCAAAAGACTTGTTGATAAGCGAGTGATGTTGGTGATGGTTGTCACGTACCTCGTTCAAACTCTGGACAAGGGTACCATGTCGTATGCATCGATCATGGGAATACAGGATGACACCCACTTGGTGGGCCAGCAAGTCAGTTTTTATCTTTCGAATTACTCCTCGTTCTCAGATGTCAACCCCCTAAAGTCCTTTCCCCACCCCTAGCCAAACGTTTGAGACGGATGATGCTCTTACTTCACACGACCAAATTTCTAACTGTCGGCTTTCTACAGTACTCCTGGTTAACCACAATATTGTACATGGTCATACTAGTGGTGGAATTGCCGGTAATAATCCGCTCATGCCTCGCATTTATCAGGTTCTTGCTCATCTTACCTATCAACAGGAAAACTATATCATTCAGAGGGTCCCCATTGCCAAGTGGCTCTCAGGGAATATCATTCTATGGGGTGTAGCCCTCTCACTCCAGGCGGCCATGAAAAATTTTAAAGGCCTTATTGCCTTGCGCGCCTTTCTGGGTCTGTTTGAAGCCGCTAGCCAGCCGACATTTACCCTCTTATCTTCTATGTGGTATACTCGAGAAGAGCAGGGTGCTGCCGTTACCTTTTGGTGCGTTTCGCTTCGAGAACGCTCTTAAATAAGGATACATGTTCGCTGATATGAACTTATTTAGGTTCATGATGAACGGGTTGAACCAGATATTAGGGGGTCTGTTAGGGTTTTGCTTTTCATTCGTCCCTTCAACCTCTCCGATCAGCTCCTGGCAAGCCTTGTTCATGGCATACGGTATTTTTACTGTGTTATGGGGCGCATTCGTTGGATGGTGGATGCCCGACTCTCCGATGAGGGCGCACTGCTTTACTGAGAATGACAAAAAGCTCATGGTGGAGCGGGTGCGTCGCAACAGAACCGGTCTGCAGAATCGAAAGTTTCGTAAGGACCAACTATTGGAGGTTTTCAGAGACCCTCAGGGTAAGCAATTCAGTAAATTCCGAGTCGCCCCACGAGACATGCTAACTGCTGCAGTCTATGCTATTGCCCTAATCCAACTTCTCCTTACCATTCCCTCCGGTGGCCTGGGTGCTTTCAATAATATTATTGTTAAGTCATTCGGCTTCACTACTTGGCAAACGCAGCTTCTCCAGATGGTTTCAGGTGCTGTTCAGCTAACCGCTATGCTGGGCGCTGTCTGGATCGATAGGCGTTCTAAGCAAACCATCCTCACTATGATGGCCTCGGTAGTTCCTACAATCGCCGGAGTCGTCGTCCTTCTTACTGTTCCCTTTTCGCACAACAAGCGTGTCGGTCTCCTATTCGCTTACTACATCATGATAGCGTACTGGGGCTGCGCTGGCCTTGCTCTTTCTATCGTGACCCGCAATGTTGCTGGTCAAACAAAGAAGAGCGTTGTGATTGCGTGCAACTTCATTTTTTGGGCGGTGGGTAACTCAATTGGTCCGCAGACCTTCCGCTCGAAAGATGCACCACGGTATTTCCCTGCCCTAGCGACAGTTCTAGCGTGCTTCGTGCTATTAGAAGTCGTTCTTTTTGCTTTACGCACATGGTATATTAGCCAGAATAAGAGGCGCGACCTGAAGGTCGAACATGGGGAGGTGGCCGCAGACACAGGATTTACCCATTCTTTTGAGGACATCACAGATCGCGTAAGGAGCCTTCTTTTTTTTCTCTACTTGCCTTACCAGGCGCTTTGAATGTTGAATTAATTGCAATACTGATCTGACAATTCTAGGAAAATCCGAACTTTCGCTATGTTTACTAAACAACCTCAATGTGACGAACCTGGAGATTGTGACGAATGTGCCATTTCAGGACTGGCGATAGCCTCAGGTGACTGTCTGCTTGATTGGAGAGGTTTGCTCCTTTGCCCATGTATTTAGGGTCTCTCTTCCCTGCTGGCCTCCTTCTTCTTCCCTTCCCAGTCTTCATACTTTCGTTGAATGCGCAGGTAGTTTTCGAACTGTCGTGTTGGCTCGTAACAGATACTACTTCAAATTTCAGCCCCCCCCCTTCCCCTTGTCTTAATCTAAGGTCTTTCGTCTCAGAAATTTAACGCTGGAGCCAATAGGTATTCTCCGAAGAGTATTCCGTCAAACAAAAATCAAGTTAATCCACCAATACATGTTTTCCTTCTAAAAACGAATAAAAACGAACACGACAAAAAGGACCTCGTAAATATATTAATGTTAGAAAAGATATCTACAGATAGTTTAGGGGGCTATTTAGCTCAGCGGGCGTTTGAAATCAATTATTAGAGAAAAAGACAACTTTTTACCAAAATAAGGCTTTAAGGCTAATTCCTATCTGGATATCTTAAGGATGGTTTACTTAGGTTACAGGATATCAGTTTGAAAAGCATGGAATTTAGGTCCCAAACCAGCCGACACACTCGTCCATGAATATTATCTCGCAACAGACTTTGATCCCTTATGTATTTTTGATAAGCCATTGACCAAACTGCGCACCATTCAATCAATCAATAATCTTATTCCCGATGTGTCCTTCGTACAATTAATGCTCATATTCTCTTTGCAGTCCGGGGCAGCAATCACCCCAGTTATGGACTTCTCGAGACTTCTCGCCCTCAACGCTTCGAAGGATCCACACGGTACCGCCCCTGTACCGCTCCAGGCCACACTGGACCTCAGTGGCTTTCGCTTATTAGCGCTAGATGCGGGCGGCGATGATTCGCCGACATTCGACCAGTGCTCCCCAGGTCCAACCTTAGTCCATGCGGAGAAACGTGGATGACGAGGGGCAGCTGGAGTTTCTTCCCTAATTTCCCCCCGTTAGGGACCTCCGGGGGCGGGTATTTATTCGGAAGGCTGGAATGGAGAGAAAAGAGAAACAGAGTTAAATATCGGAAGTATTGAATCCTGAAGCATTATCGTTAAATAGTGCGAAAGCGTGCTTCATTAATCGAAGTAACTCTTCGCCCATTCTCAAGGTTTCGTCTCTGAGCAGTTAACCGTTGATTGTGCTCATTAAGTGCTACCTTGCGCCGTGCCAGACAAGCATTTGTCGCGAAGCACCCTCGTCCCCAACGATTCGAAATTCATCATGGCTTCGACCCGACCTACCGCGCCCGAAATTCACCAGGTAGTTAACCTGCTGATTGACAACCTTGTTAACATCAAAGATGAGACGGGCAAGTTCTTGATGCCCCTACCAGACGGTCGCATCATTGATACCAAGTCTTGGCATGGCTGGGAGTGGACGCATGGCATTGGCCTGTATGGCGTGTGGAAGTGTTACGAGATGACTGGCGACACAAAACTGCTGAAGATTATCGAGGACTGGTTCGCAGCGCGATTCGTCGAAGGCACCACCAAGAATATCAACACTATGGCCCCCTTCTTGACGCTGGCCTATGTCTACGAGAAAACCGGCAATATCTCCTATCTGCCCTGGTTAGAGGCATGGGCTGAGTGGGCAATGTACGACTTACCACGCACCCGGTACGGCGGTATGCAGCACATCACTTACGACAACGAAAACTACCAGCAGCTCTGGGATGATACCCTGATGATGACTGTGATGCCGTTGGCCAAGATCGGCAAGCTTCTGAACAGGCCCCACTACATTGCCGAGGCCAAGAAGCAATTCCTAACTCACATCAAGTATCTGTTCGACACCAAGACCGGATTGTTCTTCCACGGCTGGACTTTTGAAGATGGCGGCCATAACTTTGCGGACGCGCGGTGGGCACGTGGAAACAGCTGGATCACTATTGTGGTTCCGGAGATTATTGAGCTGCTGGACTTGGGGCCAATGGATCCTATTCGACTGCACTTAATTGAGACCCTGGAGGCCCAGTGCGAGGCTCTCCAGCGATTGCAGTCTGCCTCGGGTGGGTGGCACACTCTGCTGGACCACCCGGACTCTTACCTCGAGGCCTCAGCAACTGCTGGCTTTGCTTATGGTATCTTAAAGGCGGTTCGCAAGCGCTATATTGGCGCGCAGTACCGATGTGTTGCCGAGAAAGCAATTACCTCCGTGCTCATGAACATTGATGACAAGGGCGAGCTCCAGAACACCAGTTTCGGCACCGCCATGGGTGACTGTCTCCAATTCTACAAGGATATCCCTCTCACGTCCATGCCGTACGGTCAGGCTATGGCTATCATGGCCCTCGGGGAGTATCTGTGGACCTACTTGTAGGCCGTAACACTCGATAATATGTCTTAATACATTTATATAGACAAGGGAATAAGATGTCTACGGCAGGAATTAGGATACATCCACGGTCATGCATTGTAATGAAATATTCAACTGGTATGTAAGGATAAATGTTATTATATACAATCTGGACCAAACAAATATGAAGAGAGCTTTTTCACGTCTTTATTCGACGGCTCGCGCGGTCCTTATTGGGGATCGGACTCCGCGTGCTGCCACCCCCCATTCCGACCACGGCATCTGCCCTAGACTGCGCCCCTGGGCCATTGGGCAGGGGCCATCTAGGTATTACTGTGTTGGAGCGATAGATGGTATTCACAACACACAAGTAATGGTAGAGTATTACCTCTGCTAAGAGCAGCTTTCTGTGTTGTGCGGCCCAGTACAGCGCCAAGGGGTCTTGCTGCTGGATATTGAATCTGTAAAGAGTCGATAGCAGCAGGCCATATGTCCTCTTAGTGACCAGAGTAAAAGGGCAAGATGTCGCAGGCACGGCTGAAGCACTCGGCCATGTGCAGGAGCGTTTCATTTGGAAGGTCCAAAAGCATTATTTTCCCAGGGATATCTAATTTTAGATTCCAATCAAAAGACTGGTCAGGCAGTAAACCCTACGAGTTGACTAGCCAGTAGCTGCTCTACTGTCGACCTCTGAAGTACTCTTTCGAATTGCCGTACGTTACAATCAAGGTATCAATTATAATCTGAGCCGGATAGTTATGACTATTTATAATTGTTTCCTGTGTAAGGTGCAAGTTGCCGATAGAAAGAATCCTCACGAAATTGATCATGAGCGGATCACAAGGGAGCAAGATACAGTGGTATTGAATAGAATGGGAGATTCTGTAGGGTGCTGGCAAGGCTCTGCTTTATACTGGCGGTGACTGACATTACCTTGAAGGTACTCTGGCCTATGGCAGGATGATGCAGCAAGCAAAATCATTCAAACACAAGGAGGCTTGATCGTACGCCCTTCTTATACCCACTTCAATATACCTCACTAGTCCAAAATGGGCCGGGGGAGCGTATATGTTGACGAAGTCAGGCACACATAAAGCTTGCGGGCATGTCGAAGAACACTGCAAAAAATAGGCTAAAGAAGATAAATCCTATTTACTCATGTTTTCAGACTTTAGGTTTGCTTGCTTGACCTGGTGGGACCTGCACGGAATAGTTCTCGTGGGTTATCTTACTCCCCGGCCCTGGCTTTGTACAGACAATGTTGGCTAACAAGCTTTCATCTCTTGACCGATGGAAGTCCCATTAAGGGTTATGTGATGTCCCTATATGCCAGTATCGCGCTCATTGACTATCAGCGGATGGTATGAAGTGGGTATTCAAGCAACTCTGATAAATGGTCGATCAGATCACATGTTGTAGCCACAGCTTTTCCTCATATTGGAAAATGCTCGAAGAAACCTGACGTGGCCTCATATCTGTGCTGCCACTGAGTAATCCATGCTGTGAGCCAGCATTATAGCCGCAGAATGGCGCACATAGGACTCTTGCCCAGACACAGAGATTCCCGCCGCATTTCAACCCGGCCCTAATCTTTGTTCGCTTCTTCCATCCCGAAAATTGCCTTAGATCTATCCCGGAGAGACTCAACACTCTCCTGTCTGATCCGAAACTGCCTTATCTTCAGGACCGAGGTTCTAGATGCTTTTGTTTATCTCAGAATGTGCGCGAACCAGCGGCCTACAGAAGACAAGCCCTTAACGAGATTCTACTACATGGAACACCACCAAGCTTATCACGTCTTCAACGCATTGGCTCGTGTGCATTGGTTCTGATTCCCAAATGGTCCTCTAGTGAGCAGTGTTGCAATTTCCTTGTCTCAGTCATTCCCTCTGGGCCTGATCAGCGGTGAAATGTCGCCGTACTTTTCGCGGTGGGAGCCTTGTCCAATCGTCTGCAGGTTCTGAGCGAAGACTAGGGTGGTTGTCGCGAGGACCCTTGAGGGCCCTGGAGAGACCTCCTGCGTACTTATGCGAGTCCCTGTGCATTCGTAGGGGCTTGCAGCGCGTTGTTCTGTTTCGGAATGCTCTGACGTACCGCTCGTTGGTTTGGGATGCTCCGGTGAGCGTCGCTCTGGTGCACGAGGCACATTAACAGCTTTGATTAACTTCCGAAGGATAGCGTATTCGAGCTTGAGCTTGACGCTGTACACCAATGCCTTGAAGGTGGTTTGCACGGAATAGAGGCCGGCATACTGCGTGCCAACCACGGAGCCGTCCAGAATAATAATAATCACATTTATGATAAGGAGTTCATGCAATATGTACCGATAACGGTTTACATCTGCATGCCTTAAGAACTTCAATGTACCCCAGATATATAAGCCGGATAGGAATGTCTCTTGGACGCAAAATCCGACGAGTTGTACTCTTTCGAGAACGTTGTATGCCTTGACGAAAGCGATCGGATGGCTTGGTGCATTAGTGCCGAAAGCAGCCACCGCAGTCGGTATATGGAATATTATTGCATCAAAGATGATCAAGTAAAGGATACCGCGTAGGAGTCGTTGGTTCAACAGAATCAGATGGAGTCGCGACCACAGGACCATCGACTGGCCTGTCACCATGCAACACCAACCGATGGTCACCAGGGTGTGTGTTCCAAGATAATTATGACGAACAATGTTGAAGAACTTCAGGAATAAACCGAGGCCGTATGGGATAATACCCGTTGATGCGACAAGAAGGCTCCAGAAGTAAGCGCCCCGCCACCGTTTGAACATCGTGAAACAGATCACCACGAGCTCTATGGCGTTGTACCAAGCCAATCCGATGAAGGTAGCAAAGAGGACTTCATCTAGACACCGCCGGCTAGTAAAGACACCTCCGGTGAGACCGTTGTTGCTACCCGCCATGGTAGGTGACCACGTACGTATGTTGTCTTTTATGTAGGACTGATCACCATCAAAGTAGTATCGGGCATGGTCTAGAGCTCGCAGTTAGGAGGACCGGCTGGTGATAAGTCTTGCACACTAACATGCGCCACTGAATGTAATCGTCATGGTCTTCCTTAGTTGGCGATGCTTGGCGGCGGATTAAGTTCCGGAGAAACGTGGTAGGATGGGGGTCTGAAACCAAGATCTCCGAGGGAAAGCTTTCCACTGGGATAACCGAAAATGCCCGGCTCTTGGCTGCGCTGTAGGATGAGTTTTCTTTTTTGTGGTAATATAGTCCACCAACAGAGACAGTGCAGGTCATACCTATGTACATATAGCTGGCATGATTGAGATATAGTCGAAGGCTTACGAAACGGCGACTTCGACTTCAGTTCCGATGACTTAGAGCAAGTGCTTAGCACGAGCAAAATCACTCAACCAGTGTGGACTGTGATCTTCCAAATCGCTCAAAATTGACCCTAAACCGGCAGGGAAGGACTGTTCCCCAGGATTGCATTCAATGCCTCCTCAGATATAGACTGGCTCTGCGCAAAACTCCATGGGTTCGGCGCCACGAAGAGAGGAATCGATCGGACTGTCAAACTTTGGGACCAATGTCGTGAGCGTATCATCACCAATCAGGTTCTTAATATCCGCTGCATATCCGCCACCTCAGTTGCACAGCGGGAGACTACCGCAGGCTGGACCACCATATCCGAACTCTGGAGGATCCCAAAGGGGAATGGTCTAGCTCATCTTCCAACATAAGGATGTAAGGCCAAAGGCTTAAACTAAAGATGGTTTTCGCCACACAATCTCCCTACGTCCATCGAGGGTTTAACAAAACCCAGCCATACGGCTCTGAACGTGCTTTGGCGAATTTCGATCACTACCACTACGCTCCAACTCTCTTACATAGATGCATCACTCGGTAACCAGCTCGTTAGCGTGTGGATATCAATGTCGAATTCCACCGCGTCGGGTAGTGACAATGGTCTCACGGGGGGTATCTACACGAGCAACGCATGTCTTGACTTGACCCTTGTCTCCGTTTTCACCACTATTGCGTCCTACAACGTCATCGAGCTCCTGATTCTCTGCTTTACCAGATTCAAACGGAAGGATATTTACTTTTGGACGTTGCTCGTTGCAACCCTTGGAATCATTCCCTATAATCTCGGTTTCATACTCAAACTTTCTAGCGTTGTGCACAACAATAACATCTCCTTGACGTTAACGAGCATTGGATGGTATTGCATGGTGACCGGCCAGTCTATGGTGCTATGGTCACGACTCCACCTCCTGATTCAGAGTCGAAAGCTGCTGCGTGGTGTTCTGTACATGATCGTCGTAGACGCTTTTGTACTGCATGTCCCTACCACAGTTCTTGCCTTTGGCGCCAATGCGCCGACCCATCCCCAGACGTTCGTGAATGGATATGAAATTATGGAACGGATACAACTGATTGGATTCTTCACTCAGGAGACTCTACTATCAGTCTTGTACATCTGCAAAACAGTTGAGTTCCTCAAGACTCATGTCAGGAATCGTTATTGGGGTATACTGCATCAGCTGCTGGTTATCAACATCCTTATCATCCTGATGGATGCTTCATTCGTTGCGGTCCAGTACTCAGGTTATTACGCGATCCAAGTCACTCTAAAGGCGCTGGTTTATAGCGTCAAACTGAAGCTGGAGTATGCCATTCTGGGCAAGCTCGTCAAGGCTGTCAATGCACAACGCAAGACCACCGGATCATACTGCGACACAGATCGTACAGATCGTACAGATCGCACAGACAAGTCCTCCATCCCATAATCCTGCTGAAGCACCGCGCCGTCAATCGATAATGAAATAATCGAGCGCTTTGGAGACGTGCATATAAACAAAGGGTGGCAAAGATGGGTAGATGAAAGGCAGAGATGGCTGATCTTTATTGTCGTGTGGTGACCATGTCTGGCCAGAGACCAGCCAGTGCGGCGCTAAGGTTATTGCGTTGGATGGGGTGTGTCCACAAAGAGTGCATGAGTTAGGCGGAGGAAAGCTGCTGAAAGGCCACTTTCCGCGTTTACTGCTGCTGAGAAAGCAGTGAATATGCCTGAGCTAGTTAATGAAAACACAATAAGAATGAGACGACTTATCACCGGCAGCTAGCGTCATTTTCTGTTGTAATTTATTTTGCCCATCTGTTGAGGAGACCAAGTGCAGTAGGTATAGCAAGAGGCTCTTTGGGTATGCAGTTGTAATAGGTTGGTGCCGCCAGATTGGCTGGAACATGACCTCATGCAGAGCACTCTGGATCTTCCTGGAATTACTCATGGGTTGCTCATGGTTGCTTATGGTTACTCATGTACCACTTATGGACCCTTAGAKACTCTCTTGACCTGTTATGGAGTTGCTCTAGTACAGTAGTTCGGGATTGAAACTCTATGCTATCTAGTGAATATCAATCAAACCCACTCATAGAGCATTTTCACCTAAGTAAGTTCCCTCTTCTGACCTTATGAATGTGAAGAAGCAATGCATGAGATGTTGATTCCTCAGCTTTATTCAAAACATACAAATAACGAAGAATACAATTATCCATTCTACATTGTATATCCTAACAATGGCTCTAGGTAAACATAACTGCCCTGTACTTTCTGCTGAGTTCCACTTGCAATATTCCATCAAAGGAGCTTTTCCCCAGCGATCTCCTCAAAATCACCGCAACATATAGTAAATGGAAGGAGTTACATGGAACTTAGTCTACAGAATAGGTCAGTATTAGAAGGGAAGAATCATTAGAATCTTACCTTTGAAGATAAACCAGGGATCTATCTGCCATTTGTCTGCAGCTGCACATTCCCTCTCTAAGATAAACCTACCTTTACTACTTTAAGTAGAGTTGCATTTGGTCTGAGTTCAGGTGAGTTCAAAACCAGTTGGCACCGAACCGCATGCGATTTCGAGTTAAAATTCTAGAAATCGGATCCAAACCTGATCCGTTCCGATTTGGTTCGAGTTTAACCACAAAATCCGCCACTAGGCCTAGATAGGCCTAGCTGGGCCACTACTAACTAACCATGGTTAGATTTGGTTTGGTTTTGGGTTGGTTAAACTACTGCCCCTTAGTGAATTTTAACTATTTTGAAATTTTAAATAATCATTAACTGCCATACTATCTACCATACTATCACTATATCTATAGAAAACTAATATTTTTTATATAAAATATATAATCATTATTATTATACTAATCTATATCTAAAATATCAATTCAATATCTATAGGGTTGAATGGGTAGTGGTTAAAATTATCCTTAGTTCATAGTGATTGTTAAAAGGCATAGATGTATATAAACCATCACCATTTCCATACCAACCCCTAACAGAAATGATTATTCTCTTATATCTCACCAACCACTAGATATTTTGAATTGATATTTCATATTTAGATAGACTAGATACTAGGCTATCTAGTGATATTAATATTTCTAGAGAAATTCTAGAAATTAGTGATTACTAAGTAAAACAGTGAGTTTTGGTGAACCTGATCTGATAAATCCTCAAAAACCATAACCGATGGTTTTAACCAAACTTGAACCAGTTTCACCCTACCTAAACTAAAACAGAAGTAATGCCCTAGGCTAGGAACCGAACCCTCACCGCTGCAAGTTCGGTGAGGGTCAGATTCAATTTTAGCGGTTCGGTTATGCAACTCTACTAGGACCTGGTGCAGGCCTGATATTATTGCTGGAGAGGGGGTAGTGGGCAGGACTGGAAAACAGCTGATGACATCAGGTGGAGTGTACAGATAGGTGTTTTAGCAGAATCGCAATGCGTTCCCAATTTTCAATCTCGGACTTCCTTTATTTTATCTCTCATAATGACAGCCTTGCAGGTTATGACTGTTGTGTCCCAGGAATCCTGGCAAGGTACCCTGAGTGGTTAGCATCTCAAATCATACCATTTATTTGTGAATAATCTGATGACCCTTCGACAATTTGTGAAGTATCTATTGGTGAACTCTGTTTGAATGCTTGTCATGTATATCAATGTTGATAGACTAGACATAACAGAGGACTAAACTGATCTACATGGCCCACAATGAAGGAAACTGTATTTGTAAGCAACCATGTAAATTTGTGAACATCCCGGCTACAGTAAGTCCCAGACTGCCATCCACCTTGCTTTGGTGGGACACCACAGTGACTGCCATCACAAGACATGCCTTGGTGAGCCACGAGCCCGTTTTTAGCCATCTTGCAATGCGATGGATAGGCCATGCAGCTGAGCCATTCTTCCAAATGAATGCATTCCAGTTTGGGAAATACGTCTCCAGCCAAAAGAAAGCTGCCTTAGCTGGCCAGGAAGCGGTGTTTCGACCGTAGTTGTTGAAGTACCAATTTGAGCAATCGCCGGCAAAAACAGTGCCCTTTAACTGCTCTTGAATGGAAGTAGTATGCCTCTCTTCTGCGGCATGTTTTACCTCTACCACTTTAGTCCTGCGATCCAGAATTGGCTCAAAGAGGGCTTTCACCGCAAAGCACACTTGGGTTTCACAGGCAAACAATGCGGAATTGTTTGCCGGAAAGCTGTTGGGACCAAATCTGCAAGTATGTCAGCTACATTGATCTCTTTGACATGTATCTGCACATACATGATGCCCATGTTCGGGAAATTATGCACAAAAGTACCATAGTACGCTTGCGCGCCCTTGGACTCATTCCACTGTTTGTTCAGGGAGACGCCATGCCGGCCATAAATTTCCATGGGCGCTAGGAATTGAGAGACCTGGAAGCCGGTCGCAAGGGCGATAATGTCGAATCTGTCTTCAACGCCGGAAGATCCAATGGTCCCGGTTTCAGTGAATTCTTGGATCCCTTCACTACGAAGCTTCACGTTGGTCCGATGAAGAGAGTCGAGGTAACCCGGGTCAAAGATGCGTCTCTTGCAGCCTGGAAAGAGTATTTAGTATCGATCTCCCTTGAAGTTGGTCATCTTCCGCACCTAAAGGGAAATCCGGTATCACAGCCTTTTGGTATTGCTGTGTAGTGCGGGAGAGAATATATTCTCGCGACTCTTCCTCGGCGGCCAGCCTAGCCTTTATACCGTCTGCCGAGGAAAAGTAGGTGTATGATTCCTGTTCAGCCTGAAGAAAGATTCGTAGTCGAAGCCATCGTTGCCAGAGAGGCACCCAGCGGAACGCCCATTGTTCAAGTGGCGAGAAAGTTTTGTTTGGCTTCGGTTCGTAATTCGTTAGCTTGGCCATCTGAAGCAAGGTAGGAACAAATATAGATTCTTACCCTAGCATGATACCATTGTGCACTACGAGCGTATTGTTGCACGAAAGCTGCCTTCTCTGCAATCGCGGGCACTACCTGCGCAGCACTACAGCCGTTCCCAATCACTGCCTGGGGAGAGTTAAAGGGACAGCCAAGTAGGTGATTTGATCGCCAGAGGGACGGCCTTACCACTCGCTTCCCAGTGTAGTCAACTGAATGATTCCATTGAGCGGTATGGAAAATCTCGCCTTTGAAAACTTCCATCCCTTTAAACTTCACATCACGAGGAAGAGAGATTGCTCCAACTGCGGATATGAACACGGTTGCGCGACGCTCGAAATTGACGCCTGTTTGTCCATCGCGGAAACGGACTGTCCATTCCTCTTGGTCATCATCCCAAATGGCGCCCAAGCACTCCACTGACGTGATGATATGTTCCCGCAAGCTGAACTTTTCAACTGTGTCCTCAATATCTGTGAGCAATTCTCTGTTAACAAAGTCTTCCGATACTTCTTAGCCAAGAGGGTGCGTGCAAGCCGCCAACTAACACTGTAAGATTTCAGGCTGTTCACATAGTTCTTTAGACCAATTCGGGTTGAGATTGAAACTGAAAGAGTAAAGATGAGAGGGCAGGTCGCAGCCGCTGCATTTTCACCGTTATTTCTAGTGAAAAGTCCATTCTCAAGGAGACAACTTACCATCCAGGATAAGTATTTGATCGCCAGGTACCTCCAACACCATCTAACTTTTCGTATACCTGCAAGACGTGAGGACATGGCAGTTCACCAAAATAATATCCCATACTCTTACTAGGAAGTCATTAAATCCCAACTCATGCTTCAGCCGATATGCCATTGAAATCCCCCCAGGGCCTGCGCCAATGATGATAGCTGTTGGGGAGTAAGAGGAGGCCATTTTGGTAAGCACAACGTTGATACAAAAACAAACAGTTAAAAGAAAGTGTAGGGTTGGAGGAACAATTAGTTTTCAATCACCAACCTCTTGCGGCCTTTTTGTCTCTCAGTCGTTCGCTGCCGGGATACCAATCCCGGCGCTGGTTACATTCAGCACATTCAGCGAAACAAATCAATGATTTGTATCAAGCCATTTCCCGAGGGCTGGAACTCATTTCACGGCCAATGTATAGTTTGATTGTTAGCGTTTAGTACCCTAACTCAACCCGAAGTCATTTTATCGGGCGAGTGTAATACAACTGTTACAACAAGGGCCCCTTTGTCTCCTGCAAGATTACTGAAGAAGGACGTGATGCACCGTATTGAGTCATCAGGTAACATACAGGCTCACTGGAGACTGTACACAATTACTGCTTCTACTGTAGAACAACATGTTTCGCTTGTTCATCTCAGAATCAAGGTTTATAACATGTTGAACAGAATCGATTTGGAGCCATGGCTTTAGTAGGCCTGTTACGACGCGCAAATTTCAATCGGATGGTGTAAGGCCCCGGCCCAGCAACTGTAATCCGAGTTGGCGCCAGCAAATGCATGTGTGGTAGGTAAACCAACCATGCCGCGGTGAATTTAACCCCAACAGCCCTATTTATTTTGGCAAGGCACGTATTCTGGCATCATCCTAGGAAAAGCAGACTAGCTGTTATCTTTCAACATAGAATCGGAAGTAAAGGGCTGTGTCGCCTATAAAATAATTTCAGACGCAGGAGATTGACAATTTGTATTTTCATCCACCAATTGAGCTGTTAAGTATCCTTCAGCTGCATGACCTCATATATCATGCAACAGCATCCTGCGCACCTTCACAACCTAGTACGTACATAATCAGGGGTTCTCGCAAACAGGCAAACAAAGGCCCCTTCCTGGTCAAAAACCATGCAATGGCTGTGACATGTTAGCAGGCTACTTAAATCAACATATTTCTCAAGATTCTCTGCGCTGCAAAAAGTTTTGCTTTTTGTAAGTTTCCATGTCTATATCTAGATCCTCACCTAGCAATAGGTTGGGGAACCAATACCGCTGTTTTGCAATTGAATCATGTGCTTTAGCACTTTCACCATACTGTACAGTATCTCATAAGCGTCTCTCATGTATACAATGATCTCTGAAATGCGAGCAGTCACCACATCGCTGTGTAGCCAACCTGTCGAAGTGAGAGCAATTCTGCATGGGAGAAGTGAAAATTGGTATGCTCGGCTAGCGGGGTGGCGGTGTACAGGGTGACCTTTGGAGCCTGAGGCAAACGAGATCCCTGATCCAGGTGTTGGTGACTACAGGTGACACCACCTTTTGAAAGAGTTCAGGTGAATGTGGCTGAGGTGAGACAGTGAATGAGACAACCCCTGATCACATGACATGTCTCCACCATAAAGGTCGACTGAGCTCCTTACGGTAACTTACCTTCATACACATCTCCCCTCATCTCCCCCCTTTTACATTTTTTTTTTGGTTCAAATCAACTAGTTGACAATTAGTTGTGGATTGATCATTACCCTCCCTACCTCTTTCTCTCGCTCCCTCCTATTACCTTAAAGGTAGGTTTTCTACTTCAGAATACTCTCACCTTCATCTCACCTTTATCTCACCTTCATCTCACAATTCCGGCGACACACCTAGTTCCTAACTAGTTAGGAACTAGTTGGTGACTCTCACTATCACCTTACCTTTCTCACGACTCCGGCTGATAACTAGTTTATAACTAGTTGGAAACTAGTTCACATATCTGCTCCTTGATGTTCTTTTGCTAACTAGTTTATAACTAGTTCGCATTCACAATGACTTTTGTGAAGAAATCAGTAAGTACTGCTCTGACTATTTAACTAGTTCTGAACTAGTTAGAATGCTAATCAAACTATAGGAGGCGTATCTACAGTACCTTAAACTTGGTGCTGAGGGGCTGGCCCTCCCTCCATTTGCTGAAAATGTAAGTCATCCTGAGAAGTATCTGACTAGTTACCGACTAGTTACTAACTAGTTGACAGGCCATGGGATACTTAGTGATCTACCCCGGAGAGGTCTATTGCAGAGCACCTGGTTGCCCCAAGGCCAAGGTATATATTTCTTCTACATTCCTGATGAACTAGTCCTAGACTAGTTGCTAACTAGTTCTATTAGGAAGCGTACTCCAGCCTCAATAATCTGAAGAAGCATATCCAGAGTGCACACAGCAAGAAATACACCATCCATACCACCAGCGGAGGGGCTCCAACTATAGAGGAGCAGCAGGAGGCTATCGGTAAGTCCCTATTTAACTAGTTTATAACTAGTTGCTGACTAGTTACAGAGTGGTACCAGAAGCTTCTTGAGGAGGAGGAGAAACCAGAGCTGCCTGCTCTCCCCTTGAAGAAAGATGGCACTGTAAGTACCTCCTATCCCTAACCAGTTCAGGACTAGTTGCTAACTAGTTAGGTTCACATCAAGAATATGAAAGCCATGTTGAAGGAGATGGGTGTGGGCGTACCTTGCAGCGAATGTAAGAAGCGCAAGAAGAATCGAAGTAAGTTCTATTAATCTTATTAACTAGTCTATAACTAGTTACTGACTAGTTCTTAGCTTGCTGTTCCTCGAACAGCCAGGAGTGGTGTGAGAATTTCGATTACTTTGCCAAGGAGGATGACAAGGGCAAGGCCAAGGAGGTAGAGGAGGAGAGCGAGGCAGAGAGTGAGGGGGAGGAAGAATCGGATGATGGTAACTAGTTTAGAACTAGTTGTGAACTAGTTGGTGGGGACTTCTCTTTGTTTTTTTAAAGGTGTTGTAACTAGGTAAGCCTAGTTACTGGCGTTCTGGTGTGGGCTTTTTCGAGAGGTGACTAGTTAATAACTGGCTCTTAACTAGTCTAGCCTATTACTGGCTTGGAATGCAAACTTCCTTTTACTAGATCTAAACCTAGAGTAATCCTTTAAGCTAAAATATATAGATGAGGCCTGAAGTTATTAACTAGTTCATAACTAGTTGAGAACTAGCTACTTCTTGGTTTATATATATTATATAAATATATATAAGTCAGTATAAAAGATAGGCTATAATATCCCTTACACCTATGAGAACAAGATAAAGATTTCAGATAAGTTTTAAAGGTACTGGGGTAACTAGTTGCTAACTAGTACTTGGCCCTGGCCCTGGCCCAAGCTCTTTATGCTGCATCCGAATCTGAAGTAATCTTTCTTCAAGCTGAACACGCCTTTCAAGTTATTGGAGCTCATGTTCTTCTACCTCACACTGAGCCTGTCGTATCTGTAAATTCTGGACTTGTAGATTAGTAGTAGCAGTTTGCTGCAGTTGCCTAAGATATAATAGCTAGTTAGGAACTAGTTACTAACTAGTTATAAGAGAAACTTACGGTGATTGTGTACTTTTAGAAGATGTTAGTGTCAATCTAATAATAGTATTCCTATAGAACTCACCTTGGTGGACTTGATGATAGGATACCCAGGTAAGGAGTTGGAGATCTAAGAAAGGTTAGATATAACTAGTTCCTAACTAGTTAGGGACTAGTTAGGAAACATACTCAGATGGAGACTGAGAATATAGCCTAGATTATAAGGGTTAGAAATAGTACTAAATAGTATAGAAAAAATAAATTTATATACCTTCTTGGGGTTGCTCTAGGCATTAATTGTGGAGTTGATGTTCTAGAAAAGTTAGAAGGTATATTATATAACTAGTTTAGAACTAGTTCCTAACTAGGTCAGAAATAGAATACTTACCGAGATCTTGACCGTGATGTTGGTGTTCTACTATGAGAACTACCTCTTCTTCCTCTTCTTCCTCTTCGAGCTGATATTGCACCAGATGAGTTTGAATCAAAGAGAATATTATCAGTATCCCCTTCATTCCGGCGCTTCTCCCTTCGACGCACTAGGTATTGTTAGTAACTAGTTAGTAGCTAGTTAGGGACTAGTTCATACTTTCTTGTGTGATATTATTGTAGTATCAAGACTCAAGATTATCTGTTCGATATGAATGACGAGTGCCATAGGTATTACGAGCCTGATACTGATCAATATCACGTTGATCAATAATCCGGGACCTAATATAGTTAGTAAAGAGAATAAGGAGGGTTATTCTATAACTAGTTGTAAACTAGTTAGTGACTAGTTACTAACATACCCCAGTGCTGCCCCTAATAGTGACTCATGAACCCCCATAAAATAAGATTTATAGTGGCTCTGCTCAACAGCATTTGTGATATTTCTAACTTCTTCAAAGAAGTTAGCTGGTATTAATGAACAGGCTTTATTTAAGCCAGCTGCAATAACTGGATGGCGCTTATGCTCAGCCCAAGCTGAAATCTGTGGTGATTCATTTTCTAATAACTAGTTAGTAACTAGTTCCAGACTTAAAAGAAAGGAGTGATATTAGACTAGTTATAACTAGTTTATAACTAGTCCTTACCTTGAAGAAGTTCAATAAGTTAATAATATTCCTCTTGAGTTTCACAATCAAGGAGACTCCTCATTCGAACTAGAGTAGTATAAGCAGGATTCTCTGGCTCATCAACATCTACTGCTATTCCAAGGAGTTTTGAAATAGTTTGTAGAAAGTGAACACGGCAGAGGATAAGAATATTCCTTAATTGCCATGTCCATAGTCGCTGTTCAGGATCAATCTCAGAGAGGTAATGACCAAGACCTAGAGAAAGTTAGTTAACTAGTTACTGACTAGTTAGGGACTAGTTAACTTTCCTGACATCTGCTTGCCACACATATCAACTATAATAGCCTTAAACCMAGTATTATGAAGATAGTGAAAGTTCACTGGCTTCCTGGTTATTTCTGCTATTAAGCTAAAAACCTGCTGAAATAAAAGTTTATAGCTCTGGGCTGTTTCCTGGTTGATAAATACTCGCAGAAGTGTAAAGACTTAACTAGTTAGTAACTAATTATAGACTAGTTAGGGACTAGTTACTTACTCTTTCCATGGTCAGGTAGAAACGTTGCAAAAATCACCTCATTAAACTCTCCTTTAATCCTTTTATAGGACATATCAATCTCAAAGCTCTCAAGAGAGCTTAGAATTTGAATCTGCTGATCAAACCCACAGATAATCATTGTACAATCATCATTGGTATAGATCTTCCGGATGTATTCCTAATAACTGGTTAGTAACTAGTTAGTGACTAGTATTCAACTAGTTACTTACTTTATACTCAGGATGGCGGTCACATTCATATATAATACCATTAACATCTCGACCATGAGGATAAAGAAGGGCTTTTTCCTTTGCAATAATAGCTACAAATCGATCTTGATTAACAAAGCTATTATGAATCTGGGAAAGGGTCTGGCCATTATACTGCTGACAGAACTCCTTAAGTGCAGGGCTCCGTAAAAAGGTACCTATAACTAGTTAGTAACTAGTCCCTAACTAGTTTTAAACTGGTAACTGACTCAGGGTAAGATCTGGATTCTGCATTCGCTTAATAAGATCTAGTATCTCATCCATAATAAGCTGTGGTGGCTTATTTGGCGGAGGTGGTGGATGAGTATGGATACCAGTTGAGAGAAAGATAGCATAAGGACATTCCTCAAGGTCCTCTGGAATGAGAATCCGAAAGGTAACCTCACAGGGTATCCTTTCTAGCTTTCCAGCTCCCTGAGGATGAGTAATACCTGTATAGATTATCAGTGTTAACTAGTTCAGAACTAGTAATAAACTAGTTTATAACTAGGACTTACCGCAGTCTCGCCGACGGGTTAAGTTTTGTTCAAGAACTCCACATAATCTAGGCTCCTGTCTTAAGCCATTAGATTCAAGAAGTTCTTTTAGGCAAGCTAAATCTATATTTATTGCCCTATTTGTTAAGCTCATATAGAAATGACCTTGGTTATTTCTATTTGCATTTAAACAGATCATATAAGGCATCTGGGCTTGCGTGATAGACTATACTAGTTAGTAACTAGTTAGGAACTAGTTCAGGTACTATTTATACTTACCTGTGTCTCACTCAGTCTTAGAACTGGTTTGCACGTAGTAAGCTGTTGTGAACAGGCAGTATGAGTATCAAAACGCCGCCTAATGCTATAGAAGACCCTATGTACTAATCAGCAACTAGTTAGCAACTAGTTAGGAACTAGTCCTTACCCTCGCGCAGCTTGCTCTCCAGGTGATGCTTCAGAATCCCTAATTCTACAGCGTATCTCTGATATACGCTGTAGAACTATTGGTGAAACAGAAGAATGAGAGAATTTTAGCTCTGGTGCTAAATATTCACATACTTTAACCCCAGTACAATGATAAACATGTTTTTTAACATTGCATACTAGGAGTGGTGACCATGTCATTCGATGGGTGCCAAAGACTCGATGAGAATATTGTATCTAACTAGTTAATAACTAGTCCAGAACTAGTTGCAAACTAGTACTTACATCATGTAATGCTTTCTCAAAGGTTTCCCGGTTACGGCCATGACTTTTTATAACATAAGCATAGCCATGCTCATCAGACCTTGGATATTCTGGTAGATAATCACTATACTCAATAGATTGAGCAGTAATTCCAGGCTTTTTCCCTCCATGTGTAATAGGGATAATAGGTATTGGCTATCAACTAGTTAGTAACTAGTTATACTTAGTGTAGATATATATATTTATTCTCACCGCCTCTTCTGCAACACCGGTCGCAATATTCCGATTATATAGAATATCTTCGTCTACCTCATTAGATAATTCATCTAATGATAATTCAGGCTCAGGAATATCTGTAAGAGGTGATAAATTAAGAAGATTATTAATTAATGTTGAATCATTCTCAAGATAATCAAAGGTATTGAGCGACGACATATCTAACTAGTTATTAACTAGTTAGTAAGGCCACGTATGTAAAAGTTCAAAAATCATTACAGAACATGAAATAAATTAAAGAGGTGGGAGTATTTATAATTTTTTTAGTAAGGGTGGACTGACCCACTTTAGGTTACCCGAACTCCTCCGAAGGGTGGTGTCACCTGTAACCTGCAGGGGTTCCGCCAACTGTTGTGGGGTCAACAAAGGCTCGGGAGTTGATTTCCGGGAAGTCGCCACCTCGGGCTCATTCATTCAACCGCCTAGTCAAGGATCTTTTTCTCTCCAAAGATTACAGGACGCAAAATACTGTTGCTAGATATGCCACGAAGGAGTAAAGGCGATAACCACGTACGCAAGCATGTCACAACAGCTTGCACTCCGTGTCGAAAAACGAAAGTCAAAGTATGCACGCTCGCCTCACCGCGATGCCTCTACAATAAAACTGACGAGTCGGCTGGCTAGTGCGATGGTAACATACCGGCTTGCAGAAATTGTCAGAGCAAAGGAAAAGATTGCACTTATCGACAGCGCGATGACAAACGAACGTATGACATCATATGTACAGAAAGCTCGAAAATTCTTCCCTTTGCTGAGTCCCCTACCAGAATACCCCTGCGGATTGCAGTAAACCTACTCGCAAAACGAGTGGGCCATCTGTCCCAATATATCCGGGAGCATGGTCTGGAGATTCCTGCTATGAGTGGGGAAGACGAGCAGAATCTCAAAAACATTCTTCAGGCCCTCGGATTCGATCACGGGGAGATCCGATCGGGGTCCCACCGAGTAAATCAGGCGGAGAATTCCACTGATCAAGATAATTATTCCGTCAGCCCGCCTGAGCAGGACAGCGAAAATCGGGGCAACGTGATCAGCAACAGTTCTCCTGACTTCATGTCAGCTTCCAGCAAGAATTTCAGCAATTCGAGGGAACCGCCGACATTTCGGACAAGCCTGGGTCTTGGCCCAACACCAGATGAAGGCCAGCGTGACGCTGCGCTAGTTGATCACGACTCTAGCATTCCTTTATTTGCAAATGCAATTCAAGAGTCCGCAACTCACGCCAATATACCACCAGATCTGATGACATCCGTGCGCGATCCAGGCAATGAACAGCAAGATAATGCGATAAGTGATGATCTCCCAAGTGCAGATGCTGATGACGAGTTTACAAATCAACTCTCTTGGCGCCTGGGCCGACTCCAATTGACTCAAGATGGTCAGCTACGATACTTCGGTTCAACATCCAATCTCACTCTCTTGGATGGCCTGGTCAGTGTGAATTTTTCTAGCTCAAATAACACACAGAAAGATACACAAGAGGTTTTAGAGAATGCGAATCTCAATGTTGCCATCGACGAAACTCTGGAACATCATTTGCTTGAGCTCTATTTTGCGTGGCAGAATCCCTCCTTGTATCTCGTCGACTATGAGGTATTCTGGAAAACCAGACAACAAAACGAAAACGACCAAGATGGTTTAGTTTCTTCATATAACTCGCGGGCCCTAGTTGATGCAATGTGAGATTCCCCGACAAAATGAGAGAGCATCGTACTAATAAATCGTTGCAGGTGTGCCTTGGGCGCAGCTTATGCGCCCAAATATCACCCCGAACTTGTTACCTTCCCCCAATCATTATCAGAGTTCTTTTGTGAAAGAGCCAGAACTTTGTTAGAGTGGGAATTGGAAGAGCCTTCGCTGTCAACAATTCAAACGCTAGTTATTCTTAGCAACCACGAAGCATCCCGCACAAGAGATACTAGAGGATGGCTATATAGTGGTGAGTAAGCCCACAATACTAAATAAGTGCAACACTGAAGATACAAAGGAATGGCCATGCGACTTGCTCTTGACCTAGGCCTTCATCTCGATATGACACCCTACGTTGAGTGTGGTATCATTTCTGTTGAGGAATGCAAGCTCCGACGTACTATATTTTGGGCTGCATATCTTAATGAACAGTATGTCTTCTCATATATCTCCCTGGTAATGTAATCTTACTCTTTTAGGTTTTGGGGGTATTACCTGGGCCGCCCTGTTCGTAGTCCGATAGCAGGGGTCACGGTTCAAAAGCCCCACTGGGAGAGCTCTGAATCATCATCAGCGGGATGGAAGCCTTACGGCTGCCTGCAAATTGAATTAGGAAGCATCTATAATCCCGTAGAGACAATATGTCATTTGTGGGTGTCTCTATATGACCTCATGATGCCTCTTACGGACGTCTTGTGAGCCTTTCCGCAAATCCAATTATTTCCGCGCATCTCAGTACTAATAAGTTTGATCAAGGTATGGGTGTTTCGAGGTTTCGAAGCATGCCCTTCAAGAATTAACCGCAGCTACCGTTGGAAGACTGTACGGGTGGAAGAAAAACCTTCCGGAAGATCTTGATGTTGATTTAACCGAAGAATGTCAGCAGTACTTACCCCATGTTCTCATCCTGCAGTAAGTTGCATGATCTTAACTCCTTGTTGGTCTTATTTCCCGAGCTCACATGGATCGAGTATGCAATACCACCAATTCATGATTCACTGCCATCGTCCTTACATATCAAAGCACTACATCCAGCCTCAACCACCACAAGGGCCTGGTTCTTCCCATGCGCGCAAGATGTGCATTGAGTCCGCTGTTGCCATTGCCAAAATTTTGATAATTTACGAAAGGCTCTACGGGTTTAGAAAAGCAAATGTGCAGATGGTTTCCTTTACATTTTCTGCAGCACTGATCCTGATTTTCACTACCTGCCCGTCTCAAGCCAGAAAGCCTGATAGAGAGCATACTAGGTACCTCGGTACATGCTTCTGGGCTCTGGATGAGATGGGTTGCTGCTTTGACAATGCCAAACGAACGAGCACATTCTTGAGTACACTTCAACAGCAGTGGCATAAACGCAAACGGGCTGTAACTGAAAAAGGTTTCAAAGGAGCTTCTGAGCGCCACCTGCACTGCAACGTGGGTCCAACATCTCATGGGACTCGACCAAATACTCAAGAATGTTCTGAGTATGATCATTTTCGATCGTCAAGACAGGCTGCTGGATCCATCGACCTGAACCCGCCTGGTGGGTATTGGACGCAAGACTACGCTTCAGTTAGCGAAGAATTGGATGTGGTGGATTTCATGGATACTGATTTATGCAACATTCTTCTAAGCGAAGGGATTCCCAGGCCGTTACTCTGATGGCCCTGTTGTTCTTCTAGCAGCGCACACCCATTCTGACCTCGAGAATATTTCCTTAATCTAACTCGCTTTTCTGGATTTAAAGAGCAGGCTGATATTCTCAAGGACTACGGGCCAATGCTTGACCGCATGGTGGACGCGAAGTCTGTTAATTCTATTTCTTTCTTGTGTTATAGGCGTACTGCCTTCAGCAGACCTTCGATTGTACGCCCAGAGAGTCGCTGAAAAATTTTGGTTCGATGTAGATATGTGCCCTGATGTGGGCCTTCGTCAGCTAGAAAGTGATCAGGGCAAAGATACCCCTAATGGTAAACAGTACAGAAACGTGCTTTTGACGGGAATATATCTCCATATCTTACCTACTTGACGTATTCCTTTTGAAATGACCAAGAAATAAGATTTCAAGACAGTTGGTATCCCACTGAAGGACTGTTCTATATTGCTTTTTGGGGGGCAAGCAGTCATATTCATGAAAGTTACGAAGTACCATTCTATTCAGGAGTTCTTTTGTCTCCAATTTACCTCCCTTAGGTTGTTCAATATGTGCATGGTTCTCCGGTCCATTTTCCCTCGTCTCCAAATACACGTCATACCCATGTCGTCGGAAGCGCAGATTGAGAGACACTTTCGGCATATTCACGCAGTCCAGGATCCGGAAATGATATCCCGGATAGGATTGCCCACTGCATCCCAAAGAATAGTTATAAAGCTGACCATCATTCAACTTATTTACCTGGCTCTTCATGGAATTGAGCGACTTCTTCAGAAGTGGATTTAGCAATGTCTGTCGAACTTCCAGCTTCCTGCACCTCCTCGGAGAAGGTGTTGAACAGCATCGCTAAGGTCAGGAAACATTGTCTGTTTATCGAGGACTCTGCCTTCATAGACGGGCTTTGGAATATGAAAGAAAGAACATTTAGCGTATACGGTTTGTTGCCAAATACAAATGCGGTGGACAATATGCTCATTGGCCTTACTTTTTCCCAGAGCCATCTATGACCCAAATTCTCGGTAACGTCGCAGATTGTGACGTAAACGACGTAAACTTGGCGATAGAATCTGCAAACGCAGCCCAGCAAGAATACTATAGCTCAACTACAGCCGCAGAGCGTGGCAAGCTGCTTCGAAAATGGTACGACTTAGTCATGGCGAATGTGGAAATTCGTAAGTATACGACTCATCCTGTACAAAGTATTACATTTTCCTAATGGTCATATCGCTAGTCGGAACGATCCTATGTCTCGAGAATGGAAAGACGATGAATGAGGCCAAGGGAGAGATAGTCTACGCCCCAGATTTGATCTCTTGGTTCGCTGAAGAAGCGACGCGATCGTACGGTGACACGATTCCGTCATCGATGCACAACACCATGGTGATAACTTTGAAAGAGCCAGTTGGCGTATGCGGAATAATCACCCCATGGAACTTTCCCGCGGCAATGATCACTCGAAAGGTTGCGCCCGATCTCGCAGCTGGATGTTCGGTAGTGATCAAGCCCTCCAGCGAAACTCCGTTTACGTGTATTGCTCTCACCAAGCTGGCAGTAGATGCTGGAATGCCTAGCAAGATCATTCATGTCTGTCCAATCAAAAATAGACAGGTTGCGTCGGTGCTGGCGACAAATCCACTTGTTCGCAAGATCAGCTTCACTGGATCCACCAGAGTCGGCAAAGAGCTCGCAAGACTTGCCACAGGAACTCTGAAAGAGTCAGCCTTGAGTTGGGTGGCAACGCCCCGTTTATTGTTTTTGATGATGCAGATATCGATCTTGCTGTTGAAGGAGCCATGGTCTCCAAGTTCAGGTGCTCAGGTCAAACATCCATCTGGTAAGTACACTTCAATCTCACAACCTTCCTTGTGCTAATCATATCATAGCGCAAACCGCCTTTACGTTCAACAGGGAGTTGTGAAAGAGTTCACTGAAAAGCTTGTCAAGAGAGTATCTCAGCTTCAACTAGGGCCTGGAGTTGTAGACTCTTGCACACAAGGCCCACTCATCAACTCATCCGCCATTGAGAAGGTCAAGGAGCACATCTCAGACGCTCTTGCAAAAGGGGCCCAGATCGAAATCGGAGGCTCGGCCCCGGAAGTACCTGGGTGTTTCATAGAGCCTACTGTTCTCACTGGTGCGACGGAAGAAATGATAGTTGCTCAGGAAGAGACGTTCGGTCCTCTTGCCCCAATATTTGCGTTTGAAGATGAAGAAAAGGTCATCAAATTGGCAAACCTGACAGAATTCGGCCTGGCTGGTTATTTCTTCTCCCGCGATATCGGCCGTGCGATGCGTGTGGCTCAGAAGTTGAAAATTGGCATGTGTGGGGTAAACACGGGTAAGATCAGTGCACCTGAGTCTCCATTTGGTGGCATCAAGGAGAGCGGATATGGGCTGGAAGGCAGTAAATATGGCACGGCAGAGTATCAGGTTGTCAAAACCATTACATTAGGAAACCTTCACTTGTAAAGCGATGATGACCGCTCTTCGTCTAGTCTGTGGAACTTTCGGACAGTTGGCCTATTTAAATATACCACAAGTACCAAAACTTCTAATTTAAATGACGGGAATTTAGCCCATTACTATTCCGAAAATATCAGGGCTCCCAAGGGCAATCTGTCAAAGCAGTATAGTATGGTACGCGCATATGTGTCTAGGCTGACCACGAGCACCTATTGAACTCCACAATAGCTAAGTCAGGGAAGAAGAGCTAGCAAGAGCTTGATTACTTGGAGATATGTTAAATACCAGCTTATCTTTTCTGAACACCAGAAGGATTGATCCGTACGGGAGCAAGGTCGTCCGAGTTGCTGTACTTGCTCCTGGGGTACAGAAGAATGCCAATGAAATGCGGTGTACAAAAACAATCCATGAGAGGAGATCATTGATGGTGAAATAAATTCCTTGACCTACTGCGCCTACAAGTTTCCTTCTGCCTGGAGTCTACCTGCCTGTGAGAGGTGAAGATAAAAGAAAGACATCTGCGGGTAAAAATTGAGCAGGTGTACACGATCCAATGGGATCAAATTACGTCAATATCTCCGCGCAATTTAGGTTACCTAACAGAATGTAATTGTTCAAACTTGCGAGAGCTTCAAGGACTTTCATGGAGATGAAGGCTCGCGTATTGTCCATTGTTATGGATTAGAGTTTGCGACTGGTTGTGGATTGGATATGGATTGATCGGCACTATGCTTGATCCACCCATGCGGATTATGGGTTGATCCATGACCTATTCAACCTGCCATCATATCCATGCGGATTGGATTATGGATTATGGATATATCTATACTACCTAGTCAGGTGACCCCTAGTATTTTAATTACTACACATTTTCTAGTATTCTAGCCACACCACTAGGATAACTATATATTTTATTTTATAATATGATAATTCACTATATAAATATTATATATTACATATTATAGAAGGTAGAATAACCTTATATAAGGGAGTAGGGGTACCCCCTACACTTCGATAAAAGTAGTGTGGAGATATTTTTATCTAAAATCTAAGATCCATCATAGCTCTAATTTTTCTTAGTAAATCTAACATTTTATCTATGTATAGATAGACGCAACTATTTCATATCTATAGATATAAAAACATATCCCTATCTAGGCCTAGATGTTGTTATATAAACGTATCAGTTCTAAGGATGCCTTAGATCACATGCACCTAATGGGTTAACCCATATCCATGTGGATTAGGCAGGTTCAACTCCTATCCACATGGGTTGGATCCAGGTAAACCTGATTCAATCCAAAGTGCTGATTGGAGGGGTCGCATATAGATTTGCGGATTAGGTCAACCAGTCTACTTTGGGAAGAAGTAGCCATCCAGCCAGGGCCTGATAAAAGCCTCAAAATGTCTGTTCTTCTACAACGACTCATAGAACGTAGTTGAGACTTCTAAGTTATTGCTTGTCTGAGCAACTAATGCATTAGATAGATCGCCAACCCAATTGTCTTGCGTCGCGGGCGTCCAGGAATGCGAGGTACTGTTTGACCCGGGAACTGATTCCCTGCGGGTCCAGTCGAAATCGCTCGTAATTGCTAGCGTTTGATGCGGAATAACCGTAGGATTTCATGCCGATGCTGGCGGTGACATAACGGGCCCAGGTTGTAGCCACGTATTCTTCGACGCTAATGATAGGCTTTCCATCCATTGGGAAAACTGACTGCCGATATTCTTCACTTTGTTGATCAAAAAGATCAAAGCTTGGACAACTAACAATCCGACAATGGATGAAATATTCTCCGCGTAATTGTTGTGCGGCGCGTATGGTGTGGTGTAAACTTGAACCGCAGCTGACCAATGTCACATCCGCGTTGGTATCACCTTCAAGCACGTACGCTCCTTTCAGCACGCCAGACCGGCTAGTCCCGGACACATGGTCAACAGGGTCACGGGCCACAGAAATCATAGTCGGACCATCAGTTGAGGCCGTTGCCCACATCCAAGCACCGACCACCTCTTCGGCATCACACGGCCTTATGTATGTGAGGTTTGGCATAGCACGGTACAGAGAATCAAGCTCGACGGGCTGATGGGTTGGTCCATTCTGGCCCTGAGCTAGCCGGTGTCAACTTTCAATGAACAAATTTAATCCAGGATAGAAGTTCATTGCCTTACCAAATGAGTCGTGAGTTGCAACATGGATCACCGGAAGGTGGCTAAGAGCACCCATGCGTACACCGGGGACTGCCTGTTGTGCTTTCAGCTTCCGGTCGTTTTATTTCGGGCGCGATCTGGATACACTTACGTAAATGTAGAACATCAGGAATGTCGCAGTCACCGGTAAGAAGGTCCCAGGATGGAAAGCCGCAAGTCCATTTGAAATAGCTGCCATTGCATGCTCCCTTCTTCCATACCTGATGTAACGTCCCCTGTAGCTCACAGACGGATGGAACACATCGTTGTCCGAGTAGAGAAATTTGTTGGAGTTGACGAGATCTGCACCTCCACCACACAGCGAGGGATATGCCTCCCAAATCTTCTGTAGAATTAAACCATTGGACTCTCTGGTTGGCATTCCAAGGAGCTGTTTACTATCCAGGCTTTGGAACAGTGATCTAAGGTCTGGCTTCCCTCCCCGAGACCTAAAGGCAAAATCACTTGCCTTCTCCGGGTATTCCATAGTGTACCTCAGCAACAAATCCTGCCATTCTTTCTCCAAGACTTCGCCCTGCTCCTTCCGTTCACGGAAGAAATCGAGGCCTCGCTTGGATGGACTGTGGGTCAAAGAAGGATCTTGGCCGGCTGCAATCTTGGATCTAGCTACACTCTCAGCGTCGAATGCTCCATGGTGTGCCTTAGCGGTTCCTGCCGTATTGGTGCCAACTCCAATAACAGTGCGGATGTTAATGAAAGTTGGCTTCCCCGTCAGGGACTTGGCATGATTTAATGCAGAACAGATGGCTCCAACATTGTGACATCCATCTAGGACATCGAGGACGTGCCATCCGGAGGCCCGCATTTTTCCATTAATATCCTCACTACTGATCCACGAGAGTGGGCCGTCACACGTGACGCCGTTATTATCGTAGATCAGCACGAGATTGTCCAGTTTCAGATGGCCGGCAAGGGCGATGGCTATAGTGCTGTCAATATCCCAATATTTTGGTGATTTGGATATACTTGCTAGGTACCTTCAAGTGCAACGCCTTCCATAAGACAACCATCTCCAGTCATACAATAGATCCTTGAGCTCACAATATCGTAGCCCGGTCGATTGTACCGCGCTGCCAGGTTCTTAGAAGCAATGGCAAGACCAACCGCATTGGCAATCCCTTGACCAAGGGGCCCAGTAGTAACTTCAACGTCGGGGCACTCGATTTCCGGAAGACCGTGGGCAAGCGTGGTGTAGCCATTTTCCTTTGCGCTACCATACCCTTTGAGCTCGTTCATTGTCCAGGCCTCGTACCCAGTTAAATAGTTGAGCACGTATAAGAACATCGCACAGTGCCCTGTCGTCTTGGTTAGCAGGAAGACTCGTTTGATGCGGATTAACTTACCGTTGGAGAGCACAAATCGGTCCCTGTCGAACCAGTCAGGATTCGAAGGATTGTATCGCATGATGTGCTTCCAGAGGGCCACACCAATAGCTGCCATTCCTATGGCAGATCCGCCGTGACCTCCACCATTCTGGTTGCAGATGTCAAATATAAGATTTCTCAGCGTAAGCACAGCATGCTCGTTGTCAGACATGTCGTTAACGGATATAAGGTCGCCTTTGTAGGAGCCCACCTTCGAAGATGACTTTGGTTCTGAGTCAAATTTTTATGGAGATGAAAACTCCGAGAGGTCTGGACATTAAGGCATATATGTCGCAAACTATGAAGACCCCACGCCGCAATTATTAGCCCGGGATTGCATTCCCGGGGCCTTAACACAAGTGGCAGTGCACGAAACGGTGATTCCAAAGTCTTCATACAATTCAATATTTCCTAAAGATATCGGATGGAAATTTGTCCGAAATCAGGTTTTGATTTTGATGTCAGCTTGGCGAAAGGTAAATCCCTTCAGTGCCTCAATGTATTACTTTCTTCCTGTCTCGATACTATTTTCCTTAAACTTTCATGAGGATGAGGACTTTCAGCGCAGTGTCGAACAAAGCTAAAGCCAAGGTACTATCACAAGGCATATCCTATTAGGTATTAATGCATGATCCTCAATTTCTACCGATCTTGATTCAGGACCATTCGGTTAGCTGATTGACATGGGCAAAATGAATTTATATATATAGAGCACCGAAAAGAAGGCATCGGAAGTCAGGATGGTCAAAGGTTGACAACCGTCTTAATGATCAAGTTTGAATCCGCATCCCTTGTTCTACAAGCGGTCTCGTAAGCCTGTGGTATCGACTCAAGCCCAGAAAAGCGATGTGTGATAAGCTTTGCCGAATCCAACTTGAGAGTCTTATTCTTCACGGCCTCCAAGATCTCAATTGCGCGAGGGTAACAATTGATGTACCGCCAAACAGAAACAATATTGATCTCACGCCCCGTGATCTCTGCGACTGGCCACGATTGAATGGCAGTCCCCATTCCAACTAGGACAACTTGTCCACCGTTGTCAGCTGCCTGCGGTTCAGTTAGTTTTATCTGTTTGGCCTTCATTCCGGGCATGAGCACTTACGTAGATCGATGTTTGTACGCAACTCTCCATACCTGTACACTCAAAGACCCGCTCAAAAGAGCCCACGGTTTCTCCCCGTGGCCACTTCAATTTCCCAATTTCTAGCGCCAGCGTTTTAGCGATAGAAAGGCGCTCTTCGACGTGATTCCTTTTCGCGGGACGACGACAAACCCTGTATCCGCAAATCCATGATTCAATGCGAAATCAACGCGCCCCTTGTCAACGTCGGCAATGACAACGGGGCTGTCGTGCTCAATCTTTGCAACTGCGGCACACAGGAGCCCTACTGCCCCAGCTCCAAACACCAAGCAAGGCGAACCGTCTCTCATCGCGGCTCTCTTGACAGAATGAATGCTCACAGATAGGGGCTCTAAGAGAGCACCATCATCAAAAGACAGTCCATCAGGCAGTCTGAGATAAATCAGCCACGCCGATTAATTTCAAAGCTGTTGATTACTGACTTATGGCACCACTTGGCAGGATGATCGATGTATTCCTGGAGCGTTCCCTGGAAATGAGGAAACGACGCACCGCTACTGCGGAAACGATTTTTTGAGCAAATATTATATCGACCATCTTTGCACTTCGGACATTCCTGACAAGGAATACCGCTTTCAGCGGCAACCTTGTCACCGAGACAGATGTTACTGACTTTGCCGGCAACAACTCCCACTTCCACAACCTCACCAGCCGCCTCGTGCCTTCCGCACAACGGCTCCCTGAGCTCAATTGATCCATTCTTGCCATACTTGAAATAATGCACATCTGAGCCGCACAGTGTTGTATAACGGACCTGGATTCGTACTTCTGATGGCTCGATATTTGGCAATGAGCGCTTCTCCAACCTGAGCTGCCGGGGTCCGTGTAGATATTGGCCCCTGCTCGACATTGGTGAGTGGCACATTGTTGTGACTTCTTTGAAGGCAAATTCAACAGTCGTGGTGGTAGCCTTGGTGGTTTTCTTTGCAACGCAGCAATTGCATTAACATATACAGAGGAATCGACAGAGCCGAGCCATATGTTCCGGGATCCGGAACGGACTTCTGCGCCCTCCGACAGGCTTTCCTCATCCATAGTAACTATTATCGGAATTCGAGCTCCGGAACTGAAATTGTTTCAACCAGTGAATTCCACGGGCTCAGAAACGTTTTGGATTGCAAATACTCCTTGACTGGCTTGACGAGATGGATTCTGGACATGCGCTGTTCTCAAGCGGTCGGTGGAGGGTATTTTGGTTCCAATATTGTGAATTAGAAAGCTCTGTGCAAAGTTTCTGTTCTGTTTGCCAGAGGTCCCCTGGCAGGCGCTTCACAAAGGGATCAAAATCCAGGTCCAGTTAATCGGATATATGTAAGTGCGTCTGCATTTTGCTAGAGAACTTGGCTCACAGGACGTTAAGTTGGCTGCATCGCACTTGAGAGTCTATGTCATTAAAGCCTTCGGATGCTTGCCATCCATTAAAGAAAGATTAGCTACCACAAGGAGGAGTACTACGTGCGAGGGACCGCCGCCCCCCTGGGGACTTGTTACATGGTGGCCACCACCTCCTTAGCTGGCAACGTCATCTGGTGAGGACCGGCCCCCCAGCTATCCAGGTTGGGATAATCTAGGTATTATCTGATTCATCTTATTATGTTGCATCTGACTATGCTAGCTATAGTATCCTAATCTGCTAGCATGATGGTAAAACTAGAGGATACCTATTAGGATTAGTGCTGCTAACTAATTTTACTAGGGGCACTGCTCCCCGTATAGCTACACTACTTCTCTAGCTAGATAATCTGGACTGGCTAGATGCTAGAGGCATCCAGTGAGGCTTAAAGATATATATATGGAAGCTGGGCATGATTGACCATAGGGGTCAATCATAGAAGGTCTTTTGCCTCAGTGGTTAACCTTTTGCAGCCCAGCGCAAGGTTCTCACACTAGACTACCCAATTAACCTCTCCAGCTCTAATTCCTGTGGGATTACCTACTCTAAGCTTAGTACCTACTAGTAGGTAGAATCCAATAATAGAGGTGCCCCTTTACTATACTAATATATATCTCTATATCCTATCTTATTAGGGTCCTATATATTAATAGTCCCCTCACCCTAGTAGCTTAGACTGATAATATAGCATCGTAATATAGTAACCTCTATTATCCCTAATCACTATTTATCTGCTAGAATCCCTCTACTAGACTATATATAGCTAACTAAGTGCACTATAAGGGTCCCTATTAGATAGCTTTTATAGGAATTATGCCCCCTGCACCTAACTAGGATATCTATAGGATCTACTAGACCTTCTAATACTACTAGTAATACCTTGTAGGTCTAGGAGGACTACTACTAGGACTACCCTAGAATCTACCTACCCCTGCCCTAGTAGGTTAGTACTTAATACTAATTTATAAATAGTTACTAGTTTACTACTATTACTACTAGATTATAGGGGCCCCTAGTATATAGCTATAAGACTTACTATCTATATAGTCTACCTTTATTACCGTTATTCTATCCATCCCCTAGATAACCCAGCTTATTCTAACCCTAACTAAGTCATTATCCTACTTATAGTCTATAGATAGAGGCCTAGTAGGTAGTAATAGTAGTAGATTAGGGGGATCTAAATAGGGACGTAGACACCCCTCCTACTAGGGGGATAGGTTAGTACTAGATAGATAAAGAAGGACTAGGGGGAGGATATCTCCTAGATAATAGAAAATAGCTAGCCTAGAATAGGAGCTCTGCCTATGCCTCTTTAAAAGTAAGAGTACTTAGAAATACCTCCTTCTATACCTCCCTAGGAGCTAGCTAGCGCTAGGGGTAGTAGTCTTAGAGATCTATAACAGTAGAGCTAGCAGCCTTCTTTATTAATAAGAACTATAGGGTCCTCTTAACTAGGGTGTCAGAGAGTAGGGTGCTAAGCATCTACTATCCACAATGCCAAAAAGGTCACAATGATGATTCCCCTTGGAATCATCAAACCTAAAACCTGCTTATATACCACTTACCCCCTAGGCCGCAGCCCCCATGACATAGGGCCCCTATTAGGTCCCCTATTAATAATAAGGCTTATAACTAGCTTCCCTATATCTACTACTCCTACATAGATATAGAATATCCTAGTCTAAGAGTACTAGATCCTATAGGCTAAATAGTATGTACTTTAGCTAGTAGCTAGTCTAGTAATATCTACTAAAGTACTAAGTTAGGCTATTTTTAGGAACTATAAGAACCCCCTCTTTATCTTTAATATTTAGTACTAGTAATAGGATAATGCTACCATATAACTAATATTTACTAAATAGTCTTAATACTTCTACTAGTACTTACTATTAGGCCTACTCTATATAGTAAGGATACAGATATCTTATAGATCCTATCTATACTATAGGTACACTATGGTAGGAGTAAAGGGTATAGCTATACTATACTTCTATAGGCAGTATGATCTAGTAGCTATCTAGCACTACTAGTAATCTATAGGATATATACCCTGTACTTTAGACTACATAGCTAGTAGCCCCCTTCCTAGAGCTTCCTATACTAAATATATAGGCCTGCATAATCCCTAGGTATGCTATAATCTAAACCTTTAAGTATAAACTCCTGAGTTATCTCTATAACAACCATGATATATTAAGTATAAGAGAGTGGAAGGAAAGTATAGTGGCCTGTAATGTCCAGGCCCTTAATAGTTATAGCTACCTGTTTCATCTGCATTAGGCCTCCAGCCTAGGGAGGTGGGGGGCAAGCTAGTCCCAGAAGAGGGGCAGGGAAGGGTAGGGCAGAAGGGGCCCAGATGACTTATTTTAGCATAGCATAGTATTCATCTAAAAGAAACTGAGTTGCAAGAGATAGAATCATTAATCCCTTGCCATCCACCACCTAATTATCCTGCAATAAGGCCCCTACATCGCCAGACTGTGACTTGAGAGGGATATCAAGCCAATCGCTGGCCCGGATACCTTCACAACAATAACAAGGTTAGCCCTATAGCTTCCCAAAAAGCGTTCCAAAATTTCTCATTCCTTGTGCGTCCTTAGCCTCAAACTGCGCGAGCTCTTGGTACTCGGGATCTGCAGAGCGGCGTTAAGACCTGTACGCGTTGCTTTGGAGGGGCACAGCGCGGTGCATTTATGCGCCGTATAGAGTACTGTGTTCTCAGAGTGCCCTTGCCATATTACCTGTCGGCGATGGAGGATAAACCCTTTTGCAAGATCAAAGAGAGTGAACCTTACTTTATTAGGTCAGGTTGGCTATGTTCCGGAGTCTCATCATATGATGTAACTGCTGGAGCTTGGAGCAAATCGAGTGACAACATATTTGATAATGGTAAAGACGAGACAAGAGAGAATTCATTCCCTAACCAAGTGTCATCATCGAAGTAGACATCGGTGTCGGGATTAGTGAATAGACTGCTGATCGTGCCTGTTGATTCCCGGCTTGTCTTTGCTTCGACATAACGAGCTGCAACATCGTACAGTGGCTTGAAAATACGCAGCTGCCTATTACAGCGGGCATAGTGCGGCGATTGTGCCAGAGACTGTAGACCGTCAACCACTCCCTTCAAGCGGCCCAGGTCCGACGCGTCAGCAGTATCAACAACATTGTAAACCAGGATTGTGAGAGGGATAAATGGCGCTATGAGGAGAACCTCGTTGACCCAGTCGTGAAGACTAGTCGGCCATTTTGCTGCACCTGAAAGTATGGCAATGCTGGCTTCGCTCTCTTCAAGAGCTACTCGCGCAGCGGTGATGCATTGAGTACATGGTATTATACCCGGCGGACTCTCTGTTGGGATTCCTCGATATATGGACGCCAAAGTTGAGAATTCTATAGCTCTGTTGGCGTGTATCATGAACCGTGAAAGATTTAGATCTAGCACATGGCTACTCCACAGGTCTGGCCGACTCTGAGAAGGGTGGTTAGTCAGAGTGTCCACGGACTGATTCCGTATACTTACTTCAGTTGGGAGCACAGAGAAAGCTGGTTAGATACTTACATAATATCCGGTTCTCGCGGCTATCATACGCTCCAGCTCAGAAGCCAGTGCATTGGTACGAGACACGCGAACGGAGCCCGGTCGTGTCAACGCAGTTGGGCTATACAGGCTATCGTACAAGCGGCCGTAGAGGCTAGCGATATCAATCCAGTCAGGCAGCCGATTATATGCTAGGGAGGTCATTTTGCGGTCCAAAGTGAGTCGTGGGATGGTGATATCCTGGTCTCTAATAGTCGATGGCCTGCCGAGCCGTAAAGCCACAGCTTTCTCCACGGCATACACAGCCCAGAAAAGACACATCTTTCGCTGCACTGCGCTTTCTTGTTCCGTTACCATGGTGTGATTGCTATGCAACCCCAAGGCTAGGCACATAAGTGACGCTCTTGAAATAAACGTCCAGGCTGTGGACACTTTTCCCCGGTGCAGGCAATGAAGAGACTGTATGTTGGAAATCGCAAATTAATACCGTGGGGAATGCATTGCTACTAAGAGGGGAAAACGCACCGCCATGTACAAGGCACAGATAGAGTCAATATTGGTATGGATGTGAAAGGAAAGGCTCGATAGAATTGTCTCGAGGCTCTCTCTGCACGTTGCAGCTTGCACATCGTAGTCCTGTCTGAGTGTCTCGTCATCGGCAACAATCGAGCATTGGGTGAAGAGCGAGTAAAGAACGTAGTGTACTATGATCAGCTCTATATCGCTGATCGGACCGGGTGCGCAGGCTCTGATCACGTTCTGAGTGAAGTCTCCCAGGGATCCAAATTCGAAGGGCCAGTAAATCTCGCTCGGCGAGCTCTCTGCGGGATGATTATCAGAACGAGTGCATCATATCCTGGAAAAGAGAGACGCACCTTGTGTGATCCTGAGGCATGCCATGATTTTATCTATGGAAGGGATAGGCAAATCCCTAAGACTAAGACCAGAAGGCAGCGCCTTTAGAAATGAACGTGACCCTTCCAGCGTCTCATTTTGCTGCTTTTGGTCATTGACTGTGTTCCGCAAAGTGTTTAACGCCGAAGTTATGTCGTCGACCGCCCTGGAGAATGGGTCATTCATCACAGCGGTTTCAAGAGCTCTTGCTGCGCAAATGACATGGGCAAACAATGCGGACTCAATCCCTTCCGCTGGAGCTGGAGCTTTGGAGGATGCCCGAAGACTGCCAGATTGGAGCGATGAGTATGATGGTGCTCGTAATCTAGTTGGGGCCATAAGGCTACTATCACCATTATGGCGCTCATCTCTAAGTTGCCCTATGATTCCGTAGAGCTCCTCAATTCTGTTCGAAATATGCTCCAATCTCCTTTCACTGATGGTCTATTAATATTTAGAGAGATGTACTTGGGGGGATAACTCACTATACACTCGAGATCAGGACCCGTTGCCGCTTTTCTTTGGCTTTGTGAGCCAGTCTGAATGTACACTGCGCCTCCGCCTTGGTACAATGTGAGCACGGATTAACGCGATTACACTTGGTCTATTAAGCCAGCTCCAAAGTCAGTAGACCAACCTCGGATACACCTCACAGGGGAACAATCTTTGCTGCAGGTAAATAGAAGGATCGCACCTTCCGCTGACGGCAACGATCACACTGTGGAGCATGTCAGCATCTAATTCACATGTGACGCGACTAAGGAAATGTTCGCATACTGCCACTCTCTCCTTCACCACAACCTCATGCTCATCTACCCCATTCCACTGAGAATCCAGGCCACCTTCTCCCCCTGCTGCTTGGCCAGTGGGTCCGTAATCAGTGCCTCCAGGTCTGAATGACATCATCACAACGGTATCTAGAAATGCTCTCAAGGAGGTATGGGCAGGACAAATTGCAGGCCGAATGATGGAACTGTCAAAAGGTGTAAGTCCGGACTTTTTGGGAGCCCTCCCCGACGAGGTTGCCCAATGGACAGATTTGCAGGGTTCGATGAAATTTCGAGCCATGGCCGGACACTCGGGGCGCCAAGAGGGCGCAGTCCGAAGAGTGGAGACACCCTCGGCGGCCTTATTTACTTGACTATTACGTGCCTCTTGTTTTATGCCTCATGCTCGTTTGGACACGATTGTTATCCTTGCATATCCTGTGAGCCCGCAGACATTTGCGCTTATCAATCCTTCCTAACAAATACTCCACCATGAAGTATCGCGGCGTTGTCTACGATGTCGGCCTCAATTTCAATGGCGCTGAATTCTCCGTCGAGCCATTCGATCCTGCTCTAGTCAAATACGACATGAAAACAATCGCCGACGACTTGCATGCCAATGCCGTCCGGATTGAAGGAGAGGAGATAACTCGGCTGGAGATTGCCGCCCGGTCAGCGCGCTCGACGGGACTAAAGGTGTTTTTCAATCCGTGGAAGATGAATGCAACCATTGAGGAGACCCGCGCATACTTCGAAGACGCGGCAAAAACTGCAGAAAGATTACGCAAAGAAGGCATTGATTTAGTCTTTATCGCCGGCTGCGAATACACCATCTTCAGCAAAGGTGTTTTCCCCGGAGATTCTTTCAACGACCGTGTAATGTTCCTCGGCCCGCAGTTTCCAAGCGGCCATATGATCGAGGATATTCCTCAGGCTCTGCGTGACAAGTCTGTCGAGTTGAATAAGGTGTTGCGGTCTTTCGTTGAGGTGATTCGTTCCCAGTTCGGAGGAAAGATCACATATTCAGCTGGCACCTGGGAGGTCGTGGACTGGGATATATTTGACATCGTTGGCATAGACTATTATCGCCGAGGAGAGACTGCAGAGAAGTATGTCTCGTGTCTCGACCGGTACAGGATTGGAAAGCCTCTCGCTGTTTTAGAAGTCGGCTGCTGCGCGTACGAGGGAGGAGCAGAGCGCGGAGACGGCGGGTTCGCACTCTTGAAAGGCACGAATCCAGACGGCACTGGCATCTTCGAGAATGATATTGTCCCAACTCGGAGCGAGAAGGAACAGGCTGATTATGTTGGGACACAGCTTGAGCTTCTCAACAATGGAGGGGTTGATGCGGCCTTCATATTCCTGTTTTCGTTCCCTTGCATGCCGGGAGGAAAAGGCGCGAGCGATCTGGACATGATGTCTTTCTCGCTGGTAAAGACCTTTCCTAAGAAGGACTCAAGATCTAAGGATATGCCTCCATGGGTACCAAAGGAGTCTTTCCATCGCGTCGCTGAAGTCTTTCGTTCTATGGAGCAGGAGGAGCAGAGTTCCGCGGTAACTCAGTGAAATGCACCTTTAGGCAAGGCCATGCTTAGGAATTAGTATTGCATAGTATCAGAGCAGTTGTGACTTAGAACAGACAGTGGATTGATAGGTAACTGGCGAGGACAAAACAATACGCCGTGAAATATGAAAAGTCTAGTAATATCGAAGCGCCATTGCCATAGACGTGATGACGTTCACACTTCATATCAAGGTATACACTCATTTTGTAAGACAACGAGTTCCTATATTCAGTACAGAACACTGTTATATGACACCGCTGCGAATAACCCAGAATATAGCTCAATATGGGATTATTTCAATGAGGTATCCATCTGGGTCTTCCACAAAAGGGACAGCCACGGCGGCTTCCCACAAAGGCCTGTCAAATCCCTTGTCGGGCATATCGCAACCTAAAAACGTAGCCACGACCTCTGAACCCTGAGTCACGCCAGCTTCTTTGAGTATTCTAACATTGTGACTTCTGATATATTCCATGGCCTTTGCCATATCCGGGACGCCGATTGCCAGCTTGACGAATCGAAAATCAGGATAGTCACTTGAGTCGGCCATGCCTTTCTCGGACTTCTGAAGGCAAGGTCAGCCACAGTCTTGCCGGAAGCGGACGAGACTCTTTGATGAAGTATCGTTACCTTTGGGCATACTAGTTCTAGTACACCTTCCCTAGCGAAGAGTTGCGTTTGTGGATTCGCTGCATCAGGATAACCGAGGAAAACAACCGTGGTCGTGTCCAATCCCATGCGGCCCAATTCCTTCATGCCAAAAGCACCCGTGTAGAACGCAACGGATCTGTTGATATCCGTAACGCGAAGGCCGACATGCGTCAGTCTAAATCCGCTGGTTGGGTTCTTCGATGCCATGGTGTTCAAGTGTTGAGAGCGACTTAATGTATTCGTTCAATGAGCAGATGTAGGAAGCTGCTTTTACAGATCGAACGAAAATTTCTAGATTCAACTGCACTTCGGTCCCGCGCTTGCTAATTAATAGGCTGTCTGTTCCTGGAAGGGCTATGCCAATTTCCGGGCCCTATTGTTCAGATTTGTCAGTCGGAAAGGTTGCGATCCGAAATCCGCAGGAATGTTGCTGATGTAATTATACTTAATGTAATCGGTAAGTGAGAGGATCACGAAACCGAGCGGACCACCCAACGCGTTTTGACTGCCATTTCAAAAGCTAATATTCAGCCTGCCAATATGCCACTAAAAGCGCGTACAAACTCAAAGATTAGTTGAGCAGGAGGGAAGGACCCTATCTGAAGTATGAGCTCAGAAAAAGAAGGAATCCTTAATATTTGTGAAGCTGCGCGTGTCTATACTCTGCCTTATACTACCCTCCAGCAGCGTCTAAAGGGGCGTACCGCTGAATTACGCGCAAATAGTCATAAAATGACTTAAAACGAAGAGGAATCCCTTATTCAGTGAATTCTATCAATGATTAACGTGGAGTAGCTCCCCGACCATCTCATGTATGAGAAATGGCGAATATCCTTCTTTCAAAGCGTGGAGAAACCACTACCCAGACGGTTAGAGAGAAATGGGTAATAATTTATTAAACAGCATGATGAGATTAAAACCCGATTCTCTAGGCGCCATAACCATCAGCGTGCCAAATGTGAACACCCAAAGATCATCCTAGATGGTTTAATCGCATTTAGATCACTACGATGCGTGATCCGCTCGCTTACCCATCACAACTAACTAAACTGACTGAAAGACGCCGGGAAATGAAACCCGAGCCGCTTATGAATCCATATTCATGGTGATTATGGATCTACGAGGTATTTATAGACAGACTGCTGGTCTGAGGAAAAGTAGCTTGAGAAAATTGCATCAGGTCGTTTGCTCGAAATCATGACTGGTAAAGGGAAACACGCTCTCATTTTCGGGGCCTCTGGTATTTCAGGATGGTCCTTGATGAAGGAGTGCCTCTCATATCCTTCTCCGTCGACATTCCATCGCGTTACAGGCTTGTGTAATCGCCATATTGAAAAGAAGGCCTTATTGTTACCCAATGATAGTCGCCTCAATATCGTTTCTGGCATCGACCTTACAGGATCAGTCGAGATAGTCATGGAACAGCTGAAGACTAAGGTGGAAGACATCATGTTGGTTGATATTGTTTTCTTTTGCGGTAAGCCTACGCAGCTTCCACTCTTTTAAGCATACTTAGATCGAAAGCAACTAATCTAGGTTTCTTCGGACAGCCTATATCCAAGCCTCCGATTACGCGTCACTGCGAAAGATCAACACGGACCTGCTCCGTACAGCAATCAAGGCCACCAGCGCCGTGGCGCCGAACCTTGAAGTAGTTATTCTTCAAACTGGTGGCAAAGGTTATGGATTAGAATTCCAAGACAAGGTTCGGGTCCAGCCTCCGCTACACGAAGATCTACCCAGGATCCCAGAGCCATGGAGAAGCAAAATCTTCTACTACGATCAATATGACCTCTTAATGGAGCTATCCAAGGGTTCAAAGTGGACATTCTCCGAAATTCGGCCTGACGGAATCGTCGGATTTGCCCCTAGCTCCAATGCCATGAATATGGCGCACGGCATAGCATTCTATCTGACCCTTTATCGAGAGGCCCATGGCGTCGGGGCTTCTGTTCCATTCCCGGGGACGCGGCAAGGATATTACTCGACGCACTCCGACACATTCCAGGATATTCTGTCGCAGCTGGAGATCTACGTTGCCCTGCATCGGGAGAAGTGCGTTAATGGGTCATCTTTCAATGCTGCGGATGGGCAGACTGTGAGCTGGGCTCAGGTTTGGCCGGGTCTCTGTGCGTATTTCGGCCTTGTTGGCTGTGAGCCGCAGAACGGCTCTCAGACAAGTATGGAGGACTTTGTCAATGGGCACATGGATCAGTGGAAGCGTCTTGTTGAGGTCCATGGGTTGAAGAGCGACACTGTGGAGAACCAGAACTGGGGCCATACGCACTTTATGCTCGTCGATTTTGACTTCAACAGGGACTATTCGTTGGAGAAAGCTAGGTCTATCGGGTTCACGGAACGTATTGACACTGTAGAGGGCTATAAGATCGTTTTTGATCGGATGGTTACTGCCAAACTGATCCCATCGTTTCGCTGATTATAATTGAGGAAAGACTAGTGGCTTGATAGAAATGAAAGATAGAAAGATATATAGGGTTATTCCGAAGCGCTAGTGGCGCTTGATTGTTGTCTCAGGGTTTCCTCCTGCGTCACGCTAGGTTACCCTCTATGCTCTTTATACTCTCCCTCAGATTCGCTATATTAACTCAATTGCTCGAGACTTCTTCTTTTTGCAGAACATACTGGCGCTGAACGACATCGGAAAATTTCAATCTCTAAGATTTTGTTGATGTATTCCAAGTACAAGCTCGCCGTCTCTTCATGCAAGAATTAAATCACAGGAACAAAGACAGTGATCAGCGTAGCATAGACATGATTATACTGCCAGGTGACGCMCTCAATATTCATGGGTGTCACCAACACGACTAGACAGTTGCATTTCCAACTTGCCGCTGTCCCAATTCCCGCTCCCCTATTCCGCCACTGCTGCATGTTCACCTCGGCTGGGTACATCCAAGATATAGCGATCCGAGTTGGACCGAATACGGTATAGTAGCCAAATATAAAATCAACGGCACAGTAGACCACTTTTCTTTGTTCGCGCCCCGTCTTCTTCCAGCGACGAGCACAAAGCATATACAATGAGCCAAGGCACCCCAAAGCATGAGACGCTTACGGCCGACCGCTTCAATGAAGGCCGCTCCTACAGATGTTGATGTCTTGAGGTTCATGGTGTTTCGCATGGTGAAAACGAGGGTCGTCCGTCCTGAGACATATTGAGAGCTGAATATCGCGGGAGGAAATATATAGTGACATTAATACCTCCCCACTGCCGCCTGAACTTGGCCCCAGCACCCAGGAGCACATGCTGCGTGGTTTTAGGGCATATCTGGAGTATAGAAAGGCAATAATCGTGCGGACTTCTGTTCGTGTTACTCCTTTATCAGCCATCGTGGAAGTCTGACAGTCAACGGATGATGGACACCGTAGCAACGGCGTAAAAGATCTGGAATGCAACGGGGAACTCTGAGGAAACGCTACAACGGTCGATACAGCCGAATCTAAACCTAAACCAATCCAATGATGATGAGCCGGCTACGATGACATGACTTCCGCTTCTCCGATCGACAAACAGAAATAGCCGGCGAGTTTATAAAGGCTTCGTGGGTATCCCTAGTGGAAGATGCTTCATAGCTACTCAATACGATTAGTACCTGGATCGTTGCTACCGAAGGGTTCTCTAACTCGACCTGTATCAGAGCTTTGGCCCTATTACCGAAGAATTCTGCTAGGAATCTAGTAAAGGTCGCAGATTCGGGTAATATTTGGACTCATATGTAGCGCCAACTGCACACCTGCGGCCATGTTAGCAAAGCTCACTCTAGCTGTCATAAATTCGCCTCACATTGCGTCGGATAGTGCAGGAGAATAAAAATGAGCAGTGAGACCCTTCCTTTGTGCTCTTGACCTCCAAAAAATCTTCTCACTCACAACGTGTAAGCAGGGATTGCCAGGTGAAGCAGAGCTGAAGCAGATGTTTCTCAAATTACTCCGGGCTGCGGACTCTTGGCGTTCCGTGCGTCCATAACTCGGCGGGTGATTTCACTCCGGACTCATGAAAACCTGTTTTCTTTGCAGAATTTTGGTCAGGACTTCCCCTGGAGTCTCTATCTTCTTTGTTTCAAGAACTTGTAGTTAGACTTCAACCTATCTTCCAGAATCGCTTTACTGGTCCTTACAAATTATTTTGTAATGCTGCCATGCACACCTGCCGAGAGCGAAGGTAGCCGCACCGGCCAAGCGTCAAGGCGAGACGACATCCACAGTCTCGTGCCGTAAGAGGACGTGGTCTCACGCTCGAAGGGTAGAGAGTAGAATGAGAAATCAACACCGCTCTTCTTAGGACCAACTTCCAAGATGTCCCTTCAGTTCCCCTCATTAGTCGAGACATTTTACAGACAGAMAGGAGGGGCTATTGGCTTTAATTCTCCCGACGATGTGAAGATTAAACGTATTTTTCCCGAGGCCCTCTCCCCTAATACTGTACCCACAGTGAAGCAATACATTCTATTACGAACAGCATGACCTTCGGGGCCTTTTCTTGCTTAAAGTTAAAAACTTCGGAGGTTCGACTAGACATTATTGTTGGCTTCGGCCCTAGACCCAAGTCGATAAACATGACGCATGAAACCCGATTCTGCCTATAGGACCTGTGAGTAGAGTTTTCCATTCCATTGAGAGTCTCCTGGCTACCATTCGCCATTGAAACACCCACCGTCAACTCTCTGCCAAAATGAGAAATATATGCCGGATTTAGTCATGTCGAGTGTTTCAACCTATTGCCATTTGACTCTTCTGAAGGAGAATCAGTAAGCTGGACTTGCATCTGGCTGGGGAAATAAGACCCCTGCGGGCTAGTTGGCATTGAGCCTGATGAGTAACATAAGGAGATTGAGGCCCGTCTGTAGGTATGAGGCATTTAAACCATTTGGTCGATATCTAGAGGTCAGGGGAGAGGCTCGTCGAGTCTCAGAATTGGGTCTATGATAGTACTTTGTGCTAGTTATCTTTGACTTTGATCGGAAAGAGTTCTTGCATGCAACTCGTTTTGCTGATTTTATCGACCAAATTCACACTATCCTGGTTAGCCGGGTTAAATTTGCCTGAATGGTGAAGGGTAGAATTAGTTCCGTCCAACCTATAGGCGCGCCACATACATCTGCATATGCATGCTAGAGCAGTACAACGATCATGTTCAAGAACGTCAGACTTATTAATCATGGAAGGACAACCTCCCGTTGGAAAATGAGACCCGGTTTCTCCTTCCAAAGCTGTGTCTAGTAACTTGACAAAGAAGTATGGAGATAAAGCATTCCCGTTCCGCCAGAATATTCCTCAAATTGTTCATTTGACAAACTCTACCTCTTCCGAGCACTGTAGAAAGTGGAAACACGACAACGACCATGTCTTCTGCTCCAGAAAATGCCGTTTTGCTCAGAAAGGTTCAACCTGCATGGGCGAGTCATTCTCGTGACAGGTATATCATTATCAAAAAGCTTTCAATACTCTAATAGCCAAAGTAGGGTCTAAGATCTGACACTTGATAGGCGGCGGCCGAGGTATCGGCATGGCGCTGTCGAAAACCTTCATGGACGCTGGTGCCGTGGTAGTGGCGCATGGATATTCTACCAGAACCTGATTCCATTTTTCTTGAATTACAGAAGGAAAGACGAGAAAGTCTCTTATATTACCGGTAGGCAGACTTCTTTTGGTCAGGGAGGTCTGAAGTCGGTCAAATCGCTAAAATTACTACGAAGCTGTGACCTGACCAAGGAGGAGGAACTTGGATATGCTTTTGAACAGGTCTTAAAGAAGGTGTCCAGCATCTATGGAATGTCAGTATATGTCCTCTCCAGCTTCCTCTGGAGAGCCCTGACTCAAGCCTGGTGAGCAGCATTACGGCAGCAGGTATCTGTGTTGACAAGCCCTTTGTGGAACACAAATGGGTAGACCTCCAGAAGCTGCACGCAGTCAACGCATGTTAAGCTCTTGACCAGCTATAGCAGAGCATGCAATAACAAAGTTAATAGGAGACGGCGACATTTTTTCCGGTGCAGGAAGCGGTCCAAAATATGAGGCAACATGGTATAAAAGGAAGCGTTTTGATGGTCTGTTCTCAGTCATCCCATCATGTTTGCCCTGGTCATCTCTTGGCCGGTTATGCCGGTAGCAAAGGTTTTATCGGGTCTCTAGCGAAAAGCCAGGTTCATGAGCTCGCTCCTCATGGTATTCGTGTGAACACAATTTCTCTAGGATAGGTCATCCCGGTTGTAAAGAAAGAAATGCCTACTCAACTAGCCTCCTAGGTATATCGCCACAAATATGAACCTGAGCATAGCGGCTCATCGCCCCGAGCTGTTCCGGATTTTTCACGAGGCGCCGCCGCTTGGACGTGTTGAGAACACGCCAGGACCTGCAGATGGCAGCTTTGTACTTACTGAGTGATGMTTCCTCCTACGTCACCGGTCACGACCTAGTTGTGCATGGAGGAATGCAAGTCTCTTCCGGGAACTGGAAATGTTCCTATAGAAACGTTCTCGCACTTGTATTTTGGCTAATTTTGGTCCTAATTAAGCAAAGATTGTAGTGAGCAAATGTTGAGATGTCCACTGAATATAGGGTTTATGCCGTTTCCCCAGCTATAGAAGCCTGCATACCTCGTATTCTCGAACGAGAAACAAACAATTTTTCGTGCACAAAGCTGGTGAACCGGGTTCTTCTCTGACCCTCTGGGCCGGCTCAAACAATTGCCATCACCCACCAAGATAGAAGAAGAGGACCCCATTCTCGCGGACAACGGCGAATGGAACCGAAGACAACGGATCTTTCCATCTATCCCAAGGGTACCAGAAACCCATCTTGATAATACGAGCAGGGCCGTTAAGCTCGGATTATCACCGGTGTATATGATGCCCTGCCGTGGATATCGCCCAATTGTTGCACACGAAATCCGCGACGCACCATCGGTGAGAGGCTATGTACTGGAAATTGTACTTGGGAAAGACATTAATACTAAGTTATTTCGAACTTGCTAGTACTTGCGCTTGCAGAGACACTAGTTATGTTTTCTCAAGCGATAATACAAGGTCGGCCATGCAATTATCGTCTCACGCTGTAACAAAAATGGTTCTGGGTTGGACCTAGGCAAAACAAAGCAAAGCAAGGCGAACAAGCGGACTGTAGGCAGCTTTCTTGCACACAGGAAGCGATCGCTGCAATCCAATTGTGTATTTGAGGGCGCTGAAGTATAACTTAGATGATATTTTCCATTCTGCCCTTGAAACTGTAGCTCCATTAGACTATTGCATTTTGAGAACAATTTCATCACCGTTCTCGTTAAATACAATCTTCCCACCAGTTTCCAAACTTTTCTGCAAGGCAGTTGCGATTTTCAAGCTGGTGAGAGCAGCAGTGAGCGTCATCGGCAGCTCGGTTTTATCCAATATAGCATTTATAAATTGGCTCAACTCAGTCACGAAGGCTTCTCGATACCGGTCAATCCAACTGGGAGTAACATCCTGCTGGATTCCAGCTGCATTCGATACCTGAACTCTGTTGTGGTGTGGCACGGAGTTAATCGATATTTTCCCCGTCATACCAAAAATGTCAGTACAGTTGTCATATCCATGAGAGGTTGTGCGGGAGTGATAGTATTGGGCAATCCGCCCACCCCAGAACTCGACTACGCCCATGGCGTTGTCAACGTCTTTGAAATCTTTCATCTCGTGGTGATGGGTGATAATACCAGTCGCCCAAAGTGCTTTGGGTTTGATGTCGTCGCCAATGATCGACAGGGTGAGGTCGATATCGTGAATGACGGTATCCAAAAAAATTCCCCCACTCTGTCGAGCATATCCGATGAAATATCCAGTTTTGTCCAGTTTCTCGGCACCGTGCGATCGCACAACAATGGGTTCGCCTATTGCACCATCCTTGATCTTCCGAAGTGCATCTTGGTAGTTCTCGTCGAAGCGTCGTACAAATCCAACCATGACCTTCGTCTGAGGATTCAACTCCGCTGTTTGCATCAACTGACATAACTATACAAATGGAGTTAGTGAATATATCATGATGGCAAAGTGAGATCTCTAACCTGGACAATATCTGTTGTCACTGGCTTCTCACAAAGAACGTGGATTCCGAGCTCCATGGCAGCCAATGTCTGCGAGAAATGGAGATCGGTCGGCGACGCAATGACTACGGCATCGAGTCCAGGAGTGCGAATCATCGCGTCGAAGGTATCAAATACCTTCACGCCCTCAGGCTGAAGGGTTTTCTTGGCCCATCCAATCTCGTGCGGCGCGGGTGAACAGACAGCGAAGAGCCTCGCGCGGGGAACTTGAAGGACGTTCAGTGCATGGCGTTGGCCCATGCGGCCCAAGCCCACAACACCGATGTTGGCCTTCTGAATGGTATGGGTCATCTTGAAGCTAACTCGTAGCGGGTAGAGGAGAGGAAGGCCCTTGAAGGAATCGATGAGTATGATAGACGTGTTCTCTACTTCGCACAGGTGTCTTTATTCTTGACTGCCCGGAATTCAAATGCCGACCAGCGCATATTTCGGAAACAAGCCATGGTCAAAACCCCGGGGTGGCGCCGTCGTCCCTGGCGCCGTCGTCCCTGGTGGCGGACTGTCCTGTGGCATGCCCTTGCTCTGAAGGTTTCAGACCTGCACCAATCACCCATCAGCCGGGTCTTCCCCAGACCAGGAGGAGTAAGGGGAGCGGGGTTTAGAGAGCACATACCCCAGACAGCCCTGGAGGCTGGAATGTCAGTCTTCTAATAAGTTAGAGATATAAATTTGATTACTTATTACCTACTATTTGTCTTTATGTGCCCAGAGGGCCTAAGTAAATAAGTAATCTACATATCTCCGGTTCTATCTACAGTGAATTATGTCCCTGATGTTCTACAGCAGCATCGCAGCTTTTCTGATCAGCTATAAAGGTCATAAGAGACCCATATTAATGGAAGTAACTGCAAGTAGTATATTTTTATGCTTATTATGTTGCGCTCCACTATAGTGGGCCAGAGAATAAGGGCATATCAGTTCTTTCTATGGCGTTCGTTTCTTGTAATATATCTTCTATAATATATCTCTATTCCCCATCGCATTCATACCCAGCTGAAATTAATTCTTTAAAAATACATAATACAGGCACATCTTTGGCCACAACCATGAACTAGGCTATTATCTACATGGTGGTTGTGGTGACAGCCACTACCATTGATAGTAGGCAGTGGAAATACTACATGCTCTATGCCATTTTGATTTTTGTTTTATTCCTGTGGTCTGGTAATGCCATATTGGGACTGCAAATCTCTCACTGGAGCAGTTGATCCCCTGTTTAAGATCAAACATGGTGGGGGAAATGATGTGAAATTGGCCGAAGTGACCCAAATGGCTCGCGCGGATCTTCGCCCTGTATCCAGCGTCGCCGCTGAGGAGGACCTCGTTAGCTGCGAACACTCTGAAGATACTACGTGACGGCGGATAAAGAGTGATTAAAATTTCGATAGCCAATATCTCCCTTGCTTATAGCTCGGAAGGGAAACGTGAGCCAAATTTTAGCATCTTAATAAGTACACCAAATTGAAATAGAGAACGGCGAAAAGTTCCGCGTGGTCGTGATGCCGAATTTTGATTTATTCTGCCAAATGCCCAAGCGCCCATTCCTTGGCCAGGGAACGTGGGCCTCCTTGAAAACACATTTTCGACCTATAGACTATGAAGTACACGCAATATCAAAGCTGCTAATAACCCCTGGTAACAGGATTCCAGGCAACCGATGTCCAGTTGTCTCCCTCTCCCAACCTGTCCTGTGAGGGTTGGACTCCGTTTTCCATGAAAGCATGGGAGGCGGATGATATCAAAAGCTGTCATCGCGGTCCTCTCCAATGACACCTACTCACTTAGTACGGTTCTCGCCGTACGAAGAGACTGGGAGGAAGGTATCGGATTTACGGCAGTAACAGTAGGCTTGCACAGATACCCCGTACGCCACCTGATTTGAGTTAGCCCTTGTCATGTTACACGAAGAATCTCGAGCTGCATAACCGGCCCAGAACACATCCAGGATACGTAAGGCAGACGTACAGGCTCCATGCAGAATACAGAGTCTCTAATCTTGCCAGATTATTATGATACAAGCCCAGAAAATAAGCCAAAAGTACTCGGACAATAGCCTCATGGATAACCAGCAACAGGTGGTCTGTCATTCTTTCGAGTTCGATAATGACCGGGCGGAGTCGATTGATCACGTCAACATATGCCTCACCACCAGCTCCTGGCCAACGATGCAAAAGCCTGTTTCGATTGCGCGAGGCGAACTCTATCGGGTGTAATTCTTGGATTTCTTCAAATGTGAGACACGCCATGTCCCCAGCATTCAGGTCCTAAAGCAGCTCTATTTGCGTAACGGTCACGAGGGAAAAAAAGCGGTTTCGATCGCCTACGGCATCATGGAAGTCCATATGCAGAAACTAGGGGTATCGTGCTGGGCGTCCTCCCGCCAGATAAATCTGCTTGGGGTGATGGGTGGATTTCTCTCCAATTGTCCCGCAGCTCCTGCATAAAATTTGCCAACACCCTTGCAAACCGCCTGCCATTTTTACAGAGATGAGAACTTCGTCTGATCCTGCCGGTAGCGTCATTCAAGATCTCCCCGTTGCAGGATATCCATATCCGTCGCTCCGCGAGGTTGAAGTTCAGCAGGTACTCGACCACCTGGATTGCCAAATAGCCTCAAATCATATGTGTATTGATCTTGCGCCCAACAACAATCATTTGTACGTATGGTACCGCAGGTTCTTCCGCCGCGGTAGGTTCCCTCGCCTTGGATTTCTCCTGCGCTTCGCCGTCCTCGTCGTCCTCTTCGTCCTCCTCCGTTTTCTTCTCCCAGCCGAGTGTGGGCGTCAGGCCCAGCGTGAACTCCAGCCGGGGCTCTTCGCCGTCGTATCCGCTCGCAAGTGTGTAATTCTGCCCGCGGTGGAGGCAGATAGATAGCTGGTGATGTGTTCAGAACCGGTAACCAAAGCCAGCCATTTACGGAACGCGGAGGAGGGGAACAGATCATTAAACAGTTTCTGGATAGGAGGTTTCTGGTCCGTTGTGGCGGTCCCATGCTGCTGGATCCCTTGTTCCTCTTCGGCTACGCCTAGAGGAACATATGTCTTTTCATAATTGGAGACCCTCTCGCAGAACTCAGCGACGGCATTTTCCGGGTTAAGATGGCTTAATCCGGGCCGGTTAATTTAAGCAGGAAATTTTTTCTGAGAAGGTTTGTGTCAAAACAGCAGCTTTCAAGAACTAGATAATCTTGGGACCTGCCAAGGGAAAGAGTTAGATACAACTACAAAGTATCCCATTGGCATTCTAGATCACATGGAAGGGGATACGAATCCCGAGACAGCCACGGGTAGCCACTTGTCCACAATATACCTTAATTGAGAGATACGCGGCCCATATTCAGAACCACTCAGTACCATGAAAGTTTTCTTTGAAGAAGCAATTCATACGCTTCGGACAAAGGATTTTGGAGAATGCCGCTTTTGAAGATACCTTTCTCCCGAGTGTCTGTGCCATGGGCCATGCGCAGCGCAGGTTAACAGATACAAGAGGGCGGTTTCTCGACAACAAATGATCTTTAAACTATACTTGTGGATTACAATTCGTTGGGTTCAAATTCCTGAATAGACCTTGTTACAGTGTTTCCAGTGACAAGTGGCGGACACTTATGGAACGCTATCTTCGTGTCAACTAAAATATGCACTATCAGTCCTACTATGCTAGAAATGGAGGTCTAGACACCTTATTGGCTTAGTGGTTTGATGGCTAACACTTCATTAAGCACATTACAACAGCGAGATACCAAGAGCACATTTGAGACGATAATACGAATCTACTACGCAGGAAAAGCACACACATTAACCAGCAGTAGCGGCTGTTGGGACAAATAATGGTAGGCTATATTCCAACACATGAAAATCGCGCGACCAGGATTAGCGGACCTCGCCCCCGTCATCGCCGGGAGTTGAATCCCGGACCATGAGCAAAAAGGCAGGAAAAGACAATCCATCACGAATAGGACGTCACGGATCCCCATAGAAAAGTCCGTTTCTGCTTCCAAATGCTTTGCTTAACGGGTTATGAATTACCTGTCCTCGAATCGTGTTGCGGGGACAACCATGGTTGGTGATAGCGCCAAGCCGGAAATATCGCGACGTATAGAAATCAGCACGGGAAATATAAAGAGCAACTACTATTCAACCAGCCTTGGGCTTTTCTCGATTTCTCTGATTCTAGTCTAATTCTTTGTTCCGCTGAGTGTTCTTTAACCTGCAAAACCAAACAACACCATGGCATGGGCGGACGTCCCCATCAAGCCCGCCCAGGGTATCTCCTACTTCACACCAGCGCAGAGCCTCCCAGCAGGCACCGCTCGTCAGCCTCAGACAAGTGGCAAGCCCATCCCCAAGCTCTTCCAGCCCTTAACCATCCGCAGCACAAACTTTCAGAACCGCGTTGGCGTAAGTAATCCCAGGTGCGTTCCATAGGCATTCGCGTATCTGAACTTGTGCTCACTGCACGCTCCGCAGGTAGCGCCCATGTGCCAATATAGCGCAGACGATGGGCACATGACCTCATGGCATATCGCCCACTACGGCGGCATTGCCCAGCGTGGAACGGGAATGATCATCATCGAAGCCACTGGTATTGTTCCTGAAGGCCGTATCACACCCGTTTGCTCGGGTCTGTGGAAAGACTCCCAGATCGCACCACTCAAGCAGGTCATTGAGTTTGCTCACAGTCAGGGTCAAAAGATTGGCATTCAGGTGGGCCATGCAGGCCGGAAGGCCTCGACATTGCCTCCTTGGCTAGGCGGTGCTACGGCCACAAACGCGGTTGGCGGCTGGGTGGATAATGTCAAGGCTCCTAGTGCCATTGCCTTCGCTGAGGGCGACATTATTCCCAAGGCCATGACGAAGGAGGACATTGAAGAGGTCAAGGCTGCCTGGGTTGCGGCGATCAAGCGAGCCCTGGCTGCTGGCGCTGATTTTATTGAGATTCATAATGCCCATGGATATTTGCTCTCCTCTTTCCTTAGCCCGTCGTCTAACAAGCGTACCGACGAATATGGTGGCAGTTTCGAAAACCGCATCCGTCTCTCCCTTGAGATTGCTCAGCTCACGCGTGATACTGTGGGACCCAATACCCCCGTTTTCCTACGTGTCTCCGCAACTGACTGGCTGGAGAACATCCTCCCTGAGGAGAAGGGGTGGAAGCTGGAGGATACAGTGGAGTTTGCCCGCGCCCTTGCCAAGCAGGGTGTCGTCGACTTGATTGATGTCAGTACCGGTGGTATGCACAGCGCACAGGTGGTGACCTCCGGCGCTGGCTTCCAAGTTCCATTCGCAAAGGCTGTCAAGCAGGCCATCAGGGACAAAATGTTCATTTCCGCTGTGGGCACTATTCATAACGGTGTGCTGGCCGATAAGATCTTGAACGATGATGATATTGATGTCATCCTAGTTGGTCGTGCCTTCCAGCGTGATAGTGGACTTACCTGGGCCTTCGCCAAAGACTTGGATGTCGAAATTGCCATGGCTGCGCAGATCCGCTGGGGTTTCACGAGCTCCCGCAATTCGTCCGAGTACATCGAGCCAAACTCAATGAAGGCGTCTATTTTTGACTAGAAGGTAATTTATGGCGGCATTATGCTTTTCAGATAGAGACTCATATAGCCGCAAGACGGAAGATGTATCCTAGCTTCTCTTCTTACCCCAAATATATCCGGGCGCCGCCTCGGGTTCTCGTAGTCCGAGCGTCTCACGGCTGGGTGCACGACGAAAGTCTTGCTACTCCTCTTGATTTACCAATACCGGGAATTCTGGTTCGGAATCCTTAAATCTTTAAACCTTGTTCAGAAATCCACCTCGATACCAATACTTACTAGTATACCCAAGTGGCAGGCCTTTACCCTAGGGATCATTGTCCCTAATATGATGACCTATAGGTTTCCAGCATCGTGCTTCAAACCGCCGAAGCCATATATTGCCTCTGTTAAAGCTTTAAAGACTGCTCACCGAAAGTATCATGGTCTCATTGGCAGGAAGAGCGATGCAAATGTAATCCATTATGCCGCGAGCCCAGGGTTTGACTAATTTTTTGATCGAATGCCGCTGCCGATTATGACGCCTTCATCGCGAGTCACCGTTCCCAGCTTGCCGCAAACGTTTCCGTTGAACTATGTTTATGTTAGGCTAGAGAAAGTTGTGGATAGAAGGACTATGAGCCTCTTAGACAGCCGAGATAAGTAGGAGACTTAGAAATATAAAGTTACCTCCTGATGGAACACTTCTCTAATGAGATATAGGCGGTAACTGTGCCATGGCGGCAATAAAAGCTGATGTCTCAACATTATACGAGGCAAGATAACCCCCTCCCACCGCGCGCGACTCCCAATGGCCACCCTGTCGATGGCGTGCCCCTGTCTATGAGCTCAACCAGAATATGATTATCTGCCTGAGAATACATTAGCTCCATTTCCTCCCAGGTCACACCCACCTGCTCTGCAAGTTCCGTGTTCCGTTGCTAGTAGGCAAAGGCCTCGCTACCCTGCTACGCCAGCAATAGAAAGGTCCCCAAGAGCCTCACGTGTGCTCAGCCTCATCCAGGTCGTTTCACGGCGGGTCTACACATGCCGTCGACGCGGTTCTCGCACGGTCAATCTGACAATGATGCGCCTCCCTTCGTAGGGATAGCGATCTTTACCACGATGTTTACCTCTAGAAATGGCCCCACGTCTCAGCACGGCATTCTTGGGCCGTGGTCTATCGGAGACGATCTGTCCGGCCAGTGCTGCCAGACTGCACCGTTGATGTTCATCTGGTAAGGAAGCCTCAAAATCTGTTTTTGTCTATGCATTACACTCGTATTGCAACTTCACCCAATGTCGGTTTCTAATACCCGACTAGAGACTTATCTCGGGCTTTCATCTAAAAACCCCATCATCTGATGACTGCAGTAGAACCTATCTCCTAATTCTTCGCCAGGCAAGACAATGGGGGCGGGCACAGACAACGTCGACGAGGCAAAAGAACCCAGTCCGGAAAGATTAGCGTTCAAGTACGTCCCAACGTCCAGCTCGTTGACGTCGCTGCCGATTGCGACATCGTGTCGTTTCATGGTCTTGATCTCCACGTACTTTGCGGTAACCACATGTAAGGCCCTAAAGATGTGGAGCTGTTTGATGCAAGCAGCCGAATAGCGTGGGATTTTAGAAGTTCCTTGAAGGACGTTGACGACCTGTAAGAGATACTGGAGGTCGGAGGCTTCAGTTGTCTCCAACGGTGTTACAGAAGATGATATTAAAGGGAAAAATGAATGGTGAAAGTAGCAGGGCTCCGTTGACCCAAAGATCGACAAGGGGACACTGGAGCCCCTCATCTGCGACCATAACCATACAGGCCACATGCTTTTGCTGAGTGGTTCTTGCTGCAGAAAGGCATTCTAGAGGGGATGACGATTGCCCAAAACGCACGGATTTGTAGATCGAAGTGAGAAGCGAGTAGTTACTAGCCCTGTCGGCGTGCTCAAAAAAGTTGAGCAGCCTGGGCTCCACGGCCTGTCGTAAGGTCTCTCGGGTATAGTTCTACAATATTAGCTTAAGCAGAATGCCGCGGCAGGGAAAGTATACAAAGAACTCGGAGCTTGCAGACATTATTCTCTTTAACTCAGTGGATAGCTCCCGTGCGTGCGCTGCCCGCATAGAAATGTGCTGCGAGAGGGCTTGTGGGCTATAAAGGTTCTCGAATATCCGTCCATAGAGACGGGCTGTTCAATAATGTTGGGTATCCTGCAATACCAAGGCAGAGCATTGTGCTCTATATTCGGCCGCGGTACTGTGATATTGTGGTCTCTAATAGTGGAAGACCTACCCAGGCGAAGCGAGATGCCCTTTTCGAGCAGATATATTGCCCAGAAAAGACATAGCTTCCGTTGATTCTCCTCACATGGCTCGGTAAGCGACATAATGTTGTTATGAAGACCTAAGGCCTGAGCTAGAAGTGTAGCCCTGGAGATGAATGCCCATGCTGCGACAGGCTTGCTTGTTTGCAGACAGTAAACAGTCTGGCGATTTCGAGACATCAGCCAATGTCATGAAGCGTGTATTACTAGATTGGACTTACAGCTAAGTACATGGCATGCACGTATTCTAGAGTTGTAGGGGAGTGGAAGGAGAGGTTGGCCAGCACGGTCTCTGGGTATCCCTGCGGATACGGTATACTCCTAGGAACCTTCGTCTACTAGCTCTGCAACGGACTTTTTGGAGAAATACTAGTCTTAGGATACTTAGGATATCTACACGAAGTCTACACCAAAACAGAATAGCTTACACTGAGTGATCATCCGCTAGAGTAAAATTATTGAAAGTATGAGGATAAAGTCCATTTTTCTTACTTTTAAGTGCCCGTATTAAAATCCCTACCTAGTAATCACCATCTGTTTTAGACTAATCATTTCGGTCCAAGAACATTACTCCTGGGACCCTAGAGGCCCCTACCCTATTCTGCTACACTATAAGTGTGAAGGGCTGAAGCAAGACTTAAATTCAATCTAACTAGGCCACAAACTCTGTACAAAAAGCTGGAAGAAGAGAGGTTCTTTGAGCACGTTCCCGATGTTAACATGCCAAGGTCTCTGTTACAAACCTTTCTTTCATGAAGCTATTCCGAGAACCAGGAGTCCTGCGCCGGAACGGCACTCTCCTGACTGGGAGTCGGCGGTGAGACTGGGAGGCTGGACAGTGAGAACAGACCTCCCTCGTGCATTTCAGCTGCTGCATATTGTATGCACGTCTCTCGGTTATCCTAGGGTTCAGGAGGTCATGGGATGCCACATAGAATCCTGTACCTTAATAGAGCGTCTCGTTTGAAGTCCTTGAGGGGATCCTCAAGAAACAGTCTTGCCCCAATTGCACTGTTGCATTATTCCTTACCTCACTGACAGGCCTACTACCCTGACACGTAGTCTTCTGACCCGAATCCAGGTGTAGACAGTGCTTCTAACTATTCAGTAAAGGAAGAAAGAACTAAGCTTAATCTTCAACACATCCTATCTCTTTACTAACTACGTACATGCTTGTCTTAGACCCCAGAATGACTATGTGGTGGCTGGAGATCGTTCAGCCAAGTCGACCAATCAATGCTATCATCATTCCCAGTTCCTCTCATCAAAGTATCGAAGAAAGCTGCATCAATGGCTTGCAGCGCCCAATCCTCCCCGACAGAGAGCATTGGTTCTTCACTCCCTTGTCCAGTGGTACCAGGTAAAGGCTGCAATGGGTCAACGTTGATGCCCCTATTTCTTGGCCCTTGGGATGATATATCATGCACCTGTACCCTTCCTCCCATTTCAAGGTTACCATTCACATTATCCGACGCAGGACTTCGTTCTTTGTTCTCAACTACAATTTCACCAACAGAGAAACCACCCGAGTCATTAGATATAACGCCCCCTCGGTCAATCTCAATGACGCCGAAAGAGGGAATAGACACCCGGATAGTACCATTAGTGCTCGATGGTTGCGGCGTCTGTGCAGTGGGTGGCGCTTGCATGTTGCTTTCGTGTGTGACCTCGCTGGCTGCTTCAGCCTCGATAGCCATCAGCCGCTGCAGCAAATTAGAGGCTTGTATACTCATAGAATCCCCATCCAGCCGGCTCACTTCTTCCATGATTTCATGGGCTTGCTCTATTAAAGCACGGTCGGAAGGTCGCTGGTGTACCAAGATATTGTTCGACATCAGGGCTTGGTTAGATGGCAGTTGTTCAGAGGTGGACGGAGGCAAAAACTGATGACCATCGAGATGCGCGATCAGAAGTGTCATCGCTGCCATCAACCCAAAATAGTCCACGGTTCGACAACTAAAAGCGATACGATTGAAGCTATGGAACATGATAAACCGGGAGAGAATTTCACGCGAGGCAGTAATGCAAGTCATTCGTGAATAGTCATACTTGTGTCCGGTCCTGGCAGAGCGAAGCATAAATGGTAGATGAAGTTGTATAAGGAGGTTGTAGTGAGACAAGTGGTGGAAAAGACGTCGCATATCCCAGAAAAGGGCTTCTGGCTGATTGGCCACAGTAGCCAGGTTTGGGGTAAGCCACCATTTTGAAGGGAAAGCTCTGGATGCTTTCTGTAGCACTTCGTCTATTTCTTGTGTTAAGGCAAGATCGCTGACGCTGGGCGCGGTGCAATTGCGCTCTAGGATTCGAGACATGACCACGCAATGTATACGGTCAAGACGACCCATTACTGTATCTTCTCCGAGTAACGTTTCAGAAGCCATGTTTCGGTCAAAGGATGCTTGGGGGGTACCCAACATCATGCAGAGATAGCGCTCGAGAGAAATTATTCGAAACCATATGAACTCGGGGTATATCTGCGTTGCCTTTTCGACAATATTGCACTGTGCCTTTCCATGGCGGTGGAAGCCCAGCAGTTGAGCAATCGTCATTGCCCTGCGAATAGTGATCAATGCCTTTCGTGGATTTCCTCCATTGGCATGGTACCAAGTCTCTATCATTATGCAATCCAAACCTTCAATACAGCTCATGAGATCATTGTTCGTAGTGACAAGGCTTGTAGCTATGTCGGCTAGCCTTTTCATCATCTCACGCGGTGGCTCTGACAACCCGTTTATCTCCTGAGATAAGGATGGGTGGAGGTGCTGCAAAGCAGTGGCTAGGTGAAGCATGTATCTTGCTATCAGAACTGGATGCATATTGGAGCTTGGCCTCTTGAATAAGGTCTCAAGAGACTTTGCTTTATGGAGATGATTATAGGGCACAATCTGCATCTGATAGAATAGAGGAGATGTGTTGCAGCATGATTTTAATATCAGTGCAATGTCCTCTTGTGATGGTAATGACGTATGTAGAGACTGTGACAGCTTTTCATATTTGACTGAACTCAAAAAAGAAGTCCTTTCAGGGTCGAGATGTGTAGGCCTAGTGCTATTATTGATAATATCAGAACCAGAAGTTTGTGACTTATCAACAGAAATATTAGCAATTTGCATGGTTAAGTGGGCTGTTAAATTAAATGCTCACCTCCAATGGTTTGAGTAAAGTAATAGCCTCTACCTGGCCAGATGCAACTACCGAAGAGTTGGAGGCGCTATGATTACTCTCCTCATCTTTCCTTGTCAAATAGATGCCATCGAAAACATCGTCTCTAGGAGCTTTTTTAAGAAGGTGTTCGACTAATGTTTCAACTCTGGCAATGCGCTCCCCTATTTGAAGGTTTCGGTCTAAAGCAGTTGTGGTTTCCTCGGGATATTCTTGGCTCACACATTTGATACCGCGTCGGTGACAACGGATGCATGTAGTGTCTGTGGGTAAGCTGAATGTGCACTTCATCTTGCGCTGCCTGCATTCCCAGCAACTATGAGTTCCCTTTCGAATCTTTCTCCGTTTGACCTTTGCTGCAGAAAGGGCATCATTTTCATGATTATGGGTATCTCTTGAAGTAGACATTGTACCTGATGCCTACGTTAGCAATTCTGGGATCAGTGTGGGGCTCGGTGATCACTTGTGACACATACAAGTCCTATCTGAGGTTCCTCGGATGAATGGGACGAAATCAAAAGATAAAGAAGCTATTGGAGCACGTAAAGTAGGTGATGAGATAGGACATTCTCTGAAGAGATTTCTAAATAGTTGTCCGAGGTGACGGATAGGAAGAAGTGCAGGTTACACATTCAACCGGAAACTCGGCGGACGAAACTCAAGGTTCGGCCCCCACACATACCTCTAACGTCATTGGGTGGTTTTTTGCCGCATTCCGCATATGTTAGAAATGAGAAATCGAAAGATGTACTACTTCGCTCTTTGGGAACTTATTGTTAAAATGGGATTCAACCTGAACTTCGGAGGACGAGCGTTACAAAAGGCCACTGCACCTGGCATTATAAATAAAGCCATCGAAATAGTTCCTTTGGAAATATCATTATGTGCCTTATTCCAACCAGTCTTCTATCTCTCAAGATATCAATATGTGCCTTATTCCAACCAGTCTTCTACCTCTCAAGACAGCTACTTATTGTTCAACCATGGCTAGTAACTTCGACGTCCCTCCTGGCAATGTTCTGACACACCTTGAGCCCTTTACTCTTCATGTGTCTGAAGAAGAGTTGGAACACTTCAAGAAACTTCTTGAAATGTCGAACATTGGACCTACTACATGGTGGAACCAACAAGATGACTCTCGTTTTGGCGTCTCTCGTGAGTGGCTGTTGAAGGCCAAAGACATCTGGCTTTCTACCTTTGATTGGCGCAAGCACGAGGTCTATATCAATAATTTCCCAAATTTCAAAGTCACCATCAAGGAGACTGATTCCTGTCAAATCGATGTTCATTTCGCTGCCTTATTTTCGAAAAGAAAAGATGCTATCCCTATCGTCTTTCTTCACGGCTTTCCTTCCTCCTTTATGGATTTTCTTCCAATGATGGACCTGCTGAGGAACAAATATACACCGGAGAGTCTACCCTACCACATCATAGCGCCTTCTCTTCCTGACTATGGATTGTCTGGAAGCTTGAGTCAGAACTTGGAAATGACTCTAGAGCGAGCTGCGAGCATTATGAATGGCTTAATGATTGCACTTGGATTCGAGAAAGGATATGTCGCTCAAGGCGGGGACCTTGGTAGCATGATTGCGCGCCTCATGTCCGTCAACCACAAGGAGTGTAAAGCTTTCCACGGTATGTATTCAGACAGCGCTGGCCCCTGCCGGCTTTAAATATTTGCTAACGAATATAGTCAACATGCTCACGCTAGAACCCGGAAGTGCGCCCCCTTCTACCGACTGCTTAGCCCCGGAAGATCTACGCATCCTTGAGAGGACTTTGAAATGGCAACAAGACGGGTTGGCATATGCTCTTGAACATGGCACTCGTCCTGCCACTGTCGGTTTGGCCATCTCGTCTAGCCCACTTTCCCTGCTTGCTTGGTATTGTACACTTATCACCCGACTCAGCTTTTACTAACGCCAAGTTAGGCTTGGGGAGAAGCTTCTTGAATGGACAGACCCTCGGGAGCAGCTCCCTCTTGATACCATTCTTGGGCTAATAAGTTTCTATTGGTTTACCCAGACTTTTCCCCGGAGTTTGTATCATGCAAACCTCGTGAAAAATTACTCTGTGGGCATTCCGCATCCGATTTCAACAGAGAAGCCTCTGGGGTATTCAATGTTTGCATACGATCTTGCTGTGTTACCCAAACCTTGGGTTCAAGAGATATACCCTAATCTAGCATTCTTTAATGCCCATTCAAAGGTAAGTTGACGTTGGAAAATGCTGTTATGTGATATGGAAGAATGCTTATTTGAAATTTAGGGAGGCCATTTTGCTAGTCTGGAGCGACCAAGTGAATTTTTAGAAGACATTGAGCGCTTTCTGCAGGCTGTCAACAGATTATTTGAAGTGGAATAGAATAGCATATAATTAAGGCAAGTTATCTTTTCCTAGCACCATAATCTTTCTGGCCCTAACTGTTCAGTAAGACTGGCGTGAGGATCTAAGCCTCTAGTTCATAAGACACAATCAATTATTCCTTACAAATGAAATCAGTCACATTAAATCTTAGAGGAAACTACAGCTAATGGCATTGTTTACCAATCTCCTCATTCCTTGTGTCATAGAACAACAATATCTTCCTATTCTTAAACTGAAAGATCCTTATACATACCCATAGCAAAGTCCCCGCATTTATGTGCATCAAATTACTTTCCATTGTGGTTATGTGTTCTGCGGCAGACTCAATTCGACCGATTATCGTCCGCAGAGAGTTGGACGTCAACCTTAACAACAGATTCACAGGGAATGCGTCCGCCAAGACTAGCTTTATTCAGGCCCTGTTAATTCAAAATTTGTACACGCCGGAATCACTAGGGACGGAATATCTGAACAAGTGAAAGACGTGGACGGTAAAAAAAAAAAAAAAAAAAATGTTAAGGGTTGATGTTGACTTCAAGCCCTGTCGCCACTGTTATGCGGGTGAGGCAGTATAAACGCTTGGGATATTGCCCAACGGCGATCAGTCCGTCGACAGAGTACCCAACACATCCAGTCTGCTGCAAAATCAGCTTCTGCCTCTGTCCCCTGCTCGTGGTATCGCGGCAGTGGATATTGTACGGTTAATGATAGGACGAGAACGAATGGCGATTCCGATGGTCGATCATTCGGCTTTAAAGAGACTGGAAAAATGCAAGCTAAGCCAATCTAGAGCCAGAGCTTCAGCCGAGGCCTTGGCGTTGACTTTTCTTCACAGTCTGGGGAAAACCGTCGTCATGTCTGGCACGTAATAGTTAGCGTCTCTGAGGTCAGCTGTCTCATTTGCCGGAGAGTAGGAGGAAGAGTCAGCTGTGGGTTCCTTTCAGCCCGACTGTGGAGAATACGAACTGGTGTGCCTAATTTTGCGGGGTTTTCATCGCACTTCCCATCTGGCGTCAGACAATTCGGGAAATCAGCTTCGGTCGATGCCGTATCACGATCAATGTATAGATCTGGAGTTCGTATAGACGAGCCACAATCTAGCAGAACTAGCAAATACAATATTCAGTCCGGCACCTCGCAGACGAACCCAACTAGCTGCAGTGATATCTCCTAGGCGCTCTTAGCTATCTTTTGATGGATGGCAATTTTAATGTATTCAGCAAAGTAATTCCGCTTCGGCTGCTCCTTAATCTGGCTCTTTGGGTCATAATTTACATAGGTCTTGATTTCCCTTGTTACTGCAGGGGACTATCTCCCGGAGACTGGTTCAACCGCTACTTCAAAATGCATCGCATCTAAGATCCTTGCCGCTTGAGGCTATCCAACCTGCGAGTATCAGCCGATGGATTATGACCCTCGGTTTTGTGCCAGTGACCCACATGTGACAGGTATTTCCATTTCTATGTGCCGTCTGGTGAAGAAGAAATGGAGTATGCTGCGTTGCCTGGGCCGACGCTCAATGTGGGTCGGGATGCGGAAAAGGATCCCCTCGTTTACCACAAGGCTAGAAGATGCCGCGTGCATATGAGAGAGGAGTCGAAGGATTGACGTTACATCGACTCGAGAATTGCATGTGATGGACTCCAATCATCCTATCAGTTGGACAATGATATGAATTTGTATAAACGCAGAATGGACGCTCAGAAGAACAGAGCAGTCACAACCTAGGAGTTTCCGACAGCGTACCCAAGATGCACTGGACAATACAGCTTTGGATAGTATCGTTTTCCTTGAGCGTCTTCGCTCTTCCAACCGGCCGAGATGCGCTTGTTCATCCCCTGGAGGACCCATTTTATAGTGCTCCGAAAGGATTTGAATCCACCGCTCCTGGCACCATTCTAAGATGGCGAAATCCCCCCCATCCTATCTCAGCCTTCGGCTTTGCCCCGATCAATCTTGCTGCTTCTTATCAGCTTCTGTACCGCTCAACGGACTCCTTTGGTGAGCCCATTGCGGCTGCATCGACCATCCTCGTCCCGCACAATGCAGACTACACCAAGCTGCTTTCTTTCCAAGTAGCCGAGGACGCAGCCAACCCCAACTGCGCCCCGTCGTACGCTTTTCAGATTGACTCGGCCACCGACGATGAGCTGGGGATGATCATGCCCCAAGCAGAGCTGATCCTGATTATAGCGGCACTGGACAAAGGCTGGGTGGTAACTGTGCCGGATCACTTGGGTCCAAATGCCACCTTTCTCGCAAACAATCTTTCAGGACATGTGGTGCTTGACAATATCCGCGCCGCGCTAATGTCGTCTACGTTCACAAACATCTCTCCCAAGTCCACAATCACGCTTTGGGGATATTCCGGGGGAAGCCTGGCGAGCGGATTCGCTGCGGAACTTCAGGCGTCGTATGCACCCGAGCTCAACATTGCAGGAGCGGCGCTAGGAGGGACAGTTCCGAAGATCATGCCGGTGTTCAACACGGTTAATAAGGGCATCTATGCGGGACTCCTTCCTGCGGGGATGCAAGGCCTCTCTAATGAATACCCAGCGATCGAACGAATCCTCTATGATCATCTCGTTCCCTCTAAGAAGGCAGACTTCGTCAAGACCAAGAACCTGTGCCTCGTCGGGGGCCTACTCCGGTACTCGTTCCAGGACTTCTACGGGTACATCACAGACGCGAATATGCTCAAAGATCCTGAAGTGACACGAATTCTTGCCGAAAATGCAATGGGACAGCATGTGCCCGACATTCCATTGTTCATCTATAAATCCGCCAACGATGATGTGAGTCCAGTCGGTGATACGGATGCCCTGGTTTCTGGCTACTGTGGTGCCGGCGGGAAAGTCGAATACCACAGGGATGAGCTGTCAAATCATGCGACAATGGCGGTCATCGGCGTCCCGAATGCGCTGATCTGGTTGCAGGATCGCATGAACGGAGTTCCTGCTCGTGCCGGCTGCAGGACGCAAACCGTCCTGACAGGATTGCTGGATCCGCGAACCTTAGCCGTCCTGGGTATCGATTTGATCAAGATCCTGCTGGCCCTGTTGTCGGCACCTGTTGGGACATTTGTGATTGGATGATTTGCAAAAATCTATGATCTTATATAACAAGGCAGTATGATTCGGGAAAATAAGGCTCAAAACCTCAGACTTCAGAAACATGTGCGAGAGCCCATTTGGCCTATTCTGTGCAGCAACAGATTAAACAATACTCAGTGGTCCTGGGCTGGAGTTTCACTATGACATGAACAACAAGTCGTCATCGCAAGTTGTATTACCTCACTGAAAGATAATGTTACCTTAAACAATTGTGTGCTACCCCTTGGGAGAGAATTAGCTTTATTTATAATCCAGAATTGATCCATAACTGATGACAAGTAAAGTCAGGTGTACTACGACAATCTGTGCTCCTGTTGAAAGCTTTTGTTGGAATGGATCACATAATAAACTGTTAGAAGATGGTTAATCTATCTGACAACCATGTTCTAAATTTGCGTGTCATGGAAATATCCAGCTGCCCTTGACTTTGGAGCGGTTGGGAGAGCTTAAAGTGTGGGATATATATGCATTGAAGATATCTTGAGCAAAACTGATGTTGTTAAAGGTGGTGGTGATAGTTATTTTCCTTGGCAATCGCTTTCAGTACAGGCTGTAAGATCTAGTCGGCCTAGAGTTGTTAGAGACTTAAGAGTTGTTATTTTCACAGGTTAAGCTGGGTTCTCCTATTCTTCCAACCTAACCTGCTGGGTTTGGACCTTAGAAACCGAAGGCCCAACCTAACCCAAGAACCTACAGGTTCTAGGTGGCTTAACCTGCTAGGTTTAGTTCCACTAGGGGGTTATTATCTACCTACTTAATCTAGTTAGTATAGGCTAGGTTTAGCCTATAAACCTACTTATAGATTACTTATAGATTGCTTATAGATTACGCTTTGTACTTTGGCTCTCCACGTGGGACTCTTTCTCTCATAAGGTTGTCGATAACCCCGCTTTTAGTAACCTCAACCCAAACCATCATCCAAAATGACCTAAACCATTGATCGAAATAATCCCATAGGAGAGAAGATTCCCCCACAAAATGGGTCCTCGGAAGTGGTGGAAGAGAAGAGTTCATAAAGGCCATGAATCACCAAGTTCAAGCAGCCACGAAAATCCAAATCCAAATCCAGATGCAGATGCTAATCCACCTTTGACCAATCCCGAACCCAATCCCGAACCTGCACCTCCCCCACAATCTCTGAACGCTGCGCGGGACGCGCTGTGGAGGAAGGCGTACAAAACACTGCGAGCAGAGCAACCAGATGCCATCGCCAATTACGTAGCAATTGTCAAAGATGATGCTAATCTACCGCAGGATGCGATTTTGTTCGACCACGCGACCTTTGCAGCGGTGCCGAGGACGCAAAAACAGAAGATGGAGAATAAACAATGGACGTATCCATGGTTCGACAGGCCGCGCAAAATCAGGGACACAATAGAGGCCATTCAAACTGTAATTTCCGAATCATCTCCTATCATCTCCGCGGGTATGAACTTTGCTCCTATTTTCGTTTCGCTTCCGTGGTCCTTCATTTCCCTTTTGATTTCGGTGAGTAGTGCGTGTGTAACACCTCTTTGAGAGTTGTTATTAGTTAGATGATGGATTTTGATGTGATTGATGACATATATAGTTTGCGATGAGGGACTACACAGAGATGCAGAATGCCATTGATGGGCTAAAGGTGATCACCTGCATTCTGAGCAGCTACAGTTTGGCTGAGGAAGAATTTCTGTCCGTCGAGACGACGAGAGTGGATTTCGAGGCTACCGTATTGGGAATGTACACTAAGATGCTTGAATTCCAGGCCGCTGCCTCACAGTACTTTGCAGCAGGGACCCTCAGGAGACTTGGTAGGAATGTGAGACCAGGGACGCCCTGGCAAGACGCACTTGCTGCCGTTGAACAAGCGGAAAAGCTATGTCACATGCTGATCAACGCTCTGGCTGTTCGCCTTCAGCGGCGCGGATTTGAAAGTCTGCAAACTCTGTTTATGGAGAGGACTGCGTCCTTGAATAAAGCGATCGACGAGGCCTCCGCTAGGCGAAACAAGTCCCGGCAGGTTACTGAGTGGATCTCCTTGATTGACTCATTCCAAGACCACGGGGATGTGGGGAGGCGTCTAGGCGACGAATGACAACAGGATCCAATTCTTCCATTTACAGGAGCAGACAACATGGACCGCTCTGATGGATGATGCTTTCCATCTTCTGCAGCTATTCACTAAGTTATCTAGCCACGGATCACTAATTATAGGCCTCGATCAGCAGCAGGCAGAAGCTCCTGTCCAAGCTTGAGATGCACTGTTTAGTGTGTGTAAATCTGCAAGCTTATAGTAATATATATCATTTAGCTTTGCTTCATATCGTAATTGCAGGCAACGTGTCATGTTATATGCTATGCAAATTATGGCAAGGGAGCAAACACAGAGAATAAGTGGATATTTGAAGAGCCAAAAAATGATAAGGGCAATTTACAGTTACTTTACTAGCATGATCTCAAGAGAAGATAACGAAGGGAGAGGGTAAGGGAGTAGGATAGAAGTGATTTAGGAGCCAAGTTATATTGAGCTTCTTAGAGGATATACACAGAAAGATACAGATGATTCTCCTCTCTGGCAGTAGATAAATCAGATCAGAGGCTCGAAGAGTGTTAGGCCTCCCCATCCGACAAAAACTTCTCCACTTTCCTCATTTCGAAGACGCCAGCCTCATTCGTGAATTTCTCTGGGTAGCCGAAGAACAATGGATAGGAAACGTCTGGTTCAGCATTTAAGAGAGTACCTTGGAATTGTTCCGAATCAGTATGATGGACTCTGAAATCGTACCAGGTCTTGTTCTTTGGCGGGAGGGGCCCATGCTCGTCAAATTCAACAGGAAACACGCCCGGTGGACATTCATAATAATAGCTCATGAGAAGAGTCCCATCCTCAGCACTTCTTGAATCTGCGATGGTGATAATTTCCTGTTCGATGAAATTGTATTTGGCAGGTTGGCGCCACTTGTCTATGGCCCAGTTCTGGCATTCCTCTTTAGAGACGTTGATGAAGTCTGACTCAAAAAATTCCCCATCTTGTAAACCCGATCTGAAATGCTCTTGTGAATCTGGGCAGACTCTCGACTCAACAAGATAGTACCAATAAGGAAAGTCTCGTGGCTCTGTACTGAATTCGCGTAAGGCCTTAGGTACGAACTAGTGATTTCGCGGTCAGCCTCGATTTCTTCGGTCCGACCTCCAACAGGCTATCATCGTGGCACCTATAATCCATAACACACTAGACTTACAGGCTTAGCGTCTTCAGCAATACAGAAGAACAAGGCTCGTGTCATCGTAGGGTCTTTATGCTAGCGACGAAATGAGTTTCAAGGGCATATGATGGCTTACTCTCCAACAGGACAAGACTTTACAGAGGCTTTATATAGATTCCAAACGGCGAAGATACGATGACGTCATACCTGGTCTACCAGATAGCAGGATGAAGGAGTCGGGATAACTTACAAATTACTAAAAAGTGTTGCCAAGCTGGTAAATCTGATTGGTAGATTAGCAAACTGGCCCCGGGGGCCGCTCCAGCCTACAAGCTTCCGCCCACAGCTTCCGGGGTTTTGCCAACGCTTGCTAAAATATGCGGAGCCTAGACATTCGCATGAAAAGTACAGGTGGCCTACGGATGGCCAGCTATAAACTTGTGAACCTGAGGCTGTCTATCCCCAGCTAGCCTGAGGAAGGAGCCATTGATAACCGAGGCATGATTCACTTCATAGTACTACTGTGAGTACTGTACAGCTCAGGTGCATAGTACTGAACTAAGAGGCTCTATACAAGAGTATTCCTTGACACCAGCGCCATCAGGTTTTTCAGCACCAGTAGAAATTGTGCGACCAGTGTATCAACAAGAATGTTCAGAATTTTGGCTAAATATGCTTGTTTGTCCACTGCTATTGCACATTTAAAATTGACTTTACTTTGTAAGGATTATGTACACAATATCTATTAAAAAATCTATTAAATGAATGGCCGTCATTCCAGGGGTTAAGCCTTTTTTTGGGCGGAGGAAGCTAGCATTAACTAACTAAAAACACCCTATCACATTTTAGGTGACCTTGCGGAAATGGACAGTGCTTATACCCTTGATTTGCATCTTGAGCAATGTATACAGTGCCTTTTCTATAATATGTGTCTACGTGTGAGCTCCGTCACACCCCGCCAGGCCCTTTCCTATAGGATCCAGGGCCCCCCAGTCTAGTGACTACATTAGGCCCGGCTCCCTGCCCCTGTGGTCTGGGAGGGATAATCTAGGTATTATTCCATTCATCTCCTTGCGGTGCATCTAACTATGCTGGTTATAGATTCTAGGTCCCCTAGGGGGACTGTATAACTAGTATATACCTATTAGGATCAGCTCTGCTGACTAGTTTTGCTAGGGGCACTGGCACTGCTCCCTACTAAGGCTATATTACTTTACTAGTAGCAGCATCTAGGCTATCTAGATTATCTAATTAACTCCTTCCTAGTCCTATTCCTGCTTAATTATTTACTCTAAACTTAGTATCTATTAGAGTGCAGGATCCTACTATATAGATATACTACTACTATAATAATATATATCTCTATATCCTACCTTATTAGGGCCTATATATTAATAGTCCCCTTACCCCAGCAGCTAAAATCTATAATTTAGTCTAGTAATCTAGCTACCTTTATTATCCCTAATTACCTAGTATCTACTAGAATCCCTCTTCTAGATTATATATAGCTAACCCTACTACTAGGGTCTCTATTAGATAGTTCTTATAGGGATCCCACCCCTAGGGCCTAATATAGTAAGCATAGGATTTACTAGACCTATAGTAGCTACTAGTAATATCCTACTCTAGCTATTACTAGTAGCTATAGCTAGTAAGAATCTAGACTACTTACTATACTAGACCTCTATAATAGTAGTAACTAGTAATAATATAAGCTAATCTATATATAGTACTATAGGTGCCCCTAGCCTATTAGTAGTAGTAATTAGTTAATAAATATAAATATTAATCTAGATTATACTAAAGTCCCAGGCCCTAGACTACTTTAGGATCTAGAGAGTCTATAGTAAATTAACTAATCTATATAGCCTATAATCTAAGCCAGGCCTAGCTGTAACCTAAGGACCCTTAATAGGGCTAACTAGGGCTATAGATTAGAGGACCTAATACTAATAGATCTTGCTAGATCCCCTAATAAAATAGGATATAATTAGGGCTAGGAAAAGGGGGAAAAAGTAATATATCCTCTTCCTAGCCACCTAGACTACTGTCCTAAAAGGAAGAAGAAAAAGGGGGGATATATATAGCCTAGATATACCCTTAAAGTTACTAGCTAGGCTAGCTTTATCATTAATATATCTATTCTCCCTTTCTACTCCTGCTATATTATTACTACTCTACTCTTTAATATATAACTATACTACTACTATTAGATAACCCCCTGTCTACTATAACTATACTACCCCTGTATAACTATCTCTATAACTATAATATTATTATCTACTAGGTATGTAAGGTAGCAGTCCTAGACTATCTAGTATAGTAATATCTCTAGGAGGTCTACTAGCTAGCAGCCTAGGACTATTATCTATAGCTCTATATATTACCTAAGGGTATATAGCCCTAGTAGGACTATATAGACTTTCTACCCCTACCTTCTAATAGTAAATTAATCCCCTAGCTCCCTATCCACTATATCTAATACTATATTATATAAAGGACCTATCTTAGTAGCAGCACCTAGTAGGTCTAAGAGTACTACTACTAGGACTATCCCTAAATCTACCTATCCCTACCCTAGCAGGTTAGTGCCTAATAGTGCCTAATAGTGGTTTATAAATAGTTACTACTACTACTACTAGATTATAAGGGTCCCTAGTATATAGCTACAGGACCCCCTACCTATATAGCCTACCTTTACTATTACTACCCTATCCCTATCCTAGATAATACAGCCTATCCAGGCCCTAACTAAGCTATCTATCCTATAACCTACTAATAAAGTACTAGAGAGTAGTAATAGCTAATCTAGGGAGTAAGCCTCTAGTAGACTACCCTATCTATAGTTAGCCTAGTTACTACCTAAAGGAGTTAGGGCAGAGGAGGGGGGTAATAAAAGGGACTAGCTAGGCATAGTCCTAACTAGTAATAATAGATAGACTATAATAGATCTAGATAGTTTACTAATAGCTTCTATATCTCCCTCTATATAGGAGTGCCTAGTAACTCCTTCTATATCTTATTAGAAACTAGAAGGTCTAATAGTAAGTAGTAGTCCTAGGGGTATAGAGTCTAGCCTATAGGGTCTATCTATAACTATTATACTAGAATCCCCCCTACTATCTACCCTATTAATAGCAGGCCTTATAACCACCTTCTCTATATCTACTACTCTAGAATAGATATAGAATGCCCTTAGCTAAGGATATTAGATCCTCTAGATAGAGTAGTATTAACTTTAGCTAGTAGCTAGTCTAGAGGGGTCTATAGAGCTAGCTACTATAGATAACTCTATCTTTATCTATAATATCTAGTACTAATAGTAGGATAATACTACCCTATAGCTAATATTTACTAAATAGCCTTAATACTTCTACTAGTGCTTATTACTTAGCCTAGTCTATATAATAAGGACCCTAGATACCCTATAGGTCCTACCTATATTATAGGCATAGTAGGGTAGTAGTAGGGGATTACCCTCTACTACTATAGAAGAGCTAGAGATATAGTACTAATATAACTATATTCTCACCCTTATCTACTAGGGGATAGACTAGGTCCTTAACCAGGCCTAGGTAATACTGGAGTAGACCTATATATTAATCTAGAAGGTCTTTAGATACTAAATCTCTAGTTAGTAGATATAGAAATAACCTCTAGGATAGCTATAGCTAGAGATAGAGTAGTAATATATATAGTATTAGAAATAGTTTCTATACTTCCTCCTCTAGGCTATTTCTCTTTTATATAAGGATTAAGGCTATCTATTTAGGGTCTATCTAGATAAGGAGTAAGAGCATATACTTAAAATCCTATAGTAGACTCTTAACTACTATCTAGAATATCCTAATCTTAATATCTAGATAGATAAAGAGAATCCCTTCTAAGC